CTAGTATAATAGAAAGGTTACCCTACCTTAGAAAATATATAGGAACCTATCGCGAATTTAAGGGGCTACTATTAGCTTGTTTAATAATACTACTAGAAGGTAAAGCGAACTCTGGAACTACGAGAGGTAAGGAAGACTTAGAATCCTAGAAAGAAGAAGAGAGACTAATAATCTCCGACAATATCCGATCGAAGTTAGGATAATTAGTAGTAGCGGCCAACTACTCTAGATCAAGAGTAGAGGAGGAAGGCTACTTAGGGGACAAATATTTTTTATCAAGAATTTAAAGAAGCTTAGTATTATACTCTAATATTTTAAAACCCTTTTGTTTTAAGAAAGCTATTTATTTTCTTAACTGTCGCTAACACAATATAGCCTCTTAATATTATTTTTGTTTATTTAGTAATTTTTGGTGTAACTCCGTAAGATAAGATTATAGCGTAGATAACTCGGGCTCTAGTAAATTGAGCTCACTTTTATTCTTTTTAATATTAACGGAAAGTTTATTTTCGGCGTTACGTAATAGATCCTACTTACGAGAAGTATAGAAGTCTCGTTTATATAACCTACCTACCTGTGTATAGGTAGCACACTTAGAATAACGATAAGAACGATCTATCACGTAAGATATACCTAAACTAAGGTAGTGACCACAAAGAATAGTAGTCACAAAACTATTCGCCTTAATATAGTCCGCTTATATATAATAAGTAACTAAAGAATCACGAGGAAGCTTAGGAGTACTTTCTAAGATAGAATTAGCCTTACGTTTAGGTATAACAGGATAGGAAGGATAGGAAAACCTAACTCACCGAAGAAAGAGGGGGACCACGGATTTATAAGCTTCGAGGACGAAACTCCTAGAAAGGAGGAGGTGATATTACGGACCTATTAGGCACCCAGCGACCTAAACTACCCTACCAGCATTATAGGCTATCGAGAGCTAATCAACCTAGATCACGTATAAAGGATACCCTAGTAAACCAGAAATCGTGTTACGTGATTATATAGGTAGTAGACCGGTCGACGGTAGAACGATAGATTCCGCCAAGATAAATCTACCAAGCTACTATCTATCTAACTACTCCTAGGAAGATAGGAGGATATATAAGGACGTTTATTCATGTACTTAGTTTAGTTCTTTGTCTTCAATCCTACATTGTTACTTATGTATACCTATACGGACTTACGACTCTTGACTAAGATATAACTTGATAACACTACGAGCCAGACTAATACCCCGGTATCGATCTACTCGGCGCTCTACCTGGTATCGATTCCTCGACACGACTTCTAAGGACTTAGGCTGCGGTAAGGCCTACGGATAAGGTAATAGCTTAGTGACGACAGACATATTGTTGACGTTGGAAACCTGAGGTGTATTAAAGTAACTATACCCTGAACCGTCCAACCTAACCGTGACCAGTTAGTTAGTGCGTAACACTATATTAGCTTCCTTAATATACCTAGATCTAATTAGATTTAGCCCTTATAATAAGTAGAGAAGTCGATCCTAAGGGATACTCTCCTTATACCCTTAGTAAGAATCTAGCTCTTAGGAGTATAAGGTAGAGTTTAGACTATACCTATAATACTATAATTATAAAAATTATTATCTATACTACTAGTAATAAGGCCTAATATCTTTCTAAGGAGTATAATTACTATAATATAACTTCTAGTTATAACTAGTATAAAGGTAGAAGATATCACTAATATAGTTAAGTACTAAGCTCCTAGCGAAGCTTAAGAAGACTAAACTAGGAGGTCTAATCTCTAGAAAAGGCTTTAAGAACTAACCTTATAAGTCTTAAGAATAGGTAGTAAAATAACTAAAATAAAGAATTAAGCGTTAGCTATTAAATAGGAGATTAGATCTAGTAAAACTAGATCTATAGAGTTAACTCTATTATCTAAAGTATAGAGAAGGGGATATTAATATCCCTTCTCCTTACTAATAATTAAGGCTTAAGAAGAAGAAGAAGCCCTATAATCTCTAATACTTAAAGAATAAAATAAGGAAATTATCTTAATCTCTTTAACTTCTAATCTAATTATTAAACCTATACCTTATCGGTAAAGATATACTAATATTAGTATACCACTAGAGAGATATTATAACCCTAATTAAAAATACCTCTCTATTAAATATAAGAAATAGAATAGAGATAGTTAGAGAGCTATATAAAGATTAAGATTAAGATTACCTAGGGATCTATTAGAAGCTAAAGAATCTATAAATACTATAGTAGATATTACTATACCTATTATATTTAATAATAAACTACTATATATAAGGGATATTAATATTCCTATAATATATAAGTAGATAGAGAAGTTACCTTTCTAGATATACTAGAAAGAAGCTATAGAGAAATAGCTTAAGGACCTTACTACTAAGAGAATATAGACCCTAATCCTAAAACCTCTATAATTAAAAGTCCTTCTAGGATAATAGAGATTTATACTAAAAATAAATATAAAGGATTAAGTATATAGGTTTAAAGCCTACTAGGTAGTCTATAGAAACTTCTAGGATAAAGATAGAGTAGAGTCTTATACTCTAGTAGTTTCTAAATATATAATTAAGGTTATATTAATACTTATTATAATATATAACCTTAGATAGAGATAAGTTAATTTTATAGTGGTATATCTTAATACTTTAAGAGAGTATATTAAGATTATCTATATAAGGTAACTAACTAGATTTAAGTACTCTAATAGGACCTCTTACTAATAGGTATACTTATTAAACTAGGTACTATTTAGACTCTAGGATAGTGCCTATCTTTAGAATAAAGATATAGATTCTAAGCTTCGATAAATAGGCTTTTTACCCCTAGGTAATAACCCTTATATCTATATTAAAGGAAAAGGGATAGGCCTAATAATTATAATAATCTATATAGATAATTTTATTATCACTATACTAATAAATATAGAGATTTAAATAGTAGTCTCTATACTTTAAAAATACTATAATATAAAGGACCTTAGTAAACTAAAATAGTATTTAAACTATACCTTAGTTAGGGACTATAAAAAGAGGATAATCTCTTTATTATAGAGTACTTATATATAAAAGGTCCTATAGATATTAGGTACTCTAGGTACTAAGGATATTCCTTTACCTATAGGATAGAGAGAAACTATAATTAAAGAAGATTTAGAGGCCTTACTTAATAATAATAGCTTTAACTACTATTAATTAGTAGTTAGAATACTTAATTAGCTAGTAATTAAAACTAGGCTAGATATTTACTTTATAGTAATAAGACTTTAGTACCGATTAGCGAAACCTATATTATATAATATAGAAGTACTTTATTATATTATTAAATACCTTTACTAATATCCTAATCTAGGAATTATCCTTATAAAGTCTAATAAACTATAATTTTTAGTATATTCTAATATATTATATACTAATTAGTAGGATAGTAAGTTAATAGAAGGTATTATCTAGTTTTTCGCTAGCTCCCTAGTGATATAGTTTATAAAGAAATAGACTATTATAGCTAATTCTACCACTATTATAGAGTGGTATACCCTTAATTAGCCTAGTAGAGATACTATATAGCTAAATAAAGTAGCTAACTCGCTTTAATTACTAAGGCCTAATACTATAGTTATCTATACTAATAGTATTAATTTATAGCTCCTACTCTCTAAGAAAGGGGGTAGATCCGCTAATCGCTAGCTTTTATTAAGATATTTCTTCGTTAAAGATACTATTATATAAGGTTATATTAGTATACATAGGGTAGAATCTAAGTATAACATAGCTAATAGGTTCACTAAGGTATTAGCGAAGGATTAATTTAGGATTTTTATATAATAGCTAGGTTTAGAATAAGAGGGTTTTTCGCTTTATTTTTTTTATACTTGATCTATAAGGGGGATATCGGATACTATAGGTATCCAGGTATATGGATTAAATATATTTGATATACTATCATGTTTGGCAGTATAAATAGGATCTCAGTATCCTATTCATACTTACTTTCTCTTCTTCTCTCTCTCTCAGTCTTGCTTCTAGATAGAGAATATCATCATCTTCTCTGTCATCAACTTCTCAGGTACTCGCCTCGTTTTCAGCTGGTGGTTCCCCTAAAAGTCAACGCTGATAAAACTTCTTCACACCCGAGAAGTATTTAATATAATATGACTGTTCTTTTTCTCCTAAAGTGGCCGACACTATATCAATAGAAGAGTAGTGTGACAAGTATTTTTTGGGGTATGTCCCCGTATCTTTGTGTCCATAAATCTAAGATACCAAAGTAGAGCTATGCTATTCTGTACTAGGAATTAGTAGATATGCTCCTTGGACAAACTGCGAGTGTGAATACCCTACCTTCAACAACACTTTTAAGATACTTCCGAATCATATGAACAGTCACCCTGTTGCTGTATCTAGTGGTGACTAATCCACGTAGCAACTCACAAAAGCGCTCCTTATAAAGTGCAACATCTTGTGGACCCTCAGCCGTGACATTTGAAAATAGGCTTTTTCATATATTCATCCTTCTAGCGTAGTTCTATATGCTTTCCACTTGAACGGTTCAACTTGGCAAAGTCTGCTACCGTTTCGATGCTGAATAGAGCACTATGCTAGAAGGCAATGATAACTACCCCCTCAGCGGCTCGGCCTAACTTCGGTAAATTATGATTACTGGCTCCCCTTGGTCCACCTGAAACACTCATATTGCCTCATCTTTCTGCATTCTATACCATCGAGTTTGGAGAAAAATGAGAAACTACGCTGTCATTATTGATAAATTTACTTGAATCGTTCTTACGACTTTGGTATGATACTTGGGAAGTTTACACATCCACGTAATGATCCTGGGCAAGGCCCCGTTGATGAGTTTCGCTTATTGGCACTGGAATGGGCTAAGTCAATTCACGCTAAAAAAGCCAAAAGGATTCGACATGGGACTATTATCAACTCCAACTTCGTTCCCATCATTATCATTAAATTGTATCCATGTGTCAAAATGGCTGAAAAATCAAAAAAAGAACCGCAAACCCCTGAAAGCATCATTCTTGCGGCCGATCAGGGCCGACTCGATCTTGTCACGGCACTCTTAGAGGGCGGGGCGGATCCGAATACTGTGGACGAGATCGGAACTTCGGCTCTTCATAATGCAGCCAGACAGGGCTATTGGGATATCGCCCGGCTTCTTCTTGAGAATAATGCATCACCTCGGATTGAAGATGGCAACCGCGCAACTCCACTCCGTCTTGCTGTAAGAGCAGGCCAGAAAGAGATTGTTCGCTTATTGCTCGAATGTGATCCTCCTACAGCCCAGACAAAAGAAAGCGAGACATATAGGCTCCTTCACATTGCTGCAGCCTTTGGCCATACAGAAATAGTTCAACTCTTGCTGGATTGCAACACCCCCACTTTAGGCAGCAATGGGGAACAGACGGCGCTGCACTTGGCGGCTGCAAAGGGATATCATGAAATTTGCGAGCTTCTCCTAAAGCATGACAAGTCTTTAGATCGCTCAGTATGGGCCAGATTGGTCGGTCCCAGTTTGGAAGTCGATTCAAAAGATTACGCAGGAAACACGCCTTTCGCATACGCAGTTGCAAAAGGTCATGAACAGGTAGTCGAAGTCTTTCTACGCAGTTATCCAGAACTGAGTAAAACTACCGATCGAGAGAAAGCGTTGCATTTCTACAAGGCTATCAGGGCTGGAAAGATTGAGATGGTTCGAATATTTTTGAATCATGGCACGGACACGGAAATGAAAGACTCTTACGGATATCGGGCCCTTCATGTGGCTGTCATTGCTGAGAGCATGGGGTACATGACCGAAGCTACTGACATGATCAAGCTTTTACTTGCGCATGGTGCTCGGGTTGATTCAAAGGACAACGATGGCAGAACCCCTGAATTTCACTCCCATAATCCAAAGATCAGAATGATACTGCGTAACCATGCAGCCACGCAGCCAAAGGTCCTTTCACTACCGAAAGCACCGGTGGCTTCGAACCCGCCACCTGAGTACAAGGCATGAATATCTGAACCGAGGGAAAAGCATGCCTTGGAATGATCATGCCAATGACTAGCTGTATTGGGGGTGTCTTGCTTGACATATTGACCAGACATGCACTGGAGCAGTATGAAATATTGTATAGGAAACTATGTTTGTCAATTTGAATTCATTACCTAGAAGTATATCACAATTTGAAAGTTCGAGCTAAAATGGTGCTGCAATATCAGAAACAAAAAGAACCTAAATAACTTCGGTAAGACATTATATTGTCTATACTTTAAGGAATCAACCCCTCGAGGATAGATGCTCCAAAACTCTTGCTCGGGTGGACAAATATGAACGAAGGAAGCCTCTTCAGATATATGAAATATATAGGTATGGGCCAAACTTTCCAATAGAACCGCCATGATCTGTCAAGAAGAATGAAGTAGACCTTGAAATTCTCAACACTGATTTGCAAATTATTCAACATTGAATTGCTATTACTGATTGTTATGGTCGTAGTTCAGGCTGAAAATCTCATCTTGATATGTACGACAATATTAGAAAACATAGATCAAAGCCATCTTTCTTAGCAGAAGGGTTTGGCGTAAATTCGAATTTTCTGGTGATTGACCAATTATATATCCAGACATATTTATCACTAAAGATATAATCGATCGCTCGGTGTTTACCTGAATTCGGTCTTAGATTTCTTGGAAAAGCTGAAGCATCACTCCATTCTTGGCCCAGACCTTACCCTATGGCGTCTCAAGATACGCCTCTGCCTATGCACATGTAGCTCGTACGTTCCGTTCCTTATTCTTGAACTTGTTGAACATATCAAAGGACGAAACCCACCCAGCAAGAACAGAGTACATCCAGGGTTGTAGGTCAGGGGTTCCGTAAGAGAGAAAGAATGATTGAAATCATGACGTGAAGGAGCTCTTGCTAGTGAGTTTTATCTGAGCTATGGTATAATTGAAGTGTAAGTTGCATAACAGAAGTTTCGGCCTCTGGTGTCGAGGTTATTATGGCGTATGATTATAGTATATGATTCAACTTTAAGCCAATCGGCAGTTCTGTATTTCATATACATGATGTAGCAGAATACCTAGATATAGATTTAGATCGAAGAGAATATATCTATGTTTACGACTCCATCCGATCCCTCAAACAAATTGGCAACAACCCCCGGGTACGGGAGCTGCCCGGGTGCTCACTAAGCAAGTATCTAATCCTGGGCTAGATCCCGACTTCAGAGCCGCTTCTGATACATTGTAGAACTTCCAATAGCCAGAAGCTTGTTTTCCATGACAAAATACTTGATTTTGACCGATCATGACTGTGAAAATACCGAGGTGCATAGTGCGCGTTGTGACGGAATCAACTTGGCCTCCGCGATACGTTCGAGGGCAATGATATATCCTTCACCAACCGGGATCTCTTCTTTGAAGCCCACGCCTCGAATCTTGTCAAGGCTCATCTCGCGGTTACGGTCAAGAAGTGTAAAACCAGTCTTGAGGAAAACCCACGACGAGTGAGGAACAAGACGGTGCTCCAAGCAATACGCATTGCACATTTGTCGGTAGTCATCTTGATGCTCATTCCACCACTCTTCGAGGTTGTTCCAACCCATCTCACCAGGACCGGCTCCCTTTAGGCCGAAATATCCAGCTAAGATCGGCCATTTAACGGACCACGGCCCTGGCAAATCAGTGTCAGCGATGTTGAAGGCTTCACCATTAGACTGCTCTGGCTGAACCACAGAGAGATAAATTTCAGACTTTGAAATCAGATCCTGGGACGAGTCTGTGAATCGGTAGGTGAAATTGGGTTTTGTCCCGGGGAAGTTGACGCTTGCACCCGGACCGTTGACGAAGCGGTAGAGAGCGAGGTATAGAGCCAGTGGCTCGACGAAGTTCATGCCAGTCACATCAGGAACGAACCCTAAATGGCATTGCAGTGTAAGAAACGTGCACCTATGCCCGTGGGACTGAAAGTGAAGGCAAGGGGCCTGACTCACCGACGATTTGATCAGGTCGAACCTCACACCATTTCCATGATTTGCCCTCAGCAGCCTCCTTGATCAAATCTACTTGATCGTAGTAGAAGATTTCATCGCCGTAAGGTGATGGAACTCGGGGATTATCCTCCCTTAGGGGTGGCTTGATCTCAATCTTGTCCATGTGCTGGAACACTGCAACCCCATAGTTCTATCGAGCTCAGCATTGCTTGGGATAGAATATGGGACAAAACTTACATTTGTTCCAGTCTGGAGGACTAAGAACTGAAGCTGTAAACAGAGCGAATCGGTTGCGTGGACAGCATTGTAGGTCATTTGCTTATTGATGTCCTTGATACGCATCACATGCTCGGTGTACGCGGTGGCATTGGAGTATGCTATTTTCCGTGAGCATTCTAGCCTGACGCGTGGCTAATTTCATGTCTGATACATGTCATCTCACATACCCAGGTAATACACGTGTGTGACTTGATCTAGATTTGGAACCCGTTCCCTCATCTGTTTCTTCACATCTTCGAGCTCGGTACGGAGATCCACCCCTGAGTACAACTCCAGTCGGGGATCTTGAGGTAGGCCGCTCTCAGTTGTAGGCCGTGGACGATGCATCAAACCGATAATTCGATCAAAGGTGGTTGCAGTGGGATAGGATAGTAAGTTTTTGCTCACGGCCCATCCAGAGATTCCACTGGCACCAAATACTAGCGCTACCTTTTTGCCGTTTGTCATTGTAAGGGTTGATTCCAATCAAAGGAATAATGAGGGGATATCAAAAGTTAACCAGAACAACTTCAAGAGTTCTGAGCCCCAATTTATGTTATTATGTACGGCCTAAACGTGTCCGGCATCATCATTGATCTGCTATTCTGTAGTGCGGAATAATTTCTCGGCAACACGTGTCCAATCTCCAACGCAGCGGCACAGAATGCTACTAAGTAGCCGAACTATAAAATAAGTGAAGCAAGAAGCGGGGCCGGCAACAAGAATTAAAGATGATCGTCGTTGGAGCCTCCTCTGACAGGCCGGGGGCCGAGTGCTAGTTCCAACATCTCAAACTTGATCGATAGTTCAGCGGCAGTCAACTCGTGCTTCCGCCCAAGGCCTGAAAAAAAAGGGGCTACGCGTCATTTTCTGCTCACGGACCCAAGTAGATCATGGCTGGAGCGATATAGTGTGCGCGTTTGGGACCACTCCCGCGATGGCAGCAAACGCCGTAAAACAGCTGGCCCAATTGCACGTTCTCCCGTTTCCAACCTAAATCTTGCTGATATAGACGTGGGAATACCAAATATGCTACACATCAGTCAATGAAAAGATCTTGTGGCAGAACCTCCTGGAAGTGAAATTGGAAACGTATGAATTCGGACAAACCGTCTTCGAGGTCAGGTATCTTTGCGACATCACTTGGCCATTTCGAATTTCAAAACGCACGAGAAGATATCCCATTGAATGATTCAATTGAGTTGGAACAACGTGCATAGAAAATCGAGCTTCCGGGTCATTGTGATTTCTATAATGTTTCAGGTCCAAACCACCACCATCAAGCTAGGATTTTCCATGTAGTTAAATGCGCGGCGCTTAGTGTCGGAGAGAAGTGGATAGACCTTAATACAAGGATAATCTCTATGTACAATGAGAATAAGATCATTTTGGCTGTAGAACTCAAATTCAGGTTGGGCAGTAAACAGCCTGGGGTTTGCCTCATACATTTGACCGTTTTCTCTTGTACTTTGATGATCTTACCAGAGGAATGATGTGCAATGGATATAGCTGAGCTTGATAATTAGGAAGTAGCCTGGGGAGTAGTTATAGGAAGTAAGGGTGAAAGATCGTTTTCGTGCAACTTCGCATCTTGGAGCACGCAGGTATCGAATGAGGGAACCGAAGTCCTTCAGCCTTTGGGATGGGTATAAAATTCATGGTTTGCATTTCGATAGTTATGGTTATATAATGATTGTTGCAAATTCAAATCATTTGAGGTGCCAGAAGTGATGAATGTGTGTTTTTCGTCTTTTTTCATTGTGCATAGAGGCTAACAACCTGCTTTGAAGTCCTGGTCAATCTAAGCACGTAAGTAAGAGCCACTCCTCTGCATGGACAATATTGATAAGGAAGTCTGCCATAGATCTTTACCTTCGGTTTATCTGCTGCTGTAATGACAACCTTGGGTACAACTCTACTTTTTTTTGTTGGATTGTGTTGAGACAAGTTGTTTCTCGGGCTCATAGATATCGGCTCCATACATTGATCTCCCTACTTCTCCTCTCTCTTTCTCTTTCTTAGATGTGATCCACAGGTTCTTTCCCTCATCACATAGCCACTGATGCGAATTAGCGGCGTACTATGGAGCTTGAAAGCATCGTGCGCTTTAACCCCCGCGAATTCAACCTACAGACAAATCACACTCCCATGCCCACAGAGTCAGCGGTATCACCAATCAAGAATATGTACCAATGCTCACGGTAATATTGATTTTTCTGTCAAATTGTTTTGGGTCAAATTGTCTTACTGCCATTCGTTGCCTCCCATCCATCTAATAAATCCAGCTGCTGTATGGGAGTAATATCTTGGGCATTCAAGTTGCATGAACAGTAGGGCTTGCCAGATATAGAAAGTTCACGAGTTGGGCATCGTAGCATGGGGATGTTGATCTACACGTATTATTTCCCTAATCGGAAGTATTAATGGAGAAACAGTGGAGACGGGCAATGACGTCAGTGGATTTTCCTTGTTAATTTCCTTTTCCAAGGCTTTTTGTCGACCCCTTCGACCTTTTAAAATAGATTGAACCTCGCCGGAAATCTCGGAGATTTTTATTTGTTTTTATAACAGACCCGAGGCTCGGTTCAAGGTCCTCCTGCCGGCTATTGTGTGTTTGCGTTGTGAGCGTTCACTTCGAATTGTACCCTTTGACACACTTACTTGGATACAATGAGGTCCATTCTTGCACATGTCTTTGTGCAGGCCTCTCTTCTCTCAATTGCCTCCGCTGCTCCAGCTCCAACAGCTTTCGCTAATAATGTTGTCCCGGCCGACCCTGTCATTACACCTTCCCCAGTCGAGAATAATCCCTCTCCCGTGGTTGCCCGAAACATATTGAGCGATGTTGAATCCGGTGCAAACAGCATCCTCTCAGACCTTGGCTCTGGCCTACCTTCATGGGTCGCGTCTGGAGTGCCTGACTTCTTCCAAGGTTTCCCGACTGGAAAGTCAGTTGTGAAATCCCTTGGGTTGGACGACGACCAATTGGAAGCGTTACCAACCAATGTGTTGAACATCCCCCCATATGCCAACTGGACCAAGTCAGGCTGGAATGTTCGCTTCCACGGAAACGTTTATAAGCAACCAAATACCTCTGTCTCAAAATTGAACGACTTGGCCGATATCTTCCTTGTCAACACTAGTATCTCCGAGCTTCCCAAATCCCAACAAGCCCAGGCGCGTAACCTGACTGCCGAAATCTTTGTTGTGCAGCAGCCCGAGGTTGCCGTGAACAAGATCCACCTGAAGCCTGCAAAGAGTCAGGGCTCCAGCGGAGAGCCAGGTGGTGGTGGATCATCCAAGACAACGGGTGGTAATCAGGTCATCACTCTGCCTTACAATACCACAATTGAGGGTGATTTCGACACCTTTGTGCAAATTGACAGCAATGGCCTTACCGCCGGAAATGAAACCAAGAAAATTCAGAGATTGGATACTCATGTTCAGGGCGCAAGCATCGGAAATGCTACTGCCTACCTTGTGCCTCCCAAGGGACTCACCTTCATTTCCGACATTGATGATATTTTGCGGGTCACTAAGATTTATCAACCGTCACAAGGATTACTCAATTCCTTCGCCCGTCCATTCACGCCTTGGCAAAAGATGCCAGAAATCTATAGCAACTGGTCCAGCAGCCTGCCCGATGCGCATTTCCACTACCTCGTAAGTCTCTTCGGGTTCCCGCCCTTTTGCGCAAATACTAATAGCCATTTCAGACAACTACCCCCGAGCAAGTCACAAGAAACTACATGGAGTTCATCTACGACAACTATCCGGGCGGCTCCTTCGACACCCGTCCTCTCAACTTCAGCGACGTCTCTGCCACTCTATCAATCCGCAAATTCTTATTGGAAAAGATCTTCGAAACCTTCCCCGAGCGCAAGTTTATTCTTGTGGCTGACACCAGCAACAGCGACGTCATGCGCGATTACCCCAAACTAGCCACTGACTTCCCCGGGCAAGTCCAATGCATCTTCCTCCGCAACACCTCTGCAACTGATTCGGGCGACAAGTTCCCATATGACACGTCCGGTTTCAAGAAGTTGAAGCAATCCATGTACATGTTCTTCGTGAACTCGGATGACCTGACCCACCTGGATATTGCAAATGGACAGTGTTACAACAAGTCGATTCCCCAAAACCTGACGTTCGGCTACCAGGGACTGCCACTTGGATTGGGAGATAAACCCACTGCGGTGAACGGGTCGGCAAATCACACCGGCGCCGCTACTGGACTATTGACCAAGGAATCGGCTGGTGTGCAGGGCTTGATGGCATTGGCTGCAGCAATGTTTACGGCCACCCTCATGTTTTTATAGGATAATGTAGATACGAGTAATGCTATGAACTGAATGGAGCAATTAATACAATTTTTGGGCTTCTCCCATTCTGAAAGGATTTCCTAAGTGCTACAATTGGAAAACATGGTTTTCTATCCACTTGTCCATACTGAATATGGCTATGTAGGAATGTATCTCATCTCGATATCATTCTAAACGACCAGTTCGCAAACACCACTACAACCGCCAATTGGGGAATATACGAAATACAACAGGTGATGTCAAGTGCCTATATTAGGAAACTTACTTTCAAAGAACCACAATCAGCTATATATTCCGCACAAAGACACTAAAACCAACAAAGAAACAAAAAACAGTCTATGGGCAAACCCAACAATAAGGAAAGAGGGATAGATCGATACCTAATGTCTATGAACCGGGCAATCATGGATGTCATCTCCTGGTCCATAATTTTCAATCATTCTATGCTTATAACAGTGCATGAAATGGTGATAGTTCCCCTCTTCGAGCAGTCCCTTACGCTCAAGTCTGAGGATCAAGTAACAAGCCCAGAGTTGACAGCTCTGTAGTGGGATCTTCCTAGCCTCTCTGTCAACAATCCAACTATCGGCTTGATGAATCGTACCGAGATAGTGTGTGCTCTCGACTGAGTCGCTATCAAATCTCTTATCATCTTCTATCCACAACGTACGATCCCCCATGCAGCCAGTGCTGTGCAGTCGGATACCACGCTCATGACCTGGATACTTCATAAATACCAACCAGTGGACTGAATTTTGATCCTCCTTGCAAATTTGAAGGTAGAGTTCACGGTGTTTGTAATCGATTGGTTCTTGATGAGATGCGCTGTCTCTGTGGTTGTGTCTGTGGCCATGATCCTGTCCATGACCGTAGGGATACCGAGCTGGTCCACGATTAGGCATGGTCTCGAAATGAAAGGTTGCTACTGTGGATATGTGTAATATGATGTGAATATAAGTCAAGGTAACAGAAAGAGAATATTGAGGATGTTTTGAGTGTGAGAACTGTTTGCTGTGATGAATGAGTCCATTTCGAGCGAGGACTTGGTCCTTCTTATAGACGTTCCTCGAGTCCATCAACTAATGGTTTATATAATGGTCAAGGAAGCCTTTGTGTAAGGTAGATTGTGAAGCCTCTTTATTACCCGAATTTATTTACAAAGACCTTCATCTCTTTCACTAGCCTAAAATAGCTAGCGTCACGTTTCTCTGAATTAGATGACATTGTGTCTTTGTTAAAAACGATTGAAGGGATCTTTTTGTGTGACGTAGAACAAGCCAAGATAGTCTGTACAATAGAAATAATTGCTGAATATGAATACAAGACACGTTTAAGCAGTATTTCTCAAAAGAAGATGAGTTGATGTTCAAGAGGCAACTTGTTATGGCCATTTATCTGGGTGTCGACTTGCAGGACTGACCCACTCTGTGGGCCCAAGATTTAATCTCAACATCCGCCATTTGCTTCCTACACCCATCTTCCATCTTTCCCCTTTCAAGTCTTTCAATGTCTCAAATGAATGTGCCTTTGCACTCCAGCTGTGGCCTTTGGGGTAAACAAGATGGGGTCCGCCTCTGCTCTAGCTGCAGAGTGATGCCATACTGCAGTGTTGAGCATCAAACTACCCACCGCTCAGATCACAAATTTGATTGCAATAGAATCTAGAAGTGTCGTGTTAACATGGAAGCCAAAGAACAGGGTTTGTACAATCATCCAGATGACGACTTTCGGTACGGTATGGGTCGATTCTTCAAAATTCTCCCAACACGCCCTTACATGCACGCTCGTCTTGGTTACAGGGCTGCCCTGACATTCGTCAGAAATGTCGAGTCAGTTCAAGTGCAGCTTGAAAATCTCATGGAGAACCTGCGACTCTGCCGCAGCGACAACGTTAGATCTAAAGACATGGTTCCTGGTGTAATGATCCGTTTGAAGAAGGATCAGGAATGCTACAATTTCTTGAAATGGTGGGCTACATCTGCCAAGGACCCCCAGTACAATTGGGGTGATCAGACCCTGCCATACCTAGATATCAGAAATGCCAATCCACTCGAGCCGATCGGCGCTTTCATTGGTGAGTTCATCCGAGCCGTTCTTTGTGTTCCTCTACGCCACAAGCCACATCTTTCATACACCGTTGCACTGGCTCGTATCAAAGTCAAGCTGTATTTCATCTTGCTCGCCACCTATTGAGCTAATGGAGCTTATGAAAATGCAACGGAAAAGAATCGCAAACTCATGGATGGGATGATGGAACTCAAGGACTCGACAATCACTAGGAATCCACACGTCGCCAATCTGACATGTCTCCAAGCCGAGCCTGAGATTGCGAAGATGAAGGCTCAGATTCGCCAATTGTACCACATTGTCAACCAAGCCAACTCTCACTTTTGGCCGCAGCTTCTTGACCCTGACGAGAACTTGAACGCTGCACCTGTGATGTACGCTCCTGGAAGTAAGGAGGAGATGCAAGCGGCTATCATTCAGACTTGGCAAGCGTGGAATGAGACCTTTGTCGCGCTTCATGTCATTCATGCTATAGTTAACGGCGAGGAATTCTAGTTCTAATTTACATAGCGGACCTAGGAATTGCCATTATGATCGTGATAGGCAAAATTGCGCCCTGGAAGCCATTTTTCCGAAAAGAAACATGGCGAACGAGTACACACTGGCAATCCCATGTCAAAGTGGGAGCGAGGCGCTTCGTGACTCCTTCCAAAGAAATTCAATTATTGGGTCAAAAAGAGAGGTCATTGATCTCAATGACATCACTATATAAACGTAAACAAACAATATAAGCAGCACGTCCAACTAGACAAAGGATACATGTCACAGGGAGACAGAATAACTTTGATCGGAGTTGAGAGTTGATTGAGACTTTTCGCCATGTTTCTCGACATCATGATGTTATCGAGCACGATGGAAGTTCTTTTCGGTCAGGCTGGTAATTGACAGGTGTGCTTTTGTAAGGGCGAGCGTGACCGCACTGTGGAGACCTGGAAGATCCTTTGGGATTACTTCTTATCACCGTCAAATCTGGTAAAAAGGTATTTCATGGGAAAAAAAAAGGCGCTAAACCAGGCAACGACCAAAGATCTACGAAAGGAACAGGGCGAGAACTAATTATGGAATTTAACAATTTCCAAAACCACGGAACTGATCGATCCAACCTTGGAAGAATTATCATGTCTAGCCCAAATTAGGTTAGAGCCTGTAAGCAACTTGCATTAGCGTAACTTTATATTTGAGCCAATCACATCCAGACTTGGCGTAAGCATGCTGCGGCTTTAAAAGAGTATGTCGCCGCCATGATCGCTCGGCACATCCCTTCCCCATGTCATCAGATATGACAAACAATCAGCGAATCCAGCTGATCCAAATGTCACAACAGGCGGCTATCCGCAAAGCCGAGGATGATTGGACCGGTACTATAGACCGGAAAGAACGGCGAAAGTTACAGAATCGCCTCAACCAAAGAACATATCGTACGCTACGCTACCTCTTTGCTCCATTCATATGATATCTAACCACTGAAAATGGCCAGGGATTCGGAAGCAGACCAAAAATACAGAGAACAAAGCACAGCCCCACAGCGACAAGGCCATTGTTGCACCACCGAACTCCACTCCTTTGCGGATCAGCCGAGATGAAAAGGGATTCACATGCACTATCGCCCCCCTCAAGCGCACTCGATGATGTGTCAGTTCGAGTCTCTAGCATTACAGAGCTACTTTCACAACTCCCCCGACATTGACCACCTCCTCTCCCTCTCCAGGCTAAATATCCAGCATGCAATCATCGAGAATACTCGCTCGATTGGCATGACAATGGAATGGATGCAACGCGATGATGCTATCTCTATTTTTAATCATCCGACAAATGGTTTCCCGATGTCTTCAATCCCCTCGAGTCTTCGACCAACAGAATCCCAACGGCGCATCCCTCATCACCCGTGGTTGGATTTCTTTCCCTTCCACAACATGCGCGACAATCTTATAGCCGTTCAAGATATTATTGATGATGATGAATTGTGTCATGATCTGATGGCCTTCTGGGATACAAGAAATACCGGAGCTACCTTGTTAGTCTGGGGTTCTTCTTGGCAGCCAGAAAACTGGGAAATCACGCCGGCTTTCCTACTAAAATGGGGATTTCTGCTTAAAGGTTGCGAAGAGTTTGTTATGAATACCAATCGTTGGAGAGCTAAGAGGGGTGAGAAGCCTTTTGACTGGAAAACAACGTTAGCTTTAATATACAGATCGCCTTATGAATAGGCCACTGTACTATATCTCAAGCAACTTGACTTTATAATTATTTTGCGTTTCATCTGCTCGGTGATCCCAAAAAACCGCTTTTCTTTTGATAATCTCCCAGATGGTTATGCTATTAATGAAGTCATACCAGACATTTGACCTAGACAGTGTTGGATCGCCACTTTAGCTCAACTTGTTATTTGTTCATCCAAACAAGCCTAAAGAGACAGGTGCCGATCTCATTTGGTCTTCCTGTATCTCCTGTATCAGTGCATTCTGCGGGTAATCATCCAAGTCAAGATCAAGGTATCCGCTAGAAGCCCACTTTCTTCCTGAAACAAATAACGAGTGCCCATTGATTTTAGGGTCGCTGAGGATCCTTAGCAGGCATTGGCCCGCATCTTCTGCCTTCGCTAACTCAACTCCCACATTGCATACATGTTTGAAAACATCATCTGATAAGATGTTTGTTTTGACGTACCTTTTCCTTATCAGAAAGAGAGCTATGCGACAGAGGAAGATATTCGCGCTTACCATGGAGAGATAATGTTGACACGACTACCGTAGAAGTGAGCAGTCCTTCTCAACGAGTGCATAATTCCGCGCATGGCCCATTTGCTTGCACTATATTGAGGACTCCGTGGACAGTCCAGAAAAGCCGCACCCGATCCGATTAAAACCAGAGATGAATCCTCTTGTTTTTGCGATGCATGTGTACCACTCTGCCGAATAAAATAATGTGCGGCCAATTTAGCGGTATAGAGAGTACCTCTGATGTTGACATCAATGACGCTGAGATCGGGCTCTTCTGGCTCCTGGTCATCACCAGAGTACGAAAAAACTTCGTCTCGACGATGAATACCCGCGTTGGCTATGACATGTGAAATTAACCCAGTTGAAGAGAAGAGGACAGCCTGACGGAAGAGTTCCACTTGGTCAGTCCACTTGGTGATGTCGCAGCGAATGAATTTGATGCTTTTGAAACGATATATGAGTATGAAGCCGAGATTTAGAAATGAACCGTATACATACTCAGGAAGTTCTTGTTCTAACTCGCTTCCTTTTTGAACGTCAGGGTCGCCGATACAGACTTTGACTCTAATCGTATTGTTAGCTATTGTTTCGTATCTTGACATCGTGTCATACCCGGCGGCAACCAGAGCTCGGACGTAGGCCTCTCCCAAACCGTTGGCACCTATCATATAATCAGTCGGTGCTTCAAGTTGAATATCATGTGCCGAGAAGCGACCCACCACCAGTGACAATTGCTGTTTTTCCTTTGAGGTTCTCCACATTGATTGGCTGGTTACAATCAACAGGCCCCTTGTGCGTATATTCTTCCATTGTCTCTTTCAATGGTTTTTATGTAGGGCGATAGATACCAGAGTGTAGAAATTGAGATTCGAGACGAAAAAGAGACCTTATAAGCATGACTACCTGTCTCTCTGGCCATCGGATTTGGGCACAAAAGTCCGGTGCCAATGTAAGTTGCTTACATTCAAGATTCCACACTCGGGTTGGAATGATCGTCATCGAGTGGGGGACAATGATTCGCTACTGTTAGAAATATAAGCAACTTGCATTAGTGAAATACTTAAAAATATCTCCACTATTCTCCACGTCTGTTTTCATGGCCAAAACTTGCAACCCTTCCAAGGTTAGAATGAGTCTTGGCGGGCCCGCTCTCAGCACCGGAGATAAGTCATGTTCGTTGAAACTGTAGAGTATCGTGGCAAGTTGGATTGTTCCTATTCCTATCTGACTGGATTCTCAAATGAACTCAGCTCAGGCATGACCAATGATCTGTCTTGGCATGACGACGCCAGCCTGGGTTTTGTTTCCAAGGTCACATATGGAGCAATCCCATTACCCCATGAACTATAAAAGCATAGGCAGATCCTGCCGAGGAGATATCCCATATCCAACTCATTTTATTTTGGCAAAGACCCGAGAGCCAAACAGCAGCAACATGAAATTCGTTGGACGCATAGTCGCTGCATTCGGAATCGCAGTGTTCCATACCATTTCAGCTATGGCGCAAAACATGTCATACGGGGCGGACAATTTCTACCGCAGCAACAATGTGACTGTTTGGAAGATCACCTTCCAAAGCCAATACCAAACAACTATCGCGGGCAATCTTTTCACCCTCAACAACCCCAACCGCAGCGCCTCCGCTCCGGCTGTTGTCGTCGGCCATCCAATGGGTGCCGTGAAGGAGCAAAGCGCAAACCTCTACGCAATAAAACTCGCCGAGCAGGGCTTTGTCACGGTGTCACTTGACCTGCCATTCTGGGGCAGCAGCCGGGGTAGACCGCGCAATGCTGTGTCGGCAGAACTGTACGCAGAGGCATTCAGCGCAGCAGTAGACTACCTTGGGGTGCAAAACCTCACGAACGTGGATCGTGAGCGGATCGGTGGTCTCGGTATCTGCGGTAGCGGCTCCTTTCTGATCAGCGCAGCGAAGATCGACCCGCGCATCAAGGCCATCGCAACATCAACAATGTATAACATGGGAGCTGTGAGCCGACACGGACTACGGAAGTCGCAAGATCTTGCTGAACGCAAGCAGGTCATCAGCGTGGCAGCGCAGCAACGCTGGATTGAGGTGGATGGTGGCAGAACTGAGTACACGGGCGGCACTCCGAATAGACTCACAGCGGATTCGACCGCAGTGGACAGCGAGTTTTATGACTATTACCGTACGGTGCGTGGTGAATTCACTCCCAAGGGCACGACTGCCAATCTCACGACGCACCCGACTCTCTCGACCAACACGAAATCCATGAACTTTTACCCGTTCAACGATATAAACACCATTTCGCCGCGTCCGATGCTGTTTATCTCTGGTGATCAGGCACACTCACGCGAGTTCAGTGAAGATGCTTATGCCAGGGCGGGTGAGCCAAAGGAGCTGTTTTGGGTTGCTGGCGCTGGTCATGTTGACCTCTATGATCGTGTAGATCTGATTCCATTCGCTAAACTCACTCACTTCTTCCAACTAAATCTCTAGAATAAATGTGTGGAAGTGGGAGAAGAAAGACTTGAAAGATTCTCTGGTTCGCAATGCTTGTATGTAGGAATATGCGAGTCCGTAATGTCTCCCAGTCATGGAAGGTGGATATTATATCCCAGCATTCATTTCTAGTCTGCGTATTCGTTGCGGTTGCGCCAATAGGGTGTTGCCTGTGTCACCCTATCAACCACCCTTTTAATTGCTTTTCTGCAACATGATCTTTTTGGACTGAAATTTCTGGTGATCATAGACCAGAAGTTGAAATATTACCTGAGGAAACAGCGGGTAACATTCTTGTCTACAAACTTGAGGGAAAATCCACCCACTCAGCACGCTAGTTCAGCTGCTCCCGCAGTTCTTGATACCACTATTTAACCAATCTACTGCTTGGAAGAGAGGCTACCAGTAAGCCCTGTTTTATGGTTTCTGTCTCATCGTGGCAAGTCTCAATGCTCCCCTCAGACCTGAGCATCACTCTAGGGGAAGTGCGATATAGGCGAAGAAATAGAGCCTAGAGTAGAAAAGAAGCGATTAGGATGATAGTTCTGACCGAGGAGATGATACGGGCCGACTCAAAGCCTATGCGCATCCCAAGCTAAAGACATGAACATAAGCTCTGGCACCCTTTTGCTCCATAGGATTGGAACTGTAGGAATACAAAGAATGGTGTAAATTGTATATGAAAATCATTGGACGATCGCATTGCGATCAACAGATATGTTCAATCGAGATTGGGTAGCCTTGGGGGCTGCATGACTAGACAGTAACATAAGTAATTGCACCCCACCTTCGTCACCAACGCCGCCTCCCTAGAGCGCATATCTATAAATAGAATTACCTTGAAATAGCACGCGAAGCTGCTTTTCTTACGAGTAAAAGGTCGCTTTCTTCAGTTCCTAGACCTTTGAATCAGTTCCTTTCATAATATGCTATATTAGCAAATATACTAAGAATGACTGGAAGTCTTTTCGCGGGCAGAATATTGTATAGGATAGGATGTGTGGGGCCGAGGTACATCCACTCAATGTACTAAGGGTATGCCCTCCCTGCTGTGCCTAATTGTAATGGAATGTACTAGGCTGAACGGTATGATTTGGGACTCTGCTTTGCATTCACCCCACCTTGTGAAGTCAGAAAGTGTCGCACGTTTCCACGCTCAATAGTGCAATAGTATATAGCAGAGCCTACGACTCCGGAAATTCCGCTTTGATCAACTCCGTCCAATTATCTCTTTCACTATGGCGGTAGCACTTCTATCCGGTCAGGTTATAACACTCTCCTGCGGCCTCGTGAGCCTCTATGTCTTTAGAGTGGTCACGATGTATGTCAAGTTGATGCAGTTCAAAGGTCCTTCGGGAACCGGCTTTTCGAACTGGCCTCATAGCTTGGCGATACTTGGGCAAAATTGCCACGAGTGGTATGCAGAAGTCAATAAGAAATATGGTGCGCGGCATTTTTCACACACCCTATGTTTTTTCTATCTCTATCGGGGTGTCACATCTGCCATTGTTAACACGACTCGAGCTAGGCCCGATCGCCCGTGTCGCGCCTCACGTTCTAATCACGTCCTCTCCCGAAGTTTGGATGCACGTAAACAATAAGCCTGGCTACAAGCGCTCTGATTGGTATTACAGAGCTACACGAATCGAGTACCGGAGGGACAATGTCTTTAGTCAGACGGATAACGCGAAACACGAACAACGGAGGAAGCAGATGGCTCCAGGGGTATGATATCCGTCTCATATTTCTGACAGACCCTCACTCTCTCCTCGCCTATTTCTGCCACATAGGGTTGACCGGATATTGTTATATAGTATTCGGGAAGGGAGAACACCAAGCTCGAAGGGTCTGTGGATGAACGAGTCCAGGAGTTTCTGAAACTCATCCGATCCAAATACATCGCGTCCGACCGTCATGTTGTACCCGTCATGTTGTACCCATGGACCTAGCAAAGAAGGTCCAGTATTTTACACTCGACGTCATTAGCAGTGTCGGCCTCGGTAAGGAATTCGGTATGCTGCAGAATGACCATGACATAGATGACTACCTCCAATCGAGCGAGGAGGGACTTGCCATTGGTAATACCGTCCTTGCCATGGGCTTGACCTGGATCACCCAGATGCCTTTCATCGGCAAGTTTATTGCACCTTCGCCTAAGGATAACAATGGCTTCGGTAAGATGATGGCTACATGCTTCCGCTTTGTCGACGAGCGCGCTGCGGGCTCCACAAACGAAAGATCCGATATGCTAGCTTCATTCATGCGCCACGGCTTAGCAGGTGACGAGCTGCGCACTGAGGCGCTAGAGCAAATCATTGCGGGCTCGGACACGACTGCTAGCGGTATTCGTGGTACCCTTTTGTGCCTCATGACAAATCCCCGCGTCTACTTCAAGCTACAGCGTGAGGTTGACGATGCCGTGCGTGACGGCCGTGCTCCGAGCACAGGCGAAGGTCTTGTTACTGCTGCCCAGACTAAGAAACTCCCCTACCTCCAGGCTGTGATCCGTGAAGGTTTGCGAGTCAAGCCGCCGGTCGCGAACATTTTCCCCCGTGATGTCCCGACAGGTGGCGACACTGTTGTCGTCGACGGCGAGAGTGTATTTCTACCAGGTGACACATGCATCGGGTACTCGGCATACGCTATGCATAAGAGCGAGAAGATATACGGCAAGGACGCAGAAGCTTTCCGACCCGAGCGATGGCTGGACTCGGACCCTAACAAGCTGGCTGCCATGGTTCGAACCAACGACCTCATATTCGGTCATGGCAAATTCCAGTGTTTAGGGAAGCCAGTGGCTCAAATTGAGATCGGGAAGATTGTATTCGAGGTGGGTAGCAACAGCTTCGCCGGTTTCTTCGCGTTCTTTTTGTCCTTAATGACACGCTAACTGATAGCCGACTGGACGTAGCTCTTACGCAACTTTGACCTCGCACTTATCAATCAGACTCGTCCCTGGGATGCGCGGAATTACCTTGGTCTTTTCGCCATCTCGGATATGTGGGTGCAAGTGACGGAGCGGACGCCTTCTTCTACCTGATCAGATAGAGAATAGTTCCCACGTAGTGGATATCGCTTCGGCGAATCATCATGGTGAATTCGATCTTCCATTCAGATTTTATACCCATTACGCAACCATTTTCTCGTCGTCTTGTTTCGGAGACGAAGTTGGGACCACAGGCACATCAGCGCATTCGACCTGGACAAGCCGATGCTCAATCTTCCCATCTGAAGCTCCAACCACAAGCGCACTCAATTGGTGGCCGTATAAACACCCTGAATCTAGTCCAATTGCATGCCTGCTTTGTTGCAGACGACGCTTTGCATCGTGTCCGAAGATCACCGTAGTCTTGGATGCTAGTTTATCTTGCCACTGGTCCCATTCCACAACCCAGCTTTCTTCCCCGGGACTTTCAGCCGATTTGAGTCCACCCTCCTCGCCCGGGGTTCCTACTAGGCTCCGCATATGCATTAAATCATATGGATTCTGGTCCTCAGGTTGGATACCAGGAACGAGACCTGCATGTACGACAATTAAAGTGTCGCCGAGGGTGGATGCCAGGTCTTGAGGTAGCTTAACACGTATGATCAAAGGCAAAGCGGCAAGCCAGTCAATCTGACGCTTTGAAAGCGCTAGTGCTGTAGTATGCGATGTAGAAGATGCGTTTTTATCGGGGTTCTCGCAGTCTCTGGCAGTAGTATCCTCACGTGGGTCGGCTTTGGAGTTCTCAGACAAGGCCGGAGTATCAGTCAAATCTCCAGAATGTAGTTGACTTTCTTTTTTAGCTTTGATATCCGCGGCCGCATTAAGAATTGCATTTTCGTGGTTGCCTCTCACGGCGCTAGCGTCTAGCTTGATGGCCAGATCAACGACGCCAGGGGAATCAGGCCCTTTATTGGCTATGTCGCCAACAAATATGAGATGATCTCCTTTGCTTTTGTCAAAGCTAACTTTTTCTAGAAGGGCATCAAGGGATTTCTTCATTCCGTGTACATCTCCTACAATGACCAAACGTCCGCTGGTAGGGCCATTTTCGAAAGATGATAGAGTGGATTGCGGCACAAGGTTGGTAGGTAGGTCTGAGATGAAAGTTGTGATTGGGAATATAGTGATCGGTTTTTTAGTGGACATCGCTTTTCAGACTTGGGGCGTGTCTTTATTGGAAGCGAAACGGAAGGAGATGAAATTAGTGCCGGGGGGATGCGACACACGCAGACTAGCGCGTATGTGTGTTTCTGCCTGGATGCCTGAGGCCTGCTCCCCGCTAACTAGTTTCGGAGCTGATACTTCAGAGAGAAGTGTGTGAGAGAAGGGGGGAGAAAAGTTAGATTGCGACCAATCCTTCAAGGCGTGGGTGTCAGAATGGCCAAATGTCCTCCCATCCATCGTACCTGCTAGATTATCAAGATTTGGTAACTCTAGCAATCGAAGGATGTCAGCCGAGGACCTCGGGAGTCACAAAAGAATTTGATAATATCCTTGCATGAACTATGCTTCTTTTCTTAACCATCAGAGGGATAGTCATTTTGATCTTCTTTGAAGACCTTCCTTCCAAGCATGAGATGTCGTTTATCGCGTCCTTCTGAGCGATGGTCTCTTGAGTTTGATTGAAACCTCTATATTGCCGTTGTGCTGCACCTCTATACACCTATTAAAATTGAAAGACGTTCTACCATTGATGATCTGAATGCTAATTGAAGTTTGGAATCCAGCCGCAGACTATGAGCTCAACTCACAAGGTCGGCTCTAATATTTCAAGTTTATTATCGGTGCTGGGATAATATGCACAAGACCAGAGATAGAGGGACTTATGTAGAGGCTGCCTCTCAGTTTGATTTAAGATTCTGGAGCACCATCCCCGACCTGGCTTCCGGTGGTATAGTTACCAAAGCATGCCTTCTGGAACTGCGCCTTGTGCTTAAGAGTGGGCACGCCACGCAAAAACTTATCAAGATGACAGAAACCATTGTTAGAATCCTCACAACCGACAAGTCCATCTTGTGGGAGAGGAGAATTATTGAGCACAAAACGAATGTACTTCGTGGTGTTGACGGTAGACTTGATGGTAGGGTTGGTGTAGAGAACAGGGTCCAAATGATCAAATGACACATCACGGGGGCAAGTCCAGATCTCGGACATGAATCGGGCACCAAAGGGTGTCATCTGGCTGAGGGAGAAGTTACGCTCAGGTGCGTGGTTAATGTGAACAGGCAAACCCTTGGGACCGTAATTGAAATAGTCGAGACCAAGAGCGTTAATCACGGACAAGATGATATCGTCGTGAGACATATCCATGTAGAAGGGCTGGTTGAATGGAAACTGGGCTTTGTTATTGGTGTAGGTGTAGTTGATGCTTGTATCGCTTGAGGTGATGAGCTTTTGCTCGAGGCGAGCCGCGAGCTCTAGAACGTAGCCGATACCCTGGGCACGGCCACTGGGTGAGCCATAGGCGTAATCTCCATAGTACTGCACGTCGATGTTGTACTCGAAGTCCTTCCATTCTTGCTCGGTGAAAAGAGAACAAAATGACGAGCCGCCAAGACTAGTGTACTCATATACACAGAGGTTCTGCATGGCGAGCACGTCCATGCTAGTCAGGTTGAAGTCGCGGGGGAGGTAGGAGGACAGACGGCGGCGAGCATATTTCGTGTATCGAGAAATAAACACCTCAGCAGCCTTGTCGCTATAACTTTTGTTAATACAGTTTCATGACCAGGCATTCTTTGTTGGAAGACGTTTTGCTCACCCTTCAGTATAATCAAACGTGCACGTTTCGTAAGAAGCTAGAGTGTTGTTGAAATCAGCCTGCTCGGGAATTACAACAAGCTTATACTGGTCATAAGAGCTGTTGGCTCCACTGTTTCCAAAGAAACCGCCTAGTCGAAGAGGTCAGCTGGTTATCCGGGTCTGATGAAAGAAAGGAGAATTCCACTCACTGAGCCACCAACGTGCGCTTTCCAAAATACGTCCCTGAGAGGTAGTGCGAAACACCGGCGTCGGCCGATCTGTGCCGTTGGCGTAAACATTAAGGGATTGGCTCCAAGCAGCCACATTCTCACGTCCGGCACGGTACAACAGTCTTCCGTACTTGATCCAAAAATTGGCACCGGATGTAGCCTCAGTGGCAGCACCATTCTCCATAAGAGTATCCTCGCCAAGAACATATTCCCAGTTGTTCAGGAACTTCAAAGGACCCACAGCCACGTTCTTGTCTGGGTTAGCCTTGCTGTAATTGGTCAACTTGGCTGCGAAGTCGGTCATTCCCTGGCCATCCAACGGATAATCCGTGGGAAATCGCTGTGCATGACGATGCAAAACGTGCACCTGAGATAGTTCACATCCTTGGGGGACACCACTAGGAATGCCGAAGCTATCGGCGTCCTTGTAGGGGCTGAGATTGGCCCAGCTCTTGGTCATGTCAAAACCAGATGCATAGCTAGATCCGGTTGGGTTCGATGCAGGAGCAGAAGTGCTAGTCACTGTAGCTGTGACAACTGTCACCAGAGTAGCTCCGATGAGATTCTTCATGGTTTGGAGTATCCGGGTTTCTTGTGGCGCAAAGGCGTAGGTTCACTTCAATCTCCCGTTCTCCGTTGGCGTTTGAAGATACCCGATTGTGAGTCCTTACAGTGTAGGTAAGCACCGTAGATGTAATGCGACCTGTTGACTTTGTGATCGATGAATTCTCCAATTCATTTTCGGGAAATTGTTATTCCATATTTATTTGAGAGTTGGTGATCGGCGTTATTTCCTCCTTCCTGGGTGAGGTGAGTGGGCCAGACATCGCGCCGGAGGGTTCTCGTCCGGTCCTCACTCCAATCCCGCGCTGTGGGCGGGAGTATAGCGCAACTCTTCCCAATCCCGGCTATGCAGTCTCAAGGGGGCACCCATCCTATAAACTCACCACCGTCAGGACGGGTTGCCTTTTCAATAATATTATAGTATTGGGATATAATTTTTGTTATCATTATGATGAGCACATACGACCATAGGGTGTGGAAAACAGGGCTTCCCGTCCGCTCAGCCGTACTTAAGCCACACGCCGGTGAGTTAGTAGTTGGGTGGGTGACCACCAGCGAATCCTCACTGTTGTATGTTTTTGTCATTTCCGTTTTCCTATTTTGTTAGGAAATCGCCTCTTGCCGCCCTACTCTCCAGTCTATTCAGCCTATTCACCTGAATGTCCTGAACACTATAGCAAGCATTGGATGGCAAACGTTCCAACTACAACCGAGGTTACAGTGGGCCATTACACTTGTCTAAGAATATAAGAGAATCATTATCTATAATGGTCAGAGATGATATACTAATGAGTATCAACCATTATACATTTTTTTTCGCAAATCGGGCATAATGATACTCTTTCACTTCATAATTGCTTCTGCGCCCAGCGGCGTCATGGCTTATCCGTTCACCGAGAGACAAACCTTTTACATGTTCCAGTGGCAACCAGGCACTTAATGCTGCCAACTTCTAGATCCTGTCAATGTAGTAGGGAAAACAGTTCACATTGGAGTTGGGTGTGCAAGCTGTATGCTATCTAATGCACCTTCGCTTCGAGCTACGCTAATTGGTCTATAATGGGAAGCTCGTGCAAAGGTCAAACTCTTTATTGCAACACCGAGAATGTGAGTTGTGAATATTGTGTTGTGTATGTAAATGGAAGCTAACTTGAGCAGTTTCTGATTCATATTCTGAACGTTTGTACCAGGTCGAGTGGAGGGACTGGTACAGTACGTCCCGAAACTGGCGCAACCACCTACATACGGTGCCTTGTCTGGGAACTGTATTAGCGATCTAAGGATTTAAAAATTTCCATGGATGGCAAACAAGTCTGAACACTGGAGCTAGAAGGCCTCGCGAATTTGGCTACCTGCCACTCTCCTCTACCACTCACATGTCCAAGTGACAATCTCCTTGCAAGTAGTGACTTGCATTACTTTCCTACTGTACCTGCAGGCCAATAATGAACCTGCTTATCATGATAGTCAACCTGGCAGCAGCGACAGCTCTTTCTACTCGACACTCTGTACCACACCCGGTAGTAGCTAACAGACAACGATATTAATAGACTCCCCTCTTCCACCTTAGGGGGATGACTTGCACTTCTTCAACGGTGATAATCCTACCTGCCAACTTGAACTGCGTGATCCAAGGAAGGACTCTCGGATGCTCTCGATTGCAAAGACCGGGAAAATCCACCATCTGCAGTCTTGATGCTAGTAAATTCGTGATTGTGTTCGGCGCAAACTTGCCCGCCGTTCAATCATGTAAGCGAATCTGACGGCCCCTACGCTTAGCTGGAGGTCTTTTCTGGTGATCTTCTCGAGGGTATGCCGGGAAGATGGAATCTGCCCGTGATAATGCTAATGCAAAGCGCCTGTGTGTTGATTGGCTCTCGGTTGCTCCTCCATTGGCTGTGACCTCCGAGCTTCGAGATTTGTAACATTTCCAGGAGAATATGTGGAAGCACCATATTGTTAGATACAAACTATAGGTACATATATGCGTAGATATATTGGATCGATCTTATCGTCAACTTAGAAAGTATGCTAAGATTGGAAAGACAAAGTTCGCGGCTGAAATCTTCCTTGAACATGATACTGTATTTAATCGAAGCAAGAACCTAGGCATCAAAATATAGTGCGGAATCAGCCGCTCTGCATCTTCCGGGGTTCCCGATTCAGAATTATACAGCCGAATACTCTCATAGACTCACTACCACGTCTCTATCATTTGATTCAACGGCTTTCTTCGCTGCAAGAGTACGTAAGTTCAGGATGCGGTCTACATTCACGGGAGTCAAAATGTAAATTCCTCGCAGTGATGTGTTACATATCGCTTCGCGGGAGGTTGGCGTTAATGTAATCATCCATCCTTCCATCCTTCCATCCTTCCATCCTTCCATCCTTCCACCCTTCATCCATCTTCCATTCATTCATTCGCTGAACTCACTATGCCGACCTGCCTAGCTTTTCCTCTAAGCGCCGCAGTAACTCAGGTGCGGCAGTGAGCGGCTTCCCATCGGCTTCCGCATATTCGATACAAGCTCTGACGTGGTCCTGATCCTGCTTGCTAACCTTTCCCCCATGGTGATAACGATTGAAATCTGCTTGGTCGAGCGGAAGTGCCGTTTGCTCCATAGCTGAGAAATCCTTGACAAGGGAGTCCTCGTTTGTTGCATCCACTGCCTGTCGGCCGGCTTCGCCGTAGAGACTCAAGCCACGAAGTTCCTTCACTGCAGCAATACCAAGACGCCAAAGGTCACTGTTTCTGTCGAGGTCTTTCATCGAGGGCCAGCCGAGCAACTCCAGTGGTATGAGGAGTGCAAAAATAGGTAGCAAATGAGCAGCCATCTGGGCCGCAGGCGCAGTGACACAGCGCCCAACTCCACAAGTATTGTACAGGCTCACAAAATCAGCAAATGCGGGCACGTCCTCAATTTGTAGAGTAATGTCGGGATTGAGCCTTGCGTAAGCATAATCGGCTTTGTCGAACTGTTCCATGTCGACATAGCCATGAGTTTTGAGTTTGGTCTTGGTTTCATGGATGGCGATTGGAACTATGATGCATGCAAGCCGGTCTTCTGGAAGTCCAGACGTCGCCGCGAACCAATTCTTGAAGTTGTGGAAGGTGCCTGCCAAAATGATTTTTGCATGCTCTCCTTTGAAGACCTCTCCGATCGTTTTGACTAGGGCTGCGCCCAGGGGAGCCATCAAAGTCGCGGCATCTGGCGTGATGAGAACATAGTCATAGTCCGAGTGGCCAATTTGCGCTGGTTCGGTGACAAAGCTATAGCCCTTGAATTCAATCGAGGTTTTGTCGTGATAGCTGTATAGAATCTGAGGACGACTGAGACGTTGTGCATGATGAGGACGCACAAGGTATGTCAAATCAGCTCCCGCAAGACTGAGATGGTATCCCAGCATGATGCCAATAGCACCCGCGCCGACAATAAGAATGGTAGGCTGATTTTTGAGGGCCATCGTGACGAGTGGATGTTCTTTGGATGATGTTCAAGAAGCCTTTTGAGGTTGGTGTCGATCTTGATAATGGAATTGTTCAAGGGAGCGGCATCTCACTTTATAAGGCCCCAGAAAAAAATCGGACTCAACCAGATCCCGAAATCAAGGCATGACGACAGCCTTCCAAAAAGTTCTTGGATTTGTAAGGGAAACACGATCCGATAGGGACACATGATTTGTAGGGAGACATGATTTGTAACGAGATTCGGGGGTTTGCGTTAACTCAGCTACGATGGCAGTACCTTTCTAGGGTACTTGCAATTCATTCCTGCACTCCATTTGTTGCCCAGTAGAGATTACCCTGTGGCTTTTCGGCAAGACCCACCTGCGACTCGCACTTTCGACGTCGCGGGGCCCCACATCAACGGGTCCAGTGCCGATCAGATGGAGTTTCCAGAATCGGCATCTGGCCCGGCAAACATTTGGAAAAGGCTTCGGCCGCTCTCACTATATCTTGTTCCCCTTCCTTCAAGTTGTTCCTGCCCGAGCACATTATTCGTACCTTACACGTCTTTCCCTGCAATGACACCTCGTTCGTTACTTATCACCGGAGTGTCCGGATATATGTAAGTTCAAGCTCCTTCACAACCAAGGAAGTGCTTAATACTCAGCCTTATAGTGGCGGCACTGTCCTGTCGTCAATCCTTGAACAACAAGATCAATGGACTAAGCTGCTGAAAATATCAGCACTTGTGAGAAGCAAGTCCCAAGCGAGTACTGTCCAGAATCTCGGTGTTCTCCCTGTGATGTTCTCAAGCTTCGATGAAACAGAGGCACTGGAGGAGATTGCTAAGGACTTCGACGGTACGTCTTGCACTATCGTGAGATATGGATCGCCGATCAGTTGGAACTTACGCTCAGACCATCTACAGTTATCATCCACGCCGGTGCCGGCTGGCATACCTCCTCAGCAAAAGCCTTGATTACCGGGCAAGGTGCTCGTAAGGCAGCACTTAGCCGCCCTGTTCACTACATCCAAATCTCTGGAACCTCTAATTTGAGCGATCGTCCGCACACGGATGGATATACGGATACCCACCAGTTCAACGACGAAGAAGATATCTTCTCCTATGAGAAGTATCGTGAATCCCGCGAGGCTTATTACCAACGGACCACTGATATTACCGTTGTCGAGGCCGGCGAGGCCCTTGGGGTTACTACCTATGTTGTGATGGCACCTACTGTCTATGGTCTGGGCACCGGATCGTTTAACCGCTCTTCTATTCAGCTCCCTGCCATGATCGCCGATGCCATCAAAAGCGGTATGGTCAGCGTTGTATCAGAAGGAAAGACGATCTGGAGTCATGTCCATGTGCAAGACTTAGCTAGTCTACATCTGACTCTCCTCCAATACATTTGCACGGATTCTCAGATCCCATCCGGTCGGAAGGGAATATACTTCTGCGAGACCGGCGAGCATTCACACCGCGAATTCTCAGAGTTACTAGCCAAGGCCGCCTATGAGCTTGACGTGTTGCCTACTGCAGAGGTGAAGAAGATTACTCTGCAGGAGGCCGGTGACAAGCTAGCTCTAGGCAGTATCTTGAGAGCTGAGCTTTCCTTTGGGGCTAAGTTCGTTCCACTTTTCTTGTTTTTGGGAATCTAACGCTGACTATGAATTTACCAAAATTCTAGTGCTCGTTGCAAGGCTGTGCTCGGTCGCAAGCTAGGTTGGACCCCGTTACATACTGCGGACTGGGAGACTTCATTCCACACCGAAGTGAGCGCATTCATCAAGAATCCCCCACGCGAAAGGGAGCTTCCAAAGCTCCTCAAGTAAAATGGAGCTTGGCTCAGTTGCTACCTATCCATCGTGTTTTAGTCAACTGAATAAAATCTTCAATCCTTACAGTAGAGCCCTTTTGCACGTATATTGGTTTAGGCAATAATGGTAATTACTTTCTAAAGCAGAATTCATTACGCTAGGCACAGAGTCGTTTTTAAGCCAAGTTGGGAATCTCAACTCTAGAAAGCAACTTCCACCCTAATCCAAAAAGAGATGTGTTCAGGTATATTCCATTTTTAAAAACAGATTTAGGGCCTCAGTCAGGTTTCTCGCGGCTTAATTACCGCTCCCATTACTAGGCTTCCCTTGTGGCGCGTTCCTGCTAAACCGCTATGACGCCTCGGCAAAGTCCAGCACTACCTGGGACCTCTGAAGCGTGAGGCAATTCTTGCTTTACCACTCTCACTTCGGTTCAGCGCCCTAGCAGACCCCACACGCCGTAAAAGACGTTTATAGCTTCTCTCCTCAAAGCCCTACAGAAGCTGCTTAGCTCTGTGTGGTCTACCGCGACATATTTGGCTATTCTACATATCGCGCACGTAATATCGTCGTGACGGAAACAGCACGTCTAGGCATGTACTAACTACAAATGGCAGCTCCCGTGCGTAGTTATATCAGTAGGTCTGTTGGCTCTGCAGGAACCCCTCGTAGATTTCTGTTTGTTAAGCCGTTCGGCAGATAGCTGGCGCTCCTCCGCAGATCAGCTCTTTGAGTAGCGAATCATATTCGAAAACAGGTTGTCCATTCCCCAGCGCTAAGAAAATCAAGCCCCACGGATCCTGATCGTCTAATAGCAGCAATATTAGCGATGATAGCGGACTTGCTCTCGGGAGCGTTCAATAGTCATCGGTCAGCTCATAGTTCTCTGCGCATTCTGGATCAAGTCGCCAGCTAGCCAAGTCGTGGTAACTTTTCTCAAACTCAGTTGAGAATGATAAGGAACCGGTCAAGACTTGCTTGTGAAACACATCGCGAAGTTCAAATGGCCACTGGAACCGTATACGGGCGCTAAATGAAGCCGCACAGAGTTCGTTGGCGTATTCAGTACCTTCAACAATCCACTGGTCACGAAATTCAGGCCTGCAAGGACGTGTAGGAATGGAATTGATTAGAAAAAAGGTAAGGGTTAAATTAGTATTACTAGTGCTTACCAGGGGAAAAAGTCGAGGAAAGGTTGATGGATAATACTTGTCTGTGTTGGGCTTCAGGACAACAAAGAAAATGTTAGTAAAAAGGCTGGCTGGCGTCTGTTTTATTATCTAAACCAAAGGTTAATGTCGGGCTTACCTAGCAGACATATACTGCGGAATAGATGACGTATTGTAGATGATACCTAACCTTTGCTTGAGGCAAGTCAGTAAAGAGGAGGAATTGCGTAAAAGGCCAGAAACGGACCAGCATGAGGGATCTCATGATCCGGAGCAAGGCAATTCGTGTCACAGGGTCTGCACGATAGTAAAGGCCCTTGTCTATCGCTTGGATAAGATCCCATATGACATCGGCCCCGAACCGATCAGTGGTGTTTTTCCAGCCGTCTACGACTGCCCGGATGCAGAAATTATCGTCATCAAGTGTGGATAACAACATCATGCTCCCCGCTAATGTAAAGGAATATTCCTGGATCATGATCATAGCGTTTCCTAGTACCGCTAGATAGTTTCTCTCCCGATCGGAGCAGGTCAAATCAAAGTCAAAAAAGTTGCATGTAGTTGTTGAGCTGAGATTTTCAACGAGTCCACTAGCCAGCGGTTCAGTCTCACTCGCCGCTTGACTGGGATAAGGAGGATGAACCGATAGGTGATCTGAAACGGAAGACGGGAGAAAGCCGGTGGCTGCGCTCTGAGCGAGGATGTCTATCTTGCGTAATGTATCCTCTAGATGGTGAATTTTCCTTTGCTGCTGGGCTAGGTTTTGGCCCAGGTTGTCCGGCGGGTTGGGTCCTGTCAGGTCCTGGATGGTTTGCTCCAATTGCGTTATGTAGGCCTTGGTGCGGGCGCGATTGACGCGTTGAGCTTCGCGATCGGCTGCCCGCTTCTTTTCCTTGGCCGCTGAGTTCATTCTTTGGTGATTACATTTCGTAGAATTGATCATAGATAGTCAAGAGATCCAGAAGCCTGGTGACAGGGCTAGTTGTAATCGGGAGGTGGAAAGTGTTGGTGGAGGAGGTTTTTGCGGTCGATGACTAACCAAGTCCCATGCGATGAAGGTAATTCACATCCATGGATACGAGCTAAGCGCCCCAATATTCAAGAAACATATGTAAACCTTTACAAAACAATCTCTCATCTCTCAGTTGATGAAGCACCACTTATATCCAGGTACTGCTGGAAGTCTGATACACCGGAATAGACAGACATCCAAAACAATTAAAGAGACAAAAACATACAACAGTGAGGATTCGCCGGTGGTCACCCACCCAACTACTAACTCACCGGTGTGTGACTAAACTACAGCAAGTAGTGCGGGGGGTGCCGCCCGGGTGAGAATAGGGTGAGCTGGGGTGAGAATCATACTCTGCTGAGCGACCACTGCACTAACCCCTTTCAACTGAGTTCGCTTTAGAGTATCATTGGGCCAGGGTTCATCTTTGAAACGATCGGTGTCTTAGCATCTGCACATAGCCTCCATCCTTGTGAATACAGTAAAGCGATTGCAGATATAATATACACAGCGATTTGCACTTCACGCGAATAAATAAGATTATCAACTTTTAGTCCATTATATCTTGAATTCATGTATTCAAGATATAATCGATTGGAGTTTCATCCTGACCTTCAAAGATATGGTCACTTACCGGTCAAGAATTGATCCAGGCTGTAAAACCAACAGTAATCTTATAGGTATCGATAACTCGGACCCTCTTGGCTCGCTGTCGAATTACTTCCTCCTCGAATGCGAAGGTCTTGAGTGCAGCGTTCATGGCCCGCCTGGGTGGGCTCAAGGCACTGTTGAGTCTCTTATCAAGCTCGAAAGAGAGGTACAGAGCTAGGTTGATATGGATGAATGCCGGGATCAAGCAGATACCGGGCTTATAGAGAAGATAGATCTCACACATTTGATTCTTTCTGCCTCTGTCTCCACGGACACTGGAATGTTTGAGTCTATTCCAAAAGACGTACATTGTCTTGGTGCAAGATTCCTTGTCCTTAAGTTCGACAAATCTAAGGATCAGGCCAATTTCGCTCCTTCGACCCCCAATGCCTATGAAACCATCTCAAACGAGCCGAAAGATGAAAACCAAGCTTATGTTGGCTTTTCTACCCCCACGGCTGACGAGATTGATGATATTACAACCAAGCCGGAAGATGAGGGCAATACTGGGACTACTACCTCTGAGTTCGACAATGATATTATCTCAACGAAACAAAAAAATGAATGCCAGGCCAACGCTGGCTCTTCTACTCACAAGGTTGACGACAATGCTGTTAGTTCAACCAGGCCGAAATATAGAGGCGGGCCGGATACAAATCTCGTTCTACGTCAAGCAGGTCTTGTTCCAAAAGAGACTAAGGAAGCTTCTCTCGTGGAAAGTGGGTTTTTATTACTTCCACCTATCAAACGATCGGAGCGTGTCGCTAAGAGATTAAAATTCTAACCATCTAGAGTCAGACCATTGTATTTATTGCTTATTAAGTAAATGAATTTATCTTTATGGGGCCTTCCATAAAATTCGCGAATTTAGGACAACCCCGTAGATTGGCTAGAGGATAAAATCTAAAAAAGAAAATCCGAAAAGGATAGTTATTGTATAGAAGTGCAGAGCCACCGTCCTTGGCTCCCTATAGGCAAGCCATAGGTGTACTAATGAAGCTCAACAATATCATGTTTCGTCAAGATCTTAGGTATATCCAAAAATGTGAAAGGGCGGGCAAAAAGAGGAGGTCAAGCAGACGAACAGAAATCTTGGTCAAGATAGCCTAGGGTACGTGACTCAACTAGGAAGTGCGCCAGTCTATTGCTTCTCCGAATCAAAGGAGAATTAATCTGGGCAATTCGTCTCCAGCACGATTGATTCATTTTTCCAATCAACGCCATTTTCGGCCTGCGCTTTAGCGGACCAACTGTGGCTCCTTATGATCTTCCATCACGTCCCACTCACCAATAAGAGATGTTTGATACGCGCTGTGCGAGAAATAAGCTAACAGCCGTGCGACTGGCGCACTGATCCCACCAGATAGAGACCTACCTGAAATCATTAGGCTATCCCTCTTTAATTCCATAGGTGGCGCGACAGTTTCGGGGCACATTACACTATTTATAGTTTGGCCGTGGAAAATAATGTCTTACGCGAGGGAACCCAGATATTCGAAATTAAGAGCTCAGCTCCTCCGATACCGGTAGATGGAAATTCACATGATAGATATTCCCCATCTCAACGTGTCCAAAGTTCATCCCAAACACATTTGTGCACAACGTCTTTTATCGTATAGCTGTGCTCCTTCCTCCGCTTTTATACTTCATTATATATCGACAGGAAATCATTCGTTCTTTTCCAATTCAAGCACAGGGTCCTTCAATACTGGCAAATGAATAGATTGCTCCATTATTGTGAAGCATCTAAAGACAAAAGGAGGGATATACGAAAAGTGACAAAGTTCTGCTTGACTTATCGTAATCGAGGTGCAATGCCAATGAGTCCGTCCGTTGTATTTTAACATAGAGCAACACGTGGAGAAGATATGCATTGGTTTCGATAGGGCATAACAGAATCCAACTGGATGCAGTTTTCGTTGTCTCGCTTGCAAGTTGTGTTGTACTCAAACATCGAGCAGGTAGAAGATGACCAAGAACAGAAATAGAACAGAGAGAGGTCGATCAGACAGATCGGCCGCTATCTTGTATGTATCAAATACAAGACCGGATTGCGGCTGGCTGGAGTCTATATGAATGGCTAGCTCTTCCAGTGAGAAAAACTCAAAAGCAGCCTGATGCAGCATAGATTTCCATCCAGGGATTGCGGGGACAAGAGGCCTTTGAGCTCCTTTAGACTCTTTTGTGCGCTACAATATCTCGGCCTTCTGGAGGTGTATCAAAGTCTCGCCGATAGAGAGTCCATCATTTTTCTGCATTTATTCGCCAATCAATTCATATCGTCGTAGAACAATGTGCTCAGCCCGAAGTTTTTCACCGCAAGCACGTAATTCACTAAGACAAAAAGGTAGGTTATCCGACTGTAAGGAAAGCTAGCAACTGGATTGAGCCTTCTTCAATTCCGTTTGACATAAATTAGGTGCTATCAGGTAGCAAGTCAAGCTTATAACTTTGGTCATATTTCTACATTTCATGGATAAACGGAGTTGGAATGTATTTGAGCGTACTTTATCGCATTATATGTGTCACATAGAACGTCCCTTGGCGCTAAATTCTGGCCCCTTGTTGGTAAGTTCGAATCTACTGCCATGGCTTGTGAAAGAAAAGCAAAAAGAGTTATGCCGACATGTCACCGAAATCTATTCAGTAAGGATCCCAATCCAACCTTCTCTCCAGAAGAAACGATTCCACTGGAAGACCTCTCCAAACCTTCTTTCCTTTTTCCATTCTGAAAAACTCCGGCTCAAAATCGCTGACTTCAGCCCATTTCTCAATCAGCCGACGCCAATAACAAACCTCGGCCGCTTGGGTAAGATAATGCTCGCGAAACGTTTTGACGTTGTTGTTCGCTATACGCTGGGCATCCTCGTCATGTGTTTGCAGCCATGCTATCTTGGCCTGAAGGTCCGAGAAATCACGCTTGACCGTAACAAAGTTTTGATCAGGACCTGAGGACTGCATAAGTGGATGTTGATGTTGAATCCAGGCCATCTCATGGGCTACAATCACGCTTCTGCAGCTTTGCAAGTATTTCAGCCGACCGGAATATGAATTGCCTTCAGTATGAGCCAAATATTTGTACTCGCAGTGCTCGGACATTGACTTGAGGTCATGTGTCATGCTGTCATGGTCTTTCCAGTTCAAAGCCTTTACGTCGGGCCATGGTTGATTAGCTGCCACTTTTATGAGTTTCTCTCGCAATTCCAAACCCATGGTTGCGCCCCGCCATAGGATCTTCTGGGTTTTGTTGGACCATGATAAGCCCTCCGCCTCTTCAGCCCATTCGGCCTTCAACTCGACTTCCTTCATTGAACCGGCTTTGGTCTCCGGCCAGGACCAATACCCAAAATCGGGGATAAGCCAAATATTCGTGTCCTCCTCCTGGCGAGCATACCCCCAAAGAGCAACCGATTCGATCCGATCATCTGAGTTGAAAGCGAATTCAATATTGGGCAGTTTTTCAGGCGACGATATGATGGCTCGGTGCAAAGAATGGAGCGTAGCAATTTCACGAGAATAGATGTGACCTTCCGTGGCAATCACGTAAAGCTGTTGCAAAGGTCTAGAGTTAGAATGACTTCTGTCATCCAAGAAGGCGACAACTGAACAGAGACCCATTTAACTCACTTGTTGGTCGTAAATCATGGCTCGAACATACCCATTCTTTGGGGTGATTGAGTTTATTTCTTTCAAGGTAATTGGACGAGATTGGCGGTCGCGTTTTGCTCGTTCAATTTCATCGAAAAGCGCTGGAAATGCTTGCTCGCATTCCTCTTGGTCAAACAATAAATTATCTTTGTCCCTTTGGTAGTCCCATGTCCCGTTGAATAGGCCACTATAATGTAACTTTCGTCCAGACACATTACTGCCCACGTTGTGCACAGTGACTGGTTGTTGGTACCAGACGAAAGCCGCCAGAAAGAGGAAGCCTGTTATGATAAGGGTAGTGCGACGTTTCGCAGTAGCCAAGAAGGCTTCTGAATACCGACTGCACCACTCCATGAATTGGCGCTATCGTGAAAGAAGATGAAGGGAGCGCAATCAGCAGTGTTGTGAACTCGGCCCAACTGGCGACAGACGGAACCGCAGTTAGCGTCCATCATTTTTTTAAATACAACATAGATAATATGGCTGTAATGTATTGTAATTAACGTTTAGTTGTCCAAGAAAGGGGATCTGTACCCGAGCGCGGCTACGTGGGGGCCAAATGCATGGGACAGGAGATATACCCACTATTCGAATGACTCGCATGATGATCACCCAGATCCAGGAGGCCCTAGATGACCAGATGATACGATCTTTTGCCAAGCCTTTAGGTTAGTATGAAGCGTATGTCTTTGTACTCTACACACATGGAGGTGCTTTTCAAAACCTCTGATGTATTAACATTTCATCCAAGTCGAACCGAATCACTTTTGGTTTGTTATCATTATTCCGGCGGCCCGGGCCGAGAGGACATTCCGTACAACAGTCGCCAGCTTCTGTGATCTTCGCTACGAGTAACTCGTCAATCTCCACTTTCAGACCGCCTTTCTCATCTCTGCCGCCCACGCCCACACCGCCCTGTCTCGCACTCAAGGTTATCCAGCACGCTTTATGCTAGATCACATCCCCCATGGGTTTCCCCCTGACAACTGTAACCACGACCTGAACCGTCATCAGAGCCCGACTAAAATGATGAATTTCGCGCGGATCCGCCAGCACCTGGTTCTCGCGACGTGTATACTATTCATCCTGGGCTTACTGCTCTACCTACGCCCCTACCCGAGTTCAAATCAGTTCAGCAAAAAAGAGCACGACATCGGGAAATTGGGGTTTATCACCACCAAGCCCGAAGCCAAGTACAAAAGTTCCGCTTATATCAGTCATGTGATTTAATGGAGGCATGGACTCGGTGGATTGAATTAATCAATTGATTAGGGCTAATCATGCAGCGATCGTAGAAGTACTCTATGGCTAAGGTGACTCAGGGGCTGTGCTTTATACTGTGGCGATACCATAATAAACTGCACTCGTATTGAAATATGGGTGCCATGATAGACTAATCCAAATCCGGAATTAGCGCTGTGCCAGCAGTAAAATCGCTGTGCCAATAGTATGTTACCTCCCAAAGCGAGCAAAGCCCAGTCACCCTTTTGGTCTAGCGGTTCAATAACCGAGACTATTTTATAATTGCTTACTGTTCTCATAAGAAAAGTTAGGCTTTCTTGGACTTAGGGATATATTGCTGTGCGGCCCGCCTCCGGGTTGATTCAATAACACGATTCCACAACGGCCAAATTCTAATCGCAGCATTAGCGAATTGGAATTAATGCAAGAGCGGATCAATCCTATAGGAGCAAGAGACGAAATGTAGCGGAGCATTGCGGTACCGAACAGACCGATCTTGAGAAGCGCCATCCCTCTTCTGGGTCTGTATGTTCGCAACGGAAAGTTGGATCGAGCAAAGACTTGTCTGGCATGAGATCGACTGGATCGGCGAGTAAGATGGTCCATAATTTGTTGTTGAATGATTCTTTTAAACCTCGCAGGTGGGCGACGAATGTCTATAGCTAGAAAAATTTAAGCCCCCGGAGCTCCGAGGCCGATCAGGGTCGGCTTCTTTTGATAGCTCGGCCGCGGACTCGGCCTCGGGTGTGCAGCAGCGCCTTTTCGTATATCACCAACGAACAGCATCGGACGTCCGATCTTTTCCTCGGCGTCGGGTATTGCTAGCAAAAGCATGTATGTCCGACCTCTTTTCATATGCAGGATGTAGCCTCGTGCCAGAGGTATATAGTACTGTCTATATTCCTTAGAATCGGACTCGTAATTCTAATCGACGTCACAAGCATAACTATCTTTTGCGCGCCCTACTACAAACCCTACAATAGCTATGCACGACGACCGCATCGCTGAGCTCGAGAAGTGCAGTCCACCCTCGTCAAGACCATCGAGTGCTACGGAGCCCAAGCCTCAAGTATCTGGCCCACCAGCAGCACCTGAAGGAGGCACAAAAGCCTACCTATCGCTACTCGGAGGCTCCCTAGGTCTTTTCATCTCATTTGGATGGGTCAACTGTATTTCCTTGTTCCAGGCTGAATATGAGATCCATCAGTTGAAGGCCTATAGCAGCTCGGAGGTGTCCTGGATCACTTCGTCCGAATGTGAGAGCCTTCTTCCCCAACCGGCCGTGCAACAACAAGCTTATTTCAATCTAGTCTTCTTTATGCTGTTTATGTCACCGTTTTCTGGATATCTATTCGACAACTTTGGACCACGATTGCCGATCTGTATCGGTGGATTGATGCATGTGTTTGGCCTCATGATGACCAGCTTGTCTAGCAAATACTACCAATTCTACTTGGCACAGTCAATTTGCTCAGGAACCGGCACATCGCTCATTTTCACCCCGGCCATGACTTCTGTTTGTGTGATCGCTCCTGGAATTTATCGCAAATTTTCTGATAAGCTTCGCAGCCTATGACTTACTTTAGAAAGCGCCGCGCTTTGGCAGGAGGATTGACCGTTGCAGGTTCGAGTTTGGGTGGTGTGATATTTCCCCTTATGGTCAACAACCTTCTTTCGGAGGTCGGCTTTGCATGGACGATGCGAATCTGTGCTTTCTTGATCCTTGGGCTTTGGGCCATTGCACTGCTCACTATCTCCTCCAACTTGCCTCACACTCGCAAGGAGTTCAACCTTACGAACTACCTTCGGCCTTTTACGGAATTCAACTTCTTGATTTTGTTGGCGTTCTGCTTTTTTCTTTACTGTGGGCCGCCCATCATTATGTTTCATCGTTACATAGCTAACCAGGGATTAGGGGGATTGTTTGTCCCATTCGACTACCTTGTCCTGTCTGCTATGCATAACGGGATGTCAATGACTATGGCCTACAACCTGATTCCCATCATGAACGGAGCGAGCTTCTTTGGACGTACGATTCCCAATGGCCTTGCCGACAGATATGGTCGTTTCAATGTGCTTATCATCATGGTCCTTTTCACTGGTGTTATCACTCTGGCCTTGTGGTTGCCAGGTCGCAGTAACGCAGCCAACATTGTCTTTGCCGCTTTGTTTGGTATCGGATCTGGCACCACCATTGGCTTGACACCGCCTCTTGTAATGACTCTCTATCCACCCCAGGAGATTGGGTTTCGAATTGGGTTGGCTCTTGCTATTGCGGGCATTGGTACCCTTACGAGCCCTCCGATTGCTGGTGTAATTGCAGGGACAGATGGAGGCTCTTTCCGTTTTGCGGCCTTATTCAGTGGCATGAACTTCATGGTCGCAACACTTTTTTTGATATGGCTGAGGGGAAGAGTTTCTGGTTGGCATCTCTTCGTAAAAGCTTGATGCCTCGGCAAGGGCTCCGAGCACCGCATCCTCCTGCAACGACAACATCTGGTGAAGAGGAGGAGACTAGCGTGGCGGCAGCGAACTATCAATCAGCGCATAATATGAACACGATCTTACAGTGGTCTGGCGGGATTGAGATCTTTCGTACCAGCCTGCTCGGTACATCATAAACCTCCCCAGCGTTCAATTGACCACCAGTGTCCATCTCATCAACGACACGATTGACCACACCCACCATGTCAGACGCGGAGGTCGTACAATTCCATGGGAGCAACTCGCAGGATCTAAATCGTCTGGCAGCCCAGGGACGGTTCGTATTCATCCAGGACGACAATTTCGATGATCGCGAAGACTGCAAGTGCGCCTGGCTGCTGGAACGATACTCTGGCTCCGCCCTTGATTAAGTGGCATCGGCGTACACTGTATAATACAATGGTATCATGAAATGTATGGATCCAATCAATGGTGTTAAAATCTCTGTATTGCAGCATCCGCTTTCCTAGCAATTTCTACGAGCCGCGGATTACTACTTCAAAATTACTGAGCAGCCTAGATTAATTGAATCCCCAGTATACCGGTCTATATACCCCGACACACCCCCTCAGCGATACTAGTATAGGATTGCTAGAAACTCACACACCTCGGTATACTAATCTCTGTTTCTCTACACTATTAAATAGCTTATATCCACTATATAAAGTATTTAAATAAAGGCTTTATACTTCTACCAAGTCAGTAGTTTTATAAGTCTATCGGCTACTATACAAACTATAGGCAGCTAGTTCACCTATATCTAGGCCTTGACAAGTCACGCAAAATCTAAGCAAGCCAAAAGCTCTTGGCAGCTCTTGGCAGGAGTAAACCTTCAATTGCGTGCCAAGAGAGGTTGAACTGCCTATTTAAGTAAATTTTCTGCCTAAACAGGCTTAGCTTAGTACCGTCAGTCACGCAGTACCTCACAGCACCGAGCAACGTTACCAAAATTTGCTTACTTGCTCTATCAAATAGTTGGAAGCAAAAAGGTCGAGAAGTCCAGGTAACTGGAGCCCTGACTTCAGTTAGTAGTGCTATGTAAGAAGGCGCATGTTTGGTAACTTGTACTTACCATTGCGCCAAAATCCAGGCTGTCAAGAAGCTCATTATCGATCACGTCTTGCGACACTTCTCGGGGGGGTGTTGGCGGCCCTGTAGGACTGTAATATATCGTGACACTCTCTCAGGCTGTCTTTTGCAGTGTTCAGCACAGCAGACAAAATGGGTTGTCCGCGTTCCATGGCGTATATCTGGGAAAGAATACCAGCAAGAAAGATGTAACGTTTCAACGTAGGATGACCCAATTTCACGATCTGCAGTAATTGTCCGTTGATGTGTTCCAAAAGTCGAATGATGGGCGCTCGCTGGCCGCGCCCCAGCTCAGCGAGAGGATCAAGGACTAATGTGTGATTGAGACCAACCGAGGCAAATGACGGGCCGGAACCCATTTCCTCCAGCTGAGACACAACCTCCAAGCCCAAGACTGAAATCACGTCCAGGCTCAAAGGTCCGCGAAATGACCCTGTGCTCATCACCATCAAGTTGGAAAGATCGTCGAGAGAGTCCGCAGGTAGCTGAAGTCGCTCGGCATAAGTGGCGATAATCATTGCAGACTCTTGACAAACCTTCCGGGAAAAATAGAAGCGGGGATCCTTTTGCGCTTGTAGCATGAAAGGCCGATGCAGAGCCAGAATATAGCGTCGAATCTGCATATCGAGGAAAGCATGATGCATGGTTAGGAATTGCGACCAATGCGACCGACAATAGCTTGCAAGAGTACGGCAGAATGTCTGAAGCTTCATAGCCAGCTCAATGGCCATTTCGTAAGAGTGCTCTAATCGCTCGTTTTGGACCGCCCTGGCAACTTCAAGTCGTATCGGCAGGGACTGACGCATGAGAATTTGTATCGACGATTCCGTATAGCTTGTCAACGGCTGTGGAGCTGGAGACTGTTTGCTAGCTGGATCTAAATCAGCATCGCTGATATTAAGAGGCATATGATCGTCGAAGTCGTTTGAAGAAAGAAGAAAAGGGATGGAACAGTCCATGGAGCCATGAATAACGAGCTCTAGGACTGTTGTCCAAAGTCTCCTGCGCATCCCGGCTTGAAAAGGAGACAAAGAAAAGAGTTCTGGATCTCGGTGCAGGCCCATAGCCATAGCCACCCGAAGTAGACTACTTTCCGACAACCACAGAGAACGGCCGATTAATGTTATCTGCCGCGAAACCAATAGAAGACAAGTAATTTGGATTCCATCAAGATTGTTAGTGTTTTTCTCTGACGGCCCAACCATCCAGTATTGAGCAGCTTGTATCCAAGTACGCCGCGAGCGCTGGATAACTTTGTCGTCGTCGTTGCTGAAGACGCTTCCAATGGCCAACACCAAACCCAATTTGATTGCAAAGTTTGTAAGTACAGGCTGCGGCTGGCTGAAGTATTGTTCGTATTCTGACCAGAATGTAGGAATGTGAAAACAACGATAGATCAATTCGAAAGTTCGCATGTAGTGATTCACTAGTCGGTCACAGATGGAACGAGCCGGCATTGTACTCAGAAATTGAGGAACAGGGTCATTTATCTGCGGTGCCTGCTCGTTTTTCATTGTAAGTCGCAAGTTACGTATCTCATTCACCGAATCAGCCAGCTCGGCCTTGGTATCCACGAAGGTCAATTCAACATCACTATCTCCAACATAGCTGACTCTGAACTATTGACACGTCAGCCAATGTTCAAGCAGTCAATTTGTTCATTATACTGAAGCTTCAACGATACCTTCTCAGCAGTATGCAGCCAGTGGCTTGAAGGAAACAGTTTCACCTTCTTCGGGTTGTGACGGAGTCGAGGGATGACAGACGGTATTGTCAGACACTTATCGCCCGTGACAGCTGATGGTGCAGGACGAGGTTGGGAGAGCTCAGCAAGCCGCTGCTCGACGTGCTGGAGGCGATCAGACAATACCTGCAGCGTGAGATGGTTGTTTCTGTTGGTGGTGGTGGTGCTGCTGCTGAGGTTGTGCTGCTGGGGATCGATTTCTGGTACAATTGAGTCCTCAAGCTGCTGTACACGTTGCTCTACGCTCCGGATTCGTTCCGATTCAGTCGTTTTTCGTTGCCTTTTTGCAGGGTGATCGATGTCGTTTGGGGCAATACTGAGCGAGCGAGGAACTTGTTGGACATTATTGCCCTCGCTTCCACGGTCTTCCAGAGCGAGACTGGGTTGCTGCTGATCTCCTTGATATGTGCACGTCACCGGGTATCTGGAGACCTGACAGGCTGCACATGGTGATTTGAGATCGCAACGTACCTTTCGGCGGCGACACGGGTCGCAGGATTGCACAGGTCGGCGGCTTCTACGAGCGAGTGAAGATGCTGACCGGGTGGTGCCAAAGCTTTGGTCCTCAGCCATCTTGACGACAGTCTAAATTGTAGGTATTGAAAACGCGGTCAACGGAGATCAATAATTTTGGAAAAGCCGGACAGAAAGCTCGGGGCCGGCAAGCTGCTGAAGTTCGGACTCGGGCCCGACTCCGGGCTCGGGGCTCGGACATACCTAAAGTATGGGCGACTACGGAGTACTATCTCAGTGGATAATTTTCAATCCGCACTCGCGCTACAAAAACTGATAGGAATCTGGCTGCATAGCAATCCTATGATAAAAGTAAAATTTTTATGTCAATGTGGAAAAGCTATGGTTGAGAAAAAAAAAAGCACGAATTTGAATGATGGCATACTCAGTCGCCCGTACATAAAGCCACTCTAAACGTTCGCCACCCACCGACCGTATTTGGATACAGCCCTTATTAGTGTAAATAACTAGGCTGCGAATCCCTGGCCGATCGTTGATGACAAAATACCGTCATATGGCCTTCGCTCCTAGGCGTCAATGCCTCGTCTCCTTCGTTTTCCAAGTTATGTTGGTCCGTTGCCAGAAACGAGTGAAACGCGGGAATGTAAACAATAAAGAGTTGCAAGGCATGGATCTGACATTTCGACATCTAACAGTCAAGCTGATGTTCTCAAGTTTGAGCTATCGTATTTTCCATATTGACTGTCGTTCATCGATACTAATTTCCTTCGCGCGCTTTGTGGAGCGCAACCAAAATCTTACTCTATTTCAATCGCACATTTTCTAGCACATGCACTAAGGTTAACGTGGCCCAGCATTTACATAGGGGCCAAGAGAGACTCCTATTAGAGGTACTTAAACTTGTTATTCAGCGCCTTGTGGACTAGATCTATATAGGCCAGTTAATAATTCTCGATATCTTCAATAATATCCCTCGCTATCCAGAGCGAGACGCCTTGGGTATTTATGAGGGCGAGCCTCTTAGCCAGGATATACCGATAGAAGAATAGATTCGTGACCAGCTAGGTCAAGAAGTCTCAGTTAGCGGCTTCTCTCTTGATCTGGCATTCCATATTTCTCAGGAAGCCAACATCGTGACAGTCACCAATACCCTTAAGGGTGAAACCCCTGATATTCAATACATTGTCTATACGGCCTTTCTCAGCTATATACGCGACGTAGAAGGTTCCTCTATCTTGGAAAGCACAGCGCGCCTCTTTACGGCGTCAATGGTGTCCAACCTCCGGGCCAACAAAACTCTCACTCTCAAATTCTTCATCCCAAAGTCCAATTTCTGGTCGGCCATCAGGCCCGCCTAGAACGAAGTTCTTGCGATTCTATCCCAGCAAAATGGAGAGAACCGAGACAATCCCTTTTCCATTGGCGCCCTACACAATATCACAACAGGCGATATTCAATACCTAGCAGCAAAACGTTTTACCCCTCAAGAACCCGACCAAAATATTTGAAGCTCACAGGGGGCATGCGACGGTAGCGGATTTCGCATGTTCACAGTTGTTCTTGACCGTGCAAATTTTGTCTCAGAGGCTGGGGTGTACTTCTACATGACTGACTCAGACGAGTCTGAGGATCCGGACACTTCATCTGATGATACGATCGTTTCCCGGTCGTAGACATGGATTCGGCTGCTTGGCGGCTGGGGGTGGTTGTTCTTGATGAATAATCTAGTCTGGTAGATTAATTGTTCATGTCTATTCCTATTTATTTTAATCCGCAAGACAACTAAGTAAACCGAAGGGGAGGGGAGTCTTCCTCAAGTTTCACTGTTCATCGACGTGGACACCGGCATTCCTGTAGTGTTCCCTCGCACTTTGCTCTCTTGCTCACACTCGTTCAACACACCACTACAGAAAAATATGAAAGCCTTGTTCAGGATTGTCTTGGTAGTATCCCCAATACGTCCGAATAAAAGATTTGTGTTCGGAGAATACCTGTCCGATGGGGTTCAAGCCAGGCGAATAAGAGGGCAAATATATCACCTCTCTCACCCCAGTCTTAGGACTTCGCACCTATCTCGCCCGCACTCACCCTAGAGTGCCGCTTAGGTGCTAAGGGCCCATTGAGTATTTGCCGTGCAGAATATATGGCTTAAGTAAGGCTGAGCGGACGGGAAGCCCTGTTTTCCACACCCTATGGTCGTATGTGCTCGTCATATTGTCGAGTAGGATTATAGTTGGCAAAAAATCAGTGAAATCACAGACATAAAAGAATCATCCTCGGGATGACCTCGGCTGATTCACCATAAAAGGCTAGTGGATTACGGGTCCTTGCAATCTTTGCTCTTCAGATTAAATAAGGAGTTTGGAAGGATTTCAGCCTGTGAAGGAGTATTCCTTGGCTATATAACAGGCCCACTTCCGCAGTTGAAAGGGTCCTAATTGGAGACCTCGGATGTGGCTGGCAATCCTTTAGAGACAAAGAACCTCATTAGGATTGAAGACATTTGCATATCGAACGTCTATCCATCATACTGCAAGACGGTCAAGCGTATCGCTTGGTTAGAGTGGGCTCCACGGTGCCCGATGACGTGAAGCTGCAGTGTCCCTTTCCCGGTTCATCCCCTTCGGAGTTGATCGACTCGACAGGCGGGCTAGTGGTCTGACCCCACTTCAATGTTCCCCGGATTGCAGCATCTAGGTTCTCATGAGTGGGTGGATGACAGGCGGCACTGATGGCAGCAGAACAAGATGCCGCTAATGGGGCGTTTGACTTGAGTCGCCTGAGTCCCAATATACACAATATAAGTATCATGATAACACCGACTAAGATCGAAAAGAGGATGAAAGCAGAGGAGTAGCCTAAACTACTGGTACTTCCTACTTTTCGATCCAGCGGTGTGTATGTAACTATCTCCAGATAGAAGATAGATTGAGAAATTGTCCAGTGGAGGGTCATGTATAGGAGAAGAACAGGCACGCTGTAGCGGTACGGAATACTGAGCCAATATGTCGATCGCTGTTGGCTCCTCTTGATAGGCCAAGTGACACGTAGCGCCTTGCGTTCGATTCCGTAGGAGCTATACTCAGCAGCAGCTAGCATACTGGTCAATACCGCGTTGTAGCAGTAGTAGCATATTGTAACCGCAAGCTGTGGTATGTTGGCAAATACCACGGATTGTAGCATGCCTTTAACACCAACAACATCGAAGGTGTGATATTCACTTTCATCCACATCTGATGAGAACAGATTCTGAAACTTGCTTGTAGATATCCATTGCTCATCAGTGTCCGGCAAAGAGACAAAAAGCATAACGATTCCAGTGATCAGGGTGATAAAACATCTAGTGAGAGTATTAGCCAACTTTCCCTTGGAAGTCAATAATCAAGAATCTGTGTGAATGAATGTGAGACATACGAAGATAGAGTTGCGATCCATCTCCATCGAGTTACCGCTCGCAACCAGGATCCCGGCTTTGAGAGCGATCTGTAAACCGGAGCTGAAGCTTCGCGAGTTCTAGTCCAGGTGCCTTTGCGAACATGTGTGCTTGACAGCCAGCAGAGGTTGTTTGTGGTTGGATCAGGCCTCGAGATGAACGATGAGATGGCATCTCCAATAGTCAGAAGGGGTGGTGATCGGTTTCGACCTACCCGAGCGGCCAGAAACATGGCAATTACCTTCGCAAATGCAGCAAGCGCAATTGCGATGCATATTGGTGGGCTATATAGCAACTGACAGTGTTCCCCAACCTTCATCACCAGGCACTCATTGACCGTGTAATTTTTTACAGCAAGGGCATCATAGCCATTTGTGCACTCTATAGAATCATTCACCCCCGCATCTTTAGAGGCAAATGGAATAGCTTGCACAGTGACAGTGTTTCCCACGAGGGATGGACCAGAGACTACGTTCAAAACCGATGCATTGCCCCCATCACCCACGGTTAAATCTTCGGTAATTATAGCCAGTGCTTTGATCCCCGTGTGTGGGGGACTGAAAGAAGAACATTCGTCAGATTTGTGTTGCTCGTAATTGTCACTTTCAATTTCAGAAGCAATTTCATTCCAAGTGAGACTTCGTAGGGCCCCGGTATAGTATGGCCGACCAAAGCATTCCTTGAGAGCTGGAGTGTCAAGAGAACGTACGTTGGACGAATTCATATCTTTCGGTGCGACAAAAGCGTCAAAATCGTGAGTGGAGAATGATTCGAAGACCATGGAGTTATACCTATCGGGGCATAATCAGCGATAGTCAGAGGCGACCGTTATTTCCATACTCACATCAAGTGAAAAGGGGATGCCGTCAGCATCAATATAATCCATAGCCCAAGTCGGTCTCCCCCGATCGCTAGAAGGTTCCTTATACTGGCACCTCCGATATCTAGCCACTGGCCACGCGCATGAGCCACGTCTACCTCTTCTCGTGTTGGAGCGACCAGTGTTTGCATGCAGTAATTGCTGGCAGCGAGAATGAGTGTGCTTAGAACGTTAATAATCAGATGCAATCCAACAGACCATCGTTTGACGATACCGCAATCGCCGTCGTAGATGACTGCGGAGTCTCCCCAAGCGCTATTAGTACTATATCGCGTTGACATTCCGGCTGCAACGATTATGAAGATCAGGTTTATGACCAAGATACAGGCTCCCGCTGCAGCACAATAACGCACTCCAACAATCCAGGTGTTTTGCACTGGGGATGTAGTTGAGTTACCATCCTCCCTGACCTCTGTTGTTGCCTTCCTACCATCAGTCTGATGAATCAGGGTATGAGTCTCCTCGATGGATTCCGGACTTGATCTGAGGAAGGAAGCCCGCGGTTTTTGTATTTTCGACGAGAAGGATGTGAGGGAAAAAGTTGAGGGCTGCAGCTCCAGTGCGGTGGGCTCATCGTGGTCCCGTCGTCCATCATTTGGGACTCCACTGTATTGCGGGCGGCCAAACATGGATTGGACATGACTCCAGAGACTATGAGCTTTGCCACGATTCATGTTCCTTGGGCACCAGTGTGCGTCCAAACCGAGTCCTTGGTAAAATTTGCTGATTGAGAGAATTTCAAGTACTGCAGAAAAGTAGAATATGCCAATTATTTGAGCACAAGGCTGATTTTCAGCCGCATTGGGCCTTATTTGCTAATAACTATTTTCAAATGATTTCGCCCCCACACGGCACCAAATCACAAGCATATAGTGGGTGCACGGTTACGGGGCGACAGGGTGCACAGCGGGTTGAAATACCCATGGCAATTGAGGGGACGTGGTGACTTAGATGGGCCTATGATTGTACGCGCTTGGTTCGCTAGTGAAGAGGGTTGTAATCTGCGAGTACGGAGTACAAAAATAAAAACGGGCAAAGATCACCCTTTTACAACTCCTCTGGGCCTTTCTGTATAGCATAGTATAATTGGGTCCCACCAAGCCCTTAGGATATGTCAACGAATCACAATCAACCAGATCCTCTTTTTCTTATAAAATTGTTATGACTTCTTTGAATTTGCTCGGATTCTTCCGAGAGAGAGGGGGAGCTTCTTATCAAAGAATCTCTGACCTCGGGACAGATAGAATGTCTAGACGGCTCAAGAAATTCGGATTGTCCCGACTTCTCTTATCGACAGCTTTCTTCGGACTAATGAATACTGACCTAGCCATCTTAATGAAGATAGCAGCACTGCAGATAACATGTCAATAATGGCATATCCAAGCTCCAGGCGGTACCCCTCGTTGATATTATATATCATTGTCTCCCAGAAAACACAAACCCATACATTCTGCCTAGGTAATCCAGATGTCCATTACAGCCATGGCGCCCAAGGAAATTTTGGCAGAATCGACAATTGCTCGCTATGTGAAAACCATTCGATCATGCCCTCGTGAAATCATTGCTAATAGGCAGATTTTGTTAACGGCCGCTATGTATGCAACGGCGGGGCTTCCAATTAGTATGTTCCAGTCCCCATTCAAGAGAACAGGGCTGCCATTAATGCATTTTTCACAGCTTGGGACCAAGGGTCCTCTTCTGTGATCCCATCACTTCCTGGTTTCCAAGAGGCCTTCGGCATCACGTCAGCCACAAATCCCACTGAAGTCTCTAACTTTATTTCATTTGTCTATATTGGTGCTGGGGTCGGCGCTGGCCTTTCATTCTTCATCAACGATCGTGTCGGACGTCTATGGTCTTTCCGCTTATACATGGTCATATGGATCATCGGCCAGATGATCGCTACCTGTTCCTCCGGTAACATCGGAGCCTTATATACAGCGCGCATCGTCTCAGGTCTTGGAATAGGCGCTCTTACGGTCATCGGCCCAGTCAGTATTGTTGAAATAGCACCAACTGAAATTCGAGGACTCCTTTCGGTATGGTTCAGCGTGGTGATGCTCCTGTCGCTGACGGTGTCTGTTTTTGTGGTCCTGGGTGTTTATCTTCATGTCGCCAGCAGCCATCTGCAATACCAGATTGTATTCTTTGTACCGAATATTGCAGTGGCTTTGATCATTATCGCGAGTTTCTTCTTATCGGAGAGTCCACGGTGGCTTTTTCTCGTCAACAAACCTGAGCAAGGCATCGAGACCCTTGTGGCATTACGTGGCTTGCCTGCTACCCATCCGCGCATTGCCTCCGAAGTCGAAGATATTCAGAAACAGATTGAGACGCAGCAGAAATTCCAACACAATGGTTCCCGAACAGGCATTGTGGAATTGTTTAAGGAGACTTTCCTCGTGCCATCCAACCTACGTCGAGTTCAACAAACCTTCATATCATACGCATTAGCACAACTGTCCGGCGCAAACAGTGTGACCTCATATTTGGTGCCAATCCTCAGTCTCATGGGACTAGGTGGCGGAACGGACCGTTCGCTGTTCTTATCTGGGATGTATTCCATGGCGAAGTTCTTTTTCACACTGATTGCAAGTTTCTGTTTTATCGATATGCTGGGGCGTCGCAAAAGCTTCTTTACTGGCGTAACACTCCAGATGGTCTCTGACATCTACATTGGTGTCTATATCAAATACAGACAAAGCGGTCTCGTTGCAAGCAACGCTAGCCAGGCGGCCATTGCTGCTATATTTATTCATGGCTTTGGCTTTGCTGTTGGTGAGTAATACCAATACACCACTACTAACTATGTGTCAATGCTGATTATTCTTCAGGTCTCCTAATTCTCCCATACGTCTTCGGCGCAGAAATATGGCCCAATCATATTCGCTCCTTTGGTGCAGCCATCTCACAGTGCTTCCATTGGCTTTTCTTCTTTGGCATCAATAAAGCTACTCCATCCCTCCTCGCGAAGACCAACAATTGGGGCGCATTTCTATTCTTTGCGGCATGGTGTTTTATCTCACTCGTTTATGCCTACTTTGTGATCCCAGAAACTGCAAGCGAAGGGCTTGAAAACTTCGACGCCATCTTTGAGCAGCCGCTGTGGAGGGCGTATCGTGGTACCCAGCGGAAACATATAGCATGCATTGAAGCTTGCGAAGTACCGTAAGAATACCTCCTCCAATGCCACTTTGTTATTTCAAATCACTAAGATGACCACAGCGTTGAGCAATAGAACATCCCTGCGAAGAAAAAGAAGCAATTTGTTGATGACGTTGTCGAGGCCTGACGTTGCCTTCTCAATTTCACACGCCATTTATCTAGTGCTTAGTATCTAAGGCGTCCTGTGTCGATCATTCACATAGCAGTAATAGAGAGAACAATAAATTCCAAAGATTTCCATTTGATACATAAAAGAGCGTAGCCTAATTGTCACACATGAATGGGGTTGAAAACATCGGAGTAATACATGTGACATGAGATCCTACTTCAGTCTCGTCTGGTCAGGATTCTGGAAATTCCTGTAAAAACTCTTGAATAAACCAGTCAGAACCTTCAGGCATGGATAAATCCTCAAAACCTAAGCCCCAGTCTCTTGACAACAGACCAGGAGGAAGTGTGTCGCATGGAGCAAACCATAGTGACTGTGGAGGGAGCGGTCCAGCGAGTTTTTCATTTCCGCAGATCATGTTGATGGTTTTTTCAGAAAGTGTTTCGAAAATATCGCGATAAGATGTAGCCAAGTTCCACCGCTCAGCTATAATCACCAAAACTGTTGTGCAGGCCATACATGTATTTATTACCTCGCTCTGCTTAGTCTGCTGGCGTACCCGCCACGATCGCCAGAGACAATACAAATATGTCAGCCCACCTAGGAACAGAATATGGAGACTACCCCAGGTGAACTGAACAGTTGATTTCTGGTATATCCGACGATAGAGCACGCATATCTCACGAGCACAGCGGGAACAATTTTCGAATGCTCTCTGGAGGTTCTCTTCTTCTTCAATGTGGTTGGTGTTGTTTGACTCGTTTTGGCCAGATCCTTGTCGTCGTTTCCCCAGGATCCCAGTGATGTATAAGCGATAAAGGATCAGGACGGAGTGATTGTAGGCAATCTGGAACCATTCATTTGATGCAAACACCGATAAGGGATGAGAGGATGCATAGTCCAGGTGTGTGGGAGCTGATGCATGCCATTCTTCCAATTCTTGGCGTAGACTGTCAACAGTGGCAAACTGACTCCCCGTAGTGGCGTATTGTAGTTGGGGTGAATAGAGATTGGCATGGAATTTTGCCCATAGTTGTCTTAATTTGATGACATGAAGTGTTCCGGTCATGATGGTTGGCACCTGGTCATCAGTAGCGCGGGGGGCTCGCCAGTATACCACTGCGATTAATATTTTCGTCTTCAATATCCATAGGAAGCTAGTATAGAATGTCAGAAAGGGGATCAAGTAAGGTATTAGACACAAAATTACATCATACCTCTGCATCGATCAACTCATCCTGAATACCCACTGGGCGACCGAGGGTGAAAGCTGCAACACGGTCGATGTCATATGCGACCCAAAAGCACCTTCTAGACATTTCCTTTGTCAAGGGATCGACATGTTTGCGATATCTTTCTGCGCTTCTGTGGTATCCTAGCTCGATACAATGACGAATGGCCATGCCCGATATTTTCCTATTGTTGATGTTACAGTGTGAGCTGGAACAACAGTAGGAAGGAACATACCAAAGACTGGCTCCATTAGGCGATCTGATTGAATACACTGCGCAACATAATATGCTTTGAATTGATTCTAGATTATTGAGCGCGAGGACCGAGGGGAGGTAATCCAAGGCCCTAGAATAGTACATCTGATTGGATTAGGAACTCAGAATGCTGAAGCTGTCAGATGGAACCCACCGATGCTGCACCGTGCTGGCTTTGACTCAATACAAGGGAGCCTGTCGCATAAACCTTTATGAGAAGTCAACATTGCCATATCACACCTCAAATTCACCGCGACTACTGGAGGTGGTCATACCATAAGGGTGAAGAATAGTGGAGCCTCAATGGCGGCAGACTTTTGTACTGACTGACTGGCTTCGCGAACATTTTGTTCCCATTCGCAGAATGTCGGTCGATGTAGAAAAGGGTACTGCGGATGAATATTATCGAAATAGGCCCGTGATAGATTAGCTGAAACACTCGGTGGTGGTAGTCGTGGTGTCCTATCTGGACGTATATCAGAAGGAATCTCTTCTAGGTCTTCAAGATGACGTGGTGACGATAATGATTGCTCGCTTTTGAGGCCCATTGTTGCACTGATGATCCTCGAGAATGAGACCGCTGACGAAGGACCGAAATAGTGGGGCTCACCACCTGCGGCATTGAGACACAGCAGGGCAACTTCAGAAGAGAGATGGTCGACTTTCCCAGCGTCATCCTTTAGAATTGAGAGTGATGCTCCATGCGTATGTGAAGAATTCGTGTATGCTCCCTGTGAGTCCCGTAATTGGGTGGAGGCTAAAGCTTCCGACGTCTGGACCGAGGTCACTGGAACAAATGGAGGAATGGGCTCGATACTCGTGAGCTCATGCTGATCATTTTCTCTTAAAGATATGTCTGGAAGTGATTCTTGAAGACGGGCTTCCAGGTAAACCACGCGCGATTCAAGCGACTGTATGTAGTCACGCGGGCGACGTAACCCTGTGGCAGGGTCTTCGACAAGACATTCTGCGCCACATCAGTCAAGGCCACCAACCTAAATGAGCAATCATCACACCTTGCTGATTTCTCAAACAATGATTGCATTTCGGCGTTTGCCCATTGCACTAACCTTATGTCAACCGATATGTATTTCTCACTCTTCGTACGACTCTCACCTTCAGTTTCTTGCGCTTACACCCGATACAAGCCAACATTGTCCGCTCCCCAAGCCTTGGTCTCTTTGGTGCATTCCCCATAATTCAAAGACTTGTTAGACAGTATGTTGATATCTTCGATAGTATCGCGGGGAGATAAAACGGTGGAGATAACGTGACCAATGACATTGGATCTACTATTTACCCCTCAATCCTTTTTTTTCACTCAAAGTCCGTATAATCTGTATAGCTACATTACTGATGGATTGTCGTGTCTAAGAGGGTTCAGTCTTATCCCCATCTTGTTCCTACAACTACGAAGTGCGGATGTTGACAGATGTTCCCCACATTTCTCATCAAAGGTCGAAATGCACACAGCTCGGGCAATGCGGAACTAGGTCTAATTGAGATTGTCCAATTTGTGGCCAACATGGAGAATTTCACCTGGCAAATCGGGAGGAACCGAGCATTATTGGCGGGGCGACCCCCTGATAACATATCGGAAGAATCCGAAGTCCAATGAATAGGTGATAGCGCAAGAGATATGATGCACGCAATCGGAAACCCGAGATATTACACATGATACCCGAAAGGTTTCAAAAACATACAAATGCAATTTGAAATTTGAAAACCGATTTGACTCCAGCTCAAAGCACCAGAGAAATGGATCAGACAGGACCACCAAGCAAAAAAAGCCCCATTGTCATTGTGGGGGCCGGAATATTTGGCCTCAGTACCGCACTCCATCTTTGCAGACGTGGTTACAATGATGTGACTGTCCTTGACAAACAACCCTACGATGAGACATTGTACTCATACATCAAGGGCGCAGATGCCGCTTCTGCCGACATCAACAAAATCGTTCGATCAGCCTACGGATCCCAAACGGAATATCAAGATTTATCTACCGAAGCGATTGCTGAATGGCACACCTGGAATAACGAGCTCCAACGGGGCACTTTAGTACCCCCTGGAATGTCCATCAAGGATGCAGTCTTCGTGCCCAATGGCAACATTTCTCTATCTACATCCGCTATGCTGCCAGCATGGGAGCTTGCCTGTATTGATGGAATGGAGAAAGCTGGAAACAAGGATACTCAACTAGCTACGACGATTCCTCGCCACGTGGAGATTGCAGTGCAAAAAGGACTTCAGTCATTCATGGACCCGTTTCAAAGAGAGAGACGTGGAGAGCACAACACCGGCGTGTTGGATACCACAGGTGGCATGGCTGTTGCAGATAAGGCTTGCTGGTTTGCGTTGCATAAGGCGCGAAACCTGGGAGCGAAATTCATTTTCGGGAAAGAGGCTGGATGTATGAAGGAGCTATGCTATGAAAATTCGAAGGTGATTGGTGTTAAAACTCGGGATGGGAAAACACATGCAGCAGAAATGACTGTTCTGGCCTGTGGTGGGTGGACACCCGTCTTACTACCCGAGCTTGACGGCCTGTGTGAGGCCACCGCCGGGAGTGTGATACTTTTCAAGATTCCTCGGCAGTCCCCTCTATGGGATCGACTAGGTGCAGACCGATTTCCGACCTGGATGTGGAATATGCGGAGTGGAGCTGAAGGTGGTTTATATGGATTCCCGAGGGATGAAAATGGTTGGTTCAAGGTTGGATATCGAGGAACGAAATACACCAACCCGCTGCGTCAGGGAGATGGCAATGAGCGAAGCACACCGGTGACGCGGTGGTCAGCTGCTGAACAAGATGGGAAAATCCCTACTGGGGAAAAATTTACTTCTTTCCCACAACAAGCGCATCAAGTTCTCACGGAATTTCTTAATGAGTACCTTCCAGAGTTATCTGAAGAAGGGATCGACATCGCCCTGACCAGGGTTTGCTGGTACACAGATACGTTTGACAACCACTTTGTTGTTGACCGTGTGCCCAATAGGCAAGGGCTAATGGTCGCAACAGGGGGCAGCGGTCACGCCTTCAAATACCTTCCGAACATTGGGAATTGGATTGTCGATATAATGGAGGGCGTTGGCATGGATCGATCGGCGGTTAAAGCATGGAAGTGGAGATCTGTCGGTGTGCAGAGACCAACCAACGATCTCATGGAAGGTATTGGTGGTTCAAGAGCTCTCCAAAATATATGTCTTCTCAAAGAAGCGAGCTTGCAGAATAAAGCACAGGCCAAGCTATAGTCACTACATAAACAAAATTCATTCCCATATCAGCAAACAATGGAAATATTCACTGTATTGCTCATGACTCCGGAGCAGTAGGAACTACCCGGCACTTTAATTTTTATATCAAAAATAAAGGACCGGTTATTGCGTCGTGGGATATTAATGGCTGCATCCTCTTTCGGTATGCCCAAGAACTTGATCCAAACTCTGGGTCTGCACATAGGACTTGATTTCGGATTGGTCTTTATTACTAGGCTCAAGATGATAGATCGGAAGTTCAATCTGGTATCCTTCCGTGGCCTCTTGAAGCCATATAGTGTGTAAATAGATATCAATAATATATTCATGTCTAGATCTACTACAAGGTAGCACCAAGCTGTGCTGATACTTCCCATTACCCCAATATCTCCCCAATTTCAGGGAGCTTATGCTTTGATATTCACCGGCGAGTTGGCCTTCCCTGTCTTAAAGAACGCACGAATATTCTCAAAGCATTCCCTTTCGGCCTTTTGGAACGCTTTCTCGGTCAGACCACCCAAATGGGGCTGCAAAACGACTTTATCACTTTGTAGGAAGTAGGGGTTCGGGCTCGGCTCGTTCACAAACACATCAAGTCCAGCACGCTGTACCTTGCCTGACTCAAGTGCCGCAATGAGAGCTTCCTCGTCAATCACCGCTCCTCTGGCCGTGTTAACGAGGAATACACCGTCTTTCATGGCAGAGAACTCAGCTTCGCTGATTAGGTTTGTAGTTGCCGCATTCAGAGGGCAATTCAGGGAGACGACATCTGATTCGAGAAGAAGTTCATGCAGAGACGGGCAATATGTTGCCCCGTAGGCCGTTTCTTCAGCGGCTGGCAATTGGCGTCGATTGTAGTACTTAATCTTCATGTTGAAGACAGCGGCTTTTTTAGCAAGATACTAAGAAGAGATAATCAGCAGTGCCTCGAGTAAAAAGCCTTCAGACTTGAATTTACCTTTCCAATAGCCCCCATACCAACAATACCAAGAGTCAATCCGGATGGATCACACGTGGGGACTAAGTTCGCGCCCTTCCTCCACATGCCACTCCGTGCACTCTGTTCGGCATTGGTGGTGTTCCTCAGAACAGCAAGTATCAGAAATATAGCCATGTCTGCCGTAGCCTCAGCGACGGCATTCACGGTGTTGCAAAATACAATTTCCTGACTGGCCATCCAGTCCACATCAAACTCGTTGTATCCTGCACTAGCGGAAGTGATAATCTTGCACCCTGGTGCTAGTGCTCGAAGCAAATCCTCATCGAATGGCTCGTATGGTGGTGTCCCCATACGAATGATAAACGCGTCTATTGGCCCATTTTCCGTGATGTCTTTTGGTAGCAATGTCTGGGTTTCCTCGCGATTCGTTGCAGGTAGAACGGAGTAGTCAAACTCAGTCTTGAATTGAGCAAGGTATTCACTGCCAACGAATGCAGGCTCCCCGAGGGAAACAACGCGTGGCTTTCGTCCGATGGTCATGCTTGGTTTGGAAAATCAAAAGTGAAGAACTAAACAAAATGCTAGAACGTTGCAGAATTAATTGAACGAAAGGAGAGAAAAAAGAACGCGATTTCGAACATTTTGTAAGCTTGACCCCGCGTGATTCACATAGCCATCGCGTGCGTCAGAGTGGGATGGCAAATGCCATTCGGGATCTTCCGAGAAGGTACTGAGCGGAAAGTTCCGACCAGCCTCACTCTACAGTCTGTATAAAATCTTAGAGAGATTGTGATTTCGAAGTGTTATTGTCTTATCGCTCATTATTTCATAGCAACACAGCCGGCAGAATACGCGAACTCCAACCTACCAAATCATCACATTGGGCCTGGCGCCAAAGGACCAAATTTAGCGATATCAGGAAACATGGCTATCAATGATGACCGGCCTCCCTTGGGCTTCATATCGATTGAGGTCACTTTACACAGGCCACGGGGTGACCCTTTCAATACAAATACCTGGCCATTTCCACTAGTCCGAGAGAAAGTCGATGGTTCATCCGAGGCGCAAGTAGTGTGTTCAGGGCCATACGACGACATCTTTATCGATAAATTTGTCGAGGCCGGCGAGAGGCTTGTGAAGCGTGGAGCTGTGGGCATCATCACCAGTTGTGGTTTTCTAGCAATGGCGCAGCCAGAGTGCGTTCACCATTTCTCAAATTATGTCTGTCTTATGCACTCACATTTTAAGACTCGCTGCGCGTATTACCATACCTATTGCCACATCTGCATTGATTCAAATCCCGTCAATATTGGCCGTGCTTCCTGCAATACGAAGTGTCGGCATCCTCACATTTGATGACACGCGACTTGGTCCTCTTCACCTCGTCAAATTGAATATCCCCACCTCCAGGTGTCATATACGGGGGGTCCCTGAAGGTGGTCTGCTGCAAAGTCATATTCGTCTTGGCCTTCAATATGTACATGAGGAAATATGTGGGGAACTAGTAGCGGTAGCCCGTAGATTGGTTGCTGAACATCCTGATATCGCAGTCCTCTGCCTAGAATGCACGCAAATGCCGCCATTTTCCGAGGCCATTCAATTGGCACTTCAGATGCCAGTCTACGATGTATATACTATGGGATGCTGGTTTTATTCTGGGTTGGCTTCCACGAGACAAAAAGCTTGGGGCCCTATAATTAAAGATAGGGTTGAAAGTAGAAGATAATACAAGGCACATACACTTGACCAGCTTCTCTTGTATATAAACTCTGGCTTTTAGGCTGCTTACAAATATCAAAACTAAAGCTTTACATCTCCCTCAAACTAGAGATATCACTATCTACATTGAGGCCAAAAGCTTCATTTTTAGTACTTGGAAAACCACCAAATAATGAAGATTTACGATACAGCGTATGTGACTGAGTGATCAAAAGAAGGTACAATAAAAAAACAAAAACATACAACAGTGAGGATTCGCTGGTGGTCACCCACCCAACTACTAACTCACCGGCGTGTGGCTTAAGTACGGCTGAGCGGACGGGAAGCCCTGTTTTCCACACCCTATGGTCGTATGTGCTAGGTTGTTGGTTGGAAAAGGTTATAGGGGACAAAGGCTGGGTAAATTCCAAGACATAGAACCATCCCCGGAATGACTTCAGCTGATCTACCATGTAATATTAATAGCCTTACCTGAAATTCGGCCTATTCGCATATACACACAGCCATTAACTAAGAAGCATGTCACAGCTAAGGGGAGTAAAGCAATATATACCATATATTCAGCTCATAATTTAGGAACTAAATAGAGGGAGTATCCTCAACTTTCTCTCGTCTTCTTTCCGCGCCTTTTCCGGATATGATGATCATAAAGATGATAATGATGAATCAATGTGATTTGATTCCGATATTTCTATCTAAAACTAGACTGGGGAGAAAGAGAGATAAAGGAAGAATAGGACCCTGGGATTCTATTTATACTGCCAAACATGGTCCTATATCTTGTTGTTTGCTTTTGCTTGATCTATATCAGGCATATGGCATACATCTGAGATGCCTATGGTATGCGATATATAACTACAGTGTTTTTGTGATCTGTTATTGATCTTATCGAATGTATAAAAATTTCTGTCGACTTCGTATCTCATCCAACACCATCTTATGCCTCTCCCGACCAGTCTTTGAATGGCATCTTATAATTATCGTTGCAATATTGAAGGTGTACAGTCAGTCTTTGTGAAGATTATGAGTCTTCCACTTTGATTTGAGGCGCCAGTCACCCATGGCTATATATAGATGTACATAAAGACTTGTGCGTTTGCCTTGAAACACCAGGACGAACTGAATCTAAACCCGAATGGCTTTGCTCCGGTAGATAATAATTTGTTTGCCCTCTATAGTCTTTCCCAATTAATAGTTAGACACATACGACCATAGGGTGTGGAAAACAGGGCTTCCCGTCCGCTCAGCCGTACTTAAGCCACACGCCGGTGAGTTAGTAGTTGGGTGGGTGACCACCAGCGAATCCTCACTGTTGTATGTTTTTGTTTTTTTATTGTACCTTTTTTTTCCTAAGCGAGAGACTTTGTTTGATGTAGTAAATAAACCATGGATGGTAACGCAAGTATATATATACAACTAGAAAGGCCCTACAAAGTTGCAGAATGTAGTACATTTATAAAAAGTGGTTATAGCCTTAGATCATTAGATCCACATGTTTTCTCCACCTATTCCATCTGATCAGTGGCGATGCTCACGTCCCGATGTACAACATGATCCTCCCATAGCAGCTCTAGCCAGGTTTTCGCGACTCATTTGACGGGGCTCGCGAGGCTCTCGGACAAACTCAGGCTCAGGGGCTGCCTCTCGGGGGCCCTTGCCGAATTTCCCTTTATGTTGATGCGCAATCTTCTGCTTGTAGATCTGATTGAGCCAGTTCGCCAGTCGATAACCGCCCTTTGCAACCTGGATCTCGATCGTGCCGATAGCAGAGTTGTAGTACGTTGGGTAGAGATCGCCAGTCTGGAGGGCAGCAGCTCCATCCGGCATGACAACAGTACAGACATAGGCATTGGCATCTGCCGCCCATCGAGTGGCAGTCTTGATAGTATTGCCAATATCATCTCCTTTGGTCCAACTCTGAGATTGCTTCTTGTAGCTGCCGGCCTTAATCTCATGGACCAAGCTTTCGGCCCATCCCTGTGCATCTTCGAGCGAACTACCGCCAACCAGCTTTACAGGCATGTATGTATCCCAATCGGAATGGAGGTTATCAGTGTAGTTATCAAAAGTGACTTTGATCTCATTTCCGCCAACCTTATAGTTCTCGTCATGCAGTGGCTGTACGAGATCACCAATGATATGCACGAGGAATTTCAGAGCCTCGGCAGTGTCGGGGTTACTAAGTTTGCGATTGCTTACACGCTGGGTGTAATTGGCAATGGCGGAGATTGAGCAGCCTTCGTCTGGGCAGTCACGCTCATAGTCCACGTTGCAGCTTTTTGGCGGGTCGTCCATCGCGTCAATGTAGTGCAACGGGGCTGACCATTTGCCCTCATCTGTGAGGCGATATTTATCTGCCCAGGAAGCAATGTTTGCTAGGTATGAGTCGGAGGTGTCATTAAGAACAGTTTGTGCCCTTGAAATACATTAGCATGAAGAACCCTCGTCATTATGGAGCTTTTAGGGATGATTTACCATTTTGCGGCCTCACTGGACATATAATGCTGTGCAACATAGGCTACAGTGGCATGGCCCAATGCACCCCATGCATTTGCCCCATGAATCACCCCAAAGGTGACGAAGGCGACTCTTGATAGAGACACCATTGTTAAGAGACGTTTGAGGAAGGCTCCGTAGAAAGCAGTTATCTGTTTGTGAAGGCCATGGTTGCAAGCCCGTCCACATTAAATAATTTCTAATGCCGGCGGATTCCACTTGACGCGGGTCACATTGCCATGGGGGTTAGCCGTGTTGCAGCATCCAAAAGGGCATCTCATAGGCTTGTCAGGAGATAACAACATAATCATTTGGCAGCAAGGGGTCTGATTCGCGACCGAAATTGCAACCTAATTTGCGGGGTTGGCCCTAAACACCTCAAGGCCACCGGAGTCCACCGGAGTTGAGGTCTAAACAGCTATCTCGGTTTCATCCAATCTACCCGTGAACAATATATGAGATAATAAATTGAGCGCTGTGATAAAGGGGCCCGGAATAGACACAAAAGGTCTGCAATCTGTAATCCTCGGGGATTATTACCCAAACAGACAAAGCAATGCCGATGAATCCGCATCAAAAGCAGGTCTTATTCTTTTTTTTTCCCCTTCTTGAGTGTGAAGTATTGTATTCATAGAAGGCAAACGGGAGTACATGACCTTCTACAGAGCTGGCCTTTTTTTTTTTTCACATGACACACTCGGGGTGTCACATGGCTGTTGTTTGACGACCACATCTATCTTGTCAAATTCACATAAAGATCATTAATGGAGGTTGACCATTGCCGTGGCCTTATAATCAGGAATGCACAATGGTTAGTATGTGTGAGAGTCGCGTCTTAAGTACTTCGCTTCGCCTGTTGAAGTCGTATTTTGAGAGAGTAGAATTTAGAATAGCGAGGTGAGAGTGTTAGGAATTTACTACTCTATAGGGGATTTTACAAATGGAGATTAAAAATTCATTTTTGACACTTATGCACGCCAGCAGAATCACTGGGTGGGCTGATTTGATCATAAAGATATCTGCAATAATCACATCCACGGCCATTTAGGTTACGTGTTTCAGCGCCCATTACTATGATGCTGTTTCCCCCTGTGCTCCCAGTTTGGGACAACTAAAGCGCAACCAAAGATAGGCCTCCAATAATCAACTTTCGCTGGCCGTAGAGGAATCTCGCCAGGGTTCGTCAGTAGGGCGTAATTGAAGCATGGTAACTCTTCCTGCTAGTGGGTGGATAGTGCTTAATTACCCAGTCACAGGACATCACTTGAAAAACCATACGAACGATTTTTCTCGATAATATCCTCGATATGCAAATCACGTAGACGAAACCGGACTCCCACAGCCGAACATAACGACTCGAGTTTCACCTTGAAGTCCGCAAATTCCTCATACATGGCAGGTATAGGACGAGGTATAGCTTGGGACTCCTCAGATGACTGGTGGACATGCATCCAGTTCGCCTTGACCTCTAGATAAGTCAGGTTTGGGCAACGGTATTTCCGTCTTAAGAATAGGCGCTTAAACAGCCCAGCTAGTTCATTTGTATGTTCTATCTCTAGAGCATCAAGAATAAGGCTTTCCAGCGATAGAGGCAAAACATCACTAAAGCGATTATTTGACACCTCGTGTGGGTTCATCCAGGTTGGGTCCCAGTCCAGTATATGTGGAATCTGCAGCCGAAGTTCCTTCAGCGCACTAAACGCCGCGAATGATCCGACGTAATCATAGTTGTAATTCGTGTAAGCGGAATACTTGTTGGTGCGCTCGTCGGTCAGTGTTAACGTTTGCAAGGTCTCCCGGTGTCTTTGCAATGGTGGGTAGTATCTAGACGCGTACATCGCCCCATCATCCGCGTAATTTGGGTTTTCTGAATGCTCCAAGGTGAAAGATTTGAGGCTCTTGGATGCGCCGATCAGATTTGCAAAGCCCCTTCGAGAACAACTGGACTGGAGGTGGATATGAGTGATGTTGGAGTATCCAACATTGTCAGGCACGTAGCTGGCCGCATCGAACTCTTGGTCTTCGAGATACTCCTCATCAGAGCTACCACCATCACATATCATGTGGCCACAAAAGCTTTGTAGCGAGGGAAGTCGAAGTATTGGGAGAAAATGCGATGAGCTGAGGCCACCGTCTACATCAGAACACACGACTGTGAGGTGTCTCAATTTAGTCAAACCAGGGCTTTCTTTTTCGGCGATCATGGCCATCCACTCGAGAGTACATTTTGAAATTGCATCAACTTGCAGGACCAGATCCTTCAGATTGGGCAAGAGGGCCAGAAGCAGGACAGTCCACGCGTCATCATTCTCTCCACTCTGTAATTCCCAGTCCCTTCTGGATAGGTCGTCGTCGGGCCCCAGAACTGACTTTAGAACTGGTAGGATAACCTCCTGTTCATATCGCACGCCGGAAGTCCACCGCCAGCCATGGGAGATACGCAAAGTGCGTACTTCTTGTGCTAATGCCGGCTTGAGTGCTAGTGTGTGCACCAGATGACTCAAGTGGCCACTGCGGTGCTCTATCAGGTCGAGCGATGTAAAGACTTTGGGTAACAAAAGTGGATAGAAGGTACGGCAACAGGAGGCGAGCCGCAGAGTATCCGTGTAGCTATCAAGATAGCTTGCTATTGAGAGCAGCAGCTCTGCTGTTAACGTAGAGCGCATTTTTATCTCTGACATTGGGGTCTTTCTGGGCTAAAGTAAAGTGAACATGATGTTTATTGTTGGTAAAGAAAGATTTTTGGCACCGGCCGGCAGGCAGCACCAGCTATCCGATCCTTCGCCAAGCCTGCATCTGTCATGCAAGTTTTCGGTCGCATATGGGAGCAAGCTACTGCGTACTCCGTACGGAGCAGTATCCACATTATTTGCAACTGCCATACGCGTAATGGAATTTTATATCATATGACACTGTAAGATGTAAGATACACGACGCATTTTACTAAACCCCGCAGTTCAATGCGCCCTCAATACATTATGTACGCTAAGGTCTCGGCGGTTACGAACGATTCGACCTCCGCAAAGCTCACAAAGCCCAGAGCTCAACTCGCGCCAGCTCACTAATGGGCTGAATTTTGGGCCTGGTCCTTCGGCCCCCGGGTGGGCCATTGGCCCGGGTTGAAAGCCCACCGGGCTTTGAATGGTTGCTCATCAGGGCCCAAAAAGTATCAAACAAAACAATTATAGAGATTCACTAAAAAATGATAGTAACTCTCTGCAGATCTAAATTTGTAGTTCTACGGAGTATAGGGGTATAGCTAGTACGGTTCCAAATACTATGTTCAAAGCCTATAAAATTAGTAGGAGGGGACTGACAATCCATACAGATGGACTTTCTTTTTCAGTTTTAGCACTGACATTTTCGGCAGCGACGTTGTCACGCACGAGAGGCTGAAAGGCTGTGGCGGTGCTCGTATAAATAGGATAGACCCCGCGCTTGACCTGAACTTCCATCTTCAAAATGTCTGGACTCGAAATTGTTGCACTTATCCCGGCCATCATCTCAGCATTTGGGACTATCTCAGTAGAATATAGGGCATGGCGAAAGCAACGTGAAGACCGCCGCAATAAAGACCAGAACCTTGCTCTGCAGAAACGTCTAGCGGGCAACGGGCAGACAGTTCAGAATGAATACGATGAGGATCTTCGACTCCTAGGACCAGTCTTTCAACGGGGTGATAGTAAGGCTTTTTCTTCGTTTATTTTAATCCCCAGAAAGACTGCTTCTATACTAAGTATTGTCAAGGCATTGGACGAGAGTCTTTGATGCATCATCTCATTATACTCCAGTCGAGTGTCATCTCCCTTCTCCGTGATCGGCAGAACGACATATCCTACGTGAGCCATCCGAACCACGACTCTATTAAGAACACCACAATATCCGCCCGGAATGGAATCGTTGGCTCTCTTTCAGATCAATATCAACGTCTTGCACAAGCACGGCCAATCGCACGACTGCCAGCCCCAGCCCCAGCCCCAGTCTCAAATTGCTTCCACGAGATCACCTGCACCACGCACAATACCATCTTCGACCGCTACAGCTGTAATGAGTGTGGGTGGAGTCAAGCATATGGTAAAAACTCGGTGAAAGTCAAGACGAAGGATGGCCAGCTTCTTGATCCAAAGACGGCCATTGCTCTCTTCCATCATCGAGAACCACTCAAGGCCGAGAAGAACGTGTTTCGATGTTATCTTTGCGAGGAGACTATTTTCCTACCAACGGGGCTGAGGGGATTTTTTACGGTGACTCTGGAGCCAGGGAGTGAGTGGTGGGTTTTGTTTGAAGAGTTACAGAAGCATGTAAGGAAGAATCATTATTTCTCGGAGCTTGCGTAGGTTTTATTATTCCGAGGCCATTCCAGGCTCTTCCTTCTCTACCAAGGTACTTTTTATGAGGCAACATATCAAGAATGATTTTCAAATATAAACCGAACCTGGCGAGCACCTTGGTGAAACCAAACCCTAACTTACAGCACGTATGGAACTTATGATACATCTTTTTCATTTCCTCGGAAACAGGGGTTGCAGAACAGTGCCAGGGAACCAGGAATGCTGCGAAATATTTTCGATTGATAAGATTCAAGGAGCAGAATACGGAAACAAATTGATAGCATGGTGAAGAGGGAGAAAGTTGATATCTTAGTGATGCAAGAGAATGGTGAACTTATTTTTGGCATCACGACAGTTCTTAGCTAGTTCCACAATCGGGTAGGATGAAACTTGACTCATACCCTTCAGGGTTCTTAGGCTTTGTTCATCAAGGACACCCTATGGTAAGTCCCAGAACTAGCACCTATGTCATGTCAGTCTTTGTTGCACAATTGGCCAACCAAAAGAGGAAGAGCGCAGGTGAGGAGTCTGGTATTTAGGGGACAAATGGTGAAACCGCCAACTCCATCGAGCCTTTGGACGAGAAGTCTGCCGGGGAGAAATGATCAGCTACTTGGTATCCTTGCCTATTAAAGACATCCAAATGAAAGGCGTAATAAATTTTCAATGCATTGTTTTCTACCACTCGCAAGCATCCTCACACACAGTTCACCTAGCTCTGCGCAGAAGCCTCAACCCGGTCCTGAATCGACTTAGCAATAGCAGGACGCTCCTGCAAACGCTTCAGCCAGGCAGCAACATTGGGGGAATTCTTTTCCAGGTCTTTCTCATTATCAATCCCATACTGGAGAACGAGCATATACCAAGGAATGAAAGCAACATCGGCATATGAGAACTTATCACCGACAAGATACTGCTTCCCCTGTAGAACGCGGTCAAGCACCCCAGAAATACGATGGATCTCTTTGACGTAGCGGTCGATTGCGCTCTGTACCTTCTCTGAGTGGTACCGGGTAAACCAGACAGCCTGGCCGAAGTACGGGCCTTGGCCTGACATCTGGAAATGGAGCCATTGCTTGGCAAGAAAGTACTCTTTGGAGCCGGCCGCAAAGCTGATGGCGTTTTGCTTGTCGTATGTTTCAACCAGATATTCCATGATTGCACCAGATTCCCAGAGTGTGATATCGGTATTTGGGTCTTGAATTGCGGGGACGCGCCCGTTGGGATTGATGGACTCGTACGCTTCTTTCTTCATGTCTGGGAAGGGAATGATCTTGTGTGTGTAGGGAACTTTCAGCTCTTCTAGGACCATGATCACTTTCCAGGGATTGGGGCCTGGGCCATGACCCCAGACGGTGATGGGCTTGAGAGACATTTTTGGTGTGCTGGTTTGGATTGAAGGGAAATAAAGAAGGGAGAGGAAGTGATATACTAGATCAGGAACAAGGACTTTCTTAAATGAATATTCTCATCCATCATCCAACTGAATTATTAATCCTGAATTGCAAAGTTGCAAGGAGGTTCCCTGGTGCACAGATGCAGGGGGTAAAACCTGATGACAAATGGCCCATGGGCACTAGGGATGGCACGGAAATTTCCAGAGTGCGGAATTGGCTTCATTCATGTCGTTGCTAGGCAGTTCTATTGCTTCGTACTGACAAGGACCTGGTTTTCCTAAGCTGAACTGCCATCTGCCATGACCTGGTTGCCCCTTATGAAATTGGTTGATCTTCCAACCTGGGAAGGTTGGAATGTTCACCTTGGGAACGACCATGTATTTCAAAGGCTCCAATATTGGAAGTAGTGATAATATAATCAAACGACATGAAAAAAAGACGATCAAATCATTTATCGATTGGCTTACCCAAGTACGTCATCGCTAGACGTGTACGAGGCTATCAAGATTTGACCTACCCTGTCAAAGAGTCCGACACCGCTTCGAGCTCCGGTTTGGACACTGGCTCATGATCTGCCTCGTCGATTGGCCTGGACTTCTTGGCTGATCTTTCGACGCAGTTATAGCTATGGCTATGGTCCGGAATCTTGCCCAGTTTGCGACAAGTCTGTTCGTGGAGCGTCTCGTAAACAAACTGCATCTGTATCTCATTGTGAACAATCATCATACGCTGCTGGCGCAATTTATTGATGGTCTCAAATACTGGGTCGCTGCTGGGATTCATCACCGTTAACAATTGGCCTGACTCAAGCTCTCGCAACAGACTGTCAAGTCCCCGTGCGGCCAACGCCTGCACCACAATGCACCACGCGGGGGTTATCCGGGCTGCATTTAGAGCCCGAGTGCTTTATCAGTTCGAGCAGAGCATCGCGGTCTGGCCCTTCAGTCTTGTTTTAATCGGCCCAACCCGTGAAGAGAAAATGTCATATAGACTGCGACTTCGTACCGATCCTGAGTTCTAATCTGCGGATTTCCGAGCGCGTATTTTCATTGAACGCTGATTCTGATAGTGTGATCTTGCCAACCACGGTCGCTTCCGCAGTTTTCACTTGTTTCTCTTCGCTCGCGAAAACGTCGGACTTCTCTGAAAGGTCTATCGTTGCTTGTTCCATATCTAACGGAAAGTATTGAGCGCACTTTTCCGGGCGGCTTCAAAGGTTCAGTGAGCATAACAGCAAAGCCAACCTCTTCGCTTTCGTCGAAGACCCTTTTGCCAAAAATGTAAGATATGTTCTAGCTTAGGCCCCTTCAGATAGTCAGCATGAGGGATCTAGATGAGGTAGATAGACCAATAATCGTGCACCTACCTGAGTCGCGATGTACCGTCTCTCCTAATGCGTTACAGAATCCTTGAGAGTAATCCATTGAGAAGGTCGCATTCGCCGTCGGATACACGGAGATGAATGCGGTTACTCGCCCAGGCCTGCACATTGAGATAGCGGTTCCTTTCCTTTACTTTCGGGTCGGCATCTGGGGCATACGGGTGCAAAGGGTCGTTTGATCGTATGTCCTCCGCCAGACGCGTCCGCTGCATCCACTCCATATCCTCGAACTTGTCATGGATTTCTGATCATCAAAGCGGTCGATCCTTCCCATGCGCAGATTCAAAATGTTTGCACTCTCACTCACCCATAGCCGATTGACGCAGAAAAGGCGTGACATCGGCAATGTCACCCGCCTCGAGGATGGGATTCTCCCGGTCGCCTCCACCGAGAACATCTAATCTCCAATCACTGTCCTCAGGCAGACTTCACTTCATCGTTTCGGCCTTGGTTAAAAGTGTGATTGGCCGGCGCGCTATGATAGTTGTATCAATTCCTTGGCCTCCGAAAGCAACGGAATCTTATGTCTGCCTCAATTCTTTCAGCTCTGAGGCCCTAGACACATCAGGATCCAGCTCAGTAGATGCTGACTCTCCTGAACCTTCAGTGAAATATGCGTTCTCCTGGAAATACTCAGAGAAGAACACTTTTCTCTCATGCATCTCATGCAGGGGCTTTTCACAATATGGATTATCTGAGATCTGATTGCGGATGAGCCATTTGTGGACTTTTTGATTGCTATAGCTGGTACCCCATCGCTCTCTTTTTCGTTATCATCGGACCAAGGAGAGAATGCTCGTTTGGGGACATCATCCTGTGATTGAGCGGATGTTTCCCCAGTGGGATGTGGGACTTCCTGGTTTTCACCTCGTGTCCTGCATTGGTCAATCACTGTAACCAGCAGGCGTGGTAGATTGGTTATCACATCCCTCGCTTCAGACTTTTTGGTCAGTCTTGAGTCCACAGAGGCTCCACCACTAGCACAGGCGCCAGTACCTGAAATCACAGATCCATATCCGCCAGGCGATTTTCAGCCCACTCTTACCTCCAGAAGCTGTTAGCCATTTTCTGATATCGCATCTAGTACTAATTGTTGGAACTTAGCTCTCAGTTCCAGGGCAAAGCTGAACGACGTACCCATATTGCAGATGCTTTCCACGTCACGTAAGAGCTTGGAAATTCTCAGTCTTAGCCGCTTCTCTTGGTGTAAGCCAGCTGTGTCAATTTACTTGGCGACTAGCAGCAGCTCAGCTCCGAGACGACCACATACTGGTCGCTCGTACTCCACACCTTGCGACGAGGCGATATCTGCGACTCGAAGAATCGCGGTCTGTGCGAGGTCTATTGGATCCTCGATTTCCATCCTGACAACATGATGCTCAAGGACCACAGGAAGGAAGAACTGGAAGTAAATGTCTTGTTCAAATCAGCCGAGGCGATGGATGGTGCGGGGTACGTCAGCCCAGAAAGATACCAATCCATACACACTCAACCAAGTGCGATCAGGATAGAATATAGCGGGTTGTTTGGTCCAGGAGCTGCTAATTTCTGATTTTTGTCGATTCTTGGTTGGTTTTTGCGGTCCATATAAGGCAGAAGCCGTAGAAGAACTAGGTACTTCGGTAAAAATATTGATCAGTAATATTGGTCGAACCTCCAGGACTTGAAAGCTCTAGTATTCGAGAAGCCTACCACTTGCTAAAATCTTAGAGACTTCTTCCTGCGTCAAGTTAATATCACTTAGATTGTACGCTTTATTGTAGTCCCAGTAAATGACACATCCGCAACCTCTTACCTCGTCAAGAGATAGTAGATGCATACTTGCCCAGGGAGGCAACCGACACACTGATTAGACATTGCCAGCAAGTCCTGCAAGCACATCTATAGGTAGCCGGGTCTTAGAATTGACCTTATTCTCGGTGGTGGAGCGGTGGGTAGTGCTTTTTTTTTTTCCATACGATAGGCCCAGAGTTCAAGGAGCATGCCGAAGAAGGTGACGATACTGCAGATATACACATTAGTTTTCGCCAATCGACAGCAAATGAGATAATTCAGGCCACATACAAAGCAAGGAAGATGAAAGCTTCAAGCCTTTCCCTTCGATACACTTTAAAATAGTATTGATCGGTGCGAAGGTTTACTCCCACGCCTTAGCGTAGGGGACTAAAGTATCTCGTGATAGTGGGAACCCTATGGATATCACTACTTCAAAGGCCGCAGTGATTCTCAAAAGGAATAATGAGGATGATAGAGAAGATAAATGGTTTCTTTTGAATGTAAAGGAAGGAATATAACGGAATAGAATCAAGGTTGAAAAGCCTCCCCGATTGGCTCCATTGGGCATCGGACTAACTCACCAAATGAACTCCGATGCTTTCCTGCTTTCATAGCCTTATAGATTTTGTTTTGATTGCGAATCTAAAATAGTAGGTCACCCGTGATCTACGGATCACAAACAGAATCAGGTTTAGGAATCTAAAAATCTCGATTTCGGAATAAAATTCTATATGTTCGGACTAGATATCGGACTACCCACACTTGTGCATCCCATGTTTTACAACCCACGTAGTGAATTCTAGACTAATAATAATACTGGTCAAAATTATTCCGACTCATCTCATTATTTTTTATGCTTTGATTTCGAATTTTCGACCTCATCCTTTTAAGCTTTGGCGCAAAGCCACAAACGCGCTTGAGTCATCCAAGCCACTTCGTAAAATCGTCACACCTCAGCCTCCAGGCATTGAACATTCGTATGCTTGGAAATCAAGCAGATCAGTTGATCGGAATATAGACATTCAACTGATTTGTAAAAAGGGATTTATCATTTTCGCTACTTCTAGAGTAGGCCGTTGTCAACCGACAGAAGCCTATTCTTGCACATTGCGGAGTACATTCTGTGTACGGAGTACTCCGTAGTATACCTGAAATAATATGTAATCTTCCCTTACATGCTAAATCGACTAGATTGCCATCTGGAGTTCATAAAAGCTCTTTCGGACAAGATCTAGACTTGAACTCCGAAACGAGAAAACATCTGCATTAGTCTCAGCCTCTCGGCGCTCGATCTAACACGTGGATAGTAAAACTCAGGGCCACACGAGAACTAAAAATTAACTGCGCCCTTTCGCGAGATATTTCTGAACGAGGAAAACTTTACGAGTTATATAGCAAAGGGCGCGCGAACAATTACCGTATTAGGAACCCGCATTGATCGGGATCATCATTTGGATATACAAGTCGTAGAGTGATTTATAAGATATTCTTGAATTTTTACACTCATGTACTCCATTGGAAATTTCGAGTAGCTCATATATCAGATATTCTTAGCTTTCCGCCTCTAACCTCGTATAGTCCCCTGCCAGTAAAACTTCAACTCCGAATTTTACTCCGATCGTTAGCGGCTCCACACATAGGGCGGCTGTGACTGACGTCTTTCTGAGGCTATTGCGTGTAGATTTTACAGAGCAAAGCTTCTAGACTCGATGTATACTATGTGTGCTTAACTTAGTGGGGCTCTGGCGTTTTGAGATTTTTTTCTTTTTCGGAGTGACAACCTGGTACGGAGTAGATGATGTGTGTGGTGATCGCCCAACATCTCTATATAAAGACCGATGAACATCCCGTAGAAAGAAACATACAATTCCATTCCATTGCAAAGCATCAGATCTCAAAGATCAAAAAGCGACATCCTCCTCGCAAAATCCCTCGAACTATAAACGCCAAACCAACCCATACTTCGGTATACATCCATTATCAGCGAACCCTCAGTCCTCAAGCAATCGTTCAAGATATCCCAAAACACACACACAAAACACCAAACACTATCCAAAATGTTCTCCAACTCCTCCAACTCCTCTTCAAAGACCACATCGAGCGCAGCCTCGACACACTCCACCGTCTCCACTGCCACAACTCTCAACACACGCGACGCATCAATCAAGAGCCCCAAATGGTACTCGCTCGGCTCGAAGTCTTCGGACTCTGATTTCGAAAAGAATGCCGCGAGTATTGAGAAGAAGAGACTGCACAACGAGGCTCTTGCCAGCTACCTCAGCATGCGCTAAATGGTTCGAAACAATCGATGCATTTACTTCTGCCTCGACTGCTATTACACGGGCTTGATCTACTTGCGATACGAATGAGATGCTTGGAGCTCTTATATTTCTTGTCCTATGTCTGTTTTTGGGCTTGATTTGTTGGATTTGCTTCGATACTATGCGCTGCGTCGATTTCTGGGTGCATGTTTTCGCCCCTTTCGCTTCAACGATGGAATGATTTGGATACCACATACTGTGTTTAATAATTTGTGATTTGCTTCTATGTCTCAATGTGTTTTGCCTTGGTGACTTTTAACGGTCATTGTCTGGACTGGTTGGCTGATATACTTGTTGGTGCTCAATATACGTAGAAACATAAGAATATCTTTGTTTAATTCTTTCCCAGAATTTGTTCTTGCTCAACGGAAATTCTCATGTGTATCTCAATTATTGAGTAGCGTAGTATATAGCGTCCAATATTCAATAGCTCGTATGAAAAAGTAATCATTATGGAAGGTGTGCAACAAATGCACGATAAGTAAACCCCCGTACGCCATGACAAAACGCTCAAAGAAGGCAACTTGGAACCCTATGCATTTATTACAACCCAGCCATCAACTCTCCCATCGATATCGGTTTCCGGACCGCATTCGAGAAGCCTTCGTGGAAAGTAACCCAGACTTTCCGTCCAGCCTTAGACGACTCATCAGCCCAGGCATCTGGATTGTTTGGATCATTAGGTTGTGGCGCAGGCTGCTCAACCTGCCGACCAAAGAAGTCACGTTTGACAGCCGCATCCTTTATGATCTTGGCCGCGGCCGTATCTGCGGAATTCCTGGCACCCTTGGTACCGAGTTCAGATGCGCCTATGATATCAGACTGCTTGCGCGTCGTCGCCTTGCGATACTCTTGGTCTAGCACCTGGCGGACGGCATACCGCACCGGCGCCGTGCCACCCGAAGCTTCGATGGTACTACCTTTGATCTTCGAGAAGACCACAAGTGAGTCGATTGGTCTGTTTGAAGGTACATTAGCTTGATATCAAACAGAATGTTTGAAATACACTCACGGTTCCATTCGGTATGCCCATCCACCATGGCTTCCTTCATGTTCCACTCGGACTCTTTCAAATGTCACACCCATTCCGGTCATGACACGCACGGTAGACTGAACGAGGGCACGTTCGGTCTCTTTGCGGACGGTGGCGGTGCTTCTCTGGTCTCCGTTTCCGCGGATGATGACCGGTTTGACATCTGGTGACAGCATGCGAATCAAGTAAGGCACCAGATCTATGATAATACTTTCATTTGACCGGAAAAGGCGAGCCATAGGTGCCGAAAGGGAGGCGTGGAATGCAGTCATGGCCGCACGGTTCTGCTTTTGTGCTTCGAAGGCAGCAAAGTCGGCTTTGGGCCCTGAGAAAGGATGGGGCTCTTCGAGTTCTTCTTCATCATCGTTCTTGTCATCCTCGGTGGTTCTGCCAGTAGCCGTAGCGAACAGATGGTGGAATGCAACAACCGACTGACTAAGGTATGGAATCAGTTCCCATTCTTGAGATGAGTGGACTTTAGAGCTGATAGAATCATGGAAATGAAGCCAGTCATGGGCGGCGTTTGGTTTGGAGAAATAATTATCATCCTGATACTGCTGGATGGGATATGAAGCAAAGCAGTCTGATACACAGCGGTCATGATCACCGCTGGAATCGACCATTTCCCTCAATCGGTTGATGGCGTGTCGCTTGCGCAGGTCTGCCACGCCGACGGGAATACGGCTGTTCGTGGTATCAAAGGGATCTTGGAAAGTCATGCCAACAGGAGTATCTGAGAAGCCAGCTCCCTCTGTGAACACACGGTTCACAATCTCACGAACACCCCCACGACTTAACTCCTTGAAGAACGCGCTACCCTCAGCCGACGCATTGAGAACTCGGTTCTCCAGCCAATTCCTCGTCAATCTGAGCGAGGATGGCAACGACTCATTTCGAAGTTTGTGCGCGACAAATTCTGCGGCAACAAGCACGCTACGAATATCGCCCTCAGAAGACCCTTGGGTTTTGGCATTGCGATTCCTTTTGCTCGCCATACCCCAGGCTGCTTCGCAGAGTCTTCGAGCCCCATCACTGTCACAGGGGATGCCTTCGCGGCCAAATATAGCCTTGACTCGTTGAACAACATTCTCCAATGGTGCTTGGCGGACACTGATCATCTCTGCAATCGACGATGCTCTGAGAGGTCGGAGACTACTATGATAGAGGTCATTGCAAACCAAAATCAACGGCCGCATGAATCTGAAGTTGTCGCCCTTGCGCTTCTTGCCATTGTTACCCTCCGAAGACGACTTCGCGTTCCGTTGATCAAGCAAAACAAGGTCAATGAGGGCCTTCATGAAACCGCCCTCACCACCACTTCCAGAACCACCAGTTACACCATCGACTTCGTCCACCACGACACATACAGGTTTACCGGCACGGCGGACCTTTTTCTCACCAACCTCCACGTTCATGCCTTTGACGTTCTCGGTTCCCAGCGCATCACGAATGCGGCCTTTGACCACATCCCTGCTGCGGTCATCACTTGCGTTGATTTCAAGTACTTCGAAGCCAGCCTGTCTGGCACATACATGCGCTAATGTCGTCTTTCCCAGTCCAGGAGGGCCACTCAATAAAAGAACCTTTCGATGGATATACTCTTCCTCATCATCCCGGGTAGGTTTTTTCGCTCGAGACTTGGCTAGACCAGGGAACACAATTGACTCCCACCCCTTAAGCCAGCGTAGGACTGATCGATGGGTGCGTTCATCTCCGATGAGATCGGTAAACTTACGAGCACGGTATTTCTCTGTCCACATTGCAGAGTCGATTTTTTTTCTGCTTTGAGCTCACATTGGTCGCTTCGATGGTTTGCTGGACTGGGATTTGAGGGACTGTGGTCTTAGGCTTTTCGTCGTTGGCGGCATCGTCCAACAACTGATGGATGTCGATACCGTAATAGCTCTTCTTCGCTTTTCCAGGTTCTGTCTCAGACCGACTGGCGATCATTTGCTGGTATGAGACTGGCGCCTGGGTCTTCCTTTGCGGGACATTATGGGTCTTCCCAGCACAAGTCTTGATCTGGAACCTCTTGGGGGCCGTTGGAGCGGGCCGGGGTGTCAGTTGGAACGGTGTTTGGGAAGAGCTAGATGTAGCATTGGTCGTCTCGTTTAGGTTCGTAGATTCCGGCAGCCGTGCCAGTATACTAGGGAGTTCCGCCGGAGGCTCCTGGAAGAAATGCTCGGGTAGGTCATATTGATTCTTCATCTGCTCTTCCCGGAAAGCAGAGAGGTCTTCTTCTTCGTCATCGTCATCATCCACGAAGCCTCCAACCATGCGCTGGCGTTTTGGCTCCGTCGGCTCCACGTCTCCCTCCGCATTTGTGACTTTTCTCTTCTGCGAATCGTTGGTCGCATTGCCAGACGTAGGTGCAAGCGCGCCCGGGGACGCTATGAACGGCATTCTCGGTACGGGCGGTGACGACGGCATGAAAGAGAGATTTTGAGTAGGAGTGCGAGAAAATGATCTTGGGGTCGTAACGTTCTTCGTTGGTGTGTCTACTTTGTGGTTGTCAGTGCCACGATATCAGGCAATGCGGGATTGGGAGCGCAAACCAGGTCTTATATCGTCTTCACTGCGGAACACATCAGATAGATCCCACGCTCGATGTTGAATCACGACTCGATTGCGGGTTTGGTCGCAGCGGTGCAAGTATATTGCCTCGAGATCGTCGGAGAATGATTCGGACGGCGGGTTTGGGTTGTCAGGACCCTCGGAGTGGAGATGAATTGCAGGATCAAACGAGGATAAGAATGATGGCGAGGAGGGAAGCATTCAAGCGTTCAGATATCTCATGTCATTGAATGGTCTCCGATGTAATTCCCCTCTGATAGACGCGCGACGCGTGCAGAACACGCTAGTCCCGTTTTGGGCGCATAGTCCTTTTACCAGTTCTTCTTCACGACCGTGTCGACAAATGTATTTATTTAAGCAGTATTTGATTCCTGGACTAGACTCTTTCAAAATTACAGAGTGAGATTCAAATTGTTCGATTACTTCCAAGAAAATAAGAATCAGATCAAAAATGAAGGAAATTTGGTATTGTAGACCAAACCAATCGGTTCTAGTCCTCTAGTCAATGGTATACTGTACGGTTCATTTAACAGACAAAAAGGATGCATGCACCGGCCTGCTCGATAGGTCATGATACAAAGGAAAAAGTCTTCGTGCGACCAAATTAGGCACTCTTGACCTTCTCGGTCAGCTCGGGCACCTTGTCGAACAGGTCACCGACGAGGCCAACGTCAGCAACCTGGAAGATGGGGGCCTCGGGATCCTTGTTGATAGCAGCAATGACCTTGCTGTCCTTCATACCAGCCAAGTGCTGGATAGCGCCGGAGATACCGGCACAGAGGTAAAGCTGAGGGGCAACGTTCTTACCAGTCTGACCAACCTGCAGACTGTTATCGGCGAAACCACTATCAACAGCAGCACGCGAAGCACCAATAGCAGCACCGAGGGCATCCGCCAGCGGAAGCATGACACGGTCAAACTCTTCCTTGGACTTCAAGCCGCGGCCGCCAGACACGACACGGGTGGCTGTAGCGAGTTCCGGGCGCTCTGACTTGGTCAATTCCTCGGAAACCCACTCGGTCATCGCGGGAGCGTTGGGGTCCGCTCCGTCGACGACCTCAGCGGAACCGCCCTCGATCTCAACATCCTGGAAGGCTGTGCCTCGCACTGTGATCACCTTGACATTGTCGGTGGATTGAACGGTCATGATCGCATTGCCGGCGTAGATGGGACGGACGAAAGCTAGATCATAGTCAGTGGCCGGATCACATGTCAAATTTCTTTCTCGGCTTTCCACATACTGTCCTCGCTCTCGATGCCAGTGATGTCTGAAATTTGCTGAACATCCAAGAGAGCAGCCACGCGGGGCAGCAGGCTCTTTCCGAAGGCAGTGTGGCCTGCAACAACGTGGGTGAATTCGCCCTTCTTAATGTTCTCAACGAGAAGAGGAGCATAGTTTTCTGGAAGGCCCTATTGTACAAGAAATCCAATTTTTAGTTCCTCCTATAGAAATTAATTTTGGGGGGAATCTTAGGTATATACCTTCTCGTATGCGTCATTATCCACGGCGAACACCTTCTCAACGCCCTTAATCTTAGCAGCCTCGGCAGCCGAGGTACCCTTGACACCGGAGCCAGCAATGAAGCCCGTTACTGAGCCACCCAGCTTTTGTGCAGCCGCAATTGCGGATAAAGATGAAGATTCCAGCTTGCCATTGCGCTGCTCGAGAACGGCGAGGGTCGAGAGGAGGCGGGCGAGTGCCGAAGAAGCGGGCTGGCTCAGCTTACTGGTGGGTTGGAGCTGAGAGCGGGCAGCCCGCAGGACAGAGTGCCTGGCGATCGGAATCATAATGACAACTTGGTGAAATGGTTTGGAGTTGTTCTTCCAGGCGAGGGGGAAGAGCAAGATTGAAGCTCGGCGATTCACGGTGATGTGACTCTGGGTGGCTATCGTCGGGATGCCAAGACTGACTCCCCGAGGTCGGACTCGGTTAATGCGGCGATCATATACAACAAGACAAGACAGGACTATTCATTCTTCAATATGACGCATGCGACGGCGATATAAATGACTTGATATGTGATGTTTGTATCGCGATTCTTAAGTTCGCCTACCGCTAATCTGTAAATTGATTTCGATTACTAGCACAATATAGATTGTCGGAACAATAGACACGTGATATTTTGTACGCCAGAAATACCTTTACATGCAGAAAACATTAAGAGCTATAACAATCATGAAGTCGACTTTCTCTTCTTCTTGCCACCAGTCTTCGTTGCGGTGGGCTTGCTTGTGTCACCGTCCTCGAGAGCCTGAGCCTTGAGCTGCTGGAGCTTCTCTTTCCGCGCAGCCTGGGCCGCAGCCTCCTCCTCATCTTCTACGGACTTGGTCTTCTTGGTTTTCTTCTCCTCAAGTAGCTTGCCGTCTCCAGCGGACTTGCGCTTCTTGGAATCCTTGATAGCTTCAGTCTCGGGGGCAGCTTCCAGAACGTTGGCATCCTCCACCCACAACTCATCAGCGAGCCAAATGGGCAGGGCCATGGTGTTGGCACCCTTGATGTGAAGAGCCTTGATATTTCTCCAGCCCTTTGCGACGAACTTCTCGGTCAACCCATTGACGACGGCGGCAATATTCTCAGACAACTGCTCGGGTGTGAACTTGGACGATCCAACCCGGACGGCAGCAGTGGTGGATGGTGCGAGTTGCACCGAGGCGCAGTTCAGGGTACGCTCGATCTCCTTGGCGACAATGAGAGGAGAGGCGAAAGAAGCGTGCTTCTCTTCCTTGGCGGTAGAGTTGGGCACCTTGGGGTCCTTCTTGACCCGCTTGCCGTCCACCTTCTCGATCTCGGCGATGCGGATGGGAATGGGGCGCTTGCTAGACTTGTAGAAGATCTTTCCGAGAGTCTGCACCAGGCGCATGGCGATACGGTCATCAGCCAGGAATACATCGTGTTCGGCAAACAGTTGACGACGGCTCTCGAAGCTCTGATAGCGGGCCTTTAGTTTAGAGAAACCAATGACCTTCTCGATGCGGGATGAAAGACCCTGGGGGAAGGATGGGTCGGCAATGATATCTTTAACGCCACGCTGGGGGTCGGCAGTGATCAGACAGATGCTGAGGGAGGGAGATGTGTTGAGAGAGTGAGGGATGCTGATTTTGCCGGGCTTCAGGCGGTTCTTGTCGACCACATGCTGCTTGGTGGTGAGAACGAGCCAGATGGCTTCGTTCTTGGTCGCGCTGTTCTCGTCATCGGAGTCATCGTCGCCAATCAGAGTCTTCTTGGTGCTGTTCTTCTCCTGTTCCTGCTGGGTAGACTTGATGTGCTTCAACAGCGCGGTGGAAGCTTTGAGGGCCTAATTGAGGTAAGATAAGTACTTTGCGCATTTGGATATTGGGAGTCACTGATACTAACCTGGGGTTTATCAAGCTGGTAGGGGGAGCCTGAGGTCACCTTCGAGGTGAGTTGAGTAGTAGAGGAGCCCATTTTAGTAAGTTGTACACTCGATGAACATCTCCAATTTTTTTGCAATCATATCGGGACTCAAAAAAATTTCGGAAGGCGGTGGCAGTTCATCCGTGCTTGGCAGTCCAGACCCCGGTTGGTGCCTGAGGCCTTTATCTATTATCAAGGGATGGATAGGATGTTGATAGGCTGGAGAATCAAGTCTCGCCAAAAACATTTCCAAACAAGCTTGAATTGCTACGCTGAGCTGAGTTCGGGGCTAGACAAACAGTGAACCTTTGACTCGGTGAAAAAAATGAATTACAGTCCGCCAATACACTATTCGCCGACTTGAGCTCATTGGCCATCTACTTTGATGGGAATGATAAACGTGTGACCTGCCAATTTGCAGCATGTACCACGCCTCCCCAAGTACTCTGGGAACTCGTGATTTTCATCTCCAGGCTCACTATAATGACACCAGTACTCTATACTCCGCATGGGGGAAGATTAGGTCATACATGGGACTATAAAGGTTGTGACGGTGAGGGAGTGACAACGATATGTGAAATCTGAGGATCCTGTCGGGCTGTTACCATTTGCTCTAGGTGTGACCCTGAATATGAAGGATAGGGTTGGTTCTATTTTCGGAGCTTTATATTGTAGGATGACTCCAAAGCGGCTCATGAGCGTGCTTGGATGCGTTACGATATGCTTTGCGGCTAGAATAAGCTCGAATGTCACCGAGATTTCAGGCTGTTTCATATTATCTAAAAATATGAAGCACGGGTGGAATACTCCCTCGCTTCTCCAGGAAATGGAATCTCTCAAAATCCTGATCGCCACCATATGGAGTGCCAAGTCCAGCACGGCTTAGGTTCCCTATTTATAGACAACTGGGTTTGATCTCTGTGTAGATCATACCATTATTGTCACATATGTATGTTGTTAACTAGATTGAACTAGTTTTATGGGAAATGCCCCATTTGAAGTTGCCATACGGAGTAGATATTTTGTTTATTTCAATGTTAAGGTGACTGAAGATAAGAAATTTCATGTTGCACGCCGCAAAGCACAGTAAGCCGTGATAAAATTGAAAAATGGAACATATGCGAAATGAAATTTAATTTACATGATACGAACGGTGGTCCTCGAGAAGCCGAACCGTAGACAGTCTCCAGTTTTATTATATAAAAAAAATGCTTGAATGTTGGCAGGACGGAGCGTTATAGAGATATATCTATCGACATACCAGGCCGAGATAATGTTCCCAGTATGAAGTATACTATACATATCCTAAGAAGCTGGGCAAGCCTTTTACACTAACATATAACCTAGGTGTTCATAAGTGATAACTCAATCTGCTTTAAAGCACCAAGTACGGAGTAGAGAAATGAGGTCAAGTCAGCAGATGGTACAATCACGGCAACAGGCACCACTCAAAAAAGGATCGGAAAGATCGGAGGACTGTGGAGCTGAATATTCTACCCGAGAAGGCAGCTTTCATGCCTTATTAGCTTGAATTGTTTACTTGAATATAAATGTAGCAACTGTGGGTTAAAGTAGCATTTGCACGTCAAGACAAAAACATGCCCTCATCAGATACCTTGTCTTGGCCGATCTACGTTGTATGGAGAACGAAGAGAACGTGGAATACTGTCAGATGTTTTCGTTTTCTGCGTATGTTGAAGTAATTATCGATACAATAATACATTTAGTAATTTAAAGCTTTGCTAGAGCGTGCTATGACGCGGACAAGGCGAGCCATCCACACAGTAGGATTAAGATTGCTGTGGATCGACGAGTCCGTCGGCCTCTAGCTCGCCTATCACTATTCTACAGAGTGGCCGATTGTCAAAAAAGTGGATGGGCGGAGTAATCGTCTGCTGGAGAGGAGTATGGAGATTATGGAGAAATGAGTGAATTTAAGTCGCGTAGTCGTCATCACTGCAGACCGTGATTATAGCTCAAAGCTTAGGGAGTACAATGTACTCGGTACCCCGTACCTCCTGACTATTTGGGGCACTCGTACGGAGTACTCCGTATGTTGCATAGTAGTTGAGATATAGATCAAGGCTAATATTTAATTTCATTTACGACGCCATGGGCAGGTTTGATTTGTGATGTTATCAAACTGGTATTGGATTGGTAGGCTGGAATTTCAGTCCAGTTAAAGTGGAATATGAACCGGACTAGGACCCGAGCGCTAGAACAGTCAGGGGAAATCCCCTTGCTGGCTATACACACCGCACCTGTGAGTCTTGGAAAAGCTGGGCGGGGACAAAGTAGATCGATCATGTTGTCAGGGGGTGAAAGCCCTCTCGCCCTTTAAGTCGCCCTTGAGATGTCAAAATTGAAGAGGTCTATAAAAATTGTAAGTTGAACAGTATTGAAAAAGAAAACAAAGCAGGATACTACTCCGTACTCCGTACTCGGTAGGTATAGCACATCAGGACTCGGAAGGTCAGAATCTCCATAAAATTCTCCTGGGTACCCATGGATACGCAAGGAATTTCGGCAAGCCATGTGAATATTTGATTGGTGTACCTGAATTCTGGGGCCCAAACAAGGGGAATTCATCTATCTGATTGGCTCCTCCGGATACTTTTTAATCTCATTTTAACGCGCCCAGGGGAAATGTAAACAAAAAGAAAAAAAAAAGGCCTCATGACAGTAGAACTTCATAGGGGGGTTGACTGGACATATGAACTAGAGATATGATATTGAATATGCCAAGCAAACGAGTAGCATCCAGACTCTGTTCAGGGGGTTCCACTACTCAAGAGGTAGGGGCAGTGTAAGACAAAAGGGTACCTGCCCCTTTTCCCGTGACTATCACGCTAACGAGATTGGGAAATGAGATGAATCGCCCCCCCTCCTTTTTATCTCTCCTTGACTTCTTCTTCCCCAGTCCTCGCAGTCCTTTCTCGAAGTTTTCCCACACCAGAGGGATTCATTCTCTCCACATTCATTTGAAAACCACCGTCTTTTACTTGACTCTCTACGACAAACGCGAATACCCTTGATGTATGTGTTATTCCTTCATCTCTACAGATTGCAATACCAAGTCGCAATGTGATATGGTCCGGATTGTTGTGTACGCCAAAGAAAACACAACAGACGCGACATAGAGCAGAGACTCAATCGCGTCTACACTGGCGTACACAATGTGGAATATTGTGGCGCAAAAGCACCATACATGGATTTAACGGAACTAACACATAATCTTCAGCAGATTTTCACTACAATGAAGTTCCAGAACACCGTTGCCGCATTGGCGACGGCTGGCCTAGCCACTGCTCATGGCCACGGTCACGGCCACGCCCACAAGCGCGCTACTGAGACCGAGATCGTTTCCGTCCCCGGCCCAGTTGTGTATGATTTTGTTGTGTTGGATCCCGCCAAGGCCGGTGGTCCTCAGTCCATCACCATCGAGGAAGCCTGCAAGGGTCTTGCAAACAATGAGCTGGAGTGGCTCGGCTCTGCTGTTGCTGCTGCTTGCGAAAATATCAGCACGACCACCGTCAAGCCCACCTCGACTTCCACTTCCGCCCCAACAACAACCGCTACCGTTGCCCCTGCCATCCTTCAAGAGACCTCGGCTGTTATCAACCCCCCCAGCTCGACAAGCACAGCCGAGCCCACCACTACCAAAGCCGCTGCTCCTACTCACAGCTCTTCCAGCTCGAGCTCTGGTGCCAAGGGCCTGACCGCCGACTTCCCCGATGGAGAGATCGACTGTGGTGACTTCCCTTCGGATTACGGTGCTGTTGCCCTCGACTACCTTGGTCTTGGTGGTTATTCCGGTATCCAGTACGTCACTCTCTTGGATGACGCCATCAGCGATATTGTGACCGCCGTTACTGGTGATGAGTGCCACCACGGTGCCATGTGCTCCTACGCTTGCCCACCTGGATACCAAAAGTCTCAGTGGCCCACTGTCCAGGGGTCTACCGGCCAGTCCGTTGGTGGTCTTGAGTGCAAGCTCAATAACAAGCTCTACCTCACCAACAAGAAGCACAAGCAGCTTTGCATCCCTGGCGTTGGTGGTGTTCACGTCAAGAACAAGATGAGCCACGACGTTGCCGTTTGCCGTACTGATTACCCTGGTACCGAGTCTGAGACCGTCCCTCTCTCTGCTTCCCCTGGCACTGTTCACGATCTGACTTGCCCCAACGGCGATGACTACTTCTTCTGGGAGGGCAAGGTCACCTCCGCTCAGTACTACGTCAACCCCAAGGGTGTGTCCACCGAGAAGGCTTGCCAGTGGGGTGATGGCACCGAGCCCATCGGTAACTGGGCTCCCATCAACCTCGGTGTCGGTTACACCAAGAATGGAAAGTTCCTGTCCATCTTCCCCAACACCCCGACCACCAACAAGCCCCTCGACTTCAACGTTAAGCTTGAGGGTGACAACCTCAGCGATGAGTGCCGTTACGAGGATGGCAAGTTCTACGACTCCAAGGGTCCCATCAGCGGCAACAGCGGCTGCACAGTAAGTCTTTTTTGTCACAATCATCTAGCTCTGCAAAGTTCCATACTAACCTATCTCTCCAGGTTGGTGTCACCTCCGGCAAGGCCTACTACGTCTTCTACGACTAAACGTCGCAACTGCTTTTTGGTTGGCGGCAGGTCTTACACTACCAAGCGAAACTCGATGAGCTTCCCACGCTCAAATTACACCAGGGCTAGCAGAGCTCCCACTCTCATCCCACTTCCCTGTGTGCATCTGTCTATATTCACGGTTTCATATTCGAAGGATCATCATTCTCTTCTGTGTATCTTAAATTCTATTTTGTTTCATGTGTGACTGGGCCCTAAATCCAATCCTCGTTGCATCCTTTTGTTTCATTTCTTATGACCATATTTTCCCCCCGGTCAGACACATTGATGGGAGCGATATTTTTTTTATTTGACGGCTAGATTTACCTTCTTTATCTTCAAGTACCAATCAGTTCTTGATTTCAAATCTATCCCTCGTTCCCTCCCCTTTCATCTTTGTATTGGTGACCGGAGCTTCTTACCCCATCTTCTTCGTTGGACTCTTGGTTACTTGTTCCATCATGTGCTTCGCTCGAGGTGAAGATGTTCGAGTGTATTGAGTGGTTTGACGGGGCAAATCATGGCACACAGCTGGTTCTGTAACAGTCGGTTATCGGCTGGCCACTCTTGACTTGGCCTGGCATCCAGCCAGGAGTGATCTAGTCCACCAGATATGCACTTTCTATCTTGATACAACTATCTTCTTTATCCTTCGAATGATACCCTGCAGCTTTCTTCCATATTTTCTCTCCCATCCTAGGCGCTAAAGTTAGCTACCTATCCTAACAGTATGTTGTAGTCAATACAGGGGTCCCCTGCGAAACTACATCTTACATAAACTTCAAATTAGCAATGTGTGACATGTACCCTCCCAGATGTCGTTATTTTTGAGCCACTTTCAATTCTCCACAATATGAGGGGTTGGCTAATTATTGGTGTGGCGACAAGCGCTTGTATGTGACACATCGCATATCTAATGAAACGCTAGATGCACAATCCCACCCCGGTAGTTATAGCATGCATGGTTGCGTCATTACTCCTATGCCTGTTGGCAACAGAAGTAATTTCAGTTAACAATTCACATCGCAACTTGCTTGAAAGAATTTGAGTATGATTTAGGTCATACCAAATTAGTGATTCCAACTGATCACGTGCCGATATATATAGGAGGGAAGCCCTAAGTGATCGCGACAGTTAGGCCCCAAGGTTTTTGGTAGAAGTACAACATCGCATAACTGCCACTGCCACCAAGATAGAACCCATAACTTGACACCGTGTGGGAGCATTGACTTTGGAAATGGGTCTGAAGATACCATGCTATACACGGGAGAAGTTGTTTTTCACAACTTAGTCTTCTAGAATATATCTTCATATAGACATCTAAGCAGAATATCCTAGATGACCTCTGGGAAGAAACTACAAGGCCGTATATTTATTGCCGTTTACTCCGTACTCATTCAGTTGATAATTTATGTAAAATCGATTTTCTTTGTATAAATCTTGAATTAAACACTTTGCGCTACACAGATGGTAACCTCTCTCTCTCTCTTGATCTGCGACCGGGAGATATTATGCATCAGGAATCCTTTTTCTTCCCCACGCACGTTTCTTTCGAGTCTCATAGAAAGATCCAAAACATTTATCAGGTATCTGCACCCACTTAGTCAGGTTTGCCGGTGACGTGCCATTTCTGGCGATGGTTGGGCTATGACCACTTCTTACAACAGTTGTATTCATTTTTTTTGCTGCCATAGGTGCTGGCAGAGATATCTGGATGTTTAGGATCAAGGGGGTATATCTCACCTATATTTAGTTTCCGAGATTTTGAAGGAGAAGAGCTTGAACTGAAGAGGCAGAGTCAGGCGTGGAACGACATTACAATCTAGAGGAAAGGCAGGCTGAAAGCTAATCTGAGACTATTAAATCGCGGCTTTGTGGTCACTAGTAAGGCGAAAACGAGTGAGTTGAAATGAAATGGCCGATAAGGATATGCAGCATGCCAAAGAAAGGAATACAACAGCAATCATTGACCATTCCTGCAGCTCGAGGGAAGGGGCCAACAGTTTAAATAAGCAAAAATACACTATAGAGCTAGAGTAGGAAATGGTCAATTACGTCGGTGTTTTGTATTACATGCCGTTATGGTTTAGTATAATTTTCACCTTGTATCCTTTTATATAACCGTCAAAGCACATGCGTTAGACCTATATATTAGGCAAGGGGATTTTGTGAGAGGCCTAACTTCACAGCTATTATGAAATCAGGTCAATTGCCCAAGAAGATTCTTCACTGGAATTTCCCAGCCCTGGTGAAGACCGGTGAGGTCAACGATGACAGAAACGTAGCAAAAAACCAATCTACCCGAGGCCCCACCACTTGTCAACAAAAGCTCCAGTGCAAAAACTAGGGCATTTTGTTGCTTTCCTTTTTCTTTTTTGTACTAGGTATGATTGATCAGAAATTCTAGCCCATATGCCCTTGGGGAGATAGTTATATGTTCTGATTGAGGAGAATTCAGGTTCAATATGGGGTCGGATAAATGGCTGGGAGACGCGACGAGGTGACCGGTGATCAAATTGACTGTAAGTGGGGGGCTTGAGGGGGGGTTAGGGGCTTGCATTTTCTGCTGGGAATTTATTGTATACCCTAGTACTACATATCGTACTTCGTACTAGATTACTTGCTAGGTATCAGTCCGGGGAAACCTGCTTAGATTTCACCATTAGCTTCTGAAAGTCAGTTAGGCTGGATATTTAAGATAGAAACTATGTTGCACTCATTTTTTGAACTCGTCCAAGGGGTGATCGGCTAGACAATATCAATTTTGAAGTCAATACCATTCCTGACACATCCTTAAACCCGATTTACTGTCTCGCGTGGGGTCACGTGTTTTGAGACGCGGACGCGCCGCAGTGTATAGACTTGACAGCACGCATTCAGAGGAAACAAATCTCCAATTCGCGCCTTTTCACGTTTTAGTCTCTCAATTTACCAATCACTAATTGTACAATACCTAGAGGAAGCAATTGAATTCGCGAATCTGCAGTGGAGCGTGGTTGGCGCCTATCGAACGCGTCTCGGGCTGTAAGCGTGCATTTCCGCGCAGGGTGGACAAGACGCCTCCGCCCCAGGGCATTCCACCACCACACACCTTTCGACCTTTTTCTTCAATGCTTCTCCTCCTTACTCCTTGACCAATTTCTTTCATCCCACCACGCCCTTTTCTCTAGGGGAGGCCTTGAAGTCTTTCTCTTCTTCAAATTTCTCTAGCTTCTTCTCTGTGTTCCTATAACACGCGGAGACGCGGGTCCTCGACCTCGACTCAGGTTTTTTTTTCTCGTGAGTAGGAGAGCTCGTTTGACTTCGTCTTACCTTTTTACCATGGAGTCCTCTCCGTTGAAGAGCCGAGTTGGCTCTATCTTGGGCGCAAAACGTCCTGCAGCTTTACTGCCTGCCTTCGAACCCAGCTCGTCGCCCTCCCTTCCTCGGCCTCAAAAGCGTGTAGCACGCGAACCAGATGTCTCGACGTATCCCACCCCGGTCCCGACCTCGTCAACCCATATTATGTCCTCTTCGCCTCCTCCTGGTGTTGCTGCCTCCCGACCCTCCCTGCCACGGTCCTTCTCTGCCGCTCTCGAACGTGCCCCCTTGTCTGCTGTGCCCGCCATAATGTTGTTGGAGAATGGGGAGCCTATTCTGATGGGAAGATCCAGTGTCTCGTGCCATCACCAACTCGCTGCTAGTCGAATGATCTCTCGTGTTCATGTCAAGGCTACATACAAGCCAGCTCCAAACCCTTTCGATCGGGATAGGGTTGAAATCGTGTGCATGGGATGGAATGGGATAAAGATTCACTGCCAAGGGAGGAAATATGACTTGGCTAAAGGAAAGACCTTTACCTCGGACATCAAAGACGCAGATATCATGATCGATGTCCATGAGGCCCGTGTGCTGGTTCAATGGCCTCGCAGCGAGCGAAGGGACTGCCCCTCTACAGACTCGGAACAGACCAGTGACGAAGCAACACCCACTCAGCGACGCCAATCTCGACGAGAGCTGCAGGAAAGTCCGCTTCTGGACCGCCAGCGTCTGGCCTCTCCTGTCTCCCCTTCGCCTGCGGCTCAACATGCTATCCCCCCATCCTCGCCAATTTTCACACCTTCTCGTTCTCGCGCTCCAGTTGTGGTGTTTGAGGATGAGCCCTCTCCATTGAAGCGTCACAACACCGTCACTGGAGTGATGTCCCAGAGTGCCCGTCGTGCTACTGCTATGCTTCACACTTCACGGGCAAGTGAGTCGAGTGACCTTGGTAGATCTGAAGAGTTCTCCGACAACGATGAAGAGAATGATCCTATCGTCCACTCCTTTGGACCATTCGGAGAGAACCTTCTTCCTCGTATGGCTTCTTTCCGGGCGGGTGATTCCCCCGTTCACACTGCTCGTTCTCCTCGCAGCCTGCTGCCCACTCAACCCCTCCAGCCTACCCGGTCCCCTAGACAGCCAGCCACCGTCCACGAGAACAGGGAATCAGAGACCCCCCGAGGCCAAGCCCCAGTACACCGACGAACGGTCCGAGAGAGTCCGCAACCACGCTGCCAATCAACTGGCCTTCTCTCGACTGTCATCCACGCCTTTCTCAACCATCTTGAACAATCTCCCTCCCGCGTACTGGAAGTCCGGCCACGAGTACTCCACCGGCCTCTCCAGGTCTGATATCCGCAACATTCTCGAATCGACTAAGTTCATTGGCAGAGTTGCCCGCGAAGGCAAGGACGCTGCTGGCAAACCACTTGAGAGTGAATATTACTACATCCCTGATGAGGATGACGATGCGATGCGCCGATCTGCTGTGGTGGATGATCTCCGTAAGCCTGGGTTGCGCAACTGTCGGAAGCAGCACAAGGTTAGTACCTCCATGTCCTCTATACATACATTGATGTACCTGAATCCTCACTAACTTGTTTCCAGCAATACTTCTGGCGCAAGCCCAAATGAATCATTGACCAAATAAGTTCCTATGTCTCTCCCCCGGATGGACTTTCTCAGTACATATTTCCAGTGATTCTTTGTCTCCCTAGCATCTAGGGAGACCCGCATAGCGTGGCGTGAGGCATACCCTGTTTTTAATTCACTATTATCAACATCCTTGTTTTTTTGTTTTTTTTTGCTTTGTTTTTGCTTGGTCTTATTACCTCGTTCCATTGCCGACGTGTATGATTTCTTGGTTTTCAAAAGCGCATGTGTATTGTGTTGGATATTCCGAAGTTGGTCTTTGGTTTCCAACAGGCCATGTTTTCCTATGGCCATCATTGGCTGTTTTCTTCTCTTTGTTTTTTTTTCGCCTATAGATCAGTTATTCTGATACCAGCTCCTGTGCTGAAGGTACCTCTATGCAGAGATACTTCGCCAGCTTGACCCTTGGTGTTTATCGGGACCATTGAAGTCACGCACTTCGCGGACTATGTATCCTACATCTGCTTTTGCCTCGTTGGTTTTGCCATTTTTGTCAGTCTGCTTTCCAATGGTTGAACGCACTCACGACTTGTATGTTAGCTTGTCAATTTCAATGTATCAGCTCGAACAATTTCTTACCTTGATACTGTATGGAATGCAATGGCGTAGCACCTAGGTGGTTGTTATGTCTTGTCAGCTGGCAAGACCAAAAGCAGATTAAGGATGCTGCATTGTTATCACTCATGCTAATGACATCGCAGACTTATTTAGCATCAACTCGGGTGGATCCAAGGTGATACAGTAGATGCTTGCTGCAGGCTTTCGCCATCGCTGTCTTGATATCACAACCATCTACAAAGAGGATACTTGACAAGCTTTACAATGATATACATACTGTAGTTGTGTGAGAAGCTATCGATGATGCTCCTCTATACCTGTACCATATCCGTTGCTGTACTCCTAGAGATAGCCTGATGTCTCTTCGCCACCTACACGTCATCTCCACCTCCGCCTAAATCCAGATGAGATACCTGCTTACGCCTTGTGAGAGGTTGTCCTTACATGTATCATCTCTGCAAATTACAGAATCTAATCTCGCCCATTGCCACACTGCACCTCTAGACCTTGCATACCCCGCACCGAAGAGATATAAAAGGACAAGCAGAGCTGTGAATACAACATTGAGGAATCCTGATATCGCTTTTTGAACCATCATAAGCTAGCTTCAACCGGTAGCTGGAAAGCTCTTACATCCCAACCTCGATCTTAATCTATCCAGAGCATTCAGAATGGCATTCGACAACCAAAATGATGAACATGGCCAATTCTCGAATACCGGCAAAGAACACACCGTCGTTCTGCCCTTTGCTCAGAACCCCAATCCTTCAACCGATACCACTGGATCATCGAGTCTCAATCGAGAGGACACATTTCTAGAGAAGTCGTGGAAACCGACTTTTGATCGCAAACATAGCTGGAGTAACGAGGACCGCAAGCACGAGATACAAGGACGATTGCACGGATCGGAGATGGGAAAGGAGATGGGATTTACAGAAGCGCATACGCACAGTGGAGTTTAGGATGGATTGAAACAGCATTTAGTGCTGCGATGATCGTCCTTTGGTGCAGGGTTATAGCACATGGTGGGACCTAAGGAAGCGGGGAGTTGGGGGAGAGGGTTGGGGATAATGAACCTTCCTTTATTCTTATCGAGTCTCGCAAAGGATGAAATTGTATTGAAATTGAAAGAATATAACAAGTAACGAGTAAGGAACGTTAAGATAAATGGCAATCGAGTAAAGTACAAGGTGAAGTTATCGCACAAGTCGGGTGGATAAATGGATAAGCAAATAAAAGTCCGCCTTCACCTCCGCCTTGGACCATTTGGACCTTTGGACCATTTGGACCTTTGGACCTTCGGACCTGCACCTCTTCACTTCAAAGCCCTGAGCTTTGTCTTCTCTTAGCTTTTCTTTTCCCCCAATGTGGCATTCACGTCACTTATGCGCTTTCCTCTCGGACATTCAGAAAGGACCCCACGATTGAGCCTGTGTGACACACAGCTATGGATCGCCAACGTAAAAGTACGGTCTGGCGCACCTCACCTTGGGGATTTTGACTGACGGTTGCGTTTTTTTTTTCTACTGTAGGGGAGCTTCGCGACCTAAACGAGCGAACCTGGGCAGGCGAATCTGGTGAGATCCCATCTGACTCCCTTTATGACGAAATGTCATTGCAGCCCACCTTTGAGGTGATTCTAATAATTCGCAACTAGATGTATTCTCCACTAGCAAGTCCCTCGACTCAGCACTCAAGAAGAACACCGCTTTCATCAAACGTCTACGCACTGGCATCAGTGCCTCCGCCCTGTCCACTTTCCTCGCCGATATCCGCACCCTCTCGCTCCACAAGTACCTTTCCGAGATCATTTCCGCCTGTTACGAAGGCCTGTGTAAACTCAAATCCCCCGGAGAAATTGCTGCTGGAGTAGAGGTCGTTAGTGCGCTGCATCAGCGTTTTGGCCCCTGGGAATTCACACGGCAGATCGGCTGGCTGCTCGGCCGCGGACTGAGCACACCGGATAAAGCGCAGCTCAAGGCGCTCAGCCAGGAGATCCGCGAACGCGAAGAGAAAGATCGACTGTCTCGGCACCGCGTTCTTCTCCGCGTTGTCACGGAGCTTTGGCTGGTCAATGTCTTGAAAACTCTCGATGACGTCGAGCGACCTGAGGAACTGGGTGCCAAGGGCAAGGAGGGAGCTGTTGGTATTGGGAGCAAGCCGTCCGATGCCCCGTTGAAAGCCAAGGCTCCCGCCGCTGGTGCGAAAGACCAGGACAAACAGGCTGACCCATTCCCATTGGAGGTTCTGAAGGAATTGCTTGGTCATGATCGTGATCATACAAACCTGCCCCTTGCAGTCTTGTTTGTGAAAAGTTTTAGCTGGGATATCGTCGGCTCAAAGCTTACCGAAGAAGGCAGAAAGACCGTCGAGGCGGATGGCGCTACTACCACTTCTGGCGCGGACGCGCAGACTCCCGAGACCAATGGGGATGCCCACCCGGAGACTGATTTGCCCCTGATCCCAGAGAAAGTCCAGCAGCGGTTTAGAAACATCCTGAACCGGTATCTTGAGGATGTAAAGGCCCACGTGGTTCGAGACCAGAGAGCGCTGGCACAGCAAAACCGCCGCAATGCCGAGGCATATGTGAAGAGTGGTGAGATCTTCGAGGACCGCCAGGCGAATTTCGAGAAGCAGTCCAAGGTCTTAGAGAAGCTCGTAGCCAATACTCAGGTGCTGTGCGAGGCTTTGGGAACCGAAATGCCCGATCTAGCTGAGAAGGAACCCACGGATGCTTCTGCCAGTGGTGGCATTGGCCTTGTGAAGACCACGGATTATCTACGAGGCCAAGGTGAAGGTGCCGGGATTTGGGAAGACGAGGAAGAAAGGCGTTTCTACGAGAACCTGGTCGATTTGAAGGGCAAGGTGCCTGCGGTTCTACTCGAGGACGGCAAAAAGAAGAAGAACGAAGGTGAGGAATCTGGTAAAAAGAAACCTGACGGCGAAACCGCCGACTCCGCCGAGCCCTCGGACGAGAAGTCTGCCGCGGAGGCTGATGACCAGTCAACTGCCATTGCCAGCAAGACTGTGGGTGCGCAGGTTGATGCCCTTCTTGCGAAGCTTCCCGAGTTGCAGACTAAAGATCAAGTCGATCAGTTTGCTCTGGATTTCTGCTGGGTCAATTCTAAAGCATCACGAAACAGGCTAGTCAAAGCTGTGTCGGACATCCCGAAGGGTCGCATTGATCTTTTGCCTCTATATTCTCGCTTGGTGGCAACGCTCGGACAGTACCTTCCGGATATTCCACAGGGACTGACCACGTACCTCGATGAAGAATTTCGAAGCCTGCAACGACGCAAGTCCAAGGAATTCCTCGGTCAAGTACGCATGAGCAATGTTCGCTACCTGGCTGAACTGACCAAGTTTGGTGTCGTTCCGGAGCATATCATCTTCCATTGTTTCAAGGTCTCACTTGACGAATTTTCGCGCATGAACATTGAGATTATCGGCCATTTGCTTGAGAACTGCGGCCGTTACCTACTCCGCAACCCCGACACCTCACCCCGGATGGCGTCTTTCCTCGAGACCTTGAGTCGCAAGAAGACCGTGCAGCACCTGGCCCAGCAGGAGCGGATGGTTATCGAAAACGCAATCTACTATGTTGACCCGCCACCACGTCCAGCGATCCAGCAGAAGGAGCGTACGCCCATGGAGCTGTACATCCGCCGGCTAATCTACCTGGATATGAACAAGCGGAATTACACAAAGATCTTGAAATCCATTCGCAAACTTCACTGGGAGGAGCAAGAGGTCGTCGAGATCCTAGAACGTGTGTTCAGTAAACCGGTCAAGGTGAAATATGGCAGCATTCACCTTCTGGCAATTCTTGTCAGTGCTTTGTACCGGTACCACCAGGATTTTGTGATCGGCGTTGTCGACAACATCCTGGAGCAGGTCACGCTTGGCCTTGAGCAGAATGACTTCAAGTTTAATCAGAAGCGTATTGCGGAAGTCAAATATCTAGGTGAGCTCTACAACTACAAGATGATCGATTCCCCTGTGATCTTCGATACGTTGTACCGAATTATTACATTTGGCCATGAAGGTGGTACCCCGGCTCCTGGAAAGATCAGTATGCTAGACTTGCCTGACGATTACTTCCGCTTGCGCTTGGCATGCACTCTTCTTGATACCTGTGGCCACTGCTTTGACCGTGGTTCTGCCAAGAAGAAACTGGATTTCTTCCTTGCCTTCTTCCAGTACTACTTATTCACCAAGGATCCGCTTCCCATGGATGTCGACTTCCTTGTCCAGGATACATACCACTCTATCCGCCCGCAGTGGAAGCTTGCTACCGATGGTGAAGAAGCGACCCGGATTTTTACCGAAGCTGTTGCCCTAAACTACAACGTTCAGGACTCTGAGAGACCTGTTGAAGCCGATGAAGAAGATGCGGAGAGCAGTTCTTCTGACGAGGACCTTGAGGAGGATGCTATTCCCGAAATAGACGAAGACCAGGAATCCAGCGATGAGGCCGAAGTAGGTCCCCCATCTCGTCTGCATTTAGTACGACCCATTAACACGTTTAACCCGTCGAAGGTGTCTGGTCCCAATCCAGAGGCAAATGACGACAGCGATAGCGAATCCGAGGACGAACAAATCATTGTCACCAGACAGGAAGAGGAGCGAGACCCAGTAACCGAGGCTGAGTTTGATCGAGAATTCGAGAAGATGATGGCTGAGAGCATGGACTCGCGACGGTTTGAACGCAAGACCGTCTTCGATATTCCTCTTCCCATGAAGCGCCCCCGCGAAAATATGCCCAGCGATTCCAGCCCCGAGCCTGTCCCGGCAGTACCTGTTGCGCCCAAGACAATGGCTTTCTCCTTGATGACAAAGAAGGGAAACAAGCAGCAGGTAGTGCTTTCCATCCACCACCGCAATCTTCTGTAAATTGCTAAACATATCTAGACTCGTACCATCGATCTTCCATCGGACTCGACCTTTGCTATTGCTATGCGGAGCCAGCAACAAGCCGACCGGGAAGAACAGCAACGTATCAAAAACCTGGTCCTGAACTACGAGGCTTCGACCGAACCCGAACCCACAGAGAGTGAGCAATACCCCCTGGTTAACCGGCAGAACTTCCAACTGAGAAATCACAAAGCAGCAACCCAGGATAAGCGCACTCCCACAGGCCAGCGGACGGACAAGGCTGGCGCGAACCGATCCGCCTTCCGTTCCCGCAAGCTTCAGCTCAGCGACGTCAATTGGTAATAAATGCTGCTACTATGTGGACCGAGGTCCATATTCCATATCTTCACTTGGCATAACAGCCAGCGCATTTTCCCTGTGGAAGATTGCCATCCATGGAACAATCTCTCCATTTGTGCACTGCCCAGTGTGAAAGACACTTGGTTCAACCCAATGAGCTTATCTATGGTATACGTCGCACACAACGCGAGTATGCAAATGCCGTATGAGTATGACTAGGAATCCGTTCTCGCTAATGGAATCTACCCCGTCGCGAATGCCCTCGAAATGGATGCACTCCTGTTGCTGCCTGGGATCCTTCTTTTATCGCTTTCCCATCCTGACTGGTGAGCCCCTGAGCTGAGTGGAGAGCTTGATGTTCTTCATTCCCGCGTACAGAATCCCGAATCCCGATTTGGTCGCCAATCATCACTTACTATGCGAAAGACATCACGGCTTTGCTGCCCCCTTGTGAAGATCGTACATTCCTCGATTTAGGGATGAATGGGGGTCAATGACTCATGGAATTAGAGAATCAGTTAGAATGGATGGAGACGCAATTACGAACGTCCTGCTATGGATGTATCTCTTAGCCTGCGGTAGTAATCAATGTAACTGAATTTTTTTGCACCAGGAAATGAGATCAATAAAATTGTTTTCAGTAAAGGTGTTCATTGCCCTCGTACCTCTCTTAATTATGGTGGCTAAATGCATTTTTATGCCTGAAAGGCTACCCTCGTCTAATTTGTTTTGCCAAAGAATCATTCCACCGGCATATTAACACATCATGAAGATAAAGACTCAGACGGTTTAATCTAATGATACTTGTTTCGGTCCGAGAGATCTGTGTTCTCAAGGTATACCTCGATCTAAAGAAAGAGACTCATTAGTACTCGCGGTGATTCCTACACCGAAAAGAATAACACGCACCTTGTTGGTCATCTTTGAATCAACATCTTTGCAGCACAGACAAGCGCCAATACCAAAGATACCAAAGGCCATCGATACCATAGCCACCACACTAGAAGATACTATTAGACACTGCTTCTTTCTCCCCTGTTTCCGCGGAACATCTGTGTGATTATGCGTGCTTACAAGATCGCTTTGCAGTAGGCTTGGCTGAGAGCCGCCTCTGCTGCTGCCGCCACGGCAGGGCTATATGATTTCATTGCCGCTGCACCTTGGGATACCACAGCCATTAGATCTGTGACCTTGGACTCCGGAAGCCCCGCGGAGATGGCAGCAGAAGGAACATATATAGCCGTATATTTTGCCAATGTGTTACTGTAGACTGTTTGGTAGATTGATGTCGCAACTAGAGGTGAGAGTTAGCTTGATCCAATAAAACAGAGCAAGAAAGGCGAGAACATACCAGCTCCAGCAGCAAAGCGAATGCACCCCGAGATCCCACCACTGACACCAAGATTCTTATGCTCAACACCCATCTGCGTAATAGCAATACTCAAATAAAGAGCCCATCCAAACCCAGCCTGAGAGAGGAAAATAAAAGCAGTCATAGTGCCTTTATTAGTCGGCGTGACAATACCAAGTAACGAGCCAAAGACAACCATAACAAACACAGACCCAGTAAGCTGCCAGTGCCAATGTCGCAGCTTACTACCAAAGCAGGTAAGAAGGATGGCACCAAAGAAGATAGCGAAGCCCTGGGGCAAAGAGAGAATAACAGAGTACTTCCAGTCCGCACCGCCGTTTGTGTAGAATACCGTGATCATCTGCGGCCATAGGATGCTGGAGGAGTAGTAGAACATATTGACGACACCGAGCGCAATGACAGGCGCTGTAAAGTCGCGGCCATATGAGCTGGTGAAGACATAGCTTGGTGTGAGTGGGTATTTCAGCTTGCCAAAGGACTCCCACAATGCGAAGCAGATTAGCATAGCTGCGCCAACGACGAGTGGTGCAACGACGTGGGCGTCATTTGAGTCGTACACGCCCGCCCAAACAATGCCCATTAGGAAGGGGACTGCGCCGCTGATGAAGAGAAAGGCGCCAAGGTAATCTATAGATTTGAAAGCTTCTTTGTACGGGATACCGAGGCTTGATTGTGCGGTTAGCTTGATTAGTTTCAGTGGACTTGGGGCTGTGGCTCACGGGTGCTTGGGCGGGTGGTAGAGAAATAACAGGCCAAAGAATGATAGACCTTGAAAGATGGCTACGCCCCAGAAGTTCCAAGCCCAGGTTCCGAACTCGTAGCCATACCGGGCTGTCACTGGTGCGACAATGACGGCTATGTAGACTGTGAGATCGGCGATGACGACTCCGATGTGTCGCCATTTATTGGGGAGGAGTTCTGGCAGGGCGAATGCAGCCATCTATAAATAAAATTTTAGCTGCACCTTCTGGAAGTATATGAGTATCAATAGAGGCTCTTACCTGACAGTTTGCACCACCAAAACCGGATATAACGAGCCCGGCAATGACTTGGTTGGTGCTCTTGGCTGATGCTACCACAATATGACCGACGAAACATACCTAGAGGAATGTTAAAAATGCTGTATGCTGGGTTGTAGTGATTGACCTACCAAATTACCCAGGACCAAGAACCAGCGTCGACCTAAAAGATCGGTGTTTGGACCACTGTAGAATTTAATGAGAATTGGAATGTGAATATCCCGGTGTTTCAGATGCATACAAGATTAAGAAAGCGCATGTGATCGAGATAGTCCAAGCCTGAGATTGGATTAGTTCTGTCCATTCACTCTTTCAGTCACTCTTTACACACCGGAACAAACCAGATATAACCAGTCGGATCACCCATATCAGCAGAGATCATGGTGCCAATTGCCGACACGACGGGGACAGGCCAGAAAGAGAGGCCATATCCACAAGACAGAATCTATATGCACGATCAGTATGCACAACATAATTGACGTGTCATATCCATACCAAAGAGACAATCCATGTCTTGAAAGTGACAACCGGTTCATTTGATTCATTGGCAGCAGTTGAAGGGGGGGCTTGATGCCTCCGTTGGAGAACCGGCTTGCACTGGATCCTTCTCTGTATCTACAGCCATGCTGCACTTTGATGATACGGTGGATGAAATGGGGGAAATGGGGAGAGAAACAATTTCCACAAACTTCTAACTGCCCCTATAGTAATCATATGAAGAGAGGGGCATGGATCGTCTCACGCTAACACTACAATATGAGAGAGTTCCCGAGAATTGAGTCTTTTTTTTCTTTTTTCGAAGTGGCTCTTTCTCCATTCACTATCGAACACTATCATATTCCTTCTCATAAGATGGGCTCACACATTGAAACCCGTGTTGCTATCGTCGCAGGGGCTACTGTCAGTATAATGGAAACTGACTATACGAGGCCCGCTATCAGTCACTGACCAGAGATCCCTTACAGTCCGGAATCGGAATTGACCTCGCCAAGCACCTCTGCTCCAAAGGATGGAAGGTCGCATGTGTAGGTCGGCGCCGCAAGGCTGGTGAAGCCCTCCTGAAAGAGCTACCACAGGACAGAGCACAGTTCTTTGCTGCTGATGTCTCCAACTATGATGAGTACGCGAGGGTATTTAGCAAAGTCCATGAGCTTTGGGGACGCATTGATGCATTATGCGCTAATGCCGGGATCGTCGATACGTCTTCAATCTACATCTACGACTCGAAGAACAACAACGTCGACAACATCCCGCCGGCACCAGATTTGTCCGTTGTGGACGTCAACTATAAAGGCGTTGTGTATGGTACCCAGCTGGCAATCCATTTCATGCGCCGTAACCCGCAACCTGGTGGTCGCATCGTCGTCACAGGTAGTATTGGTGCAATGTTCCCCCACGAGTCGTATCCCGTATACTGTGGCACCAAGGCTGCAGTGAACCACTTCATACGCGGTGTCGCTCCATTGCTGAAGCAAAAGGAGAATATTTTGATCAATTGTGTCATGCCGGGGATTGTGAACACACCTATTGTGCCACCCGAGATGATCGCCGCTGTCACTCCTGAATGGTAAGTTTTGTCTACGAGTAGCATTGAAGGACACTAACACCCTTTAATTTAGTCTGACCCCTGTTCAAACCATTCTCAGAGGCTATGAAACCTTTCTAGAAGACTCAACCGGAATGACGGGTGAGCTATTAGAGGGCTCAGCCGACGAACTGATCTACTACCAGATGCCCAAACCTGGAAATGGTCATATCACAAAGCGGGCTGTCACAGTCTGGGAGCCATTGTTCCACATGATGCATGGCGAAGCCTCTGGCCTGCCGGATGCTATTCCGTGAACATATCGGGGGAGTTGGAGCTGCCAAGAGTAAGACTACCATTGCCCTAACAAGCTAGCGTCATAAAAAAGTACCAGATAGGCTCCACCAACACGGTCTGGCGACGATCTTCACCCCCGAGTTCGTATCCCTTGTCAAATAATCCCAAGCAAGCCAATGACGGCCTTTTTTTTCTGTTTTCACATTCGTCTTGCAACAGGGGGTTCTCTTCCGCGTGGATCTCCAACGGTGTAAAATGTGATCTATCATCTGTCAAATGGTCTAATTGATTTATTGTTTGTCGTATTGCTTGTGCCCCAATCTTTATGCATTAACACCTACTCCGTACTCCGTGCGGAGTACTATCCTCAACAATGGCCCGTGTCTTTCCCGCTTTAACGCTTTGCTCGTGGTTTGGGCCTTGCAACGGTGATATACAAGTGACTCCACAAGTGGCGCTTGTTCCGGACGGCCCGTCAGTATCAATTATATATTCAAGCCCCAGCCAAGAATCGATAGATTAAGTTCATTCCCGTTTCACTGCTTGATCGGCCCTTCGATGGATACTTCGTATATTGTACTCCATAAAGGTTTCAAATTTGGCAATTCGCTTAAACGCCTTCAGCTAACAAGTGGAGTATATTCTTGTGTGTTTGTTCTTAGTCGTGTTATTTGCGTTGGGCCATGTCCGCATGGGGAAACTCCTGTTCGGTATTCCGTAGAGTTTCCCCTTTCTAGTGCCTTTGATTCCGGCATCTGACCGATATTTGTCCTATTGTGCTCCTATTACTACTATCGTCCAACTCCAAAGACCCCGAGGTCGGGGATCATTGACTATTGTAGAAACCGAAAACCCCGACAACAAAGTAAATCACTTGTTCCTCCGAGTGGCCTCGGGAATCCACAATATTCCATCTTCAAACGAGACCAACCCCACCGTTTAGCCATTAAGCACAGCACCCACCTGATTCTCGACCACTGTCGCCCCCATAACCTCACGCATACCCTCATCACAAAAAGAATGCTGATCCCGGAAGTATAACCCGCTGTCCGAAATCTCCACCGCCACTCCGTACAGCTCATCCAGGGGCAAATGCTTGCCGGGGGTATCGGTCAATCCCAGGCCCGCGGGTTCGCCGCCATCCACAAGCTGGAGAACTAGCCGGGCAATCGTTTCCACATCGATGAACCGTTCAGGCGGGAAACTGTCCCAGCCCGTCGAGTCGACCAGATTGGTGCGCACAATTCCTGGGCAAATAGCGTTCACGCGGATCCCGCTTGCGTGGAAATGTTGCGCTATCGATCGCATGAATCCTACCACGCCGACTGGGGTGTGTTAGTTTTGGCTATTGAAGCGAAAAAAACCCCCGACGTTATATGCGATATGTAATCATGGTGGATATATCATATCGATATCGTATGATAGTACAATAGTAGGGAGTAGGGATGGGGTCCAGGGAATACTATACGATAGACAAAAGTGTTGAAAAACTCACATTTGGCCGCAGAATACAGCGGCGAATAGAAAGATGGATACAGCCCACCACAGCTAGAAGTCATAACCAGACTAGAGCTTCGGCCCCTATGAGGGGAGTGATGGAAATAATGCTGGGCCAGGTAAGACGTGAAGATGACACCCTTCAGATCAGCGTCGATCGAGAGCAGGTCCGGCTCCGGTGGCGGATACACATCCTCGCTGTCATCTGCTGGTGTAGAGTAGAAATTGGTGCGCTCGATGATACCTGCATTTGCGAATACAAAGTCCAGCTTCTTATGCTGCTGAAACATGCTCTGAAACGCGGCTGCAAGGTCGCTGTATTTAGTCACATTGGCGTAGTGGAATGTCGTTCGGGGTAGATCTTTTGCTGTATGGGCTCCGCGCTCTGAGTTTATGTCAAGGATGTGTATTTCCCAATCTTCGCGCAAGGATAGGGCTTTGGCTACGGCCAGGCCCATTCCACTGGCTGTAGACTGAATTTTAGCTTCATTTGTACGCGTTGGTCTTATGTGGGTGGGCTCATCACACCTCCTCCTGTGATTAATGCGACTTTGATCATTCTTAGGAGCTTTTGATGCTGTCTGAGTTGGGGTGGCGTTGTAAACTAGGCTGCTTGGAAGAACTCTTATATCATTCGTAGGTGACCGTGTACAAATTAGCAATCATTTCGTACCGGGTTGTGATTGTTTTTTTTTCTATCGAAATCCCCATAGCTGAGCGACCCATTTTATGAACTTGTAATTCCCAATCTGGTCAGTTCGGACGATCTCTGGGCCCCTTAAACAGTCTGGTCTATCTAACATCCGTTTTTCGACAGCTTCACTACCCGGACCCTTCATCTTTGACAGCTTACAACATATCTTACACATGCCGCTCAAAAATATATGACTTCGATCATCACAATTTAAGGGAAGAGATCTATCCTACCACGACAAGCCGCCCGAGAAGGTCCTTCAATGCATGCACGCTGCATGCACGCCACCGATCTTGAATACCGTATTCTTTTAAATGAATACAGTCCATTAAATAAAGTACAAAAAAGGGAAAGAGCTGCATACTATCAATTAAACAATATTCGTTACTCCGTACAGAGGATTAGGATTGGCATTACTCCCAGCAAGCAAAGTGGCGTATACAGATGCATCGTGCATGCATTAGGGGACCTTCTCGGCCGGCTTGTCATAGGGTCAAAGGATAGCTGTGCACCAGATGCATAATTTGATTCTAGTTGAGGAATCAAGGATCTTTCGACTCCACATATCAGTCCTTTGTCGTGGGGCAATATGCCGTGTTCCATTGGCGTTGCCACTAAGCATCCTGGACACCCTGCAGCAAAATTGGGGCCGTCTGTTTTACAGACAGGGGTATTGTTGTCGGTAAAAACCTTGAATACTTGCATGGAATCCTGTCAAAATTTTCTCCGGGAATGTCCCGTGTTGCCCACCACACATGCTGTCGATGGGAAGTGCTGTACTCCGTAGTATGCCCTAACTATGGCGACTGTGGATCATAGGGGTTTACAAGCAGCGAAGGTGTCGATCGCTCATTGATAGTACCCTGACCCAGGAACAAGATCCTCGGGTTTAGTAAATTTAACAGATAGAGACTAATCCTCAAATGAATACTCCGTATATCTCCTAGATATACGATCTTACCGTGAAATAGGTCTCGACGAAGGTATCAAGTGACGTTCATGTTGTAGCGAGACCCTGAAGGCGATAGATCTAGTATCTAGTCTGATCGTACCGCTCCTTGAGATTGATCGATTTTAAATCGGGACACCCTTTCTCCATAGCGTGTATCGGAGTCACTTTACTGGAAAGGCATCCAGAATTACAATTTTCACGATCGTTGTCATTGCTCTGAATCATCATGGCCGCCGATGCTTTGACAATCGAAACTTTCACTGAATATGGAATTGGCATGGTCTTCCTCTTGGTCCGACTATATGCCCGACTGCACATAGGAGGCATTCGTGGGCTCGGGCTGGACGATGTTTTTGCTGTCACTGGCATGGTATGTTCATTATCTAGGCTTTTCAGATTTGTTTCTGACAGTGTCACGGCAGATATTTTGGACTATGCTGACTGCCATTATCTACCTGCTGGGTAAACCAACAAATGATGGGTCTTCACTTGCACCACAGCTAACGTTCAGATAGGAATATATGGCAACAATATCGGATTAGACGAGCAAACAGCCATGCTTGTCCCAGACAGCAAGATGGCTGATATGATTCTCGGATCGAAGCTTGCCTTCATGAACTGGATATGGTACATTTGCTATATTTGGTGCCTGAAGGGTGTTCTTCTTTGCCTTTACTGGAAACTCACGTATGTCAACGTCTCGCCCATCAACGGTCTATGTGAGCATTGAGCATATCTAAAATTTCCTAGGCAAGGAACCTGGCACCGTCATTTAGTTACGGCCGCTTCTGCATTTTGCGGGATTACTTGGTTCATCTGCCTATTGACACACATCTGCATCTGCAGACCAGTCGAGCATAACTGGCAGATCAAGCCTTACCCCGGAGGCAAGTCTCGACAGTCATCTTCACCCGAAAACCCACAGCTAACCAAATCAGACAACTGTACTCTCCGTGGCCCCCTTTACATCGTCATCGCCGTATTCAACGTAATGCAAGTCGTCCCCCCAGAAGGTCCCAAATCACAGAACCCCATCCTAACACCACGACAGATCTGACGCCTGTATAATCCTAATCCCAATCCCAATCCTCGCCAAACTCCAAGTCCCACTCCAACGCAAATTAATCCTGGTATTAATGTTCTCCTCGGGATTTTTCATTATGATCTGCACAATTCTGCGCGCCTACTATTCACTCTCGTCAATCACAAATCTCCCCACAGCACTAGGCTGGGCGGACCGTGAATGCTTCGTCGCAGCCATCGTCGTCTCCCTACCCGGTATCAAACCGCTCTTCCGCAACTCACGCTGGCTGGGCTCAACCAATCACAAAAACTCCAAGAGCCCCTACTACAATAGCGATGCGTATAATGGGGGTGGGTCGAAGTCCGGGAAGACGAAGACGTTTGTTTCGTCGCGGTCTCGAAAGAGTGGCGGATTTGAGCTGGATAGTGTGCTGCATACAAAGGGGGGTCGCCTTTCTGAGGCTGGGAGTGAGGAGTACATTCTTGAAGGAAATCAGGGCGTACTCGGTGCTGGACAGCAGGATCCGATGGCCATTCGGGTTACGACGGAGTATAGTCTTGAACGGGAGCAGGGGAAGTTGGATCAGATGAAGTCTTGAAAGATGTAAACTGATCTTGTTTGTATCAATAACTTTGGGGACAATACGTTAGGAATTGCCCAGTAATAAAAATCGCCAAGCTGACCAGTAATATCAACTGGTTAGTTATGGAGATGTCAAGGGATGTTTACATCTCTTTCGCTGTTTATTTAAACCTACAGGAGCTTTGTATATCCAGTAGAATATGCCTAACCTGCGGAATTTCGCCTTTGAAAAACAATCCTACTGGTACAAAGCACATTTGCAGGGATCATCTACAGACCCCGTGCACTGCAGAATGAGCTGTATCACAGGCGGTGTGAATCTGAGCCTCCAATCCCAAACTCCTTTCAAGTCGACAAGAGAAGAAAGACCAAATATGATCCGAATTTGGCGACGGTTCGGTATCCCTTCCATCACTCAGCGTTGCGTCTACTCACTTCGACCATTCTCCAACATGGCTAATCCCAAGCCCCACAGCTCCCCCGGAACAGATCCACAGCCGACTGTCCGTTAGTAGCATTGAACGCACAGGTACAAAATATTGTGCCACTGACTTTGAATTTGAAGATGAAAATCCGCATACATACACTGGTGGAAGATGGCTCAATCGGAACGACCTTGAGCGAACCTCTCGCCACGTCAAGTTTGACTTCCCAGCGCTATGTGAGCGGGCTGTTCGCGCATGCCCAGGAGCAACTAAGGTTGTCAAATACGAAAAGCGAGAAGGTGGATTTAATCGAGTTTTTCTTCTGACGATGGACAACGGGCCTTGCGTTGTAGCAAGGATACCTACCAGTATTTCTGGCCCACCAAGTTTAACGACCAACTCCGAAGTCGCAACAATGACTTATTGTAAGGCTCATCAGTATACCTGCATCATGGGAGATATAGCTGGCATACTCACTGGTTGGTTCTCGTGCAGTACAGTCCAAGATCTCACTTCCGATACCGAAAATCCTAGACTGGAACGATGATCCTTTGAATTCAACTGGAACTGAATATATCATCCAGGAACATGTTGTGGGTATCCAACTACATCAAGTGTGGGCTGCTATGAACTCGGAACAGCATATGCTGTGCACGAAAGCGCTCTCATTGATGATGAAAAAGATGGCCTCATTAGACTTCCCAGCCTATGGCAGTCTATACTTTGCAGATGCGCCTCTACATCCCGACTCCAAGATCCCCATCGAGGATAGCTTCTGTGTGTGACCACATTGTAGTCCAGTATTCTGGAATCGGAACCCAGGGGAAAATGAACTCTACGGTGGTCCAAGTCCCAATTGCGGACCTTGGAGAGATCTTGCAAGTTATTGTCAAGGCTTGATAGATACTGGCTTTTCTCGTTTGCCTAAGGAAGCCACCAATAATCGCGAGACTCTGCCCCATCAAGGATCAATCCAAGGTCATATCCAATTATTGAAAATATGCCAAGAGGTGATGCAAAATTTGGCCGGAGATAAACGCATAAAGGATGCTGCTATTCCCGTTCTTCTTCATCCAGACTTCCACAAGAGGAATATATATGTCTCACCCGACGATCCAACCGTCATTACTGGCCTGATAGATTGGCAATCAGCGAGTATCGAGCCCGCCATGATCTATGCGAATGAGACACCCGATTTCGCTGTACCCCCGACCATTCCTGATGAAGGTTCATCCGATAAAGAACTAGATGACCCACAACTTTCTAAACAGAAAGAGCGAGAATTGAAAGATGCATCCATCTGCCACCAGACATACGACGTAGTCATGACAGCTCTTATTCCTAAGCTCCGCCCCGCAAGATTACTTGGCCCAACCTTTTTCCGACTCTTTCACTACAGTCATACAACATGGAGAGACTCTGCTGCCACTATCCGCCAAGAGTTAATTGAGCTTTCCGCTACCTGGAAAGAATTGGGACTAGAGGGCTCATGTCCATATTCTCCCACAGAAGAGGAATTGAAACAGCATGCTCGAGACTATGAAGAATTCGAGGCCATTCAAGCGCTCAAGTCATGGCTTCGAGACACACTTGATACCAATCCTGACGGATGGATTTCGAATGAAGCATGGGATGCTGCGAAGGTTGCTCATCGTGCAGCGTATGATGAATGGATAGAGACTGCCAAGGAAGCCGAGGCTCGTGGCGAAGATATGACAGTAGCAAAGGCGGATAAGATGTGGCCATTTGATGCTAGATAGATATAACGGACGAGCAAGCAAAAAGTGAGCTAGCTTTCGATCATTGCAGGGACAGCTCCGGATTGAAACAATTAATGTGGCAAGTGTGCATATAAACCTAATGAAGCACAATATGAACCTTTTCCATCACACCTTTTTCTCTCTACACTTTTAATCTGCTCCGATCATCTACTTTATGGCTAAATATTGCATTTTTTTTCGCTGTAGAATCACTTCGAAAGAACATGGGTCAACATAGCCCTTTATCAGAGCTTGGAATTGATTGTGGTCGACCTATACAAGATCCTGTTGGTGACATCAGCGTGGTCGATGTTTCTAGATCTTGGCATAATTTGATCAATATGACCTGGGAGACTACCAGATCTCTCGTCAATATAACAAATAGTAGGTCATATCTTGCCAGCTTATGTATTAAGAAATCGAATAAAGAGACGATAGGAAGTGATGAAGTTGCATAAAAGCCATCACTCATATATTGGATTTCAAAAGGGCCAGCGCTACATGTGTACATTGAAAGCGAATGGAACCACGCATCAGTTGTCGATATGTTTGATTTGATCTCTAAAGACTCTGCACGTGTAGAACCGCGCAAATGGCCCATATCAAGGCTAGAACATTCTTAGGAGACATTCCCCCAGATCACGTCAGATCAGTTCTTAGTTTTTCCAAGCTAATATCATATGCAATACTTGTAGAGTCTCTGAATCTCACTGTCAATTTAATTCGAAATGAAGACTTGAAATCTTGCTAGGACCTCAACTTTCAACAAATCAAAGCGCAGGTACTGGACAAGGGTGTCAAAGTAACATGTATCATGAGACAAGTAGACCAATAGCCACTTTATAGCCAACTCATCAGCGGGGAACCTGGCTTTTGTCCAATTAAAAAGCCCAGTCATCTTGGATACCTTCGATAACACAGTACATGGCACTCAGGGCTGTATTGGGCATGTGATATCTAGGATGATGGCGGGGAAATTCTAGGTACTCAAAGATGCGTTCCCTTTACTTTTTCTTAAACCCTACGCATTCCCATATTGATTCCTATGAATATCAGCAAAGGTTTGTTATTCTCTCTTGAATTGTACAAATCACTAATATGAACGACAGATGTGTAGGGTCTATGTTTTCCACTATAAAGAATGTGGATGCCGGGAAGTCGGCGGTATTATACCTCATCCTTCTTACCAGCCTGAAATTCCGTGTAATTCAGTAATGGAGTCCAAGAGGAAAATCTATGGAAAGTGTGGGTTCCACAGTTTGGAGAAGCCGGTGATCACTGTCCCTGAGCCTAGGGTTCCTCATCTGAAAGCGACCAAATTCCAACCTGGGTATGTTCTTTCTCCGCCTAGATTCAAACTGGACATGCTAACTTAAGTAGAACTAGTCGGCTATGACATGGTATTGGCAACGTGAGCGCTGGCGAGTAGAGAGTCGTCAATTTACTTCTGATTGTTCATCACTTTCATTGATTTTGAGAAAGCCCTAAGTGATAGTATAACTATAAAAATCACATCTAGTGGATATGAATGATTTTGAACAGCCAGTGGGTCTCATATGTAGAAATCACTTTGGTAAATTTTGGTTACTCCCAAACTCCTTGGCCTTATTAGACCGGACGGTGATATCTTTGCCAGGAGGCGAGAAAAACCTATGATGCAGCTATTGACTCATTGCTACAGATTCAGATTGTTTAGAAGCATTTGTGTGACTCCAAGATTCTTTTTGTATCGAGGAAAATGCATATGAACTTGATACACAAAGTTGATATTCAAACCATTACTTCCACAGTCCTGAATTATTGACACAGCTACAGACTAAATCATCCCGCAAAATAATTTTACTAGTGCTAGATTTATTATTGAGGTTATAAAGTAGTCATCTAGCGAAATTGTCTACCATGTTGTCCCTGATAACATCGATACAAGGTCTCCATAGGCCTAAGGAAAGGCGTCCCCGTCAACATAATCCGCCCCAACCTCCAGATCATCTTGTAAAATTCCCGATGCCGGCCAACCTTCTCTTCGGTATATTGATCATTCCGGTCACCTTAAAGTTCCATCAGGTTGGTATTCATGGAGTATGCCAAATGAACAGGGACACGCATATATCTGAACCCTTTCAAACGCGGGAAAGGCAAGTGGTGAAGTAGGTCATGGCCGAGATCAGACTTGTACTCATCTGATACGACCTGATTGACTGTTTGATCAATCTCAAATTGACGATCGACACCAGACAAAGGCCTGCGCAGATATATCAGAGGCATGATCCCTGATCTTGCTCCTAGTTTTGCATCCCACACACGATTTTCGTCCCAGAAGTCTATCAGATCTAGTCGTGTCTTTATGCAGTGTCAATCGCATGGAATCAGCTCCAGGGTCATATCGGGGGTCTTGGTATACCAAGGCACAGCCTCATAGATTCACTCTCCTTCTGACATTGTTCTGATAACCATCTCAGCCGGAAAAATTGCTGGAAGTGACTCTTCTAAAATTAGCTGTGTCTTCTCGAGCTCGTGCGCTGTTGCATGATAACAGAGGAAAATGACGAGATGCTTTTTTCCTGGACGACGTTTCCATACAGGCATTTTGATCGGGGCGCTGTTTGTATTGGAGACTTGCACTGCTAGTTCCGTGGGTAGATGGCGACTTAGAGAATTGACCAACGCGTCGACGTAGTAATCTCTTCCTAATATATCTCCCACTCTGTATGTGAATGGTTCTTGATTAGGGTCATACATGGTTAATCCCCTCCACCCTTCCGCATGGGCCACAAAGGTCCCCAAGCTTTATGGACACATCTGAACCCACTTGGTTGAGGATCAGAGTCATGTCATAGGAAATCTCTGCCGTCGAGGTTGAACATGTGGTCTTCAGAAGAGCATATAGCCCGCCTTGCGAACACAGACAATGCACCTGATTGGGTATCACGACGTGTAGATAGGAGGATTATTGAAATGACCCATTTTGAGTCATATGACAGTAAGTCGGCGTCGGAGCAATATTTACCTGACAGCAGACGCTTGATCACTTCACCCGCCACGATGATTCTTGGTCGACCGGATCGGTATGCTAGCACGGCGAGGGCATGGATGTTGCTTTGACTATCCTGGTATGGACCTTGCCGAGAAATGGATTCAAGACGACAAGGAGGCGGTAAACACGGATGGACATTGACTTCAGTGACTTCCTTGTCTTGGGAAGAGGCTCCAAAATAGGTGTCAGAATGCAGTTTGAAGTCGTCCTTGAGTGTCTGTTGGGTCAGCCCAATACGCTTCGCTTGGCTCAGTGCACATAGGTCAGTCAACAACACCAGTGGCGATATTTAATCTGGATCCACAGCATCATTTGACATCCTGGATGGTTTCTTGGCACAAATAAATCTGTAATCTATATAGAGGGACAGGTTGAGGCTGAGAAGGTATGTATTGCTCCGCCCCCACTCCACGCTAGTCTAGATAGAATCAACAAGCTTGGCTAAAATGGCCCTTCATGATATCTAAGCCTCGGTCAAATGGGGACTGTTCAATCCTCCACTCTGCTGGAAATGGCTGTTTCCCACTTTCCTTCATAGCTAATGTTTCGGGTATGAACATGTTTGAAGAAAAGACACTCGATCCTGGAAACTGCATGGAATTGCATGACTCGATCTCTATCGTTCACATCACGCAAGAAGCTCTATACTTGATACCAGTCATGATGCAACAAGTCTATTCGATTTCCCCTCTTTCTTTTATTTGTCCAAGGGACAAGAGCGTGAAGCATATCAGTACAATAAGTTACACATTGAGAGGCAGTATCAGGAAGAACACGGAGGAGCGCGAACCGGGGGAATGGATATGCTGAAAGATCACGGAGGGGGAAATGCATCGAAGACAAAACGGGAGATGGAGAAATGGCAGAAAGGTCTATATAATACACAACTCCAATCCCAGTCCCTCATGTGCATTACAGGAAAGAGATTAAGTAGTAGGCTTGTCTCTAGGGGAGGGTGGCGTCAAACAGGATGCAGGATTCGGAAAGTCGGTTCTAAGCCTTGCTGGCCTGGTTCTTCTCCTCGGTGTCATGCGCAGCCTTGGGGATGAGAGAGTCGCCCTCGACATTCTCGCCCGCAGCAACGGTCTCGTTCTTCATGTGGGTGTTGACTTCCTTGGCGCGGGTCTGCTTCTCAATGGGGTGCGACGACACATCCAGCTCGGCGGCACTGGGGGAAGTTCGGAGGTAGCCGGAGCTTCGGAGGGGGCGGAAGAATCAGAGGGAGCGGGAGCATCAGAAGGAGCTGAGACATCGGATTGGGGCTCATCATCGTCTTCCAACTCGGCGCCGTAGACTTCGGGGTGTTGACGGAAGCAATCTTGCATTGCCCTGTAAGAACGATTAGTACGGGCTCATCGCCTTCAAAAGTGACAGCAAAACATACTTGAATTTCTCAACACAGTCGATGCCCTTGGGCTCTTCCTCGGAGTAGACGAAGCAGCTGAACGCAGCCTTGAAGTCCTCTCCGCATGGTCCGTGGGCCATGCCTCCAAGGCACGGGCAGTCCCAGTTGATTTCGCCGGTCTCCGGGTTGAAGGCAGCCTCCTGGCCAGCCTCCTCCTGGAGCTCTTCAGGGTTCAGCCCACCTTCCAAAACAGCAGACTCGCTCTTCTTGGACTGCGCAGCAGCTCGTTCTTGGCGAATTTTGGGAGTAATGGAGTCGAGGGTTGGGGCATTGGCGTCATCACCGGATTGTTTCCGGATAGTAGAAAGGATAGAGACTGAAGCCAAACGGAAGTAAAATTAGCGATTTGTGATTCCAGAGCTCACAACCTTGACGGTGAACGGATTGTCGCGGCTTGCAACCTCGGGATTGAGGAACAAGGGCAACACCGACTTCCATTCGGCGAGACGTACACTTCGGCTCCTCAGAGAAAACACTGCTCGTGTTGTAGTAGTAGATAGCACCACCAGCCAAGCCCAATCGCAAGAAGGTGTTTTTCCAGCTTCTAGACTTGGTCGGACCGGTGCTTATCAATCGTCTGTTCGCTGGTGTACGGGCTGCGACAGCGGGCGCGCGGGCGAGCGCTCGAGCGGCGGGACGGAACATAATGTGTGAGAAGAGTGAGAATCAATCAAATTGGCCGAAAGTTCCTCCGAGAAGGGATTGCGAGGAGGGGAGTCGAGGCACCGCGGGATGGAGAAGTTGGAAAGCCGTGGTGGATTTTGGCCTGAGGTTGTCTGCCCGCGTCAGCCAGTCACGTTGCGACTTGGGTCAAGATAATTATATCGTCACCACGCAACGCTTTGAGCTTTGGTTCCTCTTAGTTTGCATCTTTTGGACTACAGTTTGATTCATATCCATTTACAATGGAGTGGGATCCTAGCCGATTCTTCCGTCCTTCAGGGAGTCCTTCGCCTTACGCTCTTCTCGTCCTCAATCAGCCAATCAATGAGAAAGCTTTTGGAGTGTTGAGCAGATATGGTACGATCATATACGAATCATATATAAACACGATGTCTTGGATAAGAGATACTGATGCCCATGCAGCATCTTATATTATTTGCGCCGATGGAGGTGCCAATCGGCTTTTTGATATGCCAGAAGTTAGGGAAGAATCCAAAGTAAGCGATATCCATGGATTTTATACGCACACAATTCTTCCAGGCTGGCTAAAGACCCTGAATTGTGGCACAAGAAATCACAAGAAATACACACCAAGCCAAGTTATCAAACTGACCACAGACATAGCTTCCCGACTCCATTGTCGGCGACCTTGATTCTATCCGCCCCGCAGTGCGAAAACATTATGAGAAACTCGGAGTGTCCATCGTGGAAGATCCAGATCAGTATTCAACAGACTTTACAAAATGTCTGAGATATCTCAACGCACATGCCGCAGAGATCATAGCTTCTCCCCGAAAAGGAAAGCCAACTACCAATGGCACAAATGGAAGCACATCAATCTCACCATCTAATCAATCACCTCTGGAAATAGTAATTCTGGGCGGTCTAGGCGGCCGTGTGGACCAAGCTTTCTCTCAAGTCCATCATTTGTACATGATGACGCAGACGCAGCGCTCAATCCGTGAAAATGAAACCAACACCTCAAGTCCTGGTGCCAATCCGGCCGCAGGTGGTAACCTCTATCTCGTCTCTGAGGAAAGCATTACCTTCATTATTCAAACGGGGAAGAACATAATCCACACTCCCGCAACAAGACGAGCCGGTATCATGGCAGCGTCGACATCTGATGTGAGCGAGTCACCGAAAAAACGCAAGCATGAGCAAGAGCAGGAACAGGAGCAAAAGCAAGAACCAGAATACTTCTTTGAAGAGAATATTGGCATCATCCCCCTCTCAGCCCCTGCCAAGATTACAACCCATGGCTTTGAATGGGATGTGGAGAATTGGCATACCGAGATTGGAGGGCAGATATCCACGAGCAATCATATCCGCGCCGACAAGGTGGAGGTTGAGACCTCTGTGCCGGTTTTGTTCACAGTGGAGTTGGCGGAGAGGTTGAAGAGGTGACCTCAGCGTGAAGCATGACAGTCTGTCAGGGACCCATCATGCCTCAAGCAGCCTATATATCTTAATTTTCTTTCACCAACTGCTGTATGCATCGGTGCGCATTTGGATTAATATGAAAAATATTCCCGCGGGCATCTGTTTTGACCATTGGGGCTCTTCTTGAACTGCTCGGCTCCAAGCACCTGTTCTGAACCCTTTCTCCGTCGGTGTCTCTAAAGCCTCACAGGCTCCCATCTATCTACAGAACAGCCAAGACCGCGGCCTACATCAAAAAGCCGTCTGCACCATCGGTAAACTCGACCATACATATACTACTACACTTCGAGACCCCTGTTGCGACTGGAAAATTATCAAACGGTCATTAGAAGAAAAGCAGTGAGAAGAATCTCCCATATGGGTAATCTGGACAACCATAATAGAACCCTCCAAGGCGCCTTCTCTGGGCTAGAACGAGAGAGCAAGAAAGACAAGGGAAAGAGAAGGCAAAGAAAAGAACCCCAATATCGCATATCGCATAATCCACATACCAGTGACTAAAGCTTGAACCCATAAACAAACATAAAAACAACCAAGACGGATGGAACCACAATCACCCAAAACACTGAATCGCCATTCCTCGCCAGATCATCTGTACAGCCTTGTAAATGCCATATCCCACTTACTAATGGTGCAGAATAGCCTCGTACAGAGCACCAACGCCGCCAATAGCAGTTCCAGTCAAGAGACCGAGGTCTCCACCAGGGACAGAGTCAATAACCTTTTCAAGAGCATACCCGCTATAGAAACCAAAGAAGTTGAACCCCTTCCCAAACACAAGGTGCACCAGCAACGCCTTGACGATATTGAAAGTCAACGGATCAAATTGAGCAAGATTAGGCGCAGACCGGGTCCGACGCGCACTGCTGGAAGCCTTCCAGCTCAAGTTGATAAAGTAAGCCGAAATTAAAGGTAAAAGCAGACAAGTCATGAACCACAACGAAAACGGCGCCCAGAACGCCCCTTCTAGCAACGCAAACAGATCAGGAACACGGATGGGAATCGCTGGGATGTGCGCCGCTTGCACGGGTGGTGTAGTAGTAAGATATCGTATCGGGATCAACTCTTTAGCCAGACTACCACCCTCAAGGAGCAGCACAAGGATCTCGACGGCCTTCACACTGCTCAAAGCTGCGCGTAGAGAGTGCGCACGGTCCACAAAGCCCGACGCAGTCCACGCATCCTCAATGGTCTCGCGCAGCTTGAGCGTCTGCGCGTCGATGGCTTCGGTGATGGCAGCTGGAGACGCTGGCAGTGATGGCTCGGGATCCACGATAGGAGAGATAACGGCTTGGCGAGGTGATTGGCGGGGTGTCTGGCGCGCAGACTGACGTGCGCTCGTGCGCGCCGCAGCGGGAGTCGGGCTGACTACCATGGGGCTGGGCACAGATGCTTCGATATCCTCGCTGGCAAGTGGATTAGTATGTGCGCGATAGCGATAGCGATAGATGGAATGGCGCATTAGTGGAAGGTGTTCTTACGTGACTTCCTCTTCCTTCACTTCCTTCTTCGCAGAGCGACGTGCTGGAGTTCGCGCCGGAGTTCGCGCGGTTTCGCGCTTCACGGGCGATCCTCTGCGGGGTGGAGAGGCCAGACGTAAGTAGTATTCAGAGAGGCTCTTGAGTCCGGAGAAGATAGAGCGGTTCTCGCGCAGATGTCTATCCAAGACTACGACGAGATCATTCTTGTTATAGTCATCGTAACTACAGCGATTAGCTCGGTCTATGCGACAACCGCATTCGTACTTACTGAGGTAGATCGGTTTGATCGGCCAACTCGGCCAACTCGGGCTTTTTCAACGACTTGAGATAAGGAAGAGACATAATGTACCCGATTAAGAGAAATTGGACCAATGTCAAATAAGAAGGGTAAATACTGGGGGAAAGAAGATGCAAGGGAGGGGAGTGGCCGGTAATTGTTTACATCCGCCGATCGCCAAAACAAAACACCTCATTTAGCGCGTTCACTCCCTTTGTTCACTTTCTTTGGGCATGTTCCTTTCTTTTTTAGATGCTTGAAGGGTTCCATATATAATGGAAAGGTTTCTTTCTAGTATATATGTTGTACATATGTTTGCCCTTTTTGATTAGTATAGCAAAGTATAACGAAATAGCTGAAAGATGCCAAAATATGTATAATATGGAGTTGAAAAAAGAGCTATGGTACAAGGAGGCCGCAGCCAGTCTAATGATCTATCACAGAAGAGGATACACAGTATACAAAGTGCTCAGAGCACCGGTCATAACATCCCAGATCGGGACAAAGGATCCAACGCCCCCATTTCCCAACCCAAAAAAAAAGAAAAAAATCAACCTTGGAAATGCATGCAGTTAGATGAAAGGTCTTACAAAGATTCTTCCAGAGCTTGGTAGGCCTCGAGTTGCTTGAGCAGGTACTGGTACATAACCAGCATCGTCCCACTTTGAATGCTAGTCCATACACCGCGTGGGCCCACGCCGCGGAACCAACCTCCAATACCCTCTGTCCGGTAGATCATCTTCAACCCGGTGAATACGGAGGAAGTGTCAAGTCGGGGTGTACCGGGAGGTGGAATTGATGTGTTTGCACCTGATGTGGAGATTGGTCGCGAGTGTGCCCGGGGAGTGTGGGAATGTGGTGATGTTAGTGCGTGTGGCCGCGGGCTTTCTTTTGGTACGTGTTCGACACAATGTTTGGCACCTGATGAACCTGATGAAGGCGATGGGGGATTTTGCTGGGTTTGAATGCGTGTCTTAACCACATCCATCGGACAGGTGATTACACCAGCCATACCGCCAGCGGTGGCGGCTGTCAAAATCTCCAGGCCTAGCCCAATGTCCCGTTTCCCAACCCATTTTTTAGCCAAAGATTGCTCTTTCTCGTAGAATGCGAATTGGAGAGCGGAAAATGGGAGATCGCGGAAGATAGTGGCCTTGTAGCCGTGGAATAATGCCATAAACCCTTCCTGGCGAACAATCTGGCGGAATCCATCTCGCATGTTGCGGTAGTTGTAGCCTGAGTTGAAGTGGGGGTTGTTGTGTCGGCCCTGTAACTGAAGTCGTGTTTTCAGCACCTCAGATGGAACATATACAACTGATGCCGCCAAGTCGGCAAAGAAACCGCCTGACAGATAGGCGATGCTGGGGTTGATCCCCGAGTCGATCATCAAGCGCTTGGTGTATTCATACACGCCAAAAAATATCACGGTGCCGGGAAACGAGCCGAGTAGGGCCGGCGTTACTCCTCCATATAACCCGCGACAAAATCCTTCTTGGCGGTAAATTGTTGCATAAGACTGGCCCATCGAAGTGTATTTTGGCGGAAAGGTCGGATCGCCTTGTTGTCGAGTCTTGACTGTGTCTAACGAGTGCATCAACATATCACCGCATGTTCCTCCGGTACCACCGGCCAACATCGCCTATAGTTCCAAATCAGGTCAGCCTTGTGCAATGGTTTTATGCCGCGAGGGACAATCATACATGTAGGTATGGTGGCCGAGGCTCCTCCTCCTCCAACAGCGCGAGGTCGTCATTTCGAACAGTGTGGCTTGAATCACTAATCCCACCCATTGAACTTGGCTGTGCCCATGTCGAGGTATGTGAGTCCCCCGCAGATGGTGCTGTTGAGTCTGAGGTCGCTGTCGAGAACAGGCCGAACACCCGCGAGGTCAGGCTCATGGCAATATGCCAAAGTGCGAACCCAAGCGGTACTGGTCAGGACCAGATTAGGGGGGTGCTAAAGGATTGAAGGAGAGGAGCACCCCTGGTAATAATAAGAAAGAGTGACAAGGGATCGAGAAAGTATTATTAATGTGAGGTGATTGTTCCCAAAATTCTGATGGGCTTCATTTTGCCGCCAAGCCCGATCTACCGCCTCAGGAATCACGGGATTTCGTCATTGGTATTGGAGCATTTTAATGTCTCTTGAGCGATATGATTGTAAGCCTACGGCAGATTTGGGATTTTCTTTCAAGCCTTTGAAGGCTACAAGGTAAGCTTCTTCCATGTACATATCCTAACTACATATGCATACCCATCAATTTTGACAAATCACACATACACCATATCCAATTCGGTTGAGACCTAAAAACTGTTGCTTGTACTAGATTTAGTGAATCACAAATTTCCAACGGAATAATGAAATAAATCCGAAACAAGGTATGTTGACAAGAGGAAAGCAAATACAGGAACTATGCATCGCAATACTCTAGAAATAATAAACACAAGTCGTTGCGTATAGCATCATCATCATGGCGGGAATCCTCCACGTCCGCCTCTTTTCTACAGTCGGGACCTGGGCGTCCCATACTCCGACATCCTCCCATGTTCTTCGCTAAGGCGGGAACATGCCAATGGGAAAGATAAAACTGTGATATTATGTCTTGTGCCAGTCACCTTCGTTCAACAATCTTGCAAACCGAAAACCAACGTTCTTTCCTAACGTCAAGAGCTCCAGCTGGCAAAGCAAGGTGTCTGGCACATCACCATAGCAACATTTACTGCGGCTTCTTGGCAGCGGTAGTGCCGGGGATGTAGCGGCCAATATCGGTGGCCTCGTAGCCCTGACGCACAACACCCTTGAGGGTCTCCCAGCCCTGGCGAACCTGGGGTGGAGTGCTCTGGTGGGAGATGGTGGCATCGGCACGGGCAGTGAGCTGGCGAACAGCCTGCTGAACGAAAGAGCTCTGGGCGTAGCGGGCGCGGAAGAAAGACAGGTAGACGACCAGAAGCACCCAGCTACCCTTGGAGAAAGTGATAGCGGACAGAAGAAGGCGGAAAAGCAGGGCAATCTCAAGGGTGGCGACAACACCCATGCTGGCATCGTAGTATTGCTTGATGAACCGTCCAATGGTCTCGGCGAGGGGAGACTGCTTGACAGCAGGCTTGGAGTTGGGGGAGGAGGGAGAGGTAGGGGCCGGAGTAGCGGGCTGCAGGGTGGGGATCAAGTACATCCGGCTGTAGGTTGCGACGTGGAAGACTGAGTAGACGCTGAAGGGCAGAAGAGCCAGGATGAGCTGGCGCGAGTACAACCAGACCAGAGCCATTCCTAAAGTACATGTAAGCTTGAATTTTTGGATTGTCGCATCGCCAGTCACTCACCGAGGTATTGCACATTCTCGTCGGAGATGAGCTTCACCACAATTGAGAGAGGGCTACCCTGGACACCCCGAGCGAAGTGACCCTTGTACACAACGATTCCATACGTCACAGCGGCCGAGATGAAGGCCAGGCGGTAGGCAATCCGTGCCGAGGAGGAGTAGTAGTTGAAGAAGATGCAAGACAGGAGGTAACGGAAGACGGAGAGCAATAGTGTCACATGTCTAAAATTGTCAGTGGCTCTGAATTTGAGTTGTGTGCGCTTCAGCAGATTGACCTACCCAACGAACCAGGCAAACCTGCAACGTGGCGTTTTGTTAGTATTGATAAACAAGGCATTGAAGCATCAGTTCTAGGGAAACATACTGTAGCGTCTGGGCCAAAGCCTTGAGTCTCTCGACCAGAGGCAAGTTCGCAGAAGGAGGAGGAGGAGCCATATCTTGAGCAGCAGATGAGTGATAGAATTAAGTCGAGATGAAGGGGGAAAAAAACAGAAAATGTGTGAAAGATAAGGTGGCTGGGGAGAGCGGGGAGACAAGGAACCATCCGTGGACGCACACTGAGCTTCCCTTCCTCGCTCTCCGCCTTTGGTGACGTCGGGTGTTCGCAATTTCTTCTATACTTCGATTACTTACTCCGTATATCTCACTCTATTGCAATACATATATATCCTGACTTCTTTCTTTTTGTCTAGGATTCGCTTGTTAATCTGTTTGTGTCAACCTCGAGTCGGTGTGACCGACCCGCTTGACAAAATCCAATTTCAGCACTAACGTTCGGCCATTTGCATACACTTGCAGCCTTCTCCAATAGTTCATGTGTCGGTTATATCGTGACAAATCACTTGTTTTTATCAATCAGCTTCAATCGAAAGGAGAATGGGCATACTCAATATATTACTCAAGCTTGATCCCAGCTCCTTCGGGTATTCGAATGTATCCAGAGCTAGCCAAGTATAGAAGCTAGCCAAGTATAGACGCTATGGACTCGAGTGACTCGAGCGGGAGAGCCAGACTCAGGACTCTGGGTCTTAGAAATCTGATCGAACAGAATAAGTAGCAGGAAATGATGAAATCACATATTTGACTGATCATTGCTCTACGATAGTACCAATCTAGACCGGGGAAGCAAGAGGCCTATCTATATATCTCGACGCGGTCACCCAAGTTTGTGCCACATTTTGTTGATTTGCGCACATTATAGAAACAAGCCATGAAGACCCATTTACAGCGTTGATCTTTATTTGAAAAGCTCACAGGCTGAATTCCTTCCAATCGATCTTCAGATTAACCCGGACCAAGAAAACAGAATCACACGAGGTCTAACTACTTTGTGAGGAAACACATCCCAATATCATCATCACTCCTTCAGTCCGGTCCCTGTTTAGTGTGGCCACTCAGCTAACTGGTGATATAGTACTCCATATCCATATCCGATTTAACAATACCACATAACTAAAATTCCCCAAACCCGATGCTTAACATGCACCCCAAAGCCTCGTCGCCAAACCGGATACACTTTTATTGCCGAACCCTTCCTGCGCTTAGAATCAGTACTAGTCTAACTCCAGAAGATGAAACGGCACAATTTAGAATATTCAATACCTAAATTTATCCTTATGAACCCTTCCCAATTTTTAGCTTTCCGGTGTAGTACACATTATACCTGCCAGAACATAACAGTCGAATCAGTAGAGGTTCCCGATCTGAATACGGGTGATCTACATCGACTGATGCTAATCTCCGGATATCCCTGCTATTTTTAGGCCTGCAGACTGTGCCCTGACAAGCAAGAATTCAGGAACACGAGTGCCAAGCACAACCGATGTTCCGATTAAGCTTAACAACATTGGGACAGTTGAATAACACGAGAAGTCCTTATGGGGTACGAGATAATCTTTTCGAAAATAGATTTTATGACTTCCACTCACTACAACTTCAACCCTGTATACGGGCTTCATGGAAAGAATCCACAAATACGAATCGAAGATCTCTTCACATTCCACATCTATACGAGCCTCGTGGGGTCCAAAGCAAGCAAGAATGAACAGAAGAGTTCTTCAGATTCTCAGGGCACGAGGAATCCAGAGATATAAAATCCTCCCTGACCCTCCTTCAAACTCTTCTATCCATCAGCTCAGAGCATCGCAGCACCGGCTACTCTGCAATCCCCAATACCCAATACCAACTTCAACTTCATAAGATACTTCAAATATCATTCCAAACCCCATCCAAAATGATGCTCACCCCGATTCTGGCACTCGCATTTGCCACCCTCACACCAATTGTCAATGCCTATCCTATAACCGGAAACGTCGTCAATTGCCGCTCCGGTCCAGGAACCTCTTACTCCGTAGTCAAGAGCTACAAGAAGGGAGCCGACGTTGCAATCACCTGCCAAGCTGCTGGTACCACCGTCAATGGCAATGAAATCTGGGACAAGACCTCCGACGGTTGCTATATCGCCGACTACTATATCAGAACCGGGAGCAGCAGCTATGTCACCAAGAAATGCGGCGGCGGAGGTGGCAGTGGTGGCGGTAGCAGTGGAAACCTTCCTGGTCTCACATCCACTCAGTCTAAGCATGCAAAGGCTATCATTGGAGAAGCAAAGAAAGAAGACTTGGGTCGTCAAGGCTGTCTTGCTGGAATTGCAACTGGGCTTGTTGAGGTAAGTCGTTTACATATTCACTCCACAGATAATCAGCCGGAATATTACTAACACTATTCAAAGTCTAATATGCTTATCTACGCTAATAAGAAAGTCCCTGCTTCCCTCAAGTATCCGCATGATGCTGTGGGATCGGACTATGACAGCGTGGGCATTTTCCAGCAACGCGCTATCTACTACCCGGATATTGCTGCTGATATGGATGCTGCGAAGTCGGCGGCTCAGTTCTTTAAGGGCATGAAGAACGTTAGTGGTTGGAAGACTATGGAAGTTGGCAAGCTTTGCCAGAAGGTGCAGGGCTCGGCGTTTCCCAGTCGATATGCGGAACGTGTTGCTGAGGCTAAGAAAATTTGTGTTGCTGGTGGCTTGTAGATGGACATTGTGTTTTTCATTCACTTGTACTTGGGCCATGTTTACTAGATATTTTCATGGCTCTTGGAGTGCTCGTTCTTGAATCTGAATAATGTGTTGGTTGCTTTATTGTTGCTACTAGTCCGACAATTCTACAGACGTTTGATATTGTCCGCCCCTAGGGGGTTTCAATAGAAAACGAAGGATAGGCTTACTCCAAACTCACATCATATATATATGACAGATCTGGAAGATCTTCCACTATCTAGTCCACAGCAAACTTTTTTTTGGTGCGATCTTAGAACGACAGGACTTGTCTTGTAGGATCAGGGTCTTCGTACACCTTTTTTTCACCAGATAGAATACTCAGATGTCCAGCAGTACTATGTCCCTAGCACAAATTCATGTCTGGACTCTGCCATACCATAGCCAAGAGGGATGGAAGTGATATGGCCAAAATGCTTTGTTTGCCTGTCTGAGGCAGCGGTAGGATTCACGGCTTGCCTCTCCACAAGATCATGACCTTTCTACGTCATGCTAGTATTTCTCATAAGGAATAGGCATGTGGGAGGGACAATCAAAAGATGCCAATGACTAAGACCTTCATTGGCTCAACAGGGAGGTCAAATGCAAGGGAATAGATGGCGTGTTGACTTTAGGCCTGTTGCATGGATAGGTTTCCTCAACCTCCCGACTGACATGAAATGGTAGCAACTTGACGACACTAGTATTGAGGCTGTGATCGTGAATGTCCAACGTAGACATAGGTTTTAGTATTACCAGTACCTCGATGTTCTATTCACACCTAGTCCTCACTAGTAATCATACATGGGTAGGCATTGGCAGCTCCATCTGCGCACATCAATGAGTCCAACCCTGCACTCCGTGTTCTTCCAGGGATATTCCCCAGAGTTCACCATGTGAATATTTGACGATCCCCCAGTACCCCATAAACAACTCCAAAATAAAGTTTTCCCCGGACCTCAAAATCACATGGCAGGCCTCGGATGCCCCAGTCCGTACTCCGTACATACTAGCGCTAATCCAACAAGGCCTTCTCCCCCGACTTCCCATTCGTATGTCTTCAATAATCAGACTATCCACTCTGCAACCTCTGCCCCGGATTATGCATATATCGTACGGGCTCATCTATACCCCACGGGGCCGAAAGCACGTGTCAATCCCAAGCCCATAAATGCCGAAAGATACTTCTAGCCTATGAACAGCCCCCGGCCCCACGTGTGTTAGACTAAAACTAGTGCTCCTTTGACACCCTACTCCATAGTTTCCAACATTGAATCCGGGGGAACACGCTATCGAAGTCGATCAACCCCGCACCCCCGGGAGTTCTCGCTGGATCATCGCGCCTGACGTAAGATCCACAGATCAAAGAGCAATCACAAGAACCGCGGGGTTTCTAGAGAGCAAAAGGTTCCAGCGAGTGGATTTGCCGATGTTGGGAATGAGCGTGGATCCTGACGTCTGAAAATCAATTCATCCGCAAGGACCACTAGAGCCCCTCGCTATCACTACCCCTGTCCAATACACACAATTTAATAAACTTCCCGAGGTCCCGACCCCCGGTCCTTGTCTCTGCAAGTCTATACAGTCTTTAATATACTCGCCTATACGGAGTACAGAGTACCTACAGAATACGAAATACCAAAGACTTGACTTCAACCGCACAATCTAAACAGGACTGCACTTATGTAGGTACGGATCCACACAAAAGGCGCATCTCACATAATCACTAACCCAACACGAATTTCAAATACATCCAACAATCTAGAAGTGTTCTCCGAAAGTCTAACAGGGATATTCTAGTGTACAGTAAGGTTCAACTAGTGAAGCCCTTGCAAACACGTAAAGTATTCATCGGTACCCCGTGTTGTAGTAACTACCTATAATGAACGCACAGACTAAATCAGCCCCAACGTGGTAAAACCGCCGTTCCTGCATGAGGTGGAGTCCGGAATCCCAAGGGGACTAGTGCCGCCCCCGGTCTTGATGGCTTTGCGTAGCGATTGGGGCTCGGCTCTGTGGTTTTTTTATTCAAATTTTGGTGGTATTTTATGGTAATTTATGTACGAGGCCATGTCCACCACCTGGCTGTCGTGTAATTATGTGACTGGGCTCTATATGCTGTGCGAATTATTGTGCTGATTACGGGCATACCGATGCGAGGACCCGATTGCATTGCCGTTGAGATTGGAATTGAGATTGAGACGGGTGTGGTGAGAATCGTGATTACAATTGTAATGGGGATAAAGTCTCGATTCTTTCCAAATCAATAGAAAGTGTAGTGAATGTGGAGACAGATAAATTAGAAACCAGTTAAATTGTTCAGAAATAGGAACGGACGAATATGAAACAAAATCATACATCATTGATACACGTCGAAAACTGCCCAGGAAATAGTGAGACACGCGTAACACGGTGTTTCCCATCTTCTTTTTTTCGTAGACCTATAGGCCAAAGACGGGATATTTGTATAACATTAAGAGAGAAAACATAAAAAACGTATTTCGGTAACATTACACTCGCCCATACCCTGGCGCAAACGTAGACTGAGGATCCCACTCGCGTGCACTATGTAACGAGCTAGGCGGCCTAGGCCCGGAAAAACTCAGCGAGGGCCGCACATAGCGGGCCTCACGAGCGATATGGGAACGGTCCATGCTCGGGCTGGGGCTGGTCGGACTACGGCCGAATCCAGCCTGTGTAGGGCTCGGGGAGGGCATGAATACGCTGCGGTCAGTCCCGCCCATTTGGGTAGGGCTTGGTGAACGCATGAAAGCGTTCCGGTCAGGCCCCATTCGTGGAGGACTTGGTGAGCGCATGAAGTCTTTGCGATCAGGTCCCAATCGTGTTGGGCTTGGCGAGCGCATGTATGTATCGGGTGATTTGACAGTGGTGAGCATTTCGAAGCCCTTGTTATTGGCGAAGCGGTTGGTTGCGTCTACGGAGACGAACTCGTTGCGTTGTGCTATTTTGGTGCGGAAGAGATCGAGCCAGCCGGCGAACATGGAGGGGCGGGCGAAGAGGATGAAGTTCCAGAAGCCGACGAGGGAAAGAAGGATTACCACTGCTAGTAGGGTTGCTTCGTTGGGGCCGATGGCTGCGGCATGGGTGCGGCATAGGTCTTTGTCGCCGGTTTGGGCGAGACACATTAGCCAGGGAGTTGCGGTTTTGACGTTTCTTGCTGTTGGGGCGACGGCATTGTCGAGGTTGATGAAGACGACTGCGAAGAAGATTACGTTGCCGAGAATGATTGATGTGAGGGCGATGCCACGCCATTGGAGCTTCAGGACGCGGCGTACGCGTCGATAGGCTTGTCGGGCTGTCACGGTGCCGATGCTGGCTGAGTAGGAAGGAAGGTTGGTGCCGGAACTGCCTGTTGTCGAGGCGGATTTGTCGAAAAGGGAACGGAGGTAGATGTGGGTGCAGTAGACCATTGTTGATAGTTGGAGGAAGAGGGCAGCAGCAGCAAAGATCATAACGGGGATCCAGTAGTCGTATAGTGCGTTGGTTACGTTGATATGGCAGATTTCGCCGAATCGGAATGACACTCCAGTCAGGATCAGCATAACGGTCATGCCAATGGCTGGAATCCCGAATCCGCAGACAAAGGCTGTCCACATGAACTTCGGGCCTAGAACTATTTCCCAGCATACTTGTAGGTGAAAGGCCATTGTACGGATAAAACTCCAGATGACCACTAGCCAGCCTCCGAATAACAAGAAAGATCCGGAGAAGGCACAGGAAAGATCGGAGCGCATATCATTAGGGGTGATTGCATTGTGGCACTGGTCTGGTTTGGCGCCGAGAGGGATGATAAAGGCGAGCTAGATGAGAGTTAGCCCATGAAGACTTCCGGCACACGCCAGCATCCAATTTCAACTTGCCTGCATACAACAAATGCCCACAGTAAAACAGACACTTAGATAATGACGGTGAGTCCATTTGACGGGTAATACGGCGTACGAAATCAACAAGAAGATGCATAGAGGGAGAATGGCGACACTAATCCAACTCGTGACGGCGATCTTATCGGCCAAGTCTATATCTCCAGGTTAGCTTTGAGAACGGGCCTGGAAATGACCCGACTCACCAGTATCATATCTCCACTCGGCGAGAGGACATGGCAAGCAACATGAATAAGTACTGTTGCCTAAGGTAATCTTCTCGCAATAGCGACCATCGATAAATCCCCCGGTGGAGGGAAATAGCGTCTCCTGCAAGAAGGGAGACGGGCAATGTCCAGTTAGGGCGTGCACCATGATGGCGAGAGATGCATATCCTGCACCAATCCCTAACGCGCCAGCGCGATATGAAGGAATATTATATAGATCCAAAAGAGAGGGAGGGATAGAGAAGTCAATGGTAAACGGGGATGTTCATCGTATATGAACTCGTACTCCGTGTTCCAGTAGTTAGGTACATTGGACCGTTCACTGCTCCACCCGGCACACGAGGCCCCTAAATCCTTACCCACGGTCCCCCCAAACTCAATTCGTGCTTGGCAATGTCGTTTAGCGGGGATGTAAAATACAGTAAGGAGGATACAGTACAGCTATACAGTACGGGATTTGAAAATAACCGTAAAAACTGTAAATAAAAGACCGATGTATGTTGTACTCCGGCACTCAGACCTTCCAAAAGGTTCTAAATGCTTACGGCCTAGATCTCATCTCAAGGTAATATTTTAGTGCCTCGCTAGTATAAAATCCTATACTACTCTAGCATCGATTTAATCTAATTCATCAGCCTCGGACTTCCATACTAGGCCTTTTCCAAGTGAGGTTAGTTCCTTTCACTTGGAGATACAATGACAATGTTCAACATTAAATCTAGATTCAATAGATCTCAATGACTATCTATTTAGATTGCTCCAGCTGACAGGTACACACAATCGTCCAGCCCCAAGCTGACAATTTGCCAAGCACTCGCCTCAAGCACCCTGATTCGATTACGTTCTTTTACCCCTGGAGATCAAATTCTGCCTATGCTCGCCACAGACTGGCCTGTGTCACCGACAATGGCATTCCTTCCCGAGAACCCACGCGGTAATCCACCCAATCATTACCTCTAGCCCGTCTCTCGCTGTGATCATCGCCAGCATTCGTTGCTCATGGGTCCAATTACATGGACAATAGAGCTATATAACATATGTATGTGTGCGCTGCCAGACAATCTATCACAATTGAAATATATCTAAAAGTTCCAGAATCCTCATCTGCGTGTTATGTTGTAGATCTTATGTATGGATCAGCTGACCTATTCACAATATACATACGTAGTACTCCGTACATGATATACATACGCCTCTCCGGGAAGCTGAAACATGTACTTGCTATTTACCGATATTTTCAGAGCACACCGACATCCTTTGGTGATCATCGTATTTAGCGCAATGAACCACCAACTAGTTAAGCAGCTGGCTCTTGATAGTTTGAGCCTAGCTCTTTTCTGACGATATCACGATCATCCATGAGTCATACATATACAACTGTATCGCTCAACACAAGCAGAGTCCAAAGTTCGCATCAAATCATAAGCCCTAGTAATTCTCCTCGCCTTGATTCTACCTTGCTTTCCAGTTACCAGGACTCTTCCTACATATGATATCTAGCTTGGTAGATACATTCTAGCCCCGAGTTTAAATCCATCTGTCTGATTCACCACAACACCCCGTAGTTAATCCTATAGACACAACAAGACAGAAAAAGAGACTATAGGTCAAAATAGTCCGAACCACAGAAACAACCCTTATCTTGCCGAGATCTAGACAGGTTAGACAATTACTGCCGTAAAAATAAACACATCTGTCAACACCCCAGCCCCCTTCGTTCTATTTTTCTATTTTCAAGCCAAGTACGGAGTCTGGAGTGAACCCTGACTCGACAGAAACACCACACAGTGGCACACACACAAGCTCAATATTATTATTAAATGTACGCTGACTTCGTACCAAGATCAGCCCCAAACCCGCGGCAGCCGGAGCCCTAAATAACGTAAATGCTCCTCCAAATGCCCCAAACCCCGGGATCGTCTTTCCACCCCATTCTACACCCCGCCAAACTTTCCCTTCTCCATTCTCGAGAAAATATCCCCAGAATCGACCCGAAGTAAAAGATTTGCGGAATAACCGATCCTAGTAACCCGAGATATTCTCGTAACCGCGGTAGATCTTGAATAATGTCGGGGCGTGGGATTCGGATAAGTTGCCCCCTAGAAGGGTAAATCAGTGGGGGGCACGCTTGGAAGTGGATTCGGTGACATGCAACGGAAAACCCGCGAGGGATGGGTTTTAGGGTTGGGGGAATGTCCAGGAGGTACTGCGTAGAAATCTCGTATGGGAAGATGTGATATTCGAAGTGTTATTTGTTTATTTTGGGGGTTGACTGTTTATTTTAGGGCTAAATTTGAAGCCGAAGGAATGGGCGATCATGAAGTAATCGAAATCTTCAAAAGCTGAACCGCCAAGGTGGAATAGACCAGGATAATTTGGACAATACGTCTGCAGAGAACTCGGCAACTAAACCGAAGCTGCAGAATCAAATGAGGAAAGGTTTTCGAACCTTGGATATTTCTTCACATTCCATCCCACTTCTTATTGTACAGACATCTGCACTATACATTACTACAAGTCGAGTATCATGATCATTACTCATGTGTCCGGCATTCGTCAAACGTGAGAGCCCTCCTTGACATCTTCCAGTCGCTTGAAATCATTCCCCATGGCGGGGGTGTAAGGGCTGCAATGCATCCCAATCCGACAGCCCATGCAATACTCTACAAATACAGCCCAGTACCCTCAAACGAGTTCATCGGGTCCAACATGGGTCCAACACAAGTCCAACACAGGCCCAAGTCAGAGGTTCTATATGAGGATATGCCCCGCGGGCCTCTAACCCCGGACACTATCCCTAGACTGAAAAGCTTATCTTGATACCTTCGAGCGTCAGGAACCAGAAGGCGACCGCGTCAAATTCTCATTCCACCCCCACTCCTTCAATAACTGCTGTACGCGGTATTCAGTCGCCCAGCCTAGATCAGACTCGATACTCCTCAGCAGACGCACGGTAGTACGACGCTCGCGCGGGTCAGTCAGACACTGCCCACTAACAAAGAGCGGCTGTAGCGAGTTGATCCGGACGCTCCCATCCGGACGGGAGAGACCGATACCCACAATCTCGCGACTGTGGAATGCAATCTCAGCCTCAATGGAGCGGTACGACTGGAGACGGAGCGTGATGGTGCTCCGACGGCTGGTGGATTCGTGTGGTTTGTTGATGAGCAGCAGGATGCGTGCCATGTGGTAGTGTTGCATGGCGGAGGCGCACATAGGTAGGCTGTACCAGATTTCCTGGAGGGTGGAGATGTCTTCGTTTTCGTTGGGTGAGCGGTGGTGTGAGAGTTTGTGGGGATCCATTCGTGCGCAGGGCCGGAATGTCTCTGGGATGCCGGTGTACCATGCGTCGAGCTCGGCTTCGAGCCTGTACCACCGCTCCAGCAGGACTTGTTGCGAGACGCCCAGCGGTCCTGGTATGGATTGGTGATCGTTTAGTGGAACGTTATCGCCGGAGCTTATGAAGTTGACTATCTTGGACATTATCCAGACTAGTCCGTTGCTGATTAGGTCTTCTTTCATTATATCTTCGCCTTCTGGGTATCCTGCCGCGCTTGTGTTGCTGGGGCGGAGAAAGCCCGCGCTGTCGAGGATGAGACCTGCTTCGGTCCAGAGAACTGTGTCGTCTGTGTTCAGCCTTGTATGGCTTTCATTGATGACTTCTTTTTGTTAGCAGATATTGAGGGAACTATTCGTGGGAAGAAAACACTCACAGGCAGCTAGGTAGTCCTGCCGCGCGAAATTCCAAAACGTCGCCTTCCGAGCCTTGGAAAGACCAGACTTCTTAGGCGTCTGTGTTTGATATGAGCTCTCTCCCGGAGACGAACGCTGCTCGAGAGGCATCATGCCAACTTCGGCGACATCAAGCAACGACTTGACACCACTCAAATGACGATTCCACGCAGGCCCTGCGGCATCGAGGAATTCATACACAGACAAAATGGCCGTCGCCGCGAGCACCTCATCGGAATGAACTCCATGTGAGAGCCGACTATCAGAAACCCGTCTGCGGCGCTTACGTGGGTTGTCCGTATCTACAGAAAGCTCGGAAGCTTGCCATTGACCGAAAGCCTCGGGGGTACTTAATGGTGGTGGACCCTCTGCGTCAGGTTGCAGCTCTTTCATTAACAACTGGATGGCCTTTTCATAGTATTTGGCCCCGTACCAGGCGAAGTCGGGGTCTTTATCAGGCCACAATTCCATGGCAGCTTGTTGGGTGCAAACTCCACCCATCGGTGCCTTGGTACCTTTGACTCGACCCAGCTGTTTAGCGGAATATGCGCAAGCGGCGAATTTCAAAAGAGGGTTGGCTCTCGCTCGTACCGGGACGTATGAAGCGAAATATGTCCCTAGATCAAAGAGATCCATCCTGCAGATACCATTGTTACTCATGATTTCACATCAGCAGGTGGGATATAACATACCACAGTCCTGGTCCTTCCGAATAATGTCGCAGAAAGAAAGCGGTCTCAAAATCGGTCTCTGAATTGTCATCTGGTGTATGTGTCATGAGGCTCATTTGGCTCATTTGGCTCATATGACTTATGCTTCTCTGTGAAACTGCCGGTCTTGATGGGAGTGGAGTGTGGCGGCCAGAGAGTTGGATACTTGGATCGATGGAGGGGGACATCGAATGCGACGGGTTGAGGAGGAAATTAATATTGGTATTATTGCTGGTGGATGCCAGCGACATGGATGGCGAAGCCGGCGGAAGAGCAGCATTGTGCCGTCGGTTGGGAGAGGTATAGGAGGTACTATCAGGGATGGAATGGTCTAGGGAAGAATAAGGGAAGCGATCGTGTGCGACCGCCGACAAGGCTTCTAATCCCTGTGTTTCAGCATCGCTTGTTCGGGAGGCTCCACTGCCCCATCTGTGATTTGGAGAGTTTGTTTGCGCTGCGTTCGGATCTGCCAGGGGACCCTCGAGGTCATCGGCGTATGGATCGGAATTGTCGACGAATATCACTGCAGAGGATATAAGCCCCCGTCCAACGAAATTTTAGACCCAAGCAATATGTCCCAGCGGTGCCGTACCATGTTTAGGAACATCCAACCACACACTATCCTTGTCAAAGGTGTTCTTATATGAATAGAACCCATTGAGACTACCACGACCATCTGGGGAGGTTCGGTTCATCGACGCGTTTTGTTGATGGCGGAAAACTACTCCTTCGCTCGGACGACATTCTCGGCCACCTTTGCGACATTGTGAACATTCGGGCTTTTCTTCATCACCTACATGTTATTTAGTCAGGTAATGGAATCTTGAAACAAGATAATTTATCCCTACATTTTAGCTTTCGTGTTCGACACGTTAAGCTGGGCTGTGTTAGCCCAGTACACCAGTTGAGCGCATCAAACTTACCAGCCGGTTCGTGATCGCATACCGAAATGGCATGTATACGATGCAGTAACAACATCCGCAGAGAAACCTTGGAAGTGGTTGAGGTTGGGGAATACGAAAACCTGGAGATCGACTTGCGGGGAGAGACCAGGTGACCTGGGGGCCCCACACAAACGGCCTGACTCAGACGGAGTGGACGCGTGGCTATTAAATGAGCGTGTACGGAGCACGGGGGATACCTTTGGATGTAATGATGATACACGCAAATTGCTTCTATATTAATATATTCGTTGATTCATCAGCAAAGGGGTATTGTATTAATGAAGTCCACAAACCGTGGCTATCTACATTTCTCCAATCTCCCCAATAACATCCACTCAACTGAGAAATAGATCGCGGAAAAGCATATGGTACATCAACATAGAGGTATATTCACAATGGAGCTTTCAAGAGACTGTATCGGCATGTGGGAGCCAGTGGGATTAAAAAAAAACATTGAAGATAAATCGCGATATGACCGGCGCGAAAAAAACAAAACACAAGCGAACAGAAAGACATTAAAGATGGCTGGGTATAGCAACGTTGCTTCCGATAAAAAACAAAACAAAAACGCCAGCCTCGAAGCAAATCAGAGGGGTTGAGTGTTTTTGGAGCGAGAGGGGACATTAAAGGGCCGGGGCACTCGGGTTGGTGTGGTGCAGCGAGTTGAAGAGATACTCGGGCGGCAGACGTTGCATATCGGAGGGTCGATCGGTGCCGAAGGTTTGAGGGGCAGCTGCGTAGCCTTGGCGGCGGCGCTGGACCTTGTTCAGGATGACACCGGCTAGGACGATGAGGAAGACGGAGCCGAGAGCACAACAGAAGGCTACCAAGACTGTGATGCCATTGGAGTGATGTTTTGCTAGGTTCACGGTCAGCATTGATTTCTGTCAACGAATGGTCAGGTAAACTCACCGGGGGTGGTGTAAGGGTTCTTCTTCTCGGAAATGAACTTCGACATGCTGCCCGGTGTTCCATCGGCTCGCTGGGAAAGAATAAATGGAGTGATATCGGTTCCGTTGTAGAGCGCTGCTGATGCATGTCCGAATCCCGGAATCATGAGCGAGCCCATGATCAACAACGTTTGCTCGTTACGCAACAGAGAGGCCTTGGAATGGTCTTCGCGGAGAGGAAGAACCTCTAGGCCACGAATGATCGTGCCCTCAGAGAAAACATTTCCGGGGGATCGGAACTTGGAACCATCGTAGCTCAAGAAGAAGGCTGAGCCATTAGTCGCAATACCTCCGATCCAGAACTTTGACAGATCTGTGCTAGAAACAGTAAACGTAGTGACATTGCCGGGAAGATCTGAATGAGACGCTCCAGAGAAAGCAGTCCATTTGTCAGATTCCGCGTTGTAGGTAGCAATTGAGGTCTTATTGCGATCAACCTCAAGGTCCCCCACAGCCATCAGCGTCTTTTCACTGGCCCAATGAAGGTCAACTACAGTACCACTTAGGGACGTGTCAAGTCGATCCCAGTCACCGGTGGTAGCATCCACATAGCAGATAGAACTACATGGGAACTGCCCGACACCGTCGAAGTTTCCTCCAAAGTAGATATCAGATGTACCTGGTCGGTTGACGATAGCATTGACTGCGACATCCGAGCCCGCGAAAGCTGGCTGTGTCCGTGAGAACTCATTCTTCTTCAGGTCGTAGACCACAAGACCGGATAGAGTGGTCTGACCGATGTTTCCGGTGACGTTTCCACCTGCATAGAGGGTGTTGTTGTACACAAGCATTGAAACAAATGTCGAGTTACTGTCGGCACCTTGCGGTAGACCTGAGATCTTCGAATTGGTACCGTTGAAGATGGCGATATTTTCAATAGTTGATCCATTACTGCCAGCGGCAGCGAAATGCCCACCGTAGATAGTGAGATTGCGGCTTGAATCAGTATCATAGGCACCGGTTATCAGACCAGTGCTCGATTTCTGGTGGTTAGTCTTCATCGACAGAGGAATAAGTTGCAAATCATCGGAGTCTAGCAGTGACACCGCACCACCAGCGATGATACCATTGGTGGCAAGGTTGCCTGCCAAAATGAGCGTGTTGTTATGTGAAGTAACACTTGAGAGTTGACCACCAAACTGCATCTGCGTGACATTAACATTCTGGAGCCAGTCCTTGTGGGAAGGGACCCAGATAGCGAAACCAGCAACAGAAACCGCGGGCTTCCCGTTGGAAGCAATGATTTGGTCAAAGTCGCCGCTCACGGCAATGATGGTTTCGTTGATAGCAGTTGATGCATTCAATTCAACGGGCCAAATCGAATTGACAAGGCCGTTCAGTCCTGCCCCCAAAGCCGACCACTCTTTGGAAGAGTAGGAGTATGCCGCAACGTGTTCGAGGCCATTTGAACCTGCGTCTGAGGTATCGGTGAAGCGACCTCCAACGTACAAGACATTGTCAAGAGTGGCCATTGCTAGCACTGGGGAATTCAATCCGGAGCCGGGCATTGCTGTGACATCGCCGTCCTTGATTGACATGATGTGGTGAATTTTGCTGTCGGAAAAGTTACCAGCGACATAGATCACATTATCATGCTCCTTGATGATTGAGATTGTTGCACTGTGGTCAAGTGAGGTCCCCGCCTTGTTAATGTCAGACTTTGCAAGGTCAGAGGTTTCGGTCTTGGCGGTCGGATCATAATCATAGAGTCCATTGAGACCGCCAGTGCTGGACTCAAGTTCAAATCGGACACGAGATGCCACAATGGTGATATCTCCTTGGCCGTCCTTGGCCCGCAGGGTAACTTTCGGTCGAAAGGAGTCACTGTTGGCATCAACGTATCCCTTGTAGAATATGTCGTACTTATCGTGTCGGTTGGTCTGGTGAAGGTATAAGGGATCGGGTTGGTTAGAGTCAGGTCCACTCGAAAGGGTAGCCGTGACATTAACAATTCCCCGTGAGCTGCAGGAGTTGTCCTGGGTGCAGCCGGGAGTATATATCTTGATCGTATAGTTGCCGGATTGCTTCACGTCAGGCTCGAATGTGACGGATGTAGCCGAGGCATTAGAGTCTGTCACCTTTGCAGACACATACCCATCCTCCATAGTCCAAGAGCCGGTGCGTGTTGACTTGGCGGGATATTCAATGCCTGAGCAAGTCGGTTCGTTGAATTGGTCGACAGCGTATGTCAGGATTTGATCCTGGAAGACTTCAATGCCGTTGAGGCCTGCTCCTTGTCCGTACCAACTAAGAATCTCGATCTGGAGCCCCCGCATACCTACGGGGTTAACCATGGTGAATTCACGGTAGGTTTCACTCTTGTTGCTAGAAAGCGGACAGGACGAGTCACAGCTGATCTTTTTTCCGGACTCGTCTATGTAAGTCAGATTCATGATACCATTGTCAGGAAGAGCTCGAAGTAAAAAGTCTTTGGTGCCGCGTCCATCCAAATGAGTGTTGTAAAGGCGGATTTTGGTCGGGAAAAAATCGAAACCGAGGTCTGCTCTCCAAAATCCCGGCGCATAGTCGTGAAGAAGGTAGGTCTTGCCTTTGGCAGCCTCCCCATTTGTTGAGCAAATTATGTTACGGGGATCGGAGTAGCCGTCCAAAGAAGAGTCTGCATCGGATGTGACGGTCGCATTCTGGAGGTTGAGAATTTGTCTCTCTTTTGAAGAACTGGTTTTGTTTCCGAGCGCGTCGAACGATCCTCCAAAGATGATATGGCCATTGTCAGCCTTCAGAATCGAGTTGACTGGGCCATTCAGACCATTGAACGGGAGATCAGTCCAGCCATCGTCGGGCGCCCACGCGACGGCGTTAGTCGCGTTGTCGTAAGTGAATTTTCCTCCAACGTAGACGCGGTTAGTGTCCTGATCACAAGTCACGGCCGCTACCGAGCCCGATAGGCCCGGCAAGGCAACAACTTTGCTGGTATTTGGATTGAAGAGAGCAGCACCGGGCGAATGGACTCCGCCCAGGCTGGTAAAGTTGCCACCGACAAATATCCCCGCAAAAGTTCCATCCTTTTGAGTGAAAGGGCACATGGTCGTGATTTGCGCATTGGCGGATGAAAGATTTGTGAGAATGCCGTTCGGTAGTGGGGTGAGAAGGGCTTGGGTGCCATCGGGGATTGATTCGGTCTGTTCCTTATATTGATAGAGGGAGACGCCATCAAAATCACCAGTGATTGATACCCGTCCCAGCGAGGTCAGGTCCAGTTCCGGAACGGAGACTGACTCGAATGACAGGGCGTTCAGAGTCGGTAAAAGGGCAAGAAGCGAAGGCCAGCCAGCCGCCGCGGGCCCAAACAATGAAGAGACCCTCATTGTCCTGGGAGCGACGACGGGCAAAAGAAGTGTAGTTGACCAGTTGAAATGATTGAAGCGAGTGTGGGAAGACTAGACAGGGTTGTGCTGTCCAAGAAATTCAGGGAGGCCGTCAGGCCGCAACGCGTGGAGAAAAGAACGTGGTAAAGAATGTAGGCATAAAAAAAGAGACTAAGAGCAAAGGAATGTAAATGAATGAATCATGCTCGAGACCGAAGCCTCACTGCATTTGAGTATCAACGAATGACTGATGAAGTCGAAGGGAACCCAGGGGAAGACCCAGTCTTGTTTTTCGAATTGAAACGGCAATACTTGAAATTACACTAAAATTAAAAAATACAAGGACTGCCACGCTAATGCAGCACGCAGCTCACATACAGCCAATGAGAGTGGCCATTCCCAGCCTCCCGTCTAAATAGTGGGGACCTCTGAACCGTGGATGTGTGATATCAAAGGTCTCGATGTTGTTGACAAGGATCGTACCCGTAAACAGCATATACTAGTGAAGAGAGAACATGAATTGAGGCATCGGTTTGTCAAACAACTCCTCAAATCAATATCGAGGGAATGATTTGTTCCCAATCGCTAGGGCAAGGGGGACTCGGTAGAATAAGGATCTACCCTCGTACGACTCATCTGCCGGTAATGACGATGATGTACAAAGCACTGCCCTTATCTGAGATCATACCCTCATCCCTACCTTATCAAACTGCTGCCATTGATTTTGATAAATCTCTACAATGCAATATTATTGTATCTATTTATATACATTGTATCTGTAAATCAGCATTAACCTAGTCTTGGAATCCGATACACCAACGTTGAATCACCAAGTGGATCCCGAGGTCTTGTCGCAGAAATGTTCCAGAGCCCCGCGATCGTTTCGCTTAAATATAGAATTGGGCTCCACGATCTGGCTCGGTCTATGAGACACGCAATCCTCTGGATATTATCGATGTTTGGTTCCTTTAGAACCCACATAATTAACTCAATGAACATACATATACAGGACAGAGTAATCTAGCTACATAAGCTGCGGGTCGATAAGTGTCTGTGTCCACACAAAGTAGGTAGTGTTTATGCCATAAGAATACAGAATAAGTTAGAATTGGAGTCTGATAGAAAATTGTAGAAGAAAATCACACTTGTATCATCAGGCGATTTCACGCTTCCAAAATCTAGAGGGGTTCCAACTCGATATAGATGCTTTGTTTCAGCTGCAATCGATATTCTTCTATATTGTGTGTGATGAACGACTTAGTGAGAGTCGGCTAGACCTTTGACGGATGAACCTATATGGATTGCAGTGGAATCTGACCCGATTGTCTAACAGCCACCAATGCAATGGCTAGTTGGCTGAGGATCCGATTTGAATAATTGTGCTTTTAAGACGATTGAAGTTTCTACATAACCTGAGCTCTAGTCTCTATTTATTCGATAGCCAATACACTTTGAGGTAATTTACCAGCTCAAATATTAAATAGTCAAATAATTCTTAGTAGATCTGAATGAAAGTCTCGAAATTCGTTTTGAGAGGTTGTAACTTGAATCATAAAAAGAAGAGATGCTCATGGAGATGCTGCTGACTGCCTCAGGCATGAACGCTAAACGCTTTTTGGCTGAAGTGGCCTCCCTACGGCGCGCCGCAACGCGAACTCCAGAAACCGAAATCTTAAAGCTTTCAACCCAGCTCGCTCTCCCTCACCTACCTTCGTCATCCGTCTGCTAGTCATTTTGAACCTCTTGTTTCTGCACTTTATATCTTCGCCTGTCGTAATTTTACATCCACAAGCTCCACCATGTAAGATTTTTCGCAGGAAGTTTCTCATGTCTGGTACTGACCACCCTACAGGGAGAGCTTTGACAACATCTACCTAGACCTCTCAAAGCAGCCTGGAAAATGCAAGCTTGCTGAAAGTGGTCTGGGCTGGCGCCCATCCGGTGGTGGCGATACTTTCACTCTCGACAGCAGCAACATCGGCGCAGCCCAGTGGAGTCGCGCTGCGAAAGGCTTTGAGCTGAAGATTTTGTCGCGATCGTCTGGAGTGATTCAACTGGATGGATTTGATCAAGAGGTATATTTCACCGATCATTTTGCGACCATTGACCCGCAGACTGACAACCGAAAAAGGACCTTGAGCGACTGAGTAAAGCATTCAAGATCTGGTACGGGATTAACGTGGAGACCCGTGAACACGCTCTGCGAGGATGGAACTGGGGCAAGGCGGAATTCACAAAAGCAGAGCTAGCGTTTAACGTCCAGAATCGCCCCGCCTTCGAGGTCCCTTATTCCGAAATCTCAAACACCAACCTGGCCGGAAGAAACGAGGTCGCCGTTGAGTTTGCACTCCCCACCGGCGACGGAAACGATGCCGTGACAAAGCCCGGAAGCACAAAGAACCGAGGCCGCAAGGCTGCTGCAGGCCCCGATGAGCTGGTCGAAATGCGATTCTACATTCCTGGAACGGCCACGAAGAAGGAGAAGGTGGAAGGTGCCGAAGGCGCTGAGGGCGAGGAAGAAGACAACGAGGAAGGGACTGAGGAGCATAACGCTGCCAATCTCTTCTACGAGACACTTATGGACAAGGCTGAGATTGGAGACGTCGCCGGCGATACCTTTGCTACTTTCTTGGATGTCCTTCACCTCACGCCCAGAGGTCGCTTCGATATTGATATGTACGAATCGTCATTCCGGTTGCGCGGAAAGACATACGATTACAAGATCCAATATTCGGCCATTAAGAAATTCTTCCTTCTTCCCAAGAATGACGATACCCACACTCTTATCGTGCTTGGTCTTGATCCCCCTCTGCGACAGGGTCAAACTCGTTATCCTTTCCTGGTTATGCAGCTCAAGCTGGACGAGGAGATCAGCCTTGAGATGAATATGACAGAGTCAGTTTTCCTGCGCTTATGTTTTCTGCACCTACTAACAACCTTTTAGGGATATCTTGAACAGTCAGTACAAGGACAGATTGCAGCCGCACTATGAAGAGCCAATCCACCAAGTCGTCACCAAGGTCTTCCGAGGCTTATCTGGAAAGAAGGTCATCATGCCTTCCAAGGATTTCTCCAGGTCAGTAACTGCTCTACCTTTGCAACACCCCCAGATCCCATTGCTAACATGCACCACAGCCACCACGGCCACCAAGGTGTCAAGTGCTCAATCAAGGCCAACGAGGGTCTCCTGTACTTCTTGGATAAGAGCCTTATGTTTGTTCCCAAGCCCGCAACCTACATCCAAATGGAGAATATCGCGATTGTTACAATGTCGCGTGTCGGAGGCGCTGTTTCCGCCAGCCGAACCTTTGATATCACTGTTACCCTAAAGGGTGGCTTGGGCGAGCACCAATTTAGCAACATCAACCGGTAAGTGCCCCCAATGTCTCCTTTTTCGGGGATATACTGACATGACCAGCGAGGAACAAAAATCCCTCGAGGACTTTTTCAAGGCTAAGAACATCCGTATCAAGAACGAGATGGCCGAAGAGGTATGTGAAGTCTTTTTCCCTGGAATAATTATAGCAATTGCTAATCATCTCCCAGGCTGCTGGACTTATTGCTGCTGCCCTTGACAACGATGCCATGGGCTCCAGCGACGATGAAGTACGGGCTGACCGTGGATCAGCAGATGAGGATGAATCGTCAGTTGACGAAGACTTCGCTGGTTCTTCGGAATCTGATGTGGCCGAGGAGTTCGACTCTGATCACGAGAGTAGCGGTGATAGTGATGAGGAGATGGGCGATGCATCTGGTGAAGAGGGCGACAAGGAAGACGACCGTCCTAAGAAGAAGACCAAGACGGTTTAGATGTACAGCTAGTCTTTTTTCCCCAAAATATCCGAGTCTCTAATACATTTTATAGTCCAATGTTGTGATATAGTGGAGCTCACGTGAGTTGGTGATTGGCGGAACCAATTCTGGGGGTTTCTTAACCCCTGATCTCAGGAGATATCTGGCAAGTACACAAGTACCTACATGTACGTAAATTTGTATATGACAACAGCTTCCAAGCCCATTACCATTGGGGAATTGTACATTTCCGGTTGGAAATAGAACTGCAGTATGGCTTAAGAATCATGCAAGCTGGCACAAACAATCGGCGTTTTACGGTGTACGGAGTAAACAGTAGAAAAGACCCGAAATCAAGATAAAACAAGAGCAATTCGAGCCCAGAAAATAGACAAGTTAGAAAAATCTGCAAATATACGAGTCCAAAGGTGCCAATTGTATAGTTAAATGAACATATCAGGTGTTCTACGCGGGTCGATCCAAACCAACTCCAGAATAGCTGGGCCCCGACAACCTCCCCCTTTCTTTCCCAGACTGGCAGAACCTCCTTCTCTTCATCCTCCTTTCGTTTCATTTCCTCTTTTCTTTTCATCGTCTCTCGCTTCTGGTCAATTTAATCCCTTTTCTTTTTCTTTTTGAAAACAATTCCAGGTAAACCAATCCCCTTCTCCCCAATTTTTTTTTCCCCTATCGCGACAATTCGACCCCACTGAAGATTAGGAAAGGTAGCTGACGACATTCGTGATCTAGGGGATCTTAATTCACAGTTTTACATATCCTGAATCACCCCCTTCGCAATGTGTAAGCTATTCCCCAGGATCAGGAGACAAACAATCTCGAAGCTCTTCCCCAGACAAGATGCTGATAGGTTTGAAGCTTCACCACCACCTCCAAGCAGCCCCCCAGTTGCGTCTCCCGTCGCGTCCCGGGACTCACCCACTCCCAACAACGGCTTGGAGTCGCCTTACGTCGAGCGTAGCAACCCAATGGGCTCCGGTATCGCCCAGACCGTCACCTCCCGCGACCCCAAGGCCGCAGCTCAGGCTGCCACCGACATGAAGAACGTCGTTCGCCGGAAGCTGACTGGCTACGTGGGTTTCGCCAACCTGCCCAACCAGTGGCACCGCAAGAGTGTTCGCAAGGGCTTCAACTTCAATGTTATGGTTGTCGGTAAGTTAGACAACTGAGAATATTCTATGACCCAAGCTCATATCCACCAGGTGAATCTGGTCTCGGAAAGTCCACTCTCGTGAACACTCTGTTCAACACCTCGCTCTACCCCCGAAGGAGCGTACTGGCCCCAATGCCGATATCATCCCCAAGACCGTGTCTATCCAGTCGACCAGCGCCGACATCGAGGAAAACGGCGTGCGTCTCCGCCTGAGCGTTATTGATACCCCCGGCTTTGGTGACTTTGTCAACAACGATGACTCCTGGCGCCCGATTGTCGAGAATATCGAGCAGCGCTATGACACATACCTCGAGGCCGAGAACAAGGTCAACCGCAGCAACATTGTCGACAACCGCATCCACGCCTGTGTCTACTTCATCCAGCCTACCGGTCACTCCCTGAAGCCCCTGGATATCGAGGTGATGCGCCGTCTGCACACCAAGGTCAACCTGATCCCCGTCATTGCCAAGGCTGACACTCTGACCGACGAGGAGGTTGCCCTTTTCAAGCAGCGTGTATGTTTTTGGAAGCCCCGTTCAATTTGACTGTAACTGTGGATACTGACTATGATAGATCCTTGCCGACATCGAGCAACACTCCATCCAGATCTTCGAGGGTCCCCGCTACGAGCTTGACGACGAGGAGACCATTGCTGAGAACCAGGAGATCATGTCCAAGGTTCCTTTCGCCGTTGTTGGTGCCAACTCCGAGGTGAACACTGCTGACGGTCGTCGTGTCCGTGGCCGTAGCTACCCCTGGGGTATCATCGAGGTTGATAACGAGGAGCACTGTGACTTTGTCAAGCTGCGCCAGATGTTGATCCGCACCCACATGGAGGAGCTCAAGGAGCACACCAACAACTTCCTGTACGAGAACTACCGTTCCGACAAGCTCACCATGATGGGTGTTGCTCAGGACCCAAGCGTTTTCAAGGAGGTCAACCCTGCCGTCAAGCAGGAGGAGGAGCGCGCCCTGCACGAGCAGAAGCTGGCCAAGATGGAAGCCGAGATGAAGATGGTCTTCCAGCAGAAGGTCGCCGAAAAAGAAAGCAAGCTCAAACAGAGCGAAGACGAACTATATGCCAGACATCGCGAGATGAAGGATCAGCTAGACCGCCAGCGCGCAGAACTCGAGGAGAAGAAGGGTCGCCTCGAGACCGGGCGCCCCGTCGAAGAGAAGGGCAAGCGAAAGGGCTTCTCGCTTCGCTAATGTCCATGACTCTCCCGTTGTTTTTGCCTCTGCCTATACTTCTGGCAACTAACTGATCCCACTCTCGTTCTCTTTTTTTCCTTACACTTGTCACCCATCACACTCCCTTACCATCCCATGACGCAACTGCTTTCTCACTGGATGGACCCACGCACCGAAAAAAAGAATGGGGTTTTTTCTTACCGATTGATTGATAATACGATCCTGCGAGGGTCAGCCCGGGACCTTTCACTTCTTGTGATGTACTTTTTGCTACGCCATATCTTGTCTTGCCGCTTTTCTGTGTGCCCTATTACCCGCTCATTTCGTTATTTTCTTAGTGTTTGGGACATTTGGTTGTTCGCCGCCTGTCCATTGTGTTAGTCAATTCAGCGCTTCAGCTTTAGATTTGCAGATCACGTAAACGTCCACAGTATATAATAGTAGCTTTTGGATGTGTATGGAAGCTTGCATATGTAAGAGGTATAATCTGCACCCAGTCCACAAGTAAAGGGAACTACCCTATTTTACTTGCTGCTTGCCCCTGTCGAACGAATGGAGAGCAATAAGATCAACTGACTTATCAAGAAAGGGGAAAATCTTTGAAGATATAAAAATTATTCACATTGTGGTATGACAGCTTGTCTAGAGGCGCGTTGAATATGTTACGTAGACTGGAGAGAGCGTAATTTAGACTGCCTATGTTGTAGCTAAAGACAAATATATATGCAGTTCAACTATTAACCTATTCATTAGCTCCCACGAGCGCTGAACAATGCCTATGGACTAGCTTAGTACCCCCTGCCTGCCTATGCATGGGCTGGTTCTCGTCTACGATGTACTCTGAACGCATGCCTAGATCGTCTACAGATGTCCTGAAATCAAATTACCATCAGAGGCTATAGATAGAAAAGTCTCTTGTACAAAGTATGCTTTCCCGCCATTTTCTGACACGTAATTATAAGACTGGAAAGAGGGAAAACTCTCCTCAAGACATTTAAGAAAAGTATCCGACAAGCTCACTGAAAAGACTACCTAAGAGCCATATAAGAGGCCATCTACTCTTGTAGACGTGAAACCCGCTAAATCATCTATGAAGCTCTACTCCGTATGGCTTTTATGCCATCGATGTTTGTAGTATCAGCAGACCTTGGAATCATACTGGAGGTTGAAACTCGAAAGGCACTATGTTTACTTACAGTCATACCTATAGATTGGACCTTGTCTAGCTGGAATTAGCTCATTTGGTAAGACCTTACCTAGGTATTGACTATTAGTCTCACTAGTCTCTCTCAATCTATCATTAGTTCAATATAAATGGAGTGAAATATCATTATTTACGAACAATATGTATCCTAAAAGACATTCTTTTTCTGCTATCTTGTCAGTGAGCCGTATCTAGAACTTGTCAGAATTTGCTGCTTACCTCTGCCAAAATCGTCAATCCTGATCGATAAGGATGAAGCATCGGCGTCATACAGAATGCCATAGGGTCGTTGGGAGCCCATCAGATACTGCGGAGCTCTCGAGTCCACCTCAATCCCAGGGAGCTAGGAGACGGGACTAAACTCTGGTGGCATAAGAAGGTTCTGAAACTTCGTCTGGTTCGTGTTAGAAGTATGTTTGCAGTGTATAGATTTAAGGGAATGTTGTTCAAAATGGTCAAGAAGGGAAAGAACATATTCTTGGCTAGGATGAGGCGTTGCCAACTGCGACAATTCAGTAAGAATAGAGAGCTCCTTGCTCCTCTCCGAAGCAGTAGTTTTGAATAATTTCAATGTGACATCTCTCTGCACCCTATAGTGAGAGCTCAGAAATTGGTAGAAGCTAAGATAAGGGCTTACCTGTTATCCCATGCATGCCACACGGTAGAAAATTAGCCATATGACCATTTCCCGGTAATCTCGCATTTCTCATAAAACAGATCTCCTAGATGCACGGGATGGTAACCACCGGGTTTAAAGATATAGCGAATAAAGATATAAGAAAGGTCTTGGAATCAGTGGCACTGACTCGGTGCTTGCAACCTGTCAGAGGAATAGGAAAATCAATATGTTGTCTTGCATTCAGTGACTTGAAGGAGAGAAGAAGCTATGGAGAGCTATGGAAGAGTGAGACGGGCGAAAGCCCTCAGAGGGAAGCATGTGACCACTATCCAGCGGACCTGTCTGACAAAAGGATAATAATTGACTCGGTCAAGTCGGACGTTTAGAGCTCTGTAGCGGGAGGAAACAGTGGGCCTCTAGCCTAAGTCAATGGTTCATTAGTCTCTCCAAAATGAGTCCTCAATGTATTCAAAAGGGTCCGCAAACTGCTTGGGTAATCGTGTCTTACCCTATGTAGAGTTGACGTCTTCCCATCCCGGGCCAGAAAATATAGTTCTATAAACTGTTGTATCAGTGAATGGTGATAGAATAATACGCCCAGGCTTTTATGGAATAGCCAATTACCAGGAATCCTCCATTTGGCTGCTAAGACTGTCTTGTGTTGGTCATAACATTTGAACTACATGACAAGGGCTAGAGGAGTCACGTGTGATATATGTGACGTCATTGGTATTATATCCTAGCCCAGCAGGTATGGCTGAGCGGAAAACGCCCGAGCAATATCTCACTCATCTGGGTGCAGGGAGTCCCTCTAAAGCTTACGGTTCAAACTGCGCAAAAAGCTGATTTGGGGCAGGGAGCCCCTCTATCCTTGAGCCTTCCTAAGAGATGGGCAAGGATCAGAGATCTCTGCCCGGAATCATCTTTTTGTTATTCTTTTTATGTATTATTAAATGCATTCGTTTTGCTATGGTGGGAGTACATGCATAACTTACGCCCTTCCGAAGGTACAGGGCGAGATTTATGCACGAGGGGGCATTGTCATGGTATATATTCTTTGTACTTCTTTGTCCCCGACAAAATGGACTCTTTTTCTTTTATGTTATTGTTAGGCCTACCACGACTGTTTGAAGTGTTTGCTCTACAGTGTATTACCAGAGAAGAGATAGGGAAAAACAGATGTCAGAAAAGGCACCCTAGACACCTCCATATCAACTAGGACAGCCGACATGCGTCTTCTTTCTTTTCGTCCTATCCTTATTCCAATCATTTGAGGAACACAGCTAGTATAAGGCAACTGGACCAAAGTTTTGGTGAGCATTACAATTGACCGATGATGATGTGAGCATTTTTGTTATGGTACACATTTGGGACCTGATCCGAAAGTGACTGGTCCCGAGAAAATAGAAAGAAACACGCCTGCATCAAGGGAAATAAGGAATATCAAATGAACAATATCAACCCCGGTTTACCAGGCCTCGGTTTCGAAGTTCTCAACCCCAAAGTACGAGGCAACAACTGTACGGTCCGAGAACTTGCGACCCGCCAGCGCCTTAAGAGCGTTGGTAGCGGACTCGGCACTATCATACTTAATGAAGATTTTGCCGGCACCATGTCCGCGACGGGGGATCTTCATTCCAAGAATCTTTCCAAATTTGACACATTCCTCGCGCACATCTTCCATGATTTCTTCGTAATCTTCGTCATTGAGAAGCTCGTCAAGAGTGACCATGTTGAGAAGCTGCAAGACCTGAGTGGTCTCGAGATCCTGGGAGGTGGTCTTAGCGAACATCTGCATGGCATTGACGCCCATGTCAAGCCCAGAGGCTTGTGTGGTTCCAATGCTGGCGCGAACAAACTTGAGTTGGCGATCACCGAGTTCCATGCCGTTCAAACCTTCGACGGCAAGAGCAGTGTTGTTCGGGTCGACGTATTCATAAAAGGCAATTCCCTGGAAAAGTTAGTCGCTAAATCTGAACAGTAGGGAGATATTCCAACTTACCCGAGACTCCTCTGTAGCAGCATCTTTGACCAGAACAAACGACTTGAGCTCGCCGAATGAGGTCAGCAGCATGATGATAGCTTCCTCATTAATGTAGGAGGGAATGTTGGAGATGCAGATCTTGTTAGGTGAGTCAGGCACCTCGCTCAGCACAACGCCCTGCTGGACTGGCTGGCTAGCGCTGCCGTCGGGAACAATATAATCCTTTGGTCGTCGCACTTCGAGACCCTTATCCCCACTCTCCGCCATAGTAATTCCGTCGAAGGCCAATGCGACTGTGGCGTCATTTGGATCCTTGAACTCCAGAAGTGCGAAGGACTTATCTTCAGAAACTTGAGCTGAGATGCAGGGATCGACATTGTGGATAACGTTGAGACCATTCAACTGAAGATTGAAGAAAGAAATAACGCCATCGCCTGAGACACCGGGCGGGATATTGTAAACGAAAAGGCGCTTGGATTGGCGAGAGTTGGAGGGCTTGAGGGCAGCGTTGTCACTTTCGCCAGTGGGAGGGTTCAGGAAGTCCTTCATGCGGCTGGGATCCATTGGCTGCTGACGCGGAGCTCCGGGAAGAGGGAACATCCCTGAGATCTTTGCCTGTTCAGCCGTAACATTCTCGTAACCAGGAGGCTTCATATCCCATTGAGTCAGACGGCGTTTGCGGGTCAACACCGAGGGGACATCTGTTAGATCAGGAGTAGGCTCCTTGCGCCGCGGGGGTGTGGCACTTCGCTTGCGCTCTCTTCTCTCACGGTCTCCACGGTCTCCGCGATCACCACGGTCTCCGCCACCACGTCCGCCCCGTCGGTCATCAAACAGGTCACGGCGGGGCCTCTCGTCAAAGTCACGTCGGCGACCACCGCTTCGATCACCCCCACCGCGCTCAGCCCGGTCACCACGGTCCCAGTCTCGATCATCACGGCGGCCAGAGTAGCGGTCTTCACGCTCACGGGCACGGTAGTCGCGGCTGGTAGAGTATGAGTTCACTTCGCGCTCCCGACGGGAGTCACCTCGGGATCCATGATGGGGCGAACGCGATCGGCGTCGTTCACCACGATCAGTCCGATCGCCCCGTTCAGCTCCACGCTCGCTTCCACGTTCCGCACCGCGCTCAGCACCTCGTTCGGCAGCTCGGTCAGCTCCCCGTTCGGTTCTGTCACCTCGGTCTCGATCACGTCGCTCGTCGCGCTAGAATTGGGGTTAGTCGCCGCGGTTGCGATCAAACATTAGCTGGTACTTACGAAGTAATCGCGGGAGCGTCCAGTGTCTGAGAGGTATTAGCATTGAATTCAGTAGTAATTATAGGGATACATACCTCTGGATGAGTAGGTGTCGCCGTTCATGTTGAAGTTGGTTGAGGAAATGAAGCTTTGTCGCCAGTGAAGGGGAAAACTCACGACCCGGAGCTGCAGGCGGTGAGGGCGCTACCGCCAGAGTGTCGATTGGCCTGCCAGCAGAAAAAGACCAGCATGGAGACAGCGACTCCGCAGCCTTGGATAACTGATTTCATGTTTCAATAATGTCCGCAGGTGCTTTGTCAGAATGGCAGAAGCTGCCTTTAAGCTTGAGTGAGCTTTGTATCAACACTACCCTCAGATGTGGACAGTCCTTCAGGTTTGTCAGCCAAGTTCTCGGCACCGAGGATTGTGTACCAAATGACTGACCCTTTTAGGTGGCAGAACCTCCCAGAGAATCAGGAATGGCGATGTGTTCTTTATGGTCATTTTATGTCGCTTAAACAAGACCCAGATTTCTTGTACTATAGATCTGTGCAACCCCCTTCCCATACAATCACACCAACCTCCGACAATGACCATCTCGTCCGCATTATCAAACATTACTTCAACTTAACACCAAATTTGACCGAACTCTACTCCCAATGGTCATCACAAGATCCCAACTTCAAGAAAAAGGCTGCCCAATTCACTGGGATTAGGATCCTTCGGCAAGATGCGTGGGAAGCGTTGATATCATTCATCTGCAGCAGCAACAATAATATTGCACGGATCTCGCAAATGGTGGAGAAACTTTGCATACATTATGGAAAACCTGTGGCCACAATTGAAGGGCGTGCATATTATGACTTTCCTCCCCCAGGAGCATTAACTGGCAACGACGTGGAAAGCAATCTGCGCAAGTTAGGGTTTGGATACCGGGCCAAGTACATATATCAAACTGCGCTTATGGTATCAGCCCGAGAGAAGGGCTGGTTAGACAACTTGAGCAACCCCGAGTGTCCAGCATTTGGCGTTGATCCTCAACCTAGCGGCGAAATGAAGCCAGAAGGACGAGAGGGTTATCGTGAGGCCCATGAAAAGCTTCTTGAGCTACAGGGAGTCGGACCAAAAGTCTCAGACTGTGTTAGTCTGATGGGCTTAGGCTGGGGAGAGTCTGTGCCGGTTGATACTCATGGTGAGCTCTCTTAATGATAACTCTAATCTCTCTCTAATCCGTTACGGCAGTGTGGCAAATCGCACAGCGAGACTACAAATTTGGAAAAAGTTCCAACAAGAATTTGAACAAGACAACTTATGATGCTGTCGCCAATCATTTCCGCAAGCTTTGGGGCAAAGAAGCTGGATGGGCTCATAGTGTGCTTTTCACTGCGGACCTGCGGACCTTTGCAGACAAACTTGCTGCAACCAAGAAGGTTAATGTGAAAGTGAAGGATGAAGAGTCTGATGTCAAGATTGAGACAAAAGTGACAACTGCTCTCTCTTTGGAGGCTCCTAAGGAGGAAGACATGGAGGAAGATGCCAAAGTGAAAGTCAAGGTCGAGGACATAGATCATGCCAAGCCCAGCAGCATGAAGCGCAAGGGAGCCGAAACCATTGTTCCAGCGGCTCAAACAACGGAGACACGAAGAGTGTCCAAGCGACTTAGGCGCTGAGGGCTGTTAGGGACCAGATCTATCACGACTACTACTCATTACAGAAAGATATCTGCGAATCTTGTACTACAACATTGCAAAGCAACCAAATTAGATGCCATAGGCACGAATGTACGGAGGCATAAGTCTTGTACGATAAATATGTGCATTTGTATTCGATAATCTTAGCTATACCAACAGTCAATTCCTATAACCGTAGTTAGTATAACAGCCTAACAACTCGTAACAGAGTCTTGAAGTTGAAAAAAGTAGATCAGAAGTCCAGGTAGATCATCGAGATAGCATCCGAAAACACTAACTCTGACATAAGAGGTACCAGAAAATAAAGTAAAACAAATGCGTTGTATCATCATGAAGAGGGTTGAAAATTGAGCAAAAAGAGCTGAAACTGACCTGATATTGACGGTGGCAAGATGATGAATGGCGTGTCGAGTGTAAATAATCACAACTTGCACTCAAGATGAACCAGAAATCATTAATTCCAATCAACTCAAGTGCAAAATCGAGATTATTGGTTGTCGGGGGTGAGATAAAATAAGAAGGGAAACAGGATGAAGTTTTATCAACGAAAAGAAATAAGCGAAGTCAATCACGTGACCCCACACAGGCCCCATCTTTCCCGTCCACATTCATCCTGAGCACTTCTTGATTTTCGATCTTTCATCCACGCCGACAACCGACCAGATTTCCTCCGCCGGACACATCACCAATCCAAAATGGGTCGTCTTCACTCCAAGGGCAAGGGCATTGCCTCTTCCGCCATCCCCTACTCCCGCACTGCTCCCGCGTGGCTCAAGACCACCCCCGACCAGGTTGTCGACCACATCTGCAAGCTGGCCAAGAAGGGTGCCACTCCTTCCCAGATCGGTGTTGTCCTCCGTGACTCCCACGGCATTGCCCAGGTCAAGATTGTTACTGGTATGGAAATTCGGCGAAACGCGACCCCAGGAGTTTGAGGATTGAAATTTTCTAACATTTTGACACAGGTAACAAGATCCTCCGTATCTTGAAGTCCAGCGGTACGACTCCCTCCGCCCATATAATTACATCCGTCGGGTGAAGAGAGCGAACAATTTGTGTGGACAGACTTTTCTGGTTCGGTAAAAGAACCGTTAAATCTCGAAGCACAAAATGCTCCTCTCTCTCCCCGACAACTGGTCGCAGAAATGCATCAGCAATTAAGCCTCTGCTTGGTCAAGAATATCTAGACTGACAGAGAGATTTTGGAATACAGGCCTCGCTCCCGAACTCCCCGAGGACCTTTACTTCCTGATCAAGAAGGTAAAAACTTTTTTGCCCTCTCCCTCCTATCTCTATCCCGGCAAATCATGCTAATCTCGACTTATCCAGGCCGTCGCTGTCCGCAAGCACCTTGAGCGTAACCGCAAGGACAAGGACTCCAAGTTCCGCCTGATTCTCATCGAGTCCCGCATCCACCGTCTGTCTCGCTACTACAAGACCGTCGGTGTCCTGCCCCCACCTGGCGCTACGAGAGCGCCACTGCCTCCACCCTTGTCGCATAAGCGCATTTTGGGAGGATGAGTGGTTGACGGAGGGAACCCATCGGATCGTCGTGATCGTCGTATCTGGAGGGTCTATCTTCTGCTAGATACAACAAAAAAGATTACGATTATTTGATACCCTGTTCATGAATGCTCTATAATCCATTTGTAGCTGTAGGCTCGGCTAGTAGTTGCCCATATACTCAGTTTAAATATTAATGATCGCCAGCCATGTCAATGTAAAGTGGGTACTCGAGCAGTAGTAGATTGATACTAGTCCCAACCATCAATCACTGTGATGTATGTATGTGCCTAGTATCTGACCTATGTTCTTTGAATTGACAGATTTTCGAGGCAATGCAGTAAAGATATTATAGATCACAATTGGCTCTCACCTCCCTCGCCACAGCATTACAAAGCTCAACTTTGACACCAGCCGCCAACAAGATATGGATCCAAAGGCGCTGAGTGTTGCTCAACCGATCATTCTCCGATTTGACCTCAGCGAACATCACCGTTTTCGTTTCATGGTTCCAGAGAAACAAGTCCGGGATTCCCCCACCACGCTGCTGGTACTCTTGAGCCATAACCTTGCAGATGGTAGCAAGTGCCTCTCCCCGGAAACATTGCACGATCTCAACCAAGTCATCTAAACCGAAAGACCAGTCAAGTCCAACAGCGCAGGGCTGCGCCTCCGCCTCACGAGAATGGACCTCACGAATGATCCGCTCCGCATCCCCATTCGTGATCTCAACAAGCCGGTGATTAATTTCCGATGCACGAGACGGGTAGAAGACATCGGTGTGGAGATCAAGCGGACACGTCTGAAAGGCAGTCTGGAAGACATTCGGTACGTATGTGAACAGGATATCGTAGAAGAGGTAGCCAAACTGTGATCAAGGTCAGGGTCAGCTCGATTCTTTGGATATCCCAGTGCTACTTTGTAGGGGTAAGACTCACCAGCGTCCGCACAATCCCTCCCTCGGAGTGATAGCCCTTCCATCCATGATCACGGTACCAACTCAGACACATACTCTCCACCCTGCACTCGCCACCCTCTCTCTCATCAACCCAAACAGTAGCTTTCCCCTTCCGCGGAGCTTCACCCGTATCAATACGGATACCTTCAATTGTCCGCTCAGCAGCCTTGCCTAGCATGACATGTCCAAAATCATGCTGCTCGCGTTTGACAACCCGTAGCGCCTTTTCCAGCTTCGTGATCCGCTTCTGTAGGTCATAATGAAAGATAAGATGGCACAGCGGGTCTTCCAGCCCGGCCTCACACGTCCGCAGCGCAGTTCTCTTCCAATGCTTGCGCTGGGCTTCTTCGCTGCGTTCCTCTGAAGGCGTAAGCGCCCACATATAGTGTTCCTCTAGCAGTGCCTTTCGTTGATACCAAGCGCCGCGTCGCGCCGCGTGGAAGAGACGTTGCGCCAGGAGTTCTTCTAGCACCTCGTGCTCACGTTTATGCTCCTTGAACCGCCCGAGCGGGTTGAGACTCTTGTGGATGATTCTTGTGAGCACCCATGCCGGCGAGAACCGGCGGAGGTATGCGCCTTCGCCGCTTTCGTAGATGCTGTCTTCTTTTTTTTGCTCTTGCTCGACTAGCTCTTTCCATCGGGGATAAGACTTGTTGGCAAGGTCGATGATTTGTTGGAGAGAGTCGGTCGTAACTGGGCCGTTGAATTCGAGGATGTTGTCAATGGCAAATTGGGTTTGTATTGCTGATTCGAATTCCAGTAGCGCTTCTCTGGAGGGGAAGATGGAATTCGAGCGACAGACGATATATTCAGGAAAATTTCTTTTGGTCATCTTGGCTAGGATGATCGTTGTGAGGGACTTCTCGGTCCACTCTGTTGAACGATAGAATACTAGGTGTACTCGCTCGAAGAGAGCGCGAGGCACTGACGAAATCCTGATACATCCACCAGTGTAGTCCAGTATCTTCTGAGTAAAATATCCGTCTCTGTTGTTTGCGTCTTTGAGTCCTGTTTGGGTCTGACTCGTTTCGCGAAGAGCCGCCAGCAGCTCTTTCTTGCTCTTGCCCTGGACCTTGGCCTCCTTTGCAAACACCTTGAGTTCTTCCAGCAGTAGAAGTGATGAAGCCTCTTCCAGCGTTGTGATCACTTCTATGCCTTCTGCGAATCTGTATGTACCGCCGGGTTCTGCACCAGGCAGGCTCCGGTCCCGCTGTAGGTCCCCAGCAACAGAGGATAAATCCGAGATATCGGAATAGTAGTTCAACCTGTTGATACGGTGCCATGCAGAGGTCTTGCGGAGGAATAGTCGAACATACCTGGTCAAACATTAATCTCAGCCATGGCTCATCACGTTCAATAGGAAGGACATACAAATACTGGGATTCGTATGACAGCCCCCGCCACTGCGTAAAGATTTCCATTTCGGCTTCGTTAAAAAGATGCGCTTCCTCGTCCAGCACAGTTTCCAGCGCCAGGTTGAATGCATCCACATAGATGGAGCTTTTGCCTTTCTGCCAGGCACCATCTCGTAGCCTCACATGTAATCCCAACTCAGAGTCATTCTGTGACGCCTCGTACTGCTCGATCGCGTCCTCGTCGGTCTTGATCGCAGGAAGAGAAGTCTCAAGTTCTGTTTGGCTGTTGGTAATAACCCCTATATCGTCCACTGCAGGAGTCTCTCCTGCCGTGACCGAGGAACTCGGACTCGGTGGTGGTTTAGTATCTGCGTCTGTACTGAAATCCTCTTTTTCAAAAGTCCGCCGACGTTTCGTGGGGCGCTGCGTCTCCCAAAAGTTCAGCAAGGACATAATCTCTCGTGTCCATAGATGCAGTCAGTCCCAACGACTCGAATCTCCGAGCATAAGTAGACACGAACGACGTGTCTCGCGAACAGGTTTGAAACACGAAATCACGTGCTCCATATAGCTATGAAGCTGTTTGTCCTGTTTGCATATGACATAGACAAAGAGGCACAGCCAGACACATAAGAAAAGGTACTAAACAATGACAGTATGAGAAGACAAAGAAATATCATCTGAATATCATCCGAAACTCCCCTAAGTGCAACCTCTAGATATAATAATGGCCCTACCAGTAAGCCCCATCTCTCCCTCCCTCACGGATCGACCTCCGAGCTCCACAGCTTCCGCTCCGCCAGCATTCGATTCCACTGTCATAACTCCTCCCCCCAAAGCTACGATTCCCAGGCTCTCAATTAACCTGTGTAGCCTCCCAACCTCTCAATCTCAGATCCACCCGCATCCTCGGCTCTTACGTCTACATCCCAAACAAAACCCACATCCACAATGGGCGAAACAAACGGCGCGGGCTCTGGCACGCCGCTTGGCGATTTGAGCAGTATTTCTGCGGGCCAGATTCGCCCCGGTGGCGCACCGGCGCGTGTCTATCTCAATGAGAAGGTCGTGCCGTATTTGCTTGACGGGATGAAGTCTGTTGCGCGTGAACAGTGAGTGGAGTACCATGGCTGGCTTCTCCTATACTGGTCTGCTGGATGGATTCACTGATCTCCTTTCCTTTTGTGCTAGGCCTACCAATCCTCTCCGTGTTCTCGGCGAATTCTTGCTCCAAAAGAGCAATGAAGTGGAGGGCGAGACTAAGAAAGAGTCGGAGTAGAGAGAAAAAGGGATCGGGTTTCTTGGGCGTTTGGTGCTTGGTTGGCTGTTCTGGTACCCATTTTATTGTTTCCCTTTTTTTTTTTTCCGTGAAGGCATAGATGGCTTTGGTTTGAAAAGCTTGTGAGTGTACCTTGATGTACACTCAGACGGTCACCATTTGATACCCCGGTCAATGTCTATACCTCTCCTACTAGTAGGTTCTGAAGAATAGGGGAAAAGCAAAACAGTGAGAGTGATATCTTAGAAAGTGAGGTGATGATTATTTGACTAGTAAAGTAGATTACATCCAAGCAGAAGAGTATTTTGCCCCATGTATTCCACATCGTGGCTAATTAATTCCTTCTTTTAACACGAAGAAGTGAGAAACATCCAAAGAGGTGTCGCAGTTCTCTTTTGGAGAGAACGTCCCTAATATCATCTTGAATGGGTCGGACTCTTGAAGCCTTACGTCGCCATGGACAGAGGCCACATAAGCAGGCGACTTTAAGTGCGAAAGAATATATAGAGACCAGTATGGCCCATTATTCTTTGATAGAGACCCAATTTCAATGATCAAAGAAAATGCACCGGATTCGAGACTCACGAGGACCGCCTGGATATGTACGTTGCTGCTCAAAAGAGGACTTCGGGATGCCCATGATCTTCCAAGTAGCGTGGCATCTCATCTTAGAGCTCTAGATGAGCCAAGCTAAACTCCTGCAAAGGGCGCATGGGATATTCCAATACAAGTCGATATATAGTCCAATAAGCTTGGGGATTCCTGAGTAGTATAAGTACAAGGTCCTATCCCGACCAAATATTCGGGAAGAACAAAGGAGCCCGAAAGAAAAAAAAAAAAACCTAGACAGGTCAGTGTAACACATCTCACCTTTGGCATCAATCTCCAAATTGATTAATGCGAGTTTAAAAAGTTGAGACTACAAGCGCAAAGTCGACGGCTTTGAAGGCGAATGGTTCATTCAGTTGTTTAGAGAAGTCGAATACAAATCGAGCCGTTACTGGAGATGGTGTAGGGGTGAAGTTGTAGCTGTGTGACGAATTTGTTGACCATGAGATAACCGAATTACAGCGATAATTTTCTGTCCCTTTGCCGCTAGTTTTTTTTTCCCGAAGTTGCGTCGCGAATAGACATAAAAAAGACGACAACCGAAGTGTGAAGTTGCCGAGTCGTGGCGCTCCGTTTTTCTTTTTCTTTTAAAAATCGTCGAGCCGAGAGCAAACAAACAAAGACAGCGACGCCCCGTGGCCCGTTGCCCAAATCCCGCATAAAAACAATCCCAGAAACAAAGAAAAGGGGGGAGGAAGTGGGCAAGTTGGTGAAACATAGGAACCAGGAACCAGGAGACATCAAAGGCCGGTCTCTGTTCTGGTTAGAAAACAAGGGGAGGCACTTTACCTGCCAGCGTACCGATCCTCACCGCCGCCAGGAGCACCACCAGTGCTGCTGCGGGCTTGGCCTTCGTAAGAACGTCCACCACCACCAGCGTAGGGGTCGCGAGCCTCACGAGGAGGGCCGGCAGCATCGAAGCTAGGAGGGTTGGCGTCACGATCGTAGTAACCACCACCGCCGCCACCGCGAGGTTCATCACCACCTCCACGACGATCATCACGGCTGTAACGATCATCACGGCCACCACCGTAGCGGTCACCGCCACCGCGGTAGCCATAGTCGTCACGAGATTCACGGCGGCCACCATACTCACGGCCACCACCACCACCACCAGCGTAGTCACGACGGCCATAGTCACGTCCGTAGTCACGGCCATAATCACGACGATCATTGTAAGAGTCGTAGCGACCGTAGCGGGAGTAATCATCATCGCGACGACGCCAGCCGCCACCGGAGGGGCCACGGCGATCATCGTAACGATCACGACGGGGACCACCTCCACGACCGCCACCGTGACCACCAGGGCCACCAGGGCCATCTGAAGAAGGGAAATGTAAGCTTACGCAAAGCGCAATGATAAAAAAACGATGGAACTTACCACGCTTGGGAGGACCGAAGTACTTTCCGGGGGTAGGAGTACGAGGACGGGCACGACGAGCCTTCTCGATACTCAGGGTGCGACCTTCAATGACCTCACCCTGGAGACCCTCCTTAGCGGCATCAGCCTGCTCGGCGGTGACCATGTTCACGAAACCGAATCCACGGGACTCTTTAGTGTGGGGGTCAAGCATGATCGAACAGTTTTCGACATCGCCGTACTTTTCGAACAGACGCGAAATATCGGACTCGGTCAGTCGCGGGTGAATACCAGTGACAAAGAGGTTGGAGCCCGAGTTGATGGCGCCTTCATCTTCTTCCTCGAGAGGCTTGCGAGCCAGAGGAGCTCTGTGACGATCAGCTTTGAATTGATACAATAAATTAGACAAATACATACCTGTCATCAGAGCGGCCATTGGGGGAGCGGCTGCGAGCACGGTCGCGGTCGGCTCGAGGCTCATCGCGAGGAGAGGCGCTGCGCTCGCGATCATATCGAGGCTCGTCTATTGAAAAACGGTAAATATTTTGAAGCGCATCGAAATAATTTCAAAACACATACCCGCGTAGCGGCTTGAATCGTTGTCGTAGTCCGCCATGATGAAAGGACTGAAGGTGTAGGTTGGAAGGAGGAAGAAAGAGAAGTTGGAAAGCTGATAAGAGACACTAAGCACCCGGAACTCTACACACCCGAATAATCAGGCAGCTGTGCAAACTGCGTGGAATTTAGTGAATCAGATAAAATTAGATAAAATTAGGTGAATCGAAAGTTGAGAGAAAATCAGAGATTTCTTTTTTCTTTCGAAAATGTTTTATGCAGGGGGAGGAAGCCATATGACAAACGATGCCAAGACCGAAGTAATCGCCATATTAAAGCTTTATTAGCTATAGAACTACACTCATACAAACACTACCTGAAATTGCACGCTAAAATCAAAATCATGAACCCCATATGAATCATGTCCAGAATCATCGTGAGCCTCGCAAACGTCGAGTTCGACGAGTAGTCTGTTGTGAAGCAACTGGGGTGCTGGTGGTCTCGCCCTTCAGCTCTCCATCGTCAACCAAGTCCTTTAAACCTTCGAGTTCATCCTCGTCCAGTTCACTAAGTTCTTCACTCATTCCACGCATAATGTCCCGTCCAGTCCATCGTTCCTCGTGAACGGTTGTACCGACAGGGTCAAATGGTTGCATATACCATTGAATGCCACCCATGGCCAAAGGCAGCTGCTGGTCTTGCTCAGTCAGGACAGGCGTTGGGTGTCGATAGTAGCTGGGAGCACTCTTCATGGGTTCTTCGGCAGGAGGTAGCTCTTGCACTCCAGATGTTTCAGGGTGTTGTTCATCTGTAGGCCGGGCCTCCGATGGAGCTTCTGTCGTCGGAAGTGTTTCTTCAACTCCTTCCATCGCATCAGGAGGACCAGGCAACTCAATATCACCTTCCGGCTCGACAGAATCACCACTGCGTGACATCACACTGTGGTCAAGAATCATATCCAGCTCCTTCAACTCCTTCTCGAATGGTTTCCGGTTGAGCTCGCTCTCTTTCCTGATCGCATCCTCTAGAGAAGGTTGGATGACTTTGATTATTCGTTTTGCCAATTTTCTCTTCTCGCGTTGCTCCAGGCTGAGCTCCGGAGCGCGACCACTGATCTGCGCTTGGAGTTCCGCAGTGTCGCCAGCGGGCTCTACCCCGATCTCCGAGGTGAACAGACTGGCCAAGTCGGCTGAGAAGGCAGCAACAGACGGATAGAAACGTTCGTTGAGCCGTTTGCGAATTGACATCAATCCTGCTGCAAAAACACCCTTCCCATCGAGCCTGGGATAAAGTCAGTATGGGCTTGGACAAATTGGGGGGAGTATGTCTTACAATTGAGCTTTCTCAAAGATGGGCCATAGCAGTGGGAACGTAGGGAAGTAAACAAGATCGACGATGTTACGGAGCATCTCTGCATCCTTCAACTTCTCTTTCTCCCGTTTCTTCACTTCGTCGCATAGCATCCTCAATCGGTCAAGATCCTTGTAAAGTCGCTCACCGAACTCAATGCGACGCTCCAGGCGTTTGTGTCCCGGGACACCCATTGCCACATAGTCTCTTCGTGTCATCTCCATAGATGAAAACGTCTCCAGCTGCAACTGGAGTCGCTTGAGCAATGCTGCTCCACGTCTCGCCTCTCGCTTCAATGTCCAATACTTGGATGCATCCTCGGCATATTGCTTCCTTTGGCGGACAGTAAATCGCCCAAGAGAAGCAATCACTGAGTTCAACACAACCTGGGGGATAACTGGGGCGCCAGAGGGCAGCTTCCAGATTGTCCTGGGTACACGTCTCCGTTTGTTGCCGCCTACGGTCAATGTAATACGAGGAGTGAGGGTGCGATCATCTTCTCCTCCATCACTGGGGTGCGCTGGGCCCATCGAGAGTGCCGCAGCTTGGCTGTCTCCCCATCGTCTACCTTGCATTGTATTGCGGTAATATTCGATGGCATCGGCAGTTGCAGAATCAGTGCCATGCTCCAACCGCCAGTCAGGAGGAACATGCTTGTCGCAGAAAGCCTTGAGAAGGTGGGAATCCATTAGACAATGACCAACCTTCATCTTTAAATAAAGTTGAGCTCTTCGCGCACATGAGACATGGAAAGCGACAAAGCAGTTTTTGTTACTGCATTGAATGGATGCACCCATCCGCTGTTTGCAGATATAGCAATTCAACTTCCAGCGGCTGCGTGGGACCTTTTCGACATCGGTCACTGGCTCCATAAGGGAGGGATTACCAATTGAAACTTCAGGAATCCAGAAAGAGCAAAGTAGATGAGCCCATTTAGATGAGGTTGTTTGTTTGAATGCACCTTCAGTGTTGGGGCAGAAAATACAATTGGTGGCCCCTCTTCCCAGCAACTGGCACTTGCGGCAAAGCCACTGACCTTCTGGAATGAAAGGAACACCATAACACTCCTGATGCACTGCGAGGTCACAGCCATCACAGAAAACAATTGCATTCGAGTTTTCACAATCGCCATCATCGCAGATAGCACACTTGCTGTCCTGTTCTTCACCGGGTCCAGCAGTCTCGCCATTGACTGCAGCTGCAGAGCTAGAGCGAAGGCGTCCAGTCTGTGGAGGTTTAGGATTCGGCTTGGGGATGCGCTTTTCAAGGGCATGCCATTCCCTCTCGATTTTGGTCATGGTAATCTCAAACACAGCAGGCTTGATGGGTTCGAGCTGATCTTCACGGCGCTTGGCGTTGTATTCTTCCAACCATTTTTCGTCCTGTTCATCCATGTCATATTCGACACGTCCGATGGTGGTGTTAACATCTCCATCTGTCATGGCAGGTTGAATTACATCGAGGTCATCTTCTTGGGTGCCTTCGGTCATTCGAATAAATCGCCGGTCATGACGGAGAAAGAGATCGCTCTCCTGATATCCCACGTTTGCCATAGTCCGGTCGACATAGTTCTGATGACCGACACCCTTTTTCTCATAGAATGTGAAAGGATCGCGAAGCCTGAACGACGGCTTGGGAAGTGTTAATTTCTCACGGGGATTGGGGCCCGGAGGCGGTATAATTTTCTGTCCTTGCTGGGCAAGAAGTGCATTAAGGATGGCCTCGGGGCGACGAGGTGGACGGCCAGGCCTGCGCTTGATTGGGATTGGGGAAGCTAGTTCGCCTGATATGATGACTGGTGATCCTGAATGATCTGAGACTGTCGCACCAGCCAGTGATTCCAGGCTTAAGACAGGAGCGGAGGTATCAGGCGCATCAACCTCTTCAGAGGTGAAGACCGCAATTTTGCTATCAATGTCCAAGTCAGGATGGAACTCTTCCCATCCACGTTCTTCGCGTGGCTTGTACCCATCGCCTTGTTGAAGGGCAAGAGCGGCGGCCGTAGAAGATGTGAAGCGACCGCGGGCTTGGTTCTTATCGCGCCTTGGACGCGACATAGAGGGTGGTGTTGTTGGCATGATGGGAGGTGGCGGTGGAGGGGCTAAGAATGGTTGGTCCATCTCACGGGGTGGACGGCCTCGAGGTTTTGCGGAGTGGCGTCCGGGAGCACTAGTTTTCTTGGGAGATTCTTGAGTTTCAACGGCAGCGATAGCAGCAGCAGCAGCGTCGAAGTCGATAAATCTTCCTCCTCCTCCAGGGCCACCTGGAACGTACTTTCGTTTTTTTGAAGGAGGGCCGTCAGGGGAATCGAAGGAGGCGCTGTTGGATGATTTGAGGGAAGACCTAGGTTTACTGCGTGATGGACGACCAGAGATTGAATGTCTGACCGCCGGTGCCATAATTCGAGAGAGAGCTCTCGGGTGCGTATGCTGATCGTTGGGGGATGGTGATTGTTAATCGGACGGCGTCAGGTCGCGTTCAGAGGCCGACTCAGGCGGGGCCTCGGGAAACGTCAAAACCGGAGGTCTCAAGTCATGCGACAGCAAACCAGAAACGAATGGAAACAATGGACGCAAAGGACGCCAGAGCCCGTGGAAGCTGCAAGGCGCGATGAGTTGTTTGGCTATCTGGTAAGGCGGAGACGCCCGAGCTGGCTGGGCCTGTTGGCCTCAGGCGCCAATCTAGACTTTATGCACCTCCACAGCTTGACATAGGGACGTGACATCCACAGCTGTCCCTTGCGAGCTATCCACGACTTTATTCCTTCGATCAAGCTTTGGGTTCCCATCTTTGCATAGATTCACAACATGAGCGGTTCTAGCGACATTAGGTACGCGTTATCCACCTCAAAACACCACGCGCTCCAGCCTCGCTAACTGGTACTGCCTTCAAAAGATGGCGGGGTGGACCCAGTCGCCAGGCGTCGCAGCGCAACTCGAACAACCGCGATAAAACAGGGGGACAGGGAGGCGCACGCGATAACAATGCTGCTTGGGGCGCATCCAACCCTCCGCAGGAGCAGCATATCCCTGTACGAGGCTTCAACGCCGCAGAGGTTAAGAACACCCTCAAGCGTATGTATATGCACCTAATCTGCAAGTGTCAGGGCTGACCGAGCTTCTGTAATACAGCAGGGCCTAATGGTACATATTATCTCCACCCTCATATCTACTCAAGCCTAACCTATGCGCCGTTGATACAGAAACCAAGTTGTCGACTCCCTACAAATCTCATTCTAAAGACGGTCCCACCCAACGATCTACTGCCTGGGGTCCCAAGGGTACAGTCTTCCTTCGGTCGCAACTTACCCTAAACAAACAATAACCATATCTACAGCGCAAAACATGGCGAACGGCAAAGATTTCTTCCTTGAGCTTCGAAGACAGATCGCGACGTTGCAACGGAGCGGGCCCCCTGTCGGCGGCTGATCATCACGGTTACGACTTCATTATCTCAAGATTCTTGCATTGCACAGTCGGTCGGTAGCGAGTTTGGTTCGTTTTCATGGGTTGCAACGGCGCATCTTCGATACCCTACTGTGGAGGATGCATGGGTGATGAGTGGACTCGGAGGTTACATAACATCGGCGTCTCTGATGATTCTGGGTCTTACATGTCTATAATGCACTATGGCTCCTACTTTTTGGAATTTATTCATTACAACTGCTGCGCTGCGTCTGGAACTCCGTAGGGGTTGAGACTGTATTATTTTACACGCGCTACTATACAGAGAGGGTATGTCACTAATATACACGGGGGTAGCTATCCAACTACAATCATCGCCTTTGAGTCCAGCCTCCTGGGCCAAGGATACCTCCATCGTCAGCCTTCGGGTCAAGGGTCCATTTCCGCAGAGGACGACAGCTGAGCTCGGATCGGAAGCCAGCCTCAAACATCTCGATTCCCGCCCACCCAATCATGGCCGCATTGTCGGTACACAAATATGGAGGCGGAGCAATGATCTTGATATTTCCAAAGCCGCGCACTTCTAAAAATGAAGTGAGAACTTTCATGAGGAACTGGTTGGCGGCCACACCACCACTAACGACGAGGGTTTTGATATCGTTCTTGCCATTGTTGTGTGGCCGCAGAGTCTCCAAAGCGATAACAGTGCGCGAAGCAAGATGCTCAAAACACACACGCATAGCTTCCCGGCCTAGATCGACACGCTCGGAATGCGACATCTTAAGATTCGTATCGTTACTCTGAACGATCTTCCCGACCATGCTCGCAATCGAAGAGAAGCTGAACTGCATGGTGCGGGTATTCGCAAACGGAGTCGTAAGATACCAGCCCCAATCGCTTACGCGCTTATTTATTTCTTCTCCCCGAGTCTCTGGTGGCGTGTAATCCGCGAAATCAGCCTTGCCATTAGGGAAGACAAATTGCTCCAGGCTTTTGCCGTACATGGTACTTTTAGCTTCCTGGAGCAAAGTGTCAGGTAGAATGTCTCGCGCAGATTTATCGAGTGCCTCTCCAATAGCTATATCTTCACTTGTAGCGAGAATGCTATGGTCCGTGAGACCTTTGGAATGAACCAAAGTCGTATGGCCTCCAGAGACGAGAATGGACAGAAAAGGGAATTCGGGCGTCATTGCGGGCGCATCTTCAGGCTTGGATTCATTTTCCAAACATGACACAAGGCCCGGCGTTAGAAGATGTGCCTGCATGTGATGAACTCCAATCATGGGGATCTGCCATGCAACCGATAGCGCTTTTCCAGTGTCGAGGCCGACGGACAGGTTGGACCGCATTCCGGGGCCTCTTGTAGCGGATATGAAATCAGGGAGACGGCGACGAGTCCCATCTGCCAGTTTGAGTCCATCGCCCGTTTTGGACTCCGGTAGGGAATTAAGGGCTTTCTGTACAAGGGTTGCGAGGTTGTCTTGGTGGGATTCGAGGGCGATGATAGGGTGGATTCCGCGATGCGCGCGCGTGTCGGCGGTTACATTTTCAAGGAAATGGATTTTGGCTGCGCTTCTGGAGTGTTTCTTTGTCTTTTCGACGATAGCTACGGATGTATCGTCACTGTTATTGGTAGCCAATTAGTTGGGCGGCTTTTTTTTCGGGCGGGCGTTTACTTCTGCTTACCATGACGTTTCAATTGCCAACGTGAGCAACCCACGGCGGGAGGTCAAACATCTATTCGCATTTAGCGCCGACCTGCGAAAAGTCGCAGCAGGTCTCAACAAGAATAACATTGGTAAGATGCTCGACATAGCCCGGCGACAGGGGCGAAAAAGATCGGACCCGCACGGGCCGGAGAAGCCCTCAATGGGAGCCCTAAAACAGGTCTCAAAACAGAAATATATATTGATCTATGGAGTATTTCGTACTTTGCGCAAAGACTACTTTCTACATATCTTGGATTCAGTCCTTTTGGAATTGAGAATGTCAAAATATGGTCAAGGACACCGTTGTATTTGCAGTAGCGAACGACTAGGTTAAAACATTTATACTCGAAAATCAAAATCATCAATCCAGGTCCCATCATAACGTCATAAATATATTGTTCCTCCAAAACTTTGGTACATCATTTCCATTCAAGAGCAGAGCATATGATTACACCAGAGGCCGAGTCAGTCCAGGTGAATGACACTGACGAGTTCAGGGCCAGCGAAAAGCGCGAGAGGCAGCATGGTCATGCAGAGAACCATCTTGAGAGAGGCTGGATCAAGAATTTCATGCGGCATTCTGTCATTCCTAGGAATCCATCTTGCAGTTCAAGGAAGGTCATTGTCGGGCGCGCGAGGTCGTATTGAGGCGATCATCAAGAAACCCAGGGTGCAGGGTGTGGCATCATTGTAAAAGCAAGATATGGACCAGGCATTTAGAAGCACCTGGTTACACCCCATTACTCCAGTCGTGGACGGTCATTAGTGATACAGATCTCGAACTTCATCTCACTGTCGGACCGTCCATCGCCGTTCTTCTCGGGACATCTTCATGTGCTTTCCGTAATACTCGTCTGGGTTCTCAATCGGTGTCACACAATGGACTGTTGGCGTCACTTGAAATTGTATACGCTTGTCAACAGTGGCAGGGCGTGATGACGACTGCTTCTTCAGGATGCTCTTTGATGAGCAAGAGTTTGTGTATGAATAGCTTGGAACTTGCAGCGAGGAGAATCTCATGCTGGACGGGCTGTTTGCGGAGATTGGCGAGACAGGTGTGCGAGGAAGAGCACTTGGTGACTTGAGCGACAATGTTGGCCGAGGAGCATTCTGCACAGCAGAGATGCTCAAGGACAGCTTTGGCTTGACGACACGGGCGGTATACATTGCGACGGGTGAAGAATCCACAGAAGTTGAAGGTCACAATGTGGTTGATGTTATTCCAAAGTTTTGTATTCACAAGGAAACTTTGATCAACAAAGATATCCGAGTAAGCAAGGAGAGAAACAAATTATTGATGTCGATGTAGGTAAGGAGTTGAAGAAACTTGGGCCAGCCAAATTGAAGCGCACGAAAATAGAGTCAAAAATAGGAAAAGAAATAGGAAAATCTGAAAACAATGTCCAAGATGCAGTATCCCGGGGGACCGATGGGGGCTATATACACTCGAGGGCTTGAGGGAGGCACGAATTTCATTTCTGCTCTAAGCGCCCACCCTATGCACGACGATGCACAAATCACCACCATCACACTGGAGTTTCTAACTTTGGAAAGCTTCCGTTTCATCCAGCCAATCAAAACTATCAGGGGTTGGCCTCCCTGTCTAGTGTGATGTGACAGATGGTAGGATTCGACGATGGGGGACACATCCATTGCCCTGCAGCTAACTGCACCGAGAACCACACCGTGATCATCCTGTCCATTTGATTCGAAACTCTCAACCGACTATCAATAAGCGTGTAGAAATTTGCACTCACCTCAAGTGGATTCTCACATTATTGGGTGATATCCCCGCATTATCACAGTGACGAACAGTGGCAACGAAATCTGATTGGCTTCGATGTCAAATTTGGAAGATCGTCGTGCTATAATTAGATATCACATATGTTCGATGCCGCTATCAACTATTTTTACTCTTCAGGGTTGAGCGGAGCGATGAATAATATCCATCCTTGCACATAGTTACCCCGTACTCCGTAGACTAAAGCTACATACGGAGTAGTAAATGTAGTTGGAGCACCGTTGGGCACATTCTGTTAGGGCTTTTTCTTGGGGGCCAATTGACCTCCAGCTCTTACAAGATAATGCTTATTGATGTTACATTCCTCTTGCGTGATTTACTTACAATCAACTATTTTTATTTCCTAGTCTTCCAAACCGAGCATGTCCGCTGTATGATGCACATAATGCTTGACATTATGTGCTATTTATAGAAGACCTCTAACATCGACGGCGCAAACTTGACACACATCCAGAGCTCTTACACACTTTTGCTTGACTAGAACACTACTAGGGGAGAATGGTTGCAATTTATGAAACGAGCGACAAGATCTATCGAAGTATACGGAGCTATGACTGGCCCTTGAACAGCAAGAACGAGATTGAAAGCAGACATGCAGAACATGAGACAAACATGCGCAGGAGATATAGGAAACTTGGAACAACATACGGGGTATGGGCTACTCCATACTGAGTGAGATCCTATGAGTTTAGCGAAATTCCGTAGCATCCTTTCATAAATCGGGGCGGGAGGCTGGGATGCCCATAGCTTGCTGGGAAGATTTCTGCCTGCCTGGAAAGTGGTTGGGAGTCACTTACTGGCCTTGGAATAGGCTGAAGCTTGATGAGATTATTATAGCATTGTTATGGATATAGGAAGGGATACTGACGTGCAGTTTGTTTACACCCTTGGATTAGGATAATGACTTATGATGGGCGTTGTGCGTTGTGATCAATATAGTATCTCAAGACAAAGATAGGCCTGCTTGGATAATATCGCCCATGTTTTGAGATTATGGAGGACATTCTATCTCTGGTCCTTTGCGTTGAAACAAGCTCGAATGAAAGAAATGATATCGTCGATTTTGAATAGACAATCCTTTGTTCTATCTTCATCACAAGGCGTAAAGGAAGACGCTGCAGCGCCTGATACGGCGGGGTTGGGTAAGTCGCGGCGACATAGATCACGCGTAATGGCTGCCAGCCCGGGGTATGGAGGCTTTGTCTATTCAATATGTCGGGTCTGACGAATGGCCGGTTCAAAACTTCTGGCAGCAGTCTGTTTCGTAAGGCGCGAATGCGGAAGTCAACTGACGGGACAACCGTGCTTGGTTTCACATTTAGCATCATTCAGTGGTCTCAGATAGTGAACGAATTCATTGTCGAGGCATCTCTATGGCCGTTTGTAGTCTAGGGTGTGAGCATGGCTCGAGATCATATAATCAGAGGCTGGAGAGGATACTGTACACAGGGGATATCATGGCATAGTAAAACACGGTATAGAGAATCCCAGATTATAAATGGGAAAGCCATTTTCACAACTTAAGCCTCTTCTTGCTTTATTCTCACCGTCTGACTGCCTATACAATTGAGAAGAGAGAGAAAATATCTTCAAAACAAGGATATGTAAGGGCAGACCGCATAAGCAGCCTATTGTAGGGATCATATCATAGAGCATCCATAGGGCTGAGTCTAAGTACTCCATAAATACATATGATAAGATCTGATCGACCCACCTCTTGATAAACCAAGTTCATCATTTCCCTTTGAGTGCATCGCTCAATGGGGATCGAATTTGTGCATAGTACATGTAGATTTCATTTTTCCCATAGTGATGTGGCAATGTTCTCACTATCCTATTGTACAAGCACATGTCTTGGGGTGGAATTCTTCTATCTCTTAGTGTCAGTACATGAGTATGACATTGATTTTACCTCTACAGCCCGGGTACATCCATGGATACCTCGTAGCACTGCCGGATGTGATCATACTTACTAGGATAACCCTATTCTTGTCCAACCCTTCTAGTACTTCTCGGGAGTGATAAAGCCCCGGCAGTGGTGGTTTATCCATCTGTTCCAGAGATTTGATTATCTTACCTAGTACATCTAGACCTTAGGAGCTATCCCGTATTATTAATAGCGCGAGGTAATAACTAGGTAGGTATCGGCAGGCTTGGCGGTGAATCTTTGAGCCTTCAAGTTCTCGGCCTTTTTCTGTTCTCAGCCTCAGAAAAAAAGGCCAAGTTGATGCCCTATCATCAGACTGTCATTTCCTTCACCTGGCTTAGATTCCGAGAATCTGTACAAGTCGGTTAAATGTAATATAAAGTGCGGAGAAGTCTAACGGAATATCACATCCCGGAGTTAAGCCGAATGAGTCTGGAAGGCTGTGGAGAGGCAAAGATGAGATTGACCAATCGACATGAGCGTCTCCAACTCCTTTCCATTTGACTCCGCACCGAACTCGGAGTGAAGTTGGGGAGTTTTCGTGTTTTCTGTACGCTCACCGGTTCCGAAGCCATGTGACACATTCAACTCCGGTTTCTTCCTTTCTGTTTCTTTGCCTGTGGACTTTTTTTTTTTTTTTTCTTTCTTTTTTTTTCTTTTTTTTGCCTCTGATTCAGGTTCCTGAAGACTGTGGGTGGTGGCAAATATGAATCCCAAGGAATAGGTGGACTTCGAGTATTTGAACAACCATCAGGCTGGGGGACCCTTGGATGTATAGAAGTACCTGAGTGCGAGTACCTAGACAGGGAAGATCGGTGAGAGCTGATTCGGTCCGATCGCCGGGTAAATAACGCCATAAGGGATGCAAAGAAAAATTCAGTGTTATGCGGAAAATCCCTTGAAGTTATGAAAATATTAAAATCTATACATATTATCTATTCTAATATCTAATCATTTCAGACGGGCATTATCGTGTAAAAAGAAAATCCCCGTAGAAAAGTGGGCTCCTATTATCAAAACACTTTTTTTATTGACTCAGTCCGGTTCTCCACTCCTCTCGACCCCTTCCTTCGCCCCCCAGCTTTCTCTTTTGTGTGGATTTGATTTTTTTTTTGTGTCAGTCATTTGCATATACACATCATGGCCAGCGTAACAGAAGCTGTGAAGGAATCCCTCCTGGGAAGTACAGAGTCGCCTCAGCTGTCCCACCAGGCGCGCTCAAACTTTGTCCGCCATGCGCAAAAGGACGAGAATGGCGAGCTCTTCATGAACGAGGAGAACTTCATTAATGCTGTGGCACCTAAACAGGAAGACTATGTAAGTGTCACTAGAGACTGCAGAGGTACTGAGATCGCAATTGCTGATCAGATTTCCCAACAGCACAAGATTAAGCGCGAACAATATGGGATTCTTTTCAACGTCGCAGACCGACGGAGAGCTGGCAAGCTCAACATCACCGACTGGGCCTCCTTCGAAAACCTCCTCGCGAAGCCCGATGCCGAGTACGAGATCGCCTTCCGCCTCTTCGACTTCGATGGAACCGGGAGTGTCAAGTTCGAGGCCGTGCAGGGACTCTACAACATGAACAAGAGTGCCGACAGCATTCCCTTTGACTGGAACTCAGAATGGGCATCTTTGTACGGAGGCCGCTCCAAGTCCCGCCATGACATGACTTACCCCCAATTCGCCCAGATGCTGCGCGGTTTGCAGGGTGAGCGTATCCGTCAAGCTTTCCACATCTTTGACAAGGACGGCGATGGATTTATCCAGCCGGAAGATTTCCAGCGTATTATCCTCGAGACCTCAAAACACAAGTTGTCCGATCACGTCCTCGAGAACCTCCCCACCCTGTGCAATATCTCGACCAGCAACCGCATCTCCTACGCCAATGTGCGTGCTTTCCAGAATGTCATGCGCGAGATGGATATCATTGATATGGTGGTCCGCGAAGCAACAAAGAAGAGCATCGATGGCAAGATCACTCGCTCTGACTTCCTGAACGAGGCCGCTCGCGTCACTCGTTTCTCCCAGTTCACCCCCATGGAGGCCGATATCCTTTTCCACTTCGCTGGTCTCGATGCGCCTTCAGGACGTCTCTCTCAGAAAGACTTCGCCAAGGTCATCGATGCTTCATGGCGTATCCCCGTGATCGCTGCAAACCAGGCCGTGTCTGCTGGACAGGAAGTTGCCGAGAAGACTAAAAGTCTGCTTCACGGCGTGCTTGAGTCTGCACACCACTTTGCATTGGGTAGTATCGCCGGTGCTTTTGGTGCTTTCATGGTCTACCCCATTGATTTGGTCAAGACTCGTCTGCAGAACCAGCGTTCGTCTCGCCCCGGCGAGAGACTGTACAACAACTCTCTCGATTGCGCTAGAAAGGTTATCCGCAACGAAGGTTTCACTGGCCTGTACTCCGGTGTCATTCCTCAGTTGATCGGCGTGGCGCCTGAAAAGGCCATCAAGCTGACTGTGAACGATCTCGTTCGTGAGTACTTCACCGACAAGGAAACCCACAGAATCAAGTACGCCCAAGAAGTTCTGGCTGGTGGAACTGCTGGTGCTTGTCAAGTCGTCTTCACAAACCCCCTTGAGATTGTGAAGATTCGTCTGCAGGTCCAGGGTGAAATCGCAAAGAACGTCGAGGGTGTGCCTCGCCGCTCAGCGCTCTGGATTGTCAAGAACCTGGGTTTAATGGGCCTGTACAAGGGAGCGAGCGCCTGTCTCCTCCGTGACGTCCCCTTCTCGGCCATCTACTTCCCCACATACGCACACTTGAAGTCCGACTTCTTCGGCGAAACCGCCACAAACAAGCTCGGCGTTGTCCAGCTCCTCACCGCCGGTGCCATCGCCGGTATGCCCGCCGCCTACCTCACCACACCCTGCGATGTCATCAAAACCCGTCTGCAGGTCGAAGCCCGCAAGGGTGACACCAAGTACAACGGTCTGCGTCACTGCGCTGCCACCGTCTGGAAAGAAGAGGGTCTAGCCGCCTTCTTCAAGGGTGGCCCTGCCCGTATCATGCGTTCTTCGCCTCAGTTCGGTTTCACCCTGGCCGCCTACGAAGTGCTCCAGAAGGCCTTCCCCATGCCCGGTGAGGGCGACGCCATTACACCCACTGGTCATGTCGAGCCTAGTGTCGGCGGACAGGGCGCTAAGGCGCCTCTGCCTTACCTCCGGTCAAGGAACGCGCTCAAGCTCATCCTTGATCTAGACCAGAACATTGGCCGGGTGCAGGTCCCACGGCCTGAGAACTGGCCCAAGTTCCTGCAGGGCTCAAAGTAGGGCTACTGTTATAGTGAGCCTGTCATTTCTGGTTTTTGTTTCTTCATTATTTTCACTAGCGATATGTTTCTCGTTTCTCATTTGGTCAAGGCCTATATTTCCTTCGATTTAGCATGAGATCTTTCTCACATTTCTTTCGGATCTTTTTCGTGTCAGGCCTCTTTTGTGGTTTAGTTGGGCTTGACATGGAGTGTGCATCCTCCCCTTTGCATCATGATGTCTTCTCTTTATTTGCCGGAGACCATTTGTGTTTGCATTGTACCAACAGCAGATAGATATGAAAAGGTGTGGGTTGTCCTAGACGACCCTGATTGTGATGTTTATATCATTCTAGATTTGGTTTGGGTTGATATTCTTCCGTCTCTTGGTATAGCTGTAAGCATACATGAGGGTGTAGTTTGTGGTTGATCTAAGTCGTGCCTAATGAGCAGCTAGATCCTACCCAAGTCAAGAAGTTGGCTGCATATCATCTTGTGGTCTGCACTGGACTTTTATTCTAAGTTCAGATGCTGAAGCTGTTTATCCCAAGCCCAGGAAAATATGTACATGAAACATGATTTGCAGGCTCACAAACGGGTATCAGAATCTACTCCTGAGAAAAGATTCCCTGTACAGGTGATGTTACATCTATATCGTTGATGATATATTGGTTACGGACTGGGTCCATGTGTGTGGCAAATGCTAGACCCAGTTGTCGTAAATATAAAGAAATCCCATCGTGATCTAGAAGATCAATTCGACATTGGGACAGCCGTGGCTCATTGCGGTGGCGTTTATCCCGAGTTCACACGACTGGGCCCCGAGAACAGAAGCTTATTTTTGATGAAGACCAATTTCGTCCGCATTCAATAGAATCTAAGCTTTCGTGGCGACTCTGTCTTAGCGACCTCCTCGGTGCGCTTCTCTTCCAAGGGCTGTTTGGGTTGTGTTTGTTCTTTCTCGGACACCTCGCGCTTCTCTGCTTGCGACTGGGCGGTCTTCTTCTCATGCCACAGGGAATCCTCAGCTTCAATCTCGCGCAGTACTAGGAAGAAATAGTCAGAGACCGACCATAACACAGAAATGTCGAAAATTGGTTAACATACCTTCGTCCCACTCTCGTTCCTTTGCCTCATCGCCCGTCCCCAGCAACTTCTCCACATCGACTTTCTCTCCAATCTTGACTCGTGAAATAATCTCCGCTAGAAGCTCGATCTTCGCATCCGTCGTCCGAGTATATGCCGCGTAACCGTTCTTCAAAGTGAGCATGCGAATGGCCTGTGAGCCGATCAGAGTGAATATGATGATGTAGAACGTCGCCGGATTCCATTCTTTAGATTTCTCTTTCGCAGGATCTTTGCGCGCTCGACCACCCCGAAGAAATCGGGGAATCATCGCCGTCCATACTGATGTGTCTGCGATCTTTGGAAGGCGATCGGAGGTCGAATATGAGCGCCCAGCCGAACCGCGGCATTGTCTCGTAGCATTTAATGTAGAAGGAGCAGAAAATAACTGTCTGCTAAGCCCAAAGGGTCTGAATCTGAAAGTCATAGCTCTGTTCGCGTCTAGCAGTAATCGTCGATCTTCAGAAGCGGGAAAAGTTGAAGTTCGTGATTGCCTCAGGCGATAAGGCTATCAAACCCAATAAGGTATAGCGCTGTTGTTGCCGCGACAACCCACGTTTAGAGTGTCCGGCCGATAGCGATTGCACATCAAAGGCTCGACGCGAGCGATGACCTCAGTCCTGCAGCTTTGATAAAACGACCAAAAAATGGCGGTCACCGTCTTACCGGCCAGCTCTTTGACAGAGTCCGTTAAACAGGCCCTCCGTTCAACAACTACATGTTCGGACGCTACCGTGTTGTCCCTCCAATCACTCCTCCGCGGGTCGCCAAAGATGCCCGAGAAACCCACGAAACGCACAAAATCGACAAGAGAACCGCCTGGGACCCCGAGTCGAACGAGAACTACCCGCGCAACGAAGACGAAACCAGCGAATGATGTCGCGCTGCAATCATTAGCTGACCACGAGGCCGCGGCTTTGTCATGTCAGGAGAAGCTGGTCTTTGCTACGGAGGTGTTCAATGCTACATTAAGGACCCTCACGGATGCCGCAAAGATATCTACAGCAAAGCGCCAGAGTAGTGCCTCCGATACTGCCAATGGCCCCGACGCGGGCATCGTCTCGGCTGCGGAGTGCGCCAGGCTTTCTTTGTCAACACTGCGAACTCTTAAAAATGACTCTGGGAATGACCAGTTCCCGAACTTGCAGCTTGAGCAGGGACTGTGTGTTCTTGCGGGCAAGCTTATCTCCTTGGGATTGAATGACATGGCATATAAAGAGCTGAGACTTTTGAAGCGGAGAATCCAACAATATCTGGACGGTGGAAAGGCCGGGAAAAAGACTACAGAGGCGAAAGAAATGGGGGAGGAAGAAGCTTCGAAAGAACGGATGTCGGATCTCTTGACGTTCGCTCACATCTCGAACGCCAAATCGCTGTACGGCTTGCTTGTTCCTTTTCACTCGAATGTGATGCGGCTATTTGCTACGGATAGGAGAGCATCCACAATCCAGAAGGTCTATCCTTCTTTGCAGCTTTCTGATTTGAGTAGTCCTGCTCAAGTAATTTTGGCTGCCATGAAATCGGGTCAACTGTCAAACGACAAAGCTGCTCTTCAACTCCAGTTACTATCAAATACAGTTCTAGCGCTTTGCTCGGGGTCATCTTTCTCGAAGGATGAGGCCTCGAATAGTTTGAAGCCCATCACGTCATTAGCATTACAACTACTCTCGCTCGAGGTTCGATGTTTGAGCTGGAAGCTGTCCGGTCATGTCTGTGATGAAAGCAAAGAAGTGTTCGATCCTTTGCTTCGCTATTTTGGTAGCTTCTCTCACCGGAGCAAGGGTATTGAGAAGGCCGACTTTGCTACGATCTACAAGACGATTACCCGGTTGCAAACATCCATTGCGGAGGTTAAGAAGAAGACTTCGGAAACACAAAACGCCAATCAGTCTGCGAAGCTCATGACTATTCTCGGTCAGCTCGCTTTCGACGCGGGCTGCTTTAACGAATCTATGAAGCTGTTTACACAAGCCATTAACCCCCTCTCAAAAACTCAGTCTCTTTCGCTGGCAACAGTTCGGTGTAAAATCGCATCTGTCCATTTCCAGGCCTCAAAGACATCGAAAAAATTCCTGGACGGAGCTTTGGATTCTGTCTCGGAGGCGACTCAGTCTCTAGGGCTGCAATTAAGAGGCAGCGCGAATGATCTAGATGAACTGCTGGTGGAAGCTGCGAGATTGAAGAAGCTGGCCCTTGCGTGGTTCGGAGAGGCTATCACAAAAAGTACTGAAAGTGAGAGCGAGAAGAACGAAGTTGCTAGTCAGATCAGAGAATATCTACAAGCGTTCATCAGGTTCCTCAGACGTTATGTCGGGCGCCAGCCAACAGAAGATAGTGACGAAAAGGATATTGAGATGTTCAACAAACGCATTTCAATTTCCAGGAGCATCATTCTAGCTGCAATTGATTCGGCTGTCGCAATTGGGAAGCTCTCTATCATGTCTCAGAGGCCACCCTGGGAAGACATGCTCCCAATTTTGACTGATTGCCACCGGCTACTTTCCACTATCGAAACTCCCAGTGAGCCAAGCGAAGAGACAACAGAAAATCTAGAAATGGCACTTGTCAAGCTTTCGAACCTGTTCTGGTCTCGATATATCAAAGAAAAAGAGGCTGGACAAGGTTATCGGGAGCTTATACCTCTTCTCAAACAATCTACCCAGATGCTTTCAAGCTGCTCGCCTTCTCAACGCAACACGGCATTTGCAGCCCTTAAGTTCGAGAGAATGGCCCATCTGTACATCGACGGCAATATGTACATTGAATCAGAGCAGATGTTCCGAAAATCGATTGAAGAATACATCCTCTCTGGCACTCTGAAGCAGATCGTCAAGAGCAGCGGAGGACACAATCCAAGTTCGGTCAACCAGGATCCTAAGAGTCCCAGTTTCATGCTTGGCCGTGTATTATCCGCCTTCCTGAAGATGAAGCTGCGCAGGAAGGGATCTCACCCCTCTATTGTCTATGACGATGTTGAACTAGAATTTGAACAGAGAGGTATTCTTCTCGAATGGCAGATGAACTTGCTTGTTGACATGCATAGCTATTGTTCAAACGAAGAAGAGTTTCGTTTGATGCTTGGCTCAGCTGTTTCCTCCCTCCTTGATCTCTACCCTCCTGGTGTTTACCCTATTCGCCATTCTCGTGTGATTCTCTCTGCCTTGCGGCTTCTACTGGAGCAACCTACCGCATTGGAGTCTTCTTTAATTGAAACGCTGCTGGATGCAGGAACAACGGCTCTGGATAGCGGCCTACAAGTTCGAGATGACATTGATCTTGCCTCATTTGCAATTCATATAAGCAACTCATTGCGCGTTATCATCGGCTTCCACCGCGGCAAAATTGACGCAACAGAACTAGATGAAACGCTTGCGTCGTGGACTTCACTGGCGCGCAAGTCCCATGATTGGAAAACACTGCTGCTTTGCATCAATGACACGGACTACTGGGTGTTGCAGTTAAAAGCTCTGGTCGATTATACTGAAATCCACGGGCTTTGGAAAGCTCACATGTGCACCCTGGAACTGATATTGCGTGCTGCGGAGCTCCAACAATCAGGGGATTTGTCAGACGCCATCATCATTTTGTCGCGTTTGGTACTGCAGAATTGCCGCCTGGGCTACTGTCAAAAGGCAGGTGACCTCCTCTCCCGCGGTGAGCAGTATCTTGCTCAAACTAAGGTATCCTCTCTTGCTACTATCTCCTACAAAGTTTCACGAGCGGACTATCTTCTGGAGACCGGAGAGCCTGAGAAAGCCGCCGCCGTTCTTTCAGCAGCCCGCGCACTATACGAAAAGTGCCAGAAGTCAGAACTAAGCAACTTGACTGTACTGTCAAAAATCTCATGGGAAAGACTGGTAGCAGATGCCGCCTTTGTTCAGTCCAGGTTGTTTTCCGCACAGGGCTCAGCAACCCAGGCTCTCTACTTCGCCAAATTGTCTGTACGGCTCAACTGCCGCATATGGGCTAAGGTTGAGAGGCTCGCCCAAAGGAAGCAAGACAAGTTATTGCCTGCCGCAGGAAGCTCAGAAGTTGAGGCTGTTGCTGATGGTATCTCGAAGCTTGACCTGTCTCAAAACGGGTCTTCCCCGGATGTGTCTGCCAGCTACGTCCAAGGTGCGCCTTTCTGGCCGCACCTAGGTTCTCACCATACCTGCTTGTTAAACCTCGCCACATTATCTGCCCACCATGGCTTGTTCCAGGATGCTATCTACTATAGCGAACAAGCGTTGAAGATTGACAAGACCCTTGATGCTAATGCACGCCTCCTCGCGGCGCAGACCCAGCTCGGTTCCCATTGGATTATCAGTGGGCACATGATTGAGGGGCAGGACCATCTCTCTGCTGCGGCCGAGTCTTCTAAGCTAACCCAGAGAAGTATCGAAACCGTGTCTTTCCAAATGGCGCTTGCGTCTCTCTACAAGACGCAGGGTGCACATGACAAGGCACTCCGAGTTCTCCTTGAAGCAGACAAAATCATCACAGCGGTCACCTCTGCTGATGTGCCTGCCGGTTTAGAGGCATCAGGCATCGCAGAAATCGAAGAAAAGATGGATAAATTACGGGTCCGGGCAAGCAGCCGGCGTACCCCAACACCGCGAACCCCGACGCCTACTACGACGACTACCACTCGGCGGACGCGAGCAACCAGTTCCGCTGCTACCAAGACTACGAAGAAAGCCCCAGCTCCAAAACCAACCCTCCCCGAAGTTCAATCTAAGTCCCTATTACAACTGAAGGGCAATATCCTCAGACAGCAAGCTGATTGCCTGCGAGAATTGCGCGACTTTGAGCGATCTGCGCAAACACTTGCAGCAGCTAGACAATTTGCTGTAGCCCGAGAAAGCAAAATCGCTTTGGAAATTGGTGAAAGTGAGCATCTGTTGGCTGATGCGATTCGCCGTTTTGCCAGCCACGCTGTGTACTGTGTCTTACCTGAATCTACTATATCGCTACCCTCACTCAAATCACCAAGCAAGACGGCAGATGACCCTGCTTTACTCCCGACAAAGCCGTCGACAAGGAGAACTAGGGCTCCAGCTAAAACTACGCGCACCAAGGCTCAGCGAGCTAGTGAGGACTTTTCGGTCATGCTGTCCAAAGCGAGCGATTGTCTTGCCAGTGTCTTCTCCGACGCCACGATCCTAGGCTCAACGCTTGATAGCCATGCAGCATCTCGCTTGATGAGTCGAATCTCTATGCTATCACATGCGACTTCTCCCGGGATCCCAGCGACTCTTGCTCAGTCGCCTGCAAATATGAATGGTAAGTTTTGCAAGGTGCTTTCGATTTGACATGTATCTGACTTTCTTTTCTTTCTTAGAAATTGGACGTGTTGGCGCATTTGCCCGCGAACGTATGGCAATTGATATTGATCGACAGCTGGCTGATTTTGCCGATCCCCTATTTTGGCCAGCCTCGTTCCCCTCAGCTGTCGAGCTGGACAGTGATCTTTGCTCCAACTTTACTCAGGATTATGTTGATATTCTGCCCGAATCTTGGAATGTTCTCTCTTTGTCATTGAGTGCAGACCGTACCGAATTTGTGGTTTCACGACTCCAAAAAGACCGCTCACCATTCCTTTTGCGTCTTCCCCTCCACCGAGGAAATTCGGAAGATGACGAGGAAGAGCAGTTTACTTTCGAGGATGGAAAAGAGGAAATGCAAGAACTCATCAAGCTTGCCAACGAAAGTGCACATGCAGCTAAGGCCCAGACGGATAAGCTGTCGAAGAAGGAATGGTGGAAGACTCGCGAGGCACTCGATCGTCGGATGGAAAACGTCCTCCAGAACATTGAGAACATATGGTTTGGAGGATTCCGCGGTGTCTTCTCGCCGTTGTCGCGGGAGACCACCGCGCTAGCCCGGTTTGCGAGTACCTTCCAAAGCATCCTTGACAAGCATCTTCCTTCTCGGCAGAAAGGTGGCAAGGCCGATGGACCCCGGCTCACTCTACATCAGAATGTAGTTGATTTGTTCATTGGGCTTCGTGATCTTGAAGAGCAAGAAGAGCCCGAAGACACGCTGATGGATCTTCTTTACTTTGTTGTGGATATCCTACAATTTCAGGGCGAGCGCAATGCCTACGACGAGATCGACTTCGACATGATGGTCGTAGATACGCTCGATGCCTTGCGAGGCTACCACGAAGCTGCACGCGATGAACTTGTGGCCCGGCCGCCGAGACACACAATCCTCGTGCTCGATAAAGCTCTCCACCTGTTCCCGTGGGAGTCACTTCCCTGTCTTCAAGGATACCCTGTTTGTCGCGTCCCATCCCTCGAGTGCCTCCGGGACCGCGTCCTTCAATTCCGCAAGGCATCCTCTGGAGCCATCCTAGACCGCAAATCCGGGGCATTCGTCCTTAACCCAACCGGCGACCTGCGCACAACACAAACTACCTTCGAAAATGACCTCTCCCAGTTCAAATCCTGGACTCCAATCGTCCAACGGGAACCAACCGAAGACGAATTCCGCAACGCGCTAGAGAAGAAGGATCTATTCCTCTACTTCGGCCACGGTAGCGGCGCGCAGTACATCCGCGGCCGCACGGTCAAGCGACTCACACAATGCGCGGTCACTTTCCTCATGGGATGTAGCAGTGGCACTTTGACCGAAGCCGGCGAGTATGAGCCCTACGGCACGCCGATGAATTATCTTCACGCGGGCAGTCCTGCGCTCGTGGCTACGCTGTGGGATGTCACGGATCGAGATATTGATCGGTTTACCACGACTGCCTTTGATGCCTGGGGTCTTGTCGAGAAGAAGGATAGGAAGGATAAGAGTCGCGAAGAGGATGTTGGGCTTGACACGGCAATTGCTCGTTCGAGAGGTGCTTGTGTGTTGAAGTATTTGAATGGTGCAGCACCCGTTGTTTATGGAGTTCCGGTGTTTTTAGAGTGAATCTGGGGTGATTTTTCTTTTCTTACTGTGTATATATACCTTGGCGTTATCCCCACTGTGGGCAGCAATCTGATTTGACTTTACGCTGAGTATTGGACTGTATATATTCATATATTCTTTGAGAGGTAAGGGATCTAACTAATGTCTATATGATATACTTATAGACTAATGAACATCGTAGTAATCCAGACCGCTATTAATAACTCTATACTAATCTACTGTTCTTTATAATCTTCTATATAATTCCATACAATCCGAAATAGGAAGAAGAATCCTCCAAGTGGACCTCTTCCCCTCATGCGGGACATCCCACCATAAAAACGTCACTTCCCGTCTCTTCTTTCTCTCAACACAACCATGTCCGTCACTACAAACGCAACCATCGCCTCTTTCGGCGGCAAGCTTCTCAAGCTCAGCCATGCCGCCACTACCACAAAATGCGAGATGAAATTCAACCTCTTCTTGCCCCCGCAGGCCCAGACACAGAAAGTCCCCGTACTCATCTACCTCTCCGGTCTAACCTGCACCGCCGACAATTGCTCCGAGAAGGGCTTCTTCCAGCACAGCGCCAGCAAGAAGGGAATTGCCGTGTTGTATCCTGATACCAGTCCACGTATGTGTGTTGTCTTTTATCGTCAATTGTCATTTAAAGTATTCTATTGAAAAGTAAAAAAAAATGTATACAATTAACACACATCTTCTATCCAGGCGGCCTCAACATCCAAGGCGAGGATGACGCATATGATTTCGGCTCCGGCGCCGGCTTCTACGTCGACGCCACGAAAGCCCCCTACAATGCCGGCTATAACATGTATAGCTATGTCACCGAAGAGCTGCCAAAGACCGTCTTTGCTGCATTCCCGCAGTTGGATGCCGGTCGTGTCAGTATCACTGGTCACAGTATGGGTGGACACGGTGCTCTCACTTTGGTAAGTTATACACTACTGTTAGATTCGATGTTCGCTATATGGAACTACAGCTAGAACGGATATTTTGCTGGAGTATTATCTAACCAATTTACCAGTTCCTCCGCAACCCGGGCAAGTACAAGTCCGTTTCTGCGTTCGCGCCGATCACGAACCCGACGAACTGTCCCTGGGGGCAGAAGGCGTTCAAGGGTTACTTCGGCGATGATCAGCAGGATAAGTGGAAGGAACATGATGCTACTAAACTGATTAAGAAGTGGAGTGGAGGTCCGCTGGATATTCTGATTGACGTGGTGAGTTCAGCTTGGTCTCGTGCTATCTCTCTGCTTTATTCTGTTTCTATTTCTTTCCGTTCATTATGTGTCCCCCATATCTAATCCATATTTAGGGCACCGGTGACAACTTCTACAAACAAGGTCAACTTCTACCGGAGAATCTCGAAGCCGCGGCCCGTGATGCGGGCATCGCCGGATTGAATATTCGCTACCAGCCGGACTATGATCACTCCTATTATACCATGGCTACCTTTGCGGATGACCATGTCGAGCATGCGGCCAAGTATCTCTTTGCATAGTGTGTGCTCTTCTCTTAACTCCTAATCTCAAAATGATGTTTTACTTTTCTTGTGTATATCTGTAAGCTGGATCTGATTTCTTTTTTTGGCTCAAGTGAGCGTCAGGTTGTTAGGTCCATGATCTAGGTGGGTTTGGGATTTTGAATAGGGCAAAGGTGAAGGTGTATGGTAGGATGGGAGATAAGAATGAATCGATTGAAGAGATCATCCTCTTGAGCTAGAAACCACAGATATCAGGGAACCTTTACATGAATACTGCCATATGAGACCACGAGTATCAACACTTTCTCCGTGGCTCAAACATCATCCATATATACCTGAAAACAAGAATTGCGTCCACAACACAACAGATATAGTCAGGCGGGGAGTGTCAGAATGAAGGACATCTCTTGTCGACTTGGATATAGAATGATGAAAGAAATGTTGACTCAGATATCATCATTTCCACCCGAAAGACACGAGAAAGTCCTATTCCGGACCGCAATAAGCGCCATCACTGAACGAATTGACCGGACCCAGCTTCAACCCTCCATCCCAGGTACCGCCATGATCCCGACAAAGACAACGAGTGCCACAGATCTTCTCATGCTCCATATTGGTCATGTATTTCTTGATAGGGCTATCAATAGTATCATGTTGAGCTATGGTATCGCAGGTTCTACGACCATTTGAGGGTCTCGTAGGTTCCACGCATCATATTGCAATCACCTTGATCAGAGAGCTATGGCAACTTGCCTAGGGAATATATCAGATTGCCGAAAGCATACACACCCAGCCCTGAAGAGGTCAAGAACACAACATCAACCGTCAACGATAGGTTCTTCTCCCTGATTACACATAGTAACGTCGCAGTATGGTTTCATCTGTTTTACAAGGCCGAGAGGGAGAAAATATCTATTGCGTAGAGAACACCTGGAAGAGGATTGAAAAATATGCAAGCCCGCATAAGAGCCTATTAGTCTTGGATCGTTAAATGATTCAATTGCACTCGTATATGTACTGGAACTTATTTCGGACAGGTCTACCACTTTATTTCATGTACCTACTTCAGTCCACGCCCAGTGGAGTTCAAACAGGCAGAAGAACAGACCCGTTTCGGTCTTACCGTCTTATCTTATGAAGCAGGCAAGGCAAAGAGAGAGATGAGAAAGAAACGCCGAGTGGTGAGCGAATACAAATGAACACCACAATGCGAATGCATCATGAGCAGAAGCAGATCAACGGGAAACAAGAAGCAAGCTATATACTCAAAACTTTTGAATGAAATTCTTTTTGTTTCTGATTTGCTCCCGAGAGGGTGATCCACTAATTTTGGGGCTCAAGCTGGACAGGTATGGTATCGTGATCGGACTTGGACGAGATGGAGTAGATGGTATAGAAGATGGCGAAGTCACAGGGCAACATGAGGAGAGACGTCACTTCGTCGCGTCAAAACGTAAATATGGAAAATGGATGGGGGAATCTAGAAAGCAGATGGAGAGGAGAAAAGGAAATTTCATGCGCTCAATCGTTGGATGAATGACTGTTCAGAGATGCGTGTTAGTTGAATGTCCCGTAGATCGAAAGCCCGGGGCGGATAAAAACAAGTAGCACTTACCGGGAAGAATTGCCGGAACCCTTTCACGTCCAGCTGGCTCAGTGCGGTCAGGAACTCTTCGATGAGATCGGCCCCCATGCCCATGCCGGGCAGTTCCTGGTTGCGCAAGTATTCCGCATACTCCATGCCTGTCTTAGAGTAGATGGTGCGTTGCAAAGCGCCGGCCTCGGCAAGGACCTGCTTGGCCTGTGCGTCTTTGGAGTTGAAGGATGGTGTGGTGGGCAGTGCCCAGCACAGAGGTGAGAACCGGGTGATCATGAATCCACCAAATCCGGGGAGTGCGGCTTGGGCAGATGCGGCGCCATTAGCAGGGGCAGGGGCAATATCAGGTCCACCCCAGCAGCTTGCCATACGGCCCAAGACGGAGAATGCCATCTTGGCAGTGGTGAAGTCTTCAATATCTTTGGCGAAGTGTTCGATGGTAGTGATCACGGTTTCGAAGATGGACTGATTTCTCTCGCTAATGATGACAGTTCCCAAATCATTGTTCAGCACAGCCAGCAAGAAGTTCAGATACTCTCGCTTCAACTCGGCAAGCTGAATCTCGTCATCAGTGCCGGTTGTCGGGTCGGCGATACCGGAGAAGACCCGCTGCAAGAAAGGAGTCAGGAGGGTATCGAGGATGCTGTAGATCTCGCCCTTGAAGCCAAAGATGACCTGATCCAGAAGGCGGAGGAACAACGCCATCTCGTCGCGCGACGAGGTCTGGGTCAAGAGCCCATCAATCCATCGGGGCAGTTGAGGGAGAATCTGCGCGCCCAGAACACCAATGAGCCGTGAGAACGCAAAGCGAGCAGCAGTCCGGATATTGAATGAAAAATTGAGAGACTCAAGCGCAACAAGAGTCGCTTCGGCCACCTGGGCGAAAGCCGCCGAGACCTCTGGCGCCGGGAGAGCAGAGGGCGAGCTGGTGCCCGGCTGCCAATCCGAGTAGCCTCGAGCGAGGGTTCCCAGAGCCATGATATCGTGGTGGATCTGCAGCAACGCGCGTTCGTCCTTGGCCTTGGCGGCTTCGAGGTTCCGCTCCATGTCGCCAAAGACAGGGTTCATCACCGACTGTGCGTACAGAACCTGCTTGTCTGCACTGACACTAGGGGTCGAGGAAATGATTCCAACGGACTCGAAAAGGTACAGCTGACTGTTGAAAACGGCGTCGGCAGAGCCCTCGTGATCCTCGGAAGACATCTCATCGCCGTCATCACCCTCCGAAGGCACCTCGGCCTGAATAACTAACAAGTCACTCAATGCCTCCACAACAGTCTGTGCCACGTTGCCAATTTGGCTACGCAGCTGTCTAGCTAGTCGCTGGAACAGATACCACGAACGAGTCTTGACTTTTCGAACAGGGTGGTGCACAAGCTGGAGGAAGCTCTCCAGAACTCCGGGGATGAGATGACTGTGGTGGGTGAAGAATGAACTATAACGAACACATATTTCCATGTACTGAAGTTGGGTCGCGGGGTGGGTGAATGATCGGATATCGGACTCTACCATTGCGAGCATCATCTCGATGAGACGGCCCGCAGCCATGCCAGTAGGGGCGCCCTTCAAGTACAAACTGCCGCCCCTGACAGCCAGATCACCGAACAAGAACATCTCGTGCAAAGCGAGATCTAGGTCACGCCAGTCGAGCTGCCCACCGGATGCCCGCAGTTTTTGGAAAGTAGTTCCCACAACCTCTGAGATTGCATCGATGTAAAGCTGCTCATCGGCCGAGGCGATGATTTGCTGCAAAACACCCAGTCTCTTGCGCAGATCTTGGAACTCTGCCTCATCTGTCTGCTCGTCCTCCTCGCCCCAGTTCGAGGTCTCATCGTACCGCATTTTCGCAATAATCGCTTTCAAAATCGGAAGCAGGATAGTCTTGTTTCGCTCCTCGAAGGATGGGTTCGCCTTGGCGAGTTTCCGGATGTAGGTGAGCATGTCGCTGACGCAAGGAATGACAGTCGAGCAGACCTCGTCGTACTCGTCTGAGAAGAATCGAAGGATATGAGGGAGGAACACCTGCAAAAGGTTTTCTGCCTGCTCCTTAACAGGACCAGCGTCATTATCCAATACCCGCACAATATCCACAACTGTGTTGTTGACAAGCTTGGCAACCGTCTCTGCCAAATCAGTATCGTACTTGAATGTGAATCGGTTCTCCCTCAGTGGGGGGCTGTTGGACAGCTGCGTGATGATGGAGTCGAGGTTCAAGAAAGCGATCATCTCAATTTTGTCGGAAGGCTTCATTTTCTTGCCAATGATCTCGGTGAAGACATCCACAGCTGCATCACGCACCCGCTGTTCTCCCTCCCGAAGCTCCTGTTTCTCGGCCCGTCCAAGCTGTTGGAAGAGCAGGTCCAACATGGTCTGGTTCACAACAAGACCAATCTCAATCCAGCTAACCCAGCTACCAACCGCCTTCAAGCACATCTCAACAATCAAATCATCGCTTTCTCGCCACACTGCCAAAATCTCCTGCCAGGAGTTGGCAATTTTCTGCATATCCCTCTCACGGATGAGGTCCTTCAGCGCATTCGCTTTGTCCTGTTCCCCGCGAGATCTAGAAACCAGCACATCGCCAATCTCCTCGTGAATCGAGCTCAGCACACGCAGGTAAAAAACAACTCCGATTTGGCTATCCCGGCCCGTGGATTTGTAGGTCAGGCTCAGTAGATCGTCGATGCAAGTCTCCCAGCCGTTCGCGTAGAGGGTAGAGAAGAGGAAGGTAACGGTCTGTGCAATTTTGTTCTGAATATAAGGAGCGTCGGGGGTGGCAGTGGCCTCAGGGCCGTAGGCCTGGCGAATGTAGGCTAGCACACTATCTCGGACGACACCGATCGAAGCCGCATCGATCAAGCCGACCTGGGCGGCACTATTGACAATCTCTAGACTGACATGCCGTACGACTTCGGGGCGCTGTGGGGTTTGAGTAAAGAGAGAAAGGCAGACCTGCCATCCGGAGGGGTCGGAGCGGAGTTGGTTGAGGTATTCGTAGGCTTGCGATTTTAGGGTTGCGTCGGAGGATGGATTCCAGGCGATCTCAATGGCATTTGCTACCTGGGGTGTGTCAATCATCTTGTGTATTGAGTCGAGGAACGCTCAAGGTATCGGAGGGGTTGAAACGGCGGGGGAGGGGCGCTAGTTGGGGTGGAATTTTTTTTTATGTTGGAGGATGAACATAATTGGCAGACTCACCTGTTCTTCCATCTTCCAGTCTCCCTTTTATATGTGGGAAGGAGAGAGGGAAATGAAGTGTAGGGGTGTTGTGTTGTCAAAATTGTTTTTTGGTGGAGATATGACCTGCGGGCATTTAGACTGGATATCGTAATCGATCCCGTGCCAGGTTCCGCCTTCGCTTGCCAAGAGAGTGTCAAGTCTACAAAAGTGGTTATATCTCAAAAGGGATATATAAGAGAGATTTGGAAATGTGATGTTCTTTGTGTTTTCCTAAATAGGACAAGGGGCTTGCACACAGTTGTTTTTTTGGGGCCCAAAGCTTTATTGGAACACATATATGTACTAGACCTGCTATACGGAGTACTCATTGCTATATAAGGCCTCGAAATGGCTTAAAACTAAGATCATTCTAAACTCTTTTCTATGTCTATATTATTTTCAGTTCCCATGGGCTTTGGCCTTGTCAGCCTCTTGCTGCAAAACCTGCAGTTCCATCTTCTCAAAGCCGTCGACGGCCTGACCGTATTGTTCAAACACCCCCTTTTGATAACCGTCAGCAATTTTCTCAATGAACTCCTCCTCGTTCCACCGCTGACCGATCAGGTTCTCAAATGTTTGACCGGGCTGTCGCTCAATACCCCAAACGGCTTTGTATGCGGCACCTAGGGCACAGGCATTGTCGCCAACATCGAGCGAGTATACACCCTCAACACCACCGAGGACCTCGCCAGCAATTTTAGCAATTGCCTTGTTCTTAGATCCTCCACCAACGAGGTAAACTCGACGTGGTTGGGAGGGGAGTCCATTGCCCGGGCTCTGGGTAAGGTCTCGAGACCGCAAGCGCAGTGAAAGCAACTGACTCTCGACGATAGCGCGGGCTTCATCCTGCGGCGAGTTCCATCCATCGGTCGTCTCTTGTAGACTTCCGGTATTAGCATCGTATGTAAAGCGCCATTGGCCCTTACTAATATTTGGGACGATCTCGTGGCGCGGGAAGAACAGGCCAATCTTCATCGGGCTCTTTGGGCTCTGTTGACCCAATGGGGCGGTCTGCAGCGCAACCTTGTCAAAGTTGGCCCAGGGGTGGGCAGGGGTATCCTTCAAACTCTCATTGATCGCGTCTCGGACGTGCTCACGGGCCAGACCGCCGTTCTTGTAGCACAGCATGAACATGTACAAGCCGGGGGTCGTGGGGTGATTAAAGAAGTGTGTGGCTGGGTCGGGTTTGTAGTTGGGGGTCGACATGAGGAAGGTAGTAGAGGTGCCAAGCGATACCATTGCATCTGATGGCAGCAGTGGCAGGGCAAGGATGGTTGCCGGGTTATCGCCAGTTGCTGGAATAACCGTGCAATCAGGACTGAAGCCGAAACGCTCTACGAAATATGCATGAACAGGGCCCAGGTGTAGGCCTCCATCTTCCGGTACCTCGCCGAGCTTCTGCTTGAGGTCCTCAACTCCAAAAACACCCGAACAGAGCTGAATCAGGCGCTCGTCGTACGCCCCTTTCTTGATGTTCCACAAGTTCATCCCACACACGTCGGAGATGTCGAATGGGGCTACATGGCCTAGAAAAAGCGATGCCAAGAACGATGACACCAATGAGATTCTCGAGGTCTTTTTATAAATCTCGGGGTATTTCCTTGTGAATCGGAGGATTTGAGGACCTGTGAATCTCTAATGACAAGTGTCAGCAGGCTTGCCCCGCATAAACCTTTTGAGGGCTTCTTACATGGTGTGCTTTGCTTCCGGTGGCCTGTGCCAAATCTTCGGGCTTACCGAGAGCTGCGTCAAACTCGTCACATTCTTTCTGGGTGCTCGAGTCTTGCCAATTGGGGCTGTATGGGTGGGAGAAAGCCCCTTCCAGTTGTGCCTCAAGAGACTTGGTCGAATCTAGATTGCGAAGAAGTGACTCTGCATTCTGACCCCAGTATACACTTCCATGCTGCTGTCCCGCACCGCTAATCCCCTTTACGCGGCTGAAATCAAGCCCTTGCTTGCGCAGGCTTTCTAGGACACCGTCCAATGCCTGTAACCACAGAGCGACCGGGGCAAACACTTCATGTTCGGCTTCATTATTCAGAACACCTTTTTTGATCGGGAACCCGTGCGAGTCGGCATCGAAGTCAAATTTGGCAACGTGAACGACTTTGAGATCAGAGTTGACAACTAATCCCTTCAGTTGTTGGGTCGAGAGATCGAACCCAATGTAGAGGGGTGTATTTGATGCCATAGTGGAAGTGATAGATACAGTTCCACGGGGACAATAGAGTAAATAGAAAAGATAAAGTGGGATACCAGCTTTAGGCAAAAATATTGATGAGTCCGGGAAAAGTTATGTACATGTGCAAGCGGCAAGATTGCCCCGGGGCATATAAACCGATGATGTAAATGGGACTATAACCGGACTCGTTCATAGTGGGCGCATTTTATATAAAGAAAAGTGGAAAGTCTCGACCGAGAACCAATTAGGTCAAGCTTATGATTTTCCCAGGAATGTCAAGTCAGGCCCGAGGACTTTAGCCGGGTAAATAGCTTTTTTTTTTTCCCTTAGCTGTAGCTCTGCTAAATTCTCGGTAGAATAGCCTTACCCCCACTATATACTCCCCGTATACTATTGTATGATCTCTTTATATTTCAATCTATACATAAGAGGAATCATGGCAGAAATCTACTATTGCTGCTTCCGAGCATCTTGAATTGTCTCTGGGTCCCCACTGATATCCTGTGCAACGAATTCATCCGAGAATGTGAGATCCTCATGTTCCGCTGGAATGAAGCGCACTTTGATTCGCTTCACACCACGAACTCCAGATCCAACAGCCTGGCGAACGGCCTCTTCGATGTGTCGCGACCGGCTAATAGCCCAAGCTCCTGGCACAGCCAACTCAATATCCATTAGGTAGTTTTGACCAGACTTCATGCCCTGCACGTCACGAACAATCACTTCGTGACCATCCTCAAGATCCTTTAGGGCCTTGGATGCAGCATCCTCCACAGAGTGTCGGATTTCTTCATCAACCGTAGTATCCGCCAATTCCAAAAGCGAGGTACGTGTGTTGGCCCAACCGGCTTTGATAACCATCAGGGAGATCAAGACTCCGCCAACTGGATCCAGCCAGGTGGCGTCTTGGAAGACATAGCTTCCTCCAATTGTGGAAAGGGCGACGATGCTTGTCAGGGAATCGATACGGTGGTGAACGGCGTTAGATGCAAGGACGGACGACTTGCGCTCTTCAGCAACCTTCATAGCTAGAATCAAGTTAGCCACCCGATAAAAATATATTTTTATCCCCAGATTTCGCTGTTTGTACTTACTGGCATGGTAAAGCCACTCCTTAACCACAATCGAGCCTGCTGCAATCCACGCCGCGTGGATGCTAGGACCAATTGGCCCATGACTGTGCGAATGACCGTGTCCCAAAACCCCAGAGTGAGCTATTGTTTCGGCCGCCTCGGGGTAGAACTGAGCTAGCAGCACCTGTCCTGCGTTGAGGCCCATAAACACTCCTCCGCAGAGCAGAAGTCCACTAACTCCTAGCGCACCGATGCTCTCGATCTTTCCATATCCATTGGGAAATCGTTCACTCGGAGGTTTCAGGGACCAGGCGACAGTTCCCAGAGTCAAAAAGTCGGAGACAAGATCGGTGAGCGCGTGGTAAGCGTCGGCAATGAGAGCTTGAGAGTGAAAGACATAACCACCAATGAACTTTCCAATCGCCATACACAAATTAGCCACGAGACCAATCCTTGTAATTCTAACACCCGCGTCGCGTTTGTTCGTGGAGGTCAGGTAAGTGTTGTCGTGATGGTGATGATGGCCGTGGCCGTGGCTATGGCCATGGTGCCTAGTTTGCGTCATAGCGATAGATGCCGGACGTGGGATGGAACGAGGCCTGGAATGAAAAAGAAAGGATGAAGCGTCTTTTAATAAAGGAGCGGATGTAAGTATACGCCGCTGGGCAGTAAGAGATCTGAAACTGGAGATCCTTAGGTGGAGAGGACGAAGCCTGCATAGGGGCTGCGTCAGCGGCATCACGTCGAAGGCACGCGAGCACAATTGAACGAATGGACAGAGTGTTCTTTTGTATCAAAGACAAGGATTTTTTTTAGTTTTATTTTTTACATCTAATCCACAAAGAGATGCAAGTGGGATGTTTCGAATCATGTCATCCGGCAATTCCCTTGATTTTCCGTTTCCAATCTGAGCGCTTGCATTTCTCACCATGACCTTCTCCATGACTCCTATTGATCCCTTGGATTCACCCCTTGGAGCCTATTAGAATCCTTCTTTTATCAACTTCTTCGTACCATTCCCGCAAATCTAATCTCAAATCTTGGCCTTCCTAAGACCCGCCAAGCTTCCGACTACGCAATCGTTGGAGAACCTCCGCTCTTCCGCCAAGACAATGATGAGGCGTCTTCAATGACGACGCCTGCTATTCGAATCCCCTTTACGGGACCATTACCACCTGCTATTATAATTCCTCAGACGGCAGCAACTCTTGCAGGGGCAATCGATGCTATTGGCAACTTCTTGACTGCGCCACCGTTCTTCAATCTCCGAGGTGTCGATGTGGGGAGACATTCCCAGACGGTACTGCTGACAGGCGCAGGTATCTCTGTCGCGTCTGGTCTGTCGGATTATCGAGGGGATCAGGGTACCTACCGGCAAAACAAGTCCTATCGTCCGATTTACTACCACGAGTTCGTCGCCCAGCATGAGTCGCGCAAGCGGTATTGGGCGCGCAGTTTCATCGGATGGCCCGGACTGTTAAAAGCAAAGCCAAACTCAAGTCATTGGGCAATCAAAGACCTTGGCGATAAAGGATACATAAGTTCTGTGGTAACGCAAAATGTCGATTCGTTCCATTCCCTCGCGCATCCGGAACTGCCTACCCTCGAACTTCATGGATACTTGCGATCTGTTGTCTGCACTAGCTGCCGAAACCAATTTCCCCGCGCGGACTTCCAAGCGTCGCTGGAGAGACTCAACCCAGCTTGGGCGGGGTTTTTGGCTCGTATGGTTGAGAAGGGTGTGCTCGATACCGATAATCAGGAGGAGCAACGGCGGAAAGGCCTGAAGCTCAACCCAGATGGCGACGTTGATCTCGCTGAAGCTCCATATTATACTTTCCGTTACCCTTCCTGTCCGACCTGCTTGGAGAACCCTCCTACGCTGAGCGATGGCACGAAGGCGAATGTAGAGGTCGAAAGTGATGGCGCATTATCGGCCACTTCAAATGCTGGAATTTTGAAACCAGCAGTGATCATGTTTGGAGAAAATATTGATCCACTGGTGAAGACAGCGGCTGAAGAGGCGATTGATGATGCTGGGCGGCTACTCATCTTGGGTAGTAGCCTCGCGACTTTCTCGGCGTGGCGCCTAGTGGAACGAGCACATAAACGAGGCATGCCTATTGGTGTTGTTAATGTTGGTGGCGTGAGAAACGAAGCCGTACTTTTTGGAAATATTGGACATGAACCCACAGCTCATGTCCGGTGCAGTTATCCAGTCCAGTCGGTCCTCCCGCCCGTTGTAGCCCAACTCCCAGTCAATCTATAGATTTAGAAATTGCCAGAAAATAGATGATAATCAAGATCACTGTGAAAATCAAATCCTAGTCATAGCGACAAATACAAATATAAATATAGATGAAGGTATAGAGAATAAGCGCCTGAGGCAAAAAAAGAAAAAAAAGGGCTCGATAAGTCCCGGGCCGCTCAACGCGGGGCTCCTCCCTCACGTCTCAGCATGGAGCACTTTAGGGATCCTCGCCCTTTAAAGATCGCCTCAAACCTGGTTTCTCCTGGTCACTTTCTCTTTTCTAAACCCAAACCATCGGGGCCACCGGCTTCCAAAATTACACAGAAAATGGACAAATCGCAGCAGCCCAGTTCCTTCCAGCAGCTGGAAAAGGCATGTCTTTCTACTTACGTCTTGGATCGTCGCTAACTGTCTTATCTCTAGCTCGGCGAAGGCACTTATGCTACCGTACGTCTCGATCTCTCCCTGTTTCACCTCCTTGATCTTTGCCCGATCGCCACTCCCCCCATCCCCCCCAATTCACCGCTGATGCAGAATACAGGTCTTCAAAGGGCGCAATCGCCAAACCGGTGAAATGGTGGCGCTGAAGGAAATTCACTTAGATTCAGAGGAGGGAACACCGTCAACTGCAATCCGTGAGATCTCGCTCATGAAGGAGCTGAAGCATGAAAGCATTGTTTCGCTCTACGATGTCATCCACACGGAGAACAAACTCATGCTTGTCTTTGAGTTCATGGATAGAGATTTGAAGAGGTATATGGACACTCGTGGTGATCGTGGACAGCTGGATCCTGCCACGGTCAAATCTTTCATGCACCAGCTACTCAAGGGTATCGCCTTCTGCCATGACAACCGCGTCCTCCACCGCGATTTGAAGCCACAGAACCTCCTAATCAATAAGAAGGGCCAGCTCAAGCTGGGTGACTTTGGACTAGCTCGCGCATTCGGCATCCCGGTTAATACATTCTCCAACGAAGTCGTCACTCTGTGGTACCGCGCACCAGACGTCCTCCTCGGGAGTCGCACCTACAACACCAGCATTGACATCTGGTCCGCTGGCTGTATCATGGCAGAGATGTACACGGGTCGTCCCCTTTTCCCGGGCACAACCAATGAGGATCAGTTGGTCAAGATCTTCCGTTTAATGGGCACACCGTCCGAGCGTACATGGCCCGGCATCTCGCAGCTGCCAGAATACAAGTCCGACTTCCAAGTCTACGCCACGCAGGATCTGTCCTTGATCATCCCGCAAATGGATGCTATCGGAATGGATCTGTTGAACCGTATGCTCCAACTTCGTCCGGAGATGCGCATCAGCGCCAATGAAGCCCTGCAGCACCCGTGGTTCCATGATCTACCTCAGATCCAGGCCAAATTGCAGCAGCAACACCAGCAGCAGCAGATGGCTGGATATGGAGGCATGATCCCTCCGCAGCCCGCTTATTAGCGTTCTAGACTGCGCATGACGAGATGACGAGCTCGATTAGACAATTGGACATGGGAGAATTCGGCGTTATACCCGATTATGGATATTTTTGATTCCTTTATTTTCCTTCTATTTTTCAACTTGATATTGCGGATTTTGGGCTAGGTTTTCAAATATGAAGAGCATCTGCCCTCCTTGGAGATGGATCGATTTCGGAACACCGTTCTGTTGTCTTGATGACCTGGAGCAGCGCTCCAGATGTTATCAATCTTCTTCCTGTCGCTTTCAAATAGCTATACCTCAAGAATTGAATTCCACCATCCACCCTAAGCTATATTTATTCGCACGCAAGGCGAGACATGTGCAACAAGTACTTGGGCCCAGCGCAAATGTCCCCCCGTTGGAACTGCAATCCTCGGGAATATCCCAGCTTGTTACTGCAACTGGTTCTTTGTACACCGGCCAAGGATTCTCGGGACGAACAAGCTCATAGCTGCTACACTGTACTCTATTATCAAGTACCCGGCTGGAAGTACCTAGAGCAACCCTTTTGAGCAGGCATCACCTTCGTTTGAACGTCTTGATGCTTGTTCGGAATAATCTTTCAAACATGCAGTCACCCGTATTTCAATCTGGTCTTTCGTGAGTAGCGACTCAAGGAGCTGAGAAAACATCGGGGGAAACGAATTGCTGGTGTCACACACGGGTGAACTAATTTGATGATCTCACAAGGCCCCTAAATTCTTGTCACCATTATACTCTTGGCATAGTTAGGTTACTTCGTCCTCGAGAACCATGAGACTCTAATAGCTAGGGACAAAGACTACCTGCCTAAGCAACGGCTCTAATCATTGGTCTGATTCAAGGGCTATGCACCTGAGGCTTTTCTGTGCGGACCACTACTGGTCCCTGATCCAATCCCTTGCCTATTACCTATTTTGTGCAGATTGCACGTTGTGGTACCACCCACACTGGGGTCGTTCGCATGTCTTTCATAGGGAGTACTGGCCTGAGTCTTATCCCGGAGTTTGAAGAAAAAATTATTTCAAAGACATTCTGCTTGGTTTTTACTCACATTCTTGGCACTTGTTTGAGCCTAATACTGTCAGGGCCGCGCCCTTTGTTATGTCTGGTCATCAGGCTAGCATATTCCTAGCTAGAAGCCGATGATAATGACAGCAATATGCTGATTAGGTTAGCCTTGCCTTGTTTTACATTTGGTTTCTTTTTTTCTCCTTTGTTGCCCGTTGCGGATAATAAGCAGGTGGTATTGTGTTTCGGTCATATTTACTCGAAGCGTTTGCCTATTGTTTCGAGGGGGAGCCATAACCCAAAAGTCCCCCTTGGTAGATCTACCATCATCTGCATATTCACAAGCAATCTTGGCTTTGGACCACGAGGGTCTCTTCGGTTCATATCGGCCGTTGGATATAACCTTTGGGCGCTGGAAGCCCCTCCCCCTCGCGGTGACTAGCTCATAGATCATGATACCATGACGCTGTCAGAACGACAAATACTGGCTATCTCAGCCACAGAGCGGGCTTGCTCGACTATCTCACTGGTTGGCACTTTTGTTATAGTCGCTACTTTTATCTGGTCCCCCACGTTCCGCAAACCCATCAACCGCTTGGTGTTCTATGCATCATGGGGTAACATCATGGCTAACATAGCCACCATCATATCCGCAGACGGGATTCATTCTGGGGTTGATAGTTCCCTGTGCCAGTTCCAAGGGTTCTTGATTCAATGGTTGGTACCATATTGGTAAATAATAACCCTTGGTAGACGACCACTAATAAGCAAGCATAGGTTCATGCCGGCCGATGCGCTATGGACATTCGCAATGGCATGCAACGTCTACCTAACATTCTTCCACAAATACAACTCCGAGCAACTACGCCGGCTCGAATGGAAATATGTTCTCTGTTGTTACGGTGTTCCATTCGTCCCAGCTTTCGCATACTTCTTTATCCAGACCCAGACTCGAGGCCGGATATACGGCTCTGCCATAGTAAGCTGGACCAACGTTGTCCCTTCTACCAGCTTTTACTAAACTAATCATTCCCAACAGCTCTGGTGTTGGATCTCTGCACAGTGGGGCTTCCTCCGTATCGCCACCTTCTACGGACCAGTCTGGCTCATCATCTCAATGACCTTCGCCATCTACCTACGAGCAGGAACAGTGATTTACCAGAAACGACGTCAGCTTCGAAACCTCGGCGGCATCGACTCGGACCTTGCCCCAGAATCTCCTTTTGCTATGTTAACCGGCATCCAAGTTACCCGGGAGATTGCCTGTTCTACTCCAGAACGCCGGTCCTTGTCGGAAGGCAACGCGCGCGGGTTGCCATGTGCTACATTCAGAGCATACTCGGTCACGATTGAGGGTGGGGGTGGTACCGCCGGCACAATTCAAGGTTCCAGCTCAAAAATCAGTCCAAGTCCTCTTCAGCAGGAGAATTCTGGGAAGATCGCGCGGCCGGAGGGACTAGATTCACAGCGGAGGTCGAATTCCACGGAAGCTAGTTCGGCTACTTGGGCGTATACGAAATATGCCATGCTGTTTTTTATTGCATTGCTTGTTACATGGGTAGGTCTGGTCACATTTTATTATAGTTTGGAAATCGGTGTCGGCTCCTTTCGTGTGTTGATTGTTCGACATTGCAGGTCCCCTCGACGATAAACAGAGTCTATTCCTTGGCTCGTCCTAATGACTTTAATTTCAGTCTCAACTATGCTTCTAGCTTTGTCCTGCCACTGCAGGGCTTTTGGAACAGCCTTATATACGTCTCTATCTCGTGGCCTGCATTCAAATTACTCTGGTCTGACCTCCATATCCGCGTACGCTCATGGCGTATACCCAGTCCGGTGACAGATATACAATCCTTTCGTCTACGAAAAAATTCCCAAAGCTCGAGTCCTGCCCTACTTGTGAAAGCTGAAAATGAGGAGAACAGACGGCGGAGTTGGCTGGGCTTAGATCCATCAAGTTAGGGCTGGGAATGGTTGATAGCTAAATGCCTCATTTCCATTGAAATATACCAACTACACTACTTGAAATAGTTTGTATACTCATATTAAGCAATCTAGCATTTGACGGAGTATAGAAATAAATAAAAAATATTCAAATGTCGACGTAGTATACGACCCCATCAATCCGATCTATAGAAACACGTGACCGGCGCGTCGCGTTGAGTGAGGTCCAACACCCCAGATCCAAATTCCCAAAGAACCTCAAACAGCTCCTGGACACCACTCTCACCATACCCGTATGATCTTCATTACTTCTCACTCTCCGAAATTATCCTGACAGCAGCGACATCAACCATGGCCGAATCGAATTCCCGCCAACCGCCCGCGTCGCCGTCCCCTCCCCCGCGAGCTCCAATTTCCCAATCCCCAGGCCTGCGCGCCTCACGTCTAAACCAGGTCTTCGAGCAGGCTTTGGCACGCACGCTCCGCGCAAACTCGTATGCGAACTTTGCAGGTTGTTTCCCGACGCCTGCGCGCCATGTTCCTGCCAGCTTAGAAGGTGTCTGGCGGCAGCTGAACGCGAAGCTGGAAGCGAATGCCAAGGCTGAGTTTGATGACATTGTCGCGGAGAGGGATGCGGTGCCTCATTTGAATGAGCTTGATCGGCTGATTGGGGATGCGAGGGCTAGGAGGGATCAGGAGGGGGAGAATGCTGAGGGACAAGAGAGAACAGTGTATGTTGCATGGAATGGGCCGTTTACTCGGACTATGTTTGTTTTTATGGTTGGTTCTGATTTCTAACTTTATTGGCTATATAGTGCGCATACGCTCGGTGCCGAAGATCTGTACAAAGCGCACCTCACGCCCTATCTGCAGGAAGCGCAGTCGACCCTCAACGCCAGACTTGAGGCTACTCATGCGGAAAATGCGGAGCTTGCACAGACTGTGCAGGCGCAAAGGTTGGAAATTGAGCGGCTATTGTCGCATCTTGGATTGGTCGTTTCTGATATTGAGGGTGCTGCTACGGCGGCCACGCAATTCAGCAGACAACATCACATTCGCCAGGACGCGATCCAGATGGATGAGGAAGCGAATGCCCGTCCGGGTCTGTGAGAGCGTTACGAAAATTGTTTTTCTTTCCGGTTCATGATGAAATCAGGGCACTCAATTCCCTGCCGTCAACCATTCCGTCTTCCACCATATCCTGCGCCACGACTATGACTTGTTGGAGATCTGTTGATTTAAGCTGCTCGAGCTTCGTGTTCTGGCCTTCAATCGCTGCGGCAATCGCCTCCTTGCAAGCTCCGTCGCGTTCTTCCTCCGCTGCTCCGTCGCGGCGGGCCAGAGCTGTTGCCCCGCGGTAGTACGTCTGAGCGTTTCGTAGGAGCATAGCTCCGTTCTGCTTCGCCATGGCGTGGTTCCAGGGCGCTCGTCCAAGACGCCATCTGTGCATCTCCGCGTCTCCGCGACCAAGGTGGATTTTGGGCAGGTTATCGGCATCTGGAAGCTTAGCCGCAGCCGTCAATGCATCCAGGGCGGTTGAAAGCGATTTCCAACGCAACGCTACCACGTTTTCAAACGCCTCGTCATCCTCCGATGGGGGGATATCCGAAAGCGCCTGGTTCAACGATGTGAGTGCATCTGCCTTACCACACAGGCCTTCGGGGTCCGCGGATACATCCAGCTCTGAACCAAAAACCTGTCCAACCTCTTGCTGGTAGGTTTGGATATCAGTATGTCCGCCTCGGTAGAGCAAATCGTTCAAGGCACAGATGAACTTGGCTCGCGCCAAGGCCGCCTCATATTGTCTGTCCGAGCCTTCAGCATAAGCAGGCAGTCGCGAATGCACTAGCTCCGACGAGTACTCCTGCACCCAGCCAACACCGCCCGCGCCGGGGTTAGAAGTCAGCAAATTACACAGAGTCGTCAAAGTCTCCAGCTGTGCCACTGCCGTGTCCACGAGCGTATTCTTCGTGACGGGCTCCACAATCATTGCCCACTGTTCTTGCTCCTCGCCTGCAGACTCAGCTTGGGACTGCCCCGCAGTTGGTGGTACAGCCTCCGGCTCCGGTGGTACACCCCCGGATTCCATCAGTTCGATCTCCTCTTGCATTTCCGTGTACTTCATTTCCTGTACCATCAGACACCGCTGGAACAGCTCAATCGCTTCTTGCAGGTATGTCCCTGCCTGCGTCTGCTCCTCCTCACCAGGATGCTTCAGATTAGATATCAACTCCGCTAGGCTGGTCAGCACCTGGCCCGAATTGAACAACACGTCAGCATTGTCCTGTTCCAGAGCCAGCGCATCCCGGTGTGACTGCAACGCAATCTGTAAGAGCTCCCCCTGTGGCGCTGGCAACTGGGCCGCTAGTTTGGGGTGTTGAGTGATTTCATATTGGACTCGTGCTCTGGATGGGTGTATTAGTCAAGGTAAACTAAGAATATCTCTCAATGTATGAAATTGAAAATTGTGAAACGATACATACTTGTTGTAAGCTAGATCAAATGTGCCGGGATGTCTCTGTAGTCCCTCGTCATAGTTGGTGATGGCCCGCATGAAGAAGCGCATAGACTTGGCCGCGTCTCCGGCCCGCCATTTCTCGCCGGCTTCTTCTAGCTCGACACCGGCTAGAGAGATAGTTAGTTTTTTGTTTTTGTTTTTGTTTTGTTTTGTTTTTTTCCTTGGCTTATTGAGGTTCAAATACACACCTGCAAGAAAATCATCTGCAGTCACAGGTGCCTATATAAAATGTATGAGGTCATGACCAAACTATTCTGGGGTGTATTTTATTGCTACCACATACCTGCTTTGAAGCAGCCTTCTTCTTGGTCTTGGTCTCCCTTAGAAAGGATTTCGGCTTCGGCATATCTGCGGGAAAGCTGTTGGTTGAATGAGGATCGACAAGAGATGGATGTGCTTAAAACTGAAGTAAGTCCGGCAGAATCTGCGCGGTGTGCGACGGAGTATAAAGTCTTGCTTTCACGACTACATATCTGTAACAATGATGATGATAGCTATTCTTCTAGCTGTGAGGCTTCATACTCGCTGTACTCTGTAGTGTAAGACTTCTTTGAACTAGATTATATATAGAATGTGTGACTGAACTCTCAAAGCAGCCTGATTCAGATCTACATGAATGCCAAGGCTGTGGTAAGCTGCCCGAGGTTTCATGTTTCGAAGGTATTAGTATGTACGGAGTACCCCGTACAATATTGTAATAGTGGTATGTGTTGTGAAAGGGGGCCTACGTCGCCAGCTCTGTAAAAACGGTATATAAGCCGAGGTATGTACTGTCCCTTGCTGTTATCGCAATACCTAGAGTAATAATCTACATAGCCTTTTCTGAGTAGAATATAAATGTACAATCAATACCAGATAGAAAGAAAGTACCTGAGATCTCGCGTGGCGAATAGCACGTGGCGAAGATATCCGGAAATTTGAAATTGTAGATATCATACCATAAAAATACATCACATTTGCTATTCCATTCAGAACCCCCTTTTCGTTCCCCACCAAATACGACCCACCCCCGTTTCAACTTCTCCTTTCTGTGACTCTATTTCTACTTCTGCACTGCATTGGTACTTTTGTCTTGACATATCCCTATACCAGACTGGGTATGTATCCCTAGATCGCCAGTCCTCAGTAATACCCGCTAATAGGTCAATTCTGTAGGCGTCCCAAGACCTCTGGATACCTACCGTTGGAAAGCCCCTCTTTCGCCATAAATCTCCTTATAAGACCCATACCACCTCTCAGAAATGACTCGCCAACCTTCTCTCGACTCTGAGCGTCCCATCATGGCTCAATCGGTAAGGACTTCTTTCCCCCTTTGCTCTCCACCTACTCTGCCCTGAACGCTGCATGCACACGAAACTCGCGCAAGTCTAACCTGCTGCAGAACCGAAACTCAAAGCGATTCTCCACGGTCAGTGGAAGCCCCTCGCTGGCTGCCTCCGATCGCACAAATGGTACTCTTCCCAGCGGCGACCCCAGAATCGCCGACATCTTCCACCTCCACGATGGCTTCGAACGTCTCGAGAACAAACCTCTCAACAAGCAGCGATTCGTCCCCACGGAGGAGAAGTCGAACAATCTGAACAAACTTGCTCTCGGGGCGAAGGTCGAGCGCGCTCTCGGCCGGAGGATGACTGGCCAAGACGCTGTCATGCGCAAGCCTCTCTCTGAGAAAACCGAGGCGACCTCTGACTCGCCCTGATGGTGACGAGACGTTTGAGGAGACGAATGACATGCCATGTGCTTCCGCTGGTTAACCGTCTCTGCTCGTTCGCTTGTTTCTTGTTTCTTATTACTGCCTTTTTTTTTCCACCCCGACATTTGAGCCTTTACCTATACGGCTCTTATGATTGTCTATTCTTTTTACACCCTTTCATGCCCTATCATACCCTCCTATCATACCCCTCTTTCTTTTTTTTTTTCGGATTTGTGGCGTTTTGACTTGAGATGCGCATTATTTCCTTGAGTATGAACTTCCGGATCTGGTTCTCTTTTCTTTTCCTCATGTATCCTGAATTGAAATCTTCTTTAACTTCTATATCTCTTATAGAGCTCCCTAATTAACATAAACATATTCGTGTACTATAAATTCTGCCAGGCGGTGTCCGTTCGCCAAGACCACGCGAAACCCGCACGGAGTCAAAGAGAAGGAAGTTCTTTTCGAAGGCGAATTCCCACAGCTTCATTTCCATCTCTTTTTTGGTTTCCCATTTTCCACTTTATTCTCTCTCCCCCCACGCCTCCGTCCATCTTATAGGACCCACCTTTTCTCGATTCTCATCTTTCTCGCTCCAATCCTCCCTTTTCGCGCCACCCCGTAAGAACTCTTTCTCTCTTCAGCTATACTTCCGCTTTTCTGCAATCTCAAAGCGCCTTTTCTTATTCTTTTGCTTTCCCTTTTACCTTCAATTGCTTGCATTGGGGGGGGTTGTCCATTTCGCATCGTAAGTTCTGATCTACCTTGTCCAGTTCGGATCTCGAAACTAATGGCCACCCAGTCAAGCGAAGGAAACACAAAGAACATCATTTTTAGACCGTTCATCGCTTGTTTCTTAAAAAAAAAAGCCTTTCGGCTCTTATAGTCTCGGCCACCATTTTTGCCGCGTTTCGGTTACTTTCAATCTCATTTTCCACCCGACTTCGAAAATAAAACCCCTCAATCCTACACCATGGCCGATATGACTCAGGTTCCCATTAATGGAAACTACCCTGCCCAGCACGGTTACCCCGAATCCTATAACCACGCATCTGTCACTATGAACACTGCTGCTAGCTTCCAGCCTGCGCAGTCTTCCACCCCGACTACCGTCACTCCCACCGACCAGCAGAAGAATGAGATCTCGAAGGATGAGGTCGGCTGGTATTTCGTTGAGCAGTACTATACTACCATGAGTCGCAACCCTGACAAACTTCACCTGTTCTACTCTCGTCGGTCTCAGCTGGTCTTCGGCACTGAGGCCGAGTCGGTTCCCGTCACCGTTGGTACTAAGGTAAGTTTGATTTGATCCCTCTATATGGGTGTTGTCTCACTAACCATTCCACTTGCATAGGCCATCAACGAGAAACTTAACTCCCTGAAGTTTCAGGATTGCAAGGTGCGCGTCCTGAATGTCGATTCTCAGGCATCTTTCGACAACATCCTGGTCTCAGTCATTGGTGAGATCTCCAACAACTCCGAGCCGTCCCGCAAGTTCGTGCAGACTTTCGTCCTCGCCGAGCAGCCTAACGGCTACTACGTTCTCAACGATATCTTCCGTTATATGGCCGAAGAGCCAGAAGAAGAGGTTCCCGAGCAGTCTACCCCGGCTGCGCCTGTTGCCGAAGCCCCCGAGGCCGTTGCCGAGGCTCCCGCTGAGGAGGCCCAGGTGGCTGAGGAAGTCGCTGTCCCCAATGTCGATGAGAAGATTGAGGAGGCTGAGACCAACGCCACTCCCGCCGAGGAGCCTAAGGAGGTTGCCCCCCAGACCAACGGTGCTCCCGTTGAGGAGGAGATCCCTGCTCCGGTTCCTGTCGTCGATGCTGAAATTTTGACCGAGGAGGAGGTCCCCACTCCTGAGCCCTCTCCCGTTGCCGTTGCCGAGAAAGAGGAGGTACCTGAGAAGGAGACCTCCCCCGTTCCCGCTGTCCCCAAGACATGGGCTAGCATTGCGACTACCTCTTTCGCAGCTAAGGCTGCTGCTGCCGCCAAGGCCCAGGCTGCTGCTCCTGCCGCTCCTGCCGCTGCTCCTGCCACTACTGCTCCTAAGGCTGCTGCTCCTAAGGCTGCTGCTCCCGCTGCTCAGGCTGCCCCCGCCGCTCAGCCTGCTGCTACCCCCGCCCCCGCGGAGGCTGCCCGTACCCAAGACACCCCTTCTACTGAAGCCGGATGGCAGACCGCTGGCCACGACAAGAAGTCCCAACCCCGTGGTGAGGAGACCGTCCTCGCCTATATCAAGAACGTCAACGAAAAGGTCGATGCCAGTCTGCTCAAGCAGACCCTGGCTCGTTTCGGCAAGCTGAAGTACTTCGATGTCAGCCGTCCCAAGAACTGCGCTTTTGTTGAATTCAACGAGCCTGCCGGTTATACCGCTGCCGTTGCCGCCAACCCCCACCAGATTGGCAGCGAGCAGATTCTCGTTGAGGAGCGCCGCCCCCGTGGAAATGCCTACGGCAGCAACGCCTTCCCCGCCGGCCGTGGTGGCGGTGCCGGTCGTGGTCGTGGTGACCGCTCCGGCAGCCAGGGCCGTGGTGGCTTCCAGCGCGATGGCCGTGGCAGCTTCGGTCCCCGTGGTCGCGGTGGCAACGTTGCCGCCAAGGGTCGCCCCAGCCAGCCCCAAGCTGCTTAAAACACATTTTACGTGATATTTTGATGATCCTCTATGTTATTCTTCCCCGTCGGTGTCACGTCTCTCACCAGTCCCGTGACCATCTCTCCGACGGATGACCTTCTCGGGGATCTGTATTACTCCGATTTTGATTCTCTTTTTTCTTTTGCCCCGTCTCTTCCTAATGACATGTGTTACGTGACTATTGCCTCCCCCCTTTTTCCCGTCACAGTGCATATTAGCGGTTAGTCCGGGTTGGCTGGAAAAGTTGCGTCTCTTTCCTTCCCTCTGGGCACTTGTGTTTTAACCTGACCTTTATTTTGATTGACCTCTTTTTTTGCTGGGATCGGGTCTTGTCTTGGACATCCACGATTCTCTTATTTGCACCATATTCCTTTCTTTCAGTGTCTTCCTGCCATGAACTGTTACTTGCTCCTTCCTGCAAGACGTTATATCACATTTTTCTCAACTAGCATAGCAAACTCCAGGGTTTTACGGTGGTGCGCCATCCCGGTCTTTCTTGTATTTTGTTCTTTCTTGTATCTTGCCTTTTTTTTTTCTTCTATTCTCTGGGTCATTATCTTTGTAAATGAGATGATCTCAAGGATTACTGTGTCATGGTCTAACAAAATATTGATTAGAGAAATGAATCTCCAAGTTATATATTGCCACTATGCTGTCACTATATTGCCACATGCTAGCTAGCGGTGCCAAGCTATCATGCTTACCTAATGAGAGTCGACGAGTCATCCATCTGGGGAACCCTCGAAGATTCTAGAGATATCAAATGCCTGAGGCATGGTGCCACTGCAGCTATAGAAGAAAAGTCCAAGAGCTAAATACTGGGGAAATTAGAGTAAGTAGAAGGAAAAATAAGTCAAAGGTAAAGCAGAAGAGTCTAGAATAATACAGAGAAAGCTGCAAGGTTGCCTGAACGACCAGTGGAAGTTGCTGGATCACCGTAGAAACTCTCCACAAGAAATTTTTGGAAACACAAAAGGAACTGGCCCGCTCACCTCGACTCTTTCTCTTCATCTCTCTCCCGCTTTGCTTTGGATTCTCCCCCCAGAGCTTCTTCTTTTTTAATTACTTTGCTTTCTTGTAAGATCTTTCCTTTCCCTTCTCCTGACCGCTTCCAATTCCCCTCCCCCACCGCTTGATCAGATTGATCAGACTCTTCACACCTTGCTACATATTTCTCAATTGCTGGAAATTCAGCCTTTCTGACAGTCTTTCCAGAATCACAATCCGCCATCATGTCTGAGACCTTCGAGTTCCAGGCTGAGATCTCTCAGCTGCTCTCGCTGATTATTAACACTGTCTACTCCAACAAGGAAATTTTCCTTCGTGAGTTGATCTCCAACGCCTCCGATGCTCTCGACAAGATCCGCTACGAGGCTCTCTCCGACCCCTCTAAGCTCGATTCCAACAAGGATCTGCGCATTGACATCATCCCCGACTTGGAGAACAAGACCCTCACCATCCGCGATACCGGTATTGGTATGACCAAGGCTGTAAGTTTCTATCGGAGTTGACTCAAATCACTCTCTCCCCTACATCTGTGTGGCTACAGAAACTAATGTTCTTATCTTATAGGACCTGATCAACAACCTTGGAACAATTGCCCGCTCCGGTACCAAGCAGTTCATGGAGGCCCTATCCGCCGGTGCTGATATTTCCATGATCGGCCAGTTCGGTGTCGGTTTCTACTCTGCCTACCTGGTCGCTGACCGTGTCACCTTTGTGTCCAAGCACAACGATGACGAGCAGTACATCTGGGAGTCCGCCGCCGGCGGTACTTTCACCCTCAAGGAGGACACCGAGGGCGAGCAGCTCGGCCGCGGCTCCAAGATCATCCTTCACTTGAAGGATGAGCAGTTGGACTACCTCAACGAGGCCCGCATCAAGGAGGTTGTCCGCAAGCACTCCGAGTTCATCTCCTACCCCATCTACCTTCACGTCCTGAAGGAGACCGAGACTGAGGTCCCCGATGAGGAGGCCGAGGAGGCCAAGGAGGAGGATGATGAGAAGAAGCCCAAGGTCGAGGAGGTCGATGATGAGGAGGAGAAGAAGGAGAAGAAGACCAAGACTGTCAAGGAGTCCAAGATCGAGGAGGAGGAGCTTAACAAGACCAAGCCCATCTGGACCCGCAACCCCGCCGACATCACCACCGAGGAGTACGCCTCCTTCTACAAGTCCCTCTCCAACGACTGGGAGGACCACCTCGCTGTCAAGCACTTCTCCGTTGAGGGTCAGCTCGAGTTCCGCGCTATTCTCTTCGTTCCCAAGCGCGCTCCCTTCGACCTCTTCGAGACCAAGAAGACCAAGAACAACATCAAGCTCTACGTTCGCCGTGTCTTCATCACCGATGATGCTACCGACCTCATTCCCGAGTGGCTCAGCTTCATCAAGGGTGTCGTTGACTCTGAGGACCTTCCCCTCAACCTGTCCCGTGAGACTCTCCAGCAGAACAAGATCATGAAGGTCATCAAGAAGAACATCGTCAAGAAGACCCTTGAGCTCTTCGTTGAGATCTCTGAGGACCGTGAGCAGTTCGACAAGTTCTACCAGGCTTTCAGCAAGAACATCAAGCTCGGTATCCACGAGGACGCCCAGAACCGCCCCACCCTGGCCAAGCTCCTCCGCTACCAGTCCACCAAGTCCGGCGACGAGCAGACCTCGCTCGCTGACTACATCACTCGCATGCCCGAGCACCAGAAGAACATGTACTACATCACTGGCGAGTCCATCAAGGCCGTTGCCAACTCTCCCTTCTTGGACACCCTCAAGCAGAAGAACTTCGAGGTTCTGTTCCTGGTTGACCCCATTGATGAGTACGCCTTCACCCAGCTGAAGGAGTACGACGGCAAGAAGCTCGTCGATATCACCAAGGACTTCGAGCTTGAGGAGACCGAGGAGGAGAAGACCCAGCGCGAGGCTGAGGAGAAGGAGTACGAGGACCTTGCCAAGGCCCTCAAGAACGTTCTCGGCGACAAGGTCGAGAAGGTTGTTGTCTCCTCCAAGCTCGTCGGCTCCCCCTGCGCCATCCGTACCGGCCAGTTCGGTTGGTCCGCCAACATGGAGCGTATCATGAAGGCCCAGGCCCTCCGTGACACCTCCATGTCCTCTTACATGTCTTCCAAGAAGACTTTCGAGATCTCTCCCAAGTCCCCCATCATCAAGGAGCTTAAGAAGAAGGTTGAGGCCGATGGCGAGAACGACCGCACCGTCAAGTCCATCACCCAGCTGCTCTTCGAGACCTCCCTGCTGGTCTCTGGCTTCACTATCGAGGAGCCCGCCAGCTTCTCCGAGCGCATTCACAAGCTCGTCGCCCTTGGCTTGAACATTGATGAGGACGAGGCCGCCCCCGCTACCGAGGCTGCTGCTCCCACCGAGGCTACCGGTGAGAGCACCATGGAGGAGGTTGATTAGATTCATTCTCTCAACTCTTTCGATATTGCTAATTTTTAAGTCTTACGGGAAATGGGAAACGGGATATGACCCTCTGTGATGTTTTTTAACTTTTCATTTTATTTGTTCGCCAATAAGAACTGATACTTTTTCTATTATTTTCACCGTCAAATATACTGTAGTGTCTTACTGTAGTTGAATCTTGCTGTGGTTCAGGCTGTCGACTTGAATCCTGTGAAAACACCTGTACACTCGGTCTCGTGATGTGGAATCATAGTTGAACATTCCAACTGGTACTTTCCAACAAACTTCACCTCATGGGTATCCATCCCCTCCCTCTGCCTCTCCCTGTCCCTTTCGCTTTCGCTTTCTTTTCCCTTTCCAGAGTTCTCCTCATGCCACTGCCCATTTCAACATACGACACCGTCACCTTACGCAATACTTCCCCTTTACCGTTCACAATGACCCAGTCCGATCAGAAGAAGTTCTTGACCCCAACCCATCACCACCGACTCCGACAAACCAAGCCCAATCCACACTAACTTTTCATACTAGGGCACCGTATGCAGCTTCTAATTTTGTATTACATATTTTGACAACTCCTCTTACAATCCGTTAATTGGGCGCGTAACTCAGTTGGTAGAGTGTTCGCTTTGCATGCGAAAAGTCCAGCGTTCGAATCGCTGCCCGTCCACTTCTTTTTTTTTTTTTTACATTTATGCTTAGCGCCCGCCCACATCAAAGTCGGAACTCTGCTCGTGATCACTATTCTATGTATTTTTTATATAATTAAATGGTTGCTAGACTATTTACTAACTGGTAGTTTGGGATTCTACAAGGTGAAGAAAGTATTTGAATCATTTTGTAGGATTTTTGAAATCAGTATTGACGATCGGGCGAATATATATCTCACGTGGGATTGATTGATTGATTGAGCAACCATATTCTGGAACGGGTATGCATGATACAGCTGTGTTTGAGGACAGGATTTCTATTTAACCGCAAAGAATATCACCATCCTTGTATCAGCGCCCTCAATCGATGCTATCACTGAGGTATGTTCCATACCAGGTCATTTTGGCCGATTCTGCCTACTACTTCGAACATTTCTTCATCTCCACCGGTGAAGACAATTCAACCATGTCTCAAACGACGGGAGGCCCCAAGCTCAAAGTTTTTTTCTTTCCTAAATAGGCTGTTAGCCTGGTTACAAAGCAAACCGTTTAATAACAGGCTCATCGCCGAGATTCGCAGAAAATGGTGCTGGGGTTTGAGAAGCTGGTTAGAGAGTAAAGGAACACAAGAGTTACGAGAGTTCTATCTACATACAGAATACTCTAGGTATAATGACATTAGATGTTGTATCATGTAAGTGTTCGTTAGTGAACTTCTACAGGTAGACTCTATAAACAGGCAACACCATTCAAAGGTTCCCAAATGTATGCTTAAAATAGTAGGAACGTATGGGGAATCTCCAGCCAATCAAAGATTCGGATCGATCGGACCCAGGAATGTTTCGCCGAAACAGTTCCTATTGGCCTGGCACTTATGTACAGGAACATCACGTGGGGGAAAATGGAAAAGAGAGAATTAAACAGATATTTCCCCGTTCAATACTCTGAGAAGAAAAGCAACCATGTATAGACCCACCACGAGAAATGAATGGTGGCTTTGTGGCATTTTGTTCGCGCAGGCTATCGTGACCATTGCCCTGGAGATGTACGCTTTCCCTATCTTTTTCTGAACCACCCCTAACCAGAACAGCTATATACTCGTGGAATGGCAGTTATGGGTAACTCCCACAATCACACAGGTCACAGTCTCTTATATGATCCCAATCAACCTCGGAATCTTAATTTTCGCCTCCGTCTACGAGTTCATTCTTGCCTTGGATGCCATCCATCACAAGAATAATGTTCTTCTCTTTTCAATCTGCATCTGCAATGCCTGCAGTTTTGGGTACTCTGTAATGCAGTACACATCAGTGAAGGGAACTACCACGAGACTCTTTGAGTCGCGTTATGGGTATCCGACTCTGATAGATACCACTCGCAGTCTCTGGCCCCAGATCCAGCCAGCGGAGATTATAGTCTCAGTGACCACGGGGCTGTGCACCCTTCTTTTATGTTGGGCTGTATACCTCCTACATAGGGAGTATTCATGGGTCATATACAAGTCTGTTCATGGGAGCTTGAAAACACGGATTCGTTATTTGGGATACGAGGTAATCTCTATCACCTAGGGTTTCACTACTTTGAACAATTGGAGCATTCACGCTAACAAGATGCGAGCACAGATCTTCTTGGTCTTGATCAAACTCCTCTTTTACTTCTTGCTGGGTTTCATCATCCAATATAACCTGGTCTATGTCCATTTCAAGGAACCGGAGTATACCCTCAACATGCTCCTCATTCCGGTCGCATTCATCATCATGCTACTGGGTATCTGGGTTGTCCAAAACGAGCGAATCATTGGCGTGGTTGCTATTGTTGTGAGCTCTCCTCCCCTCATCTGCTGTATCAGCTTAACTGCTAACCTTTCGCAAGATATGCTATCTCAGTCTAGTCGCATATCTCATCAGCCGTATCGTCATTATCTGTGGCGCTCGAACCGATGGAAAGGACATGATGTTGTTTTTTGCTTCGGTATCCTTGCTGCTGACCTCTGCAACGATTTGTTGCACCATCATCTGCATTAAAAATTTCGATCGAGGCTTTCAGATCATTAATCAGCAGAAGAATGGCTATGCACAGGAGTCATATTCACGAGAGTCATATTCTCTACCGGCTGGGAATTATCCAGCAGAGCCGTCTCGCTCCCTGTCGCGTCCTTCCTCGCGACTCACTCTTGACTAGGATCCGTTTCCAAATTATCTGTCTCAGCAGAGCGATTCAAAAAATACAGATTCCTCGGGCACCTTGGCTTCTCATGGATTACTTGTACAATATATCGAGGTAACACGACCAGGTGATTGGACTGCGGTAGAGAATCGTAGATCCTTGTGTAGACAGAAATTAGCTAACTGAGTTATACGGTCACCATTGACAATGATAGAAAAAAAGGAACCAAAGGGACACCATGATAATTATGTACATTGTAATGACCCTTCATTCCTCAGTAACCTTGTACCATGCATTTTGTACCATGCATTTTGTACCATGCATTTTGTACCATGCTTTTTGTACCATGCTTTTTGTACCATGCATTTTGTACCATGCTTTTTGTACCATGCTTTTTGTACCATGCTTTTTGTACCATGCTTTTTGTACCATGCTTTTTGTACCATGCATTTTGTACCATGCTTTTTGTACCATGCTTTTTGTACCATGCATTTTGTACCATGCTTTTTGTACCATGCTTTTTGTACCATGCTTTTTGTACCATGCTTTTTGTACCATGCTTTTTGTACCATGCTTTTTGTACCATGCTTTTTGTACCATGCATTTTGTACCATGCATTTTGTACCATGCATTTTGTACCATGCACATATTCCTGTGGGATATAGAAATAAGACCACTTGCAACTAATCACATTCGGTTGGCCAACTGGTGGGAGATAGGTCTTCTATATCAAGTTGTCGTTTATGCTTCTCATTCAGAAGCATTATCCTCACACAACGTTGATCTACTCTTGCAAACCATGTTCACTACCAAAAACAAAACAAAAATAAAAAAACATACAACAGTGAGGATTCGCTGGTGGTCACCCACCCAACTACTAACTCACCGGCGTGTGGCTTAAGTACGGCTGAGCGGACGGGAAGCCCTGTTTTCCACACCCTATGGTCGTATGTGCTTGATGTTACATCGAGAAGGATTATAATATGCAAGCGGCAAGTAGTGGTGAGGGGTTAGTTAGTATGAGTGACTCCCGCTTCTAAGCCGCACGTCCAAAGATAAGGTTAGAAGGTTAGGGCTGGCCTCACGGCTACATCAACTCTTAGCTGAGATATTATAGATGTCGTCGAAGCCTCCTAGAATCACACATTTACCGATGCGAAGAAGCTTTCCTGAAGTGAGACGATGGTAATGTAAATTATGTATGAATGTGTAGAATCGTTCGAGTACAGACACTGCTCAAAAGTTAAGGTAAAATCAGGTGTAAAAATTGAAAATTAATCGACCAACCACCTAAGAAAGAAGGAGGAAAGTATGGTTTGTTAGATCGCGAGAGAAAGGCTGGTCATCTATAGTCATCTATAGCTAGGGCTGGCAACCATGAACAGCGCAAACATAACATCTACAACAGGCGAGTCAAACAAGAAGACCAAGCCTTCCAACAAATGATGACACCTGTTATGTAGCTGTTTCTAAGGTCTTCTCGAAGGAAATCAATCAGATTATCTCCATCTGTGTTCTCCTGTTCTTGTATCTCACAGCCGACAGAACTACTTGTATATCCACTAGTCCGTATAGGGAAGCCAAGACGGGCAATTAGAGTTTGGGGGCTGGAGGTGGAGACCTATCAGATACGAATCCTCAAACGTGTATTCTGTGTACCTTTTTGAGGTGTATCAGTATGGGGGAATGAGGCCTTGTACCCCTTAGATATCCCAGGCTCTTAAAGAACAACCTGTCTCGCTCTCCAAATTAGACTTGCCTTGAAATCTTTACCACGGGACTGGTACCTTTGATCAAAATGTCACCAAGGATCCATCTAATTCGGCATGCACAGGTATGTCGGCCGCAGAAAACTTGAAATCTCTACATCTGACACATCATAGGGCTACCATAATCTCGGCCCCGAATATTGGAACCTTGCTGATCCTCTGTTAACAGACGAGGGCAAACGACAATGTTTGGAGTTAAGTAATAGCCTTACTCCCAAATCTACAATCGATTTGGTATGTGTTTCGCCAATGCGCCGTGCGATTTATACGGGCCTGGAAGCATTTGCTTCGATTCTAGACCGGGAAGGGAGCAAATTGATCGCCCTTCCGGATCTCCAAGAACTTAGCAACTTTGCCTGCGATGTGGGAACGGATCTTGTTGATTTGCAGAAGGAGGTCGACGAGGCGAACTTGCCAGTGGACTTGAGCTTTGTGGAAGAGGGTTGGACTAAAAAAGTAAAGTTGCTTCCTATATAGTCGTGTGTAAGGTGGAGCTAATGTGTTTGTGGAAAACAGACCGGGCGGTATGAACCAACAAGGGAAAAGATTCAGGCCCGTGCCCGAGATACCAGGCGTTGGTTGAAGGCACGACCAGAGGAAGAGATTGCAGTCGTTAGCCATGGCGGTTTCTTACATTTTCTGACAGAGGATTGGGAAGATGGATGCAAATATGAAGGTATCTTGAGGACCTCCTTACTCCAAAGCTATATCTTTTAGTATCTGGACTGACTCAATGTGATAAAGCGACCGCTTGGGCCAATGTCGAATTCCGAACATATGAATTTGTCGCAGGCGACGGCAACGCCCCGAGCGCCGAACAACTAGATGAGGCCCCCATGCGAGAGACAGCGGATTCTCGTCACCGGCGAGGGAAAACCAACCCTCCACCTACATGCGAGTCTCAGAAAATGATATGCGAGCAGACGTTGCTGGGTTGGGCGGAACAAGGGTATCCGATCGGCATATAGAAAGAAAGTACCTCAATAGAAGATATCCAAGTTGAATGTTGATGATAAGCAACCACTTCCATCACACAAACCTTTTAAATATAAGTAGTAGTCAACAGAAGTAGCGTTTGGCTACTACTCGCCTACAATTAACAAAATATATAAGAACCGAAGTCTGCATGAACTCACACGTGCCGGTGGAAATCATTTGCATCTCATCACGTGTACCACGTGGCGAGTTATTCCTGCACCATCCATCGAATTTGGGCCTATGCATTCTCGATATCTATGCGTACATTTTCGCTCTCAATCCGAAGCGAATTTCGACATCAGTCTGGCCGGACCAAATCCAAAACTGCCTCTCTCTTCGAGAACCTTCATATCTCCATGATTCTGTCGTCAACTGTCTAATTCAAATTCAAATTCTCTCGATGTCCACAAACCACTTGAATATCACAAGTCCAGAAAAAGGTACCTAGGTGATAACCGATCTTTTTTAAGGCTATCGAGCTTACTGGGACAAGACTGCCCAAAGTGCAGGAGTAGGCGTATTAATTGCGATCGGACTTTCCCAGAATGCAGAAAATGCATTTCTCGGGGACTGCCATGTCCTGGCTATGGAATCGTTCTCAAATGGGGTCATGGCGTCGCCAGCAGGGGCAAATTAGCAGGAAGAATGCTCCCAGTTCAAGCATCCGAGGCAAATTCCGACCTACTTGAAGATCAACAAAATAAATTGAACCAAAGTCCCCTTGACAAAACCCCCACATCAGTCGGCCGTGGATTAGGGCTCGATGGTAATTCCATGACGTTAGAACTGATGCAGCATTTTCAAGAAAGCATTGCCAGAAAGCTTGCTTGGGTGGATGGCCCAACGAACTCATGGCGACAAGTTATCATTCCTCTTGCTTGGGTCTCACCAACAGTCCTTTGTGCTGTGCTGTCTCTCTCATCCAAGGACCTTGCATGCAAATATGCGCAAGATCATCCTCGACATAATGACCTACAAAGAATCTCACTTCAATTTCGAAATAACGTCTTAGCCCTGCTGGCAAGGCAGATCAGTTCGTTGAGAGAGCGAGAGATGCCACAAATTGGAACCTTCGATCCGAATGAGATCCGATATACTCTTGCCTCGATGCTTATACTGTACAACGTCGAACTTCTCGGCGCAGAGTCTATCAAGTGGCGAATGCACCTGAAGGCAGCTCGGATTATTGTCCAATGGAGAGAACAAGTTTCTTCTCCTGCATCACTTAATGAAATTGACACATTCCTCCTCTACGAACACTACTATGCTAGTGTCTTTGCGGGTCTTACGACATTTGATCCAGCGGATGGGTTCACAGCGGAACAATTTGAAACCCTCAACGATATCACCATCTTCAGTGACTTTGTGCGCGTAATTCATCGAGTGACACAAATTGAGCGATTTTCATATGATCAAGGGTTTACTGTGGACCCAAGCCAGATTGCGAACATTTTTTGCGAAGTTGATGCAGCCAGGCAGAGAATGGCACAATTAGGCCAAAGACTACATCTACAGGGGTGCCATGCCCAAGACTTTCAGCATCTGGTTTGCATATTTTATCATGCCAGCCTGATATACAGCTATCAGGTACTCAAACATGACTCTTCGGCTAATCCCAACATTCATGCTTCCCGAGACTCAATTTTCGGCCATTTGAACTCCCTCTCAAACAGGGAAACTTTTCCACATGATCTTGTCTGGCCGCTCTTTATTTTGGGCACCGAATGCAGAGGACTTCCGGAAATGCAAGAGATGGTTTCGCGGGAAATGGAGGCTGTTATGAAGATTAGCGGTGCGCTCGATCGACAGAAGGTTTTGTTCTTCCTTCAGCAGTATTGGTCACTCGATCTGGATCACAGAGTCACATGGATCCATTTCTTGAGAGATATGATGCCTGGTAAACGGATGTTAATTTTGTGAAAGAAATCGTTCTGTTTTGAAATTCATGAAATCTCCCAGATCTCGTTGCCCGATCCATCAGGCCTGAATGCCGGGATCAGCATTTGAACTGCTAAAGCAGCTTTGATTCCACCACGATGTGATTGGGTGCGTATTGAAATGCCACGTAGGTTGTTCTTTTGTCAATGTTTTCCACACATCTACTGCGGAACTACTGCAAGTTTTCCCACTCTCTATTGAAATCGAATTCCTCATTGGTCTCGGTTATAAGTATATGCATTAGTTTTGAATACATTCAGCCTGTCCCACCAACCTCTTCTCTATCCCAAATAGCTTTTCCAACGGCACTTTAAAATTATATCTCTGTCAGTTTCAAAATGCACTCCGGAAGTTTGAAGCTATATGCTTCCTGCATCATCCTGGTAGCAATAGTCATTCGACTCTTTACAAACAGATATAAACAAGGACTGGCAAACATCCCTGGCCCAACTATCGCAAAGTACTCCAGTCTCTGGAAGCTGCACAATGTCTGGAAAGGAAACCATCACCAGACTGCCCTTGACCTACACTGCAAGCACGGCTCGCTGGTCCGCATTGGCCCAAATCACATCTCGGTCGGCGATCCCAGCGCTATCCCGATCATCTATGGCTTGAACACGGGCTTTACGAAGGTGTGAATGCCATCGTTTCCAGACACGAATATAAATTGTAAAATCACTTACACAAGACAAAAGACAGCATTCTTCCCAATCCTGTCAATATCATGGAACAAAAAGCCTCAAATGAACCTCTTCTCCACAAGAGACGAAGCCTACCACCGACAACAAAAGCGCATCATTGCAAATTCCTACAGCGTCTCCTCCCTTTTAGAGCTTGAATCCTCAGTCAACTCCTGTACAGAGGTCTTCACATCCCAGCTCTCAAAATTTGCCACAAAAGGCACACCCATCGACCTAGGCTTATGGCTTCAATATTACGCCTTCGATGTCATTGGCGAAATTACCTTCGCTAAAAAACTGGGCTTCCTAGAGCAAGGCTGCGACATCGACGGCATGATGCAGGCTATCAAGGGAATGCTTGTGTATGCCAGTTTATGCGGACAGATCCCAAAAATGCACAAAGTCCTCCTTGGGAATCCGCTTTTGACGCGCTTTGTGCCCAGCATGGAGTCCTGGAACCAGGTACTGCAGTTTACGCTCAAGGCCGTTAACTCTGTCGCTTCGCTGAAAAGAGACGGGGATAAGATCAATGCGTATCAGCGGGAGGATACGGGCGGGAAAGATATGATGTCCCGTTGGATGGTAGTGCATCGTGACGATCCGGAGAAATTATCAGTGCGAGATATTATCGTGCATCTTTCTGCAAATGTCTTCGTGGGCGCCGCTACCACGGCAATTGCTCTACGCGCGACTTTGGACTTCCTTCTGCGGGACTCGCGGATTATGGACAAGGTTCGGGGTGAGATCGATGCTGCTGTTCTTGCGCGTAGAGTCGGGAATCCAATCTCGTACCGTGAATCGCTGGCTCATTTACCCTATATGACGGCTGTCATTAAAGAAGCGCTGAGGCTCCATCCTTCTACCGGTTTGATTATAGAGCGGGAGGTTCCTCAACCGGGCGCTACGATTTGTGGAAAGTATGTCCCTGGCGGGACTATTGTGGGTATCAATGCTTGGGTGGTGAATCGGAATGCGCGGGTATTCCATGATCCTGATGTGTTTATCCCTGAGAGGTGGCTAGAGAGTACACCAGAGCAACTGATGGAGATGGAGCAGACTATATTTACTTTTGGGGCTGGGCCAAGGGCTTGCGTGGGGAAAAATGTGTCTTTTATTGAGATGCATAAGATACTCCCACAGCTGCTGCGGGAATTTGAGGTTCGTTTGAATAGTCCCAAGGAGTTGACGGTGAGAAACATTTGGTTTGTGCAGCAGGAGGGTTTGATATGTGATCTTGTGCAGAGGTGAAATAATTCGTGGTGGTGAGGGAATATCCAAAAAATCTTATTTAATTCTCAACAATGCCTAAATATATATCCTAAATACAGATCATAGACGATAGGAAGGATCCTTCTGATCCAGAAGCCTCATGTAGGCCGACATTTCTTTCGATCCAAACTGTGATCCTGAAAATCCATTATCCCGAGTGACACTCCAGGTTTTCTTAACCTTTGACTCTTCAGGTTGGATGAGGTTGTCTTTGCTTCCAAGCGCACAGGCTGACGCATGGGACTGAATCTCAGAAGCAGCCAGCAATTCATACATCAAATACCAAGCGGCGCTGATCGATTCTGCAGCTGTGATGACACCGTGGTTTCGGAGAATCATAATATTGGACGAGCCAAGATCCTCAACGAGACTTTTCTGCTCCCCTCGGTCCGTAACGATGCCTTGATAATCATGGTAGGTAACGGGGCCAGCCTGATGTGTCGTTTGTGCTAATTCCAAAAGTCCATACTTGGTGCAAGCAAGTCCTGTCGCGGGAGGATAGTGGCAATGCATAACACTTGCCACTTCCGGTCGAGCACGGTGAATGGCACTGTGGATTACGAACCCGGCATCATTGATCCCGAATATATCCCCTGTCACACCATAGTCCTTGATCTTGCCGTTCGCACCGACTTTGATCAGACTAGAAGCGGTGATCTCGCCGTACCGGAGACCAAATGGATTGATGAGGAAGGATTCAGTGCCATCCTCCTCCTCGACTTTGGCAGTTAAGTGGTTGTAGATATTCTCGTTCCAGCCTTTGAGTTCAAAAAGGCGGTAGGCAGCCGCGAGTTCGATTCGAGTCTTTACTTCCTTGTCGGGAAGTCCCTTGAGGATTGACTTTTGAAGTAGCTCACGGACTTTTGGTGTACTGAATTCGGCACAGGGAATATGCGTTTTAGGATCGACGGCTGTGGTGAGACCCCGTGATGAGGAAATCGAAGGAACGCCTGTCTTCGAGACAGAGGCTCGGAGCGAGCCTGTGGACATACGGCTCGCATGTCGCAGAATTGACTTGGCGGCTGTCGATGAAGACATCTTGTAGAATTCGAAAGCACGATGTGTAATTATGGAGGATTAGAATAGGTAGAGATTTTGGCAATTTTGGGTAGGGATAAGATGAACATCTCACATCGAGGGGAGACAGGACAGGGTCTTATATAACTTTCAGAGGGCTAGATCTCAATATCAATTAGTTTCCAAAAAAAATGCGAAAGATCCAGTCTACCATGATGATATCATTGAACATGTCCTGATCTCGCTGGTAAAAGGGACTCAAGCAAGATTTCAATATCATGTACCTTGAGAAAGTGAGCCACACAGTCCCACTACAGTGGATCCAGCAGCCAATCGTACCGAATACCGGAATCTCGGGCCCTGAAAGCTTAGCTGTGACGTTATAGTAGCGACTATATTTGTAGATTTCTTGCAGTCTCGGCCGAGAAGCGAATATTCATCATGGCTCCCGATCAAAGGTGCCGGGTAGCCTCAGATAGTGACCGATTGAACCGAGTTATCCGCTTAGGCTCTGCAAAGCTTAGCCTGAGGTAGCAGAAAAATAATTGATCCTCATGGATAATGGTAGACATTCAGCTTCAGACAAATCGCCACTTCAACAGTCTGCGTTCTTCCTGCCTCAATGTACTCAATATTTCAAGGAAGCTAATTTCTTGGTCTCATGAGCATTAAAGCGTAAAGAAAACCTTGGGAAGTGTGAAGAATCTAAGCATTGAGGATCGGCAACCAGGCCGCAAGGCAACTTTACAACGCTATCCTCTTCTTCGGTACCCTGTACTACGGATCAAGCAAAGCGAATATTGTTGATAGAATCCAAACGATCGCAATTTTCGCAACATCTAGGGCCCTAATATAGTCTTAATGTCAGCCTTGGTCAACATCTAATTGAACCCGGCAGCCTAAGAGAGAAGGGCCAAAATTGAGCTATCTTCGAACATGGCGGGACTTGGGCGAAGATTTGGGTAGTCCAAAAACCATTGTTCAAGGCTTTAATTCATCCTAAAGAGGGAAAGAAAGAGATTGGAGAATCTGCCGTTCTTTTCAAGAAAATAGCAAATTGATAAGATGCGAAGTTCTAGCCACCAAGAAAGCAGTGCATAGTTAGCTCGAGAATCCTATGTCAAGGTCTGATAAAGGAGAATTTACGTAGTTACCTAAATGAGCACTTATTGAGAAAATATACAGCTAGCTAGGCTAGGACTTACTGGGAAGCGAAAAGATTGTTCGAACTTGGGCTAGACTCGTGGCTTTCATATTCTAACTCAGTCTCTTTTTCTATTTAGCTATTGATCTCATGCTGCGCCATATATGTCAAGCTCTGTAGACCCTAGTTGCTAAAGTCACGGAATCGGAAAATAACTGACCGAAAGACTATCAAAGAGACAGTAAGATCATTATTGTAGGTGGCAATGTGAATGAAACAAAAACATGACCAGCAGTGGGGATTTTCTCGACAAGCGCCACATATCTTCGCGCAATCTTGATTTATATTGCTCTCTCTCATTACCCCATTATGTGACATGGACCAATCAAAATACAAAAAACATACAACAGCTATTGTACGTCCGTAGCCACCTAGCGCCCACGAAATTGGCCTTGGTGGGTCGCCGCTCTAGCGGGGGTTGCTTCATTCTTTCACCTGAAGGGCCGAATCTGATATGCAAAAGTTGTATTTGTGAACCTCGACAGTGAAAGAATTGAGGAGGTACCCGGTATAGTGGAAAGACAAAATGAATCATGTTAGCTCTCCTTCACCCGCTTATACTTATCTTGCCGATGCTGTTGTTCTCTTGTTTCTCTATTCACTGATCCGCACTATGAAGAATACACAAAGTGACTATCTTTTGGTCGATTTTGACAGGATTGACAGCAAGCTTTTGCTACGCAGTGCTCTACTACGAACAGAAAAGGAATACAGGGAGATATTCAAACTATTTGACATGTAAGGATCTTGTTCCCTACGGCTCAAGGTCCAGCTAACAAAACAGTTTTGTGGAATTACCTTCTTTGTCTCAAGTTCTGTTAAATCAACAAGCCAGTCAGGATTTGTTGCTTTAGCTAGCTGTAAATAAAAGTGCTCGAATTGAAGACAAATCTCCAGCGGAAATACTGTAAAGATTCTGTAGAGATTTTCAGACCGGAAAGAGGAAATACCGAGATTTCATGTTTACTACAGGGGAACCTATAGCTCTCAGGGGGTTCTGATATATTTTGAATTAGAAATATTTGTAAAACTTGGGACCCAGATTCCTTTGGGAAAAGTAATGTTGTTTGAGAATGCTGTTGTACTCGGCTCTATGCACGGCCTAGCTCCCTAGAATTGGGCTGCACGGGTTGAATGCAACAACTAGTTCAATGCAAATGTACCTTTTATATGAGGTATACATACAAAAGATACTTCGAAGAATATACACATATCTCGCCCATATCATTATTTTTCTATCGAATAGACATAGAATTGAAATACTAATGCCTATTTGTTGTTGTATTTCAAAAATAAGATGAAAATAAGATGGGGATTTTGAAGAAAAGCTTATAGAAGAATTTGTGTGGTAACAACAAAAGGATCCAAAGATTAAATCTAGTTATATTCTCGGAGTTAGGTAATTAAGTAGGTTCTAAGTAACTATCTATTTATCTTCCTATAATTATATGAGATAGTGGAGATATATACATATATCTTCAAGTACCTTTTCTATGCGTATCGCGCATAAAAGGTATATTTGCGTTGAACTAGTTTTTGCATTTAACCCGTGCGACCCGATTCCCTCAGGAGGAGTTGGGCCATGCGTAGGGCCGGGTAGGTACAGCCAGAATATTACTATTCGAGGCTTCCGAATATAGGCGCCTCAAGAAGCAGGTATGGTATATAACGTATACTAAGGCTTTGGCTGATGGTATCAAAGACAAGAAGTATAACGAGACAGCAGAAATAAATTTTGGTGGACAGATCAAACGAGAGTTATTTGGAAGATTATACGCTTATTCGCCGCCTCAGATCTGAATCGGGGTTGAAAGGGAAGATGCTCCACTGAACGACGAAGATCTCAGCCATTTATAGAATGCTTCAAGAGTTCGGTCTGTGGTGGACTTTCTTCTCCGCACGAGCAACGCGAGCCTTGCTGTTCTTTCGGCCCCCGGTTTTCTGTGCCGTTTTGAGGTGAAACGACCACTCTGGACCACTCCGCAGGCATCCTTGAGGTCATGATCTAGGCGGGGCTGAGAAGCACTAGCGATCAACATTGAATTGAGCCTGACTCCCTGGCCTTGCATGGTGGCTGAGTTGGATCAACTGTAAAGTTGTGGGTGATTAAATTTCTGCGATATCTTTTGCATCCGATGACCATTGGCAAACAGCACTAGACAATCAGCCTCATAATTTCATTAGGCTCTATGCATAGCGCCAAGGGAAGATTGTCGGAAACTCTTCCTTAAAAGGAAAAAGGAGCTCGCGATGGTGCGAGGAAGGAGTGGCGGGCGCTAAAAGCGTACAAAAAAAATATTATTAGCCATCTTTCTGAATCAAAGTAGCAGTGTTGTAGCGATCAACTCGCTCAAGTGCTGTGATGAATTTCTTCAAAGCCAATATAAATGCCAGCGCCAGTCTTGAAATTACACTGCTATACCATCTAAATCCTACATATTGATTTTTCTTTTTGTACTTTCAATTTATCATGGGTACATCATCTTCAAAAGAGCAGGTCCCTCAAAATGAAACCTTGAGATCCGTTTTTCTTGTCAATTGGGGGGGGACCAGTCTCCATCAAACCATTCTCGTCGCTGATCGAAATAAATCTGGGAACTTAGACGAAGTTTCTCGTTCAACCACGGGCTACTACTTTCACTGGGGAAGCTCGTTGAGAGGAGCTTCATCAGTCAAAAATGGAGAAGACCCAGAGACGAAACCGTTCAAGGCCCACCTGGAATTAAACCGGGGTAACAAATTTTTCTATCAGGGCACAACATCGTGGACGAATTCTGGCATTGAGCAGCTTAGTAAGTTCATAAAAGCCACGGGGTTTGTCTCGCATAAATATCCCTAGGTGGCCGCTAACTTCTCCTTCGCAACAGTGAGAGAATATTGCCAAAGAAAGCCTTATCATCTTTTGAACAACAACTGCCGAAAAGCTGTGAGCGTCACAATGGGTGGCATTCTACAATACACAGACGACAATGATGTTAAGGATATTGTTGGGACGATTGTTAATGGGCGACCTGGAGAATTTCAAGAACCATGTTTACAAGCGGCGGAGCTCAGAATGAAATATGACCTAAGTGAAGAGGGTGATGACATTAGATATCGCATGGGTGCTGACGCGCGACGCCCCAACTTGCTTGATATACCTGATGTCTATCGTTATAGGCAAGGGAAGTTGCCATATACATGTTGGGCTCATCCGTCAGGCCATCTTGAAGGAGGGTGTGAGTGTCATAGGCAACATGACGATCATCTGAAGAAAGAGATGGTGGGAGGACCTAAGAACCACCCCCGCAGGACCAGAAAGTCCTCCCGATAGTGGTACATGGTACATAGTAGCCCCTAATATGTAGATTTCAGGACCCATCGATGGGTCCAAACGTTGGACCTGGTAAATCCTCTTGGGCCAATTCAGCTGCTTAGGTTTAGTCTGTGCAAATTGGATAATCATCAACAATACCTCTGCATTCCATCAACTTTATTGGATAAAAACTCGAGTCAGCCATAACTAGGCACCTACATTAAACTGGGAGATTGCCTGCTGACTGCACACAAAATCGTGCCAGTCGAAATCAACTACGGTAACCCACACCAAACCGTTCTATAAGACCACCATCTGCTGCGAAGGATCATACGGTTTGAATTCAAAAGTTTCAAAGGGACTGTTATTATTAAAATATCTTCAAGTTGAATATCTCGAAGTATATTACTATACAATATTCAAAAACCGTACTGTAAGGCGGACCGTACTGTCCCTCTTAGAAAACGACGGATCTGATGAATAGAGGCGTTTTCCCACTACTCCGTTCTTATAATATATAGA